GAGCCCAAGCGCCTTCTCTCTTCCTTCCAGCGCTTGTCGATGCATCGCTTCTGCCTCCTCGTACTTGCCCTGTCTCGACAGCACCGACCCAAGCTGGCTGATGCTGGTGAGCGTGCTGGAGTGCTCGGGGCCAAGCACCTTCTCCCTCGCCGCTACGGCACTTCGCGCAATCCGCTCTGCCTCTGCGTACTGACCCATTAGCATCAGGTACCACGCTGTGTTGGTCGCAATCGTCGCTCGGTCCAGCCTCGCCTTGTTATTGTTTTCCGTATTGTAACCAAGCACCTTCTTCGAGTGTGGAAGCAGAGTCCGACATGCCGTCCACGTCTCGTGCTGCCCGCCGGGAAACGCCGCAGCCATGATTCGTAGCGCTGCTCTCTGCCACGCGTCGACTTGACCGTGCAACTTCACCCATTCTCGCGTCGCTAGCTGCACCAAGCTGTGCATCTCAAACAGTTGCTCCTGGAGTCGCGTTTCTGACTGCTCTCTAGCTTGCGCCCTGATTAGAGAGAACCGTAACAACGGCCCTACAGCTTCTGTGAACTGCAGCTTGCTTCTGCCCTCATATAGTACGTGTTCGGGGATACCCTGTCTGTCGAACATGGTCATCAGCGAGAGCAGATCCGCCGCCTCAGGCCTCGTCTTTCGGATCTGCTCGAACGATAGTTGCCAGGTGGTGATGACCGCGCTTGATACACTAGCGTCTCGCCTTATGTCTCTTGCCTTTTTGTCGTTTAGGAGGTGCGCTTGGTTCTCCTCGCTCTCGCGGAACAGCTTAAGATACGCAGCGATATCCATCATCGGATTGTCCACTGTGATGTATGCGGCCGCATGCGTGACAGCAAGCGGGATGCCTTCTAGCGTCTTCACAAGCGCTCGCGCGTCGCCCTCAGAAGACTTGACCCCCTGCATCTTCGACCTTAGCAGCGCCAGTGCCTCGCGTTCGCCCATCGGCTCCACTTCAATCACGTTGTGTCTCGCTCCCACAAGGTTGACGGCAGCGATCAGATCTCGTGAGGTGACCAGTATCCAGCCGTTCGCCGCTTGCGGAAGGAAGCTTGCCAACGGTGCCGCCGCTTCCTGAGCGGGTTCAAGCCCTTGCGCAGCGCTACCTGAATTGTCAGTAGCGCTGGTAGACGCAAACACTCGGTCGTCGTCGGCGTTGTCGACGATCATCAGCCACCGCCCGTTCCTCTCGTCGCAGAGCCAGTTGTGCACCAAGCAGAGGATGTCCGTCTTTGGATCGTCGCGACCTGGGAGCTCGACCTGGTTTGCAATCTGTCGGTAGGCTTGCTCGAACCTGGCCGCGTTACTCGCGTGCACCCAGAACACCCACATGTGCGGCGCAGCCTCTCTGGCTCTGTACGCGTACTCGATAGCAATCTGTGATTTCCTAGGAACAGCATAAGCACAGGTCCGTTACCGCTTGTGGTCGGCAAAACGTACCCTACGCCTCCCAGGCCAACAAGCGCTACCCGGCCGTGACCTCGCAAAGCCGAGCCTCTGAGAATTTCCTCGATCTTTGCGAGGACGTCCTTTCGGCCCACAAATGCATCGTCTCTTGAAAACGGTACCATATTGCACGGTTTAGGCCTGTTCTGCGATCGCGCTTGAAGCCGGCGTCGTTAGCTATGTAGATACAAGCACAACAGTAGCTAAACAGACACAGCTCCTTGCTTGGCAGAGGATATATTGAAAGTACCACAGCTACGTACCAAAGCGATCTGCCACCACACCCGGAGCATCTTGCGCAAACTGCCTAAGCTTATCCCGCGCGCTGCTGTATCCTTGAGCGTTCTTGGTGTCGAACTTGACCATCATCGAGTGGTCGGCGTCCAGAGGGATCTTGTCTTCCATATTGCCTGGAAGCTCGAGAAGCGCCGAGTCGCTGTCTACCGCCGTGACAAAGTCGCCAGTCCGCGTGCGTCGCTCACCTTCGCCGCCCTGTCATCAACACGTCAGTGACCCTCTTGCGCCTTGCTTGCCTCACAACACCATACAAATTGTAGCTGCTGCGTCTGCCTTCTCTCGTAGAAGCTGACGATCTTGCGGTCTCGGACGAGGTTCTTGAAGTCATCTAGCTGCGATGCTAGCAGGTCGGACTTTTCCTTGATCTGCTCCAGCAGTGCACTCCTCGGGCGACGATCCTCCCCAGCCAACATTTTCTGCATATTATCTACGACGAGCCCTTTGTGTGGGATCCCAAACAGAAGCATGCCGTAGGTAGCCCTGTAAAGGGACGCTATTGTCGGGTGGTCGTCTTCTATCGTCTGGACCGCCTTGACAAGGCACTGCGCATCTGCTTAGCCGTGTGCACGCAGCTTCCTGAGCGTGCGACCTACATGGGCGAGTATAATACCGCCAAAGCTGTGTGCGATGAAGAAGAGCGGCCGCTGTCGCAGCTAGCGCGTTGTATCTGTCAGCCTTGCGCTTGCGCACCCGCACACCCACAACAACAGCCCGCAACTCTACTCACCTCTTCTGTGCTCCGGATCTTCTTGAGCTCCTCCAGCAGGCCCCGTCCGTAGTCCATGATCGTGTCCACCCCGTGGCTCGACAGCTTCGAGTTGTAGCCGTAGATCATCGTGCGGCAGCACGGCAGGTCTTTGGACAGGAAGTCGCGCAGCCACATACGCCCGAGGCTACCTTTGCCGCGCCACGAGCCGTACGCGTGGCCGTCGAGACCAGTGATGGCGATGATACTGTGCTCGAGCGGGTCAGTCGTTAGGGCAGCAATCGGGCAACGACGTGTAGCAACGCCACTCATGACTGCTCCGCAAAGAAAACACCACGTACTCGGCAACTACCAGCGAGCCTGGCTGCGGCGTGTACAGCTGGGTGAATCCGAAGAAGTGCTGGTCGAAGTTGATGTCCGTGTCGCCCATCTCCATCTGCGACTCCTCCAGCGGATCGGCTATCAGCTCTGACAGGAACGCAGGCACCCCGCCACGGCACTCCACCAGCGCCACCTTTTCCTCATCGTTGTAGCAGGAGGGCACGACAGCCACTCTGACATCTACCCTTGATTGCTCGTCGTTGGTGAGGCTGTCGTCAATAGCTGCCTTGAGCGATGCCATCAGCTCCTCGTCAGGCTGCGAGGCTGCGAGGCCCGTGACGCGGAGAACGGGACCCTTCTTCGTGGCGGGCATGTTGGTTCAGAGGAGGGGGCATAGTTGAGCGCAGTGTCTGGCAGCATCTGCAGCCTGAGCAGGCCGGTGGAGGGTTGGTGGGCGGAGTGTTGGTGGGGGGAGGGTTATTACCATCGTGAGCAGGTGGTGAGCGGCCATCGCTGGGCTGCGCTGCGTGGGCTGTGCCGCTGACGCAGGCAAGATGGTGCAGGCAAGGCGCGTGCAGGCAAGGTGCGTGTAGGACGTGTATGGCAAGGCTGGCTGAGCGCGTGCCAATCAACGTTATCGATAGAGGGCGACCCTGTGTGGTGTGGGGTGTCGTAGCGCGTCTTGACTTAGCTGACCAGCGCAGCCTGTCGGCGAGCGTGGGGCCCTCCGTTCCATTAGCAACCGCGCAACCGCGCAACCATAGCGCCCGTAGCGGCGGCCCCGTTCCTCGAAGCGAAACGCGGCCGGCGAATGGACAGGGGGTAGTCGCTGAAGAGCCAATTGACGACGCTGACAAAATAATCAACCGAACGGCCATCAGCACAGCGCTCCTGTCGGAGACTACTTGACTTGATGGGCGACAGCTAGAGAGCCGTTCTCTGTCAAGTACGGCTTGACAAGCTTGCAAGGGAGCCACTCCGGAGGTCCGAACCGTGAACCTGTCTCGCGACACAGTGTGTCTCTTCATCCAGGACGCACCTTAGTCAGTCAATGTCTCACAGCAGTTGTGAGAAGCCAACAGTCGTTTGATACAGATATGTACAATGCTCGGAAATCAGGAACAATGAGGGACAACAAGTGTTGTGAAGTGTAGTATTTGTTTGCATGAATCGTAAGCTGCGCTTTCGTGCTCCCAATGTGGCTCAGAAGTCAAGGTCGGTCCAAGAAGTTCTGCAAACCCGTGCGCTCCATAGAACTGTACTGTGCGGGTGCCGTAGTTAGGCCAGCGCACACCCACAAGCTCACGCTGGGATAGCGCCTATCGCAAAAAAAAACCCCCCCAGGCAAAAGTGAAGAAAAAACAACTTGTGTATATCCCTACCACGAGCACGCGTATACGACTCGCAATTGGAATAGGGCAGTTCAGAGGAGGGAAGAGCTGAGACAGACTTGTTAGCCTTACCCTTACCACATGTGTTCTTGCAGACAACCTACCCAGTTCAGAAGCGAGTTCCACTTAAGCTATTGCTCTGCTTGAACTGAAGATGTTCTTGCGTCTAGAAGTTGGCCAGAGAAGCCTTCAGGTCCATTTCACCAGTCTCACGGGTCCTCTGCTTGACCTCCCAGCTGAGCTTGTGCATATATGTTGTTTTGGCAAGGTGGCTGTCAAACTCACTGTCGCTCATGCCCTGAAGTTGCTGTCTTGTTGTGCGTGTCTGCATGTCCATCTCGTCCTCCATGATACTGATGAGCTTTGTGTTCAGATAGCGACGGTGATCCTGGAAGGATGAGACGGGCTTCTTAGGGATGAAGCTTTCTAGTAATGTTTTCTGCACGTTGAGTCCCTACGCTGCGTCAGTTCACGTAGAGCTTCACAGCTATAATGCTTACCTCGACCATCTTGATAGGTTCAGCGTCACCCTCAGCTGGATAATGTACCGGACCAATGTCGTCTTGGCGGGTGAATGTCTCTTGGCCTGTGACATTCGTAGACTTTGAAACTGCAGTAGCTTTCGTAGACTCTGTCTTGGCTGCCAGTCTCTGCTTGCGAAGGTGAGGGGGTGTAGATGCCGGTGGCAGTGTAGCAGGTTGGTTAAGCGCCGGAAGAGGTTGACTTAGAGGAGCAAGCTTGGGCGGCGGCTCGCCGAGAAGGTGCGCCAGTGAGCGAGCCCAGGCTGGAGCCGGAGTCTTTGTCGGGGACTCAGACTGCTGTGAGGTGATGCTAGCGGCAGGCGTATGAGGGCGTTGGAAGAGAGGCTGAACTGGAAGTGTCTCCGTAGACCCTTCGGAGCCATTAGTGAACCAACGCGCTGTAGTGGTGACTTGATCAAACAATGGCGCCATAGTTGGAGCAGCAACGGCTTCCTTGGCTGGTTTAAGAGTCTCAGGCGTGGTGAAGATGGGATGCTGAACCGCAGGAGGAGCAAATACACGAGACAAACCAGTTGCACGCGGTGCCGGTGCAGGCCAACTACCGACACCAGTAGGAGTGTTAATCCTTGATATGAAAGCAGCGGGTGAGCTGAAGCAAGTGCTTGTGTTGAGGTCATCAGTAGCGAACCCGTGACGCTTGTTACGCTTCAAGGCCATCTTTTGCCTCTCAGTGAGAGGATCCTTGTTGAAACGAGGATCAGGGAGGCCGCCCGCAATAGGAACTGAGTCCGGATCGGGTTGCCAGCTCTCAGACTCTGGTGTTGGCTTTGGAAAAGCGTCCCAGGACAGCTCTATCGCTTTCGCTACTCGATATAATCAGCTTGCATTCGCGCATTGCGTCCGGAGAAAGTGGGATACGTACCTGCACCTCTTACATACGGCATGTTGCTGGAATTCGCGAGCCTGTGTGTTTGTGATGTTGTGAGGATATGGGGTAGGGGAACGAAGCGATTGTTGATACTCTGAGAAGTCCAGGTGAAGGCACCTTCTTCTGGGGCGTTGCTGGGTGACCGTCGCTGGCAAGAGCGGCCCAAAAACGACGCGTGCCGAGTACACTACAAAGAACACTACGTACGCAGCAGAAGAGACGCAGGAGCGATGAAGGTGAGAGCACACTGAACGGAATGAAAATAGTGCAAATGATGCTCTGACATCGTCTCACACTTGTGACTAGCTTATTTCTTGCATTGCAACAACGGCTAACTCTTATACTAGAACGATGCATGCGATGTCTAGCTTTAGATGATACGAGTACACAGTTGGGTAGGGAGAGCCGACATGTGTACGAGAGGAATTGTGAGCTAGCATTAATTGACGGTTGACGCCACTTTGTGGGGTTCGATCGATCGTGAATACAGCTGATTCAGGCAACGTATTCCGCGATACACATCCTGGGCATGAACAATGTCCACTCTATACGACGACACAATTCGAGAATCATTGCGAGGAAGATAAAGTGACGATGCCTGTTGGAGGTCCTGGTCAGCCCCTTTGGCGCGCACTAGCTCGCCAGTAGCGTTCCGCGACACCAAGCCTGGAGTCTTTCACATTGCAAAGTCACCAACTTGACAATCAATGATTCCTGGTCGTAGTGCGCAATGTGTGTCTTGCCTGCCTACCCTGATTCACCATATTAATCAATGTTCATCGCTGACTGACTGACCAGAGGCGGACGGTCAATGCGCTAGGCGGCTCTAGTTGATTACCCTCACGTGGCAGCGTGTCATTCTGATTGTCGATCTTCCAAACCACCTCACTCCATTCGGCATCTCGCTTACAATCTCGCGTTGTATCACCTCGCCAAAGACTACAACAGCTCAATCGCAATCCGGTTCATGCATTATCTGCAGGCAGCAAGCATTGTCGACGTGCATTGAGGCTGAGGGCTTCAGCCAGTCTGCAGGACATTGGGGTGATCTCCAGCGTCTCAGCCACTTCGACCAGACTTGAAAGAGTCGTAACCGTTCTTTCACTTCACTTTCCTGTCAAAGACATTTCGAGGAGTCTTTCCCTTGTTCGTCTCATTGTCCAATTGGGCAAGCGCAGTCTCCGCCTTTACTTGCTGCATTCTTACAACCCTGCATCTTCCGCCGAATGCCGCAACTGTTTATTCCGGACGCCTGCTCTGAATCTTCACACTTCCACTTCCAACAGTTATCGAAAGAGCTTGGGATTACTCAGGAGTCATGACGAAGAAACTCACATATTCTAGAAAGGACAAGGCGCGGCCACGCAATAATGAAGATCCGACACCAGATGACGAAGACGGCAGTCGTAAGCGACGGAGAACCGATAGCCCCAGCGAAACCAGCAGTTTTGTATCCGTGCCTACAATATCGTCAACGGCCTCAAGTATCCGTGCAAAAGGCTCTGCTATATACAAGAAGACATCGCAGCTTTTCGGTGGGCCCGTCTCTATCCCGCAGGATGACGCAGATGTCGAAGTTACGCCAAAGTCGCGGAAGTCTCTGTCAGGCTTGTTCGACAAAGCATTGCAAGGTCGCACCACGCAAACCCAAAAGTTCAAGCAACCAAACATCCATGGTAGTCGCGAGGAGTTTGTGCGAACGGTTGAAGTCAGGAAGAAGGAGCCTCACAGCACACAACCGAGTGGCAGCTATCTTCCAACACCACCATCAGAAGGGCAAAGGCTTCGTAGCAATGGCACAGGCAGCAGTAACTCGAGCGGACTTGGCGCAAGGCCTAAGCCAGCAATGGTATCTGCCACCTACGACGGCTCATCAGAGGCAACAGATCTGTGCCGAAAGCGCAGCAAAAGCAAGCCACAAAAGCAGCCTTACGTGCCTAATACCTACGCAGCCGAGAGGACATTACATCCAGGTGCAGATCTGTTTGGCGACCAATTACCGAAGCGATCACGAGAAGTTCAACTGTAAGTTCGTTCCCTTGTATTGTGTGTATCAGCTAACCCATTTCAGATGGTCCATGAATCAGTCCAAGTCACCCTTCTTACAACTTCCAGAAGATGTGCGTGCACGAATATATGGATGCGTCCTAGGGGGCAAAACCATCACTATCGGCTACGAGACCTACCGCACTGTAGACGGCGCTCCTGAACCTGACAGGGTCGTACCAACCTTCAGGTACTGCTGCGCCGTCTACAGCCAGCCTAACGTCAACCCCTTCAAGAAGCAACTGCCCTACATCAATGTTACGTACGGCTATACTCCGCTCAACAACATCTGCCGGCAACTCTACTACGAAACGGCAACGTTACCGTTCACACTCAACACTCTCGCATTCTCAACGCACAATACCATGTTCAACTTTCTCTTTCTGGAGCAACGCCTCTCACGCGAACAGCGCGACGCAATCACATCGATCACGCTACAAGACGCACTGCCAATGCCGAATCTGCTCATCTATATGCGTAATTTGCAGAAGGTTGTGCTTGTCGATGATCTGCCAGGGAACTCGAAGGGCACATACAAGGTCACTCGCGTCAAGGGCAAGGCGCCGAAGCTGCTGAATACAAGGCACGTCTGGGGAGGTTAGTGTTCGAAGACTTTATTATCTTTGCATGCATCTAGATTGGCGTTCTGGGACGTTGCCTCGGCATTAAGATTACCAAACATCACGAAATTATGGTGGATATAGCGCTGTTTGCATGAATGGGAGGGAGCGCATTTCTTTCCTGGTTCTTTGAAGATCGTTATATCAGCAGCAACGCTACGGTAACTCCTGGAGGTATTGAAGCGGCCCAGGTGGACATCATATGTTCGAGATCGCATTGGCGATTGCAGCGTTACTATATTCACTCCTAGAGGCAAGCAAGTTGCCGAGACACCTCACGGCATTCATCTATATATGCGCAATCACAGCTTCTTCTTCTTCGCTGTTACTGCTCTTTCTCCTCTCAACCTTGTGTCGTGAATGATGACGCCCAGGATTCCAACGTTCACTACGAAGAAAGCAATGCTTGACAGCCACAGACCCGGCACAAACGTCGAGTGCCCATTGAACTCCAGCTGGAACCCTTGCTGCAGCCACGTCGCTTGACCTACTATCCAGGCTGCAAGCGCTGCAAGACCGGCTGTACGGGACCGAAGAAGGATCGAGCCGGGCAGATAGTATGGCAAGAACATCATATACCACAGGAAATACTATTCAATGATCAGTAAAACTCAAACTACATGCAATTGGACACTTCGCTCACCTGACTTGTGCAGACCTTGTTGAACGTCACAAAAGCAAACGTTTGCGCTAACATCGTTGATGGGAGGTCTTTCTTAGCTAGTGCCAGAGGAATCATGACAGCGCTGAGAAGGAGCTGAGGCACGAACGCGAGACGCTCGAGTTCGAAAGTTGATTGACTGCCTCCTGGCGATGAATTCAGGTAGAGCAGAGTGTTGTACGGCGAGAAGTTATGGCGATGATCGATCCGGGAAAGATGGTAGAAATAGCTGTGCTCGAGAAATGGCCAGCCGTATATCTGGTACATGCCAGCGTTCAGGATCGCGAATGTGACGATGCTAGCTACAGCGAGCTTGATGCGCTGTAGGTTGATGAACGCTAGTAGCTGATCAAGTGTCGATCCTTGCACCCTGCTCTTGACGTCGCTCTCCGCTCTCCCAGTCTTCATCTCATCAAGCCACCAAACAATCGACGCAGCGTAGATGAACGGATAGATTTTGAAATGCACCGCGAAGCCCAGCAGCAACCCTGCCAGCACCATCTTTTTCGCCAACACCGCCCAAAGAAGTGCCGTCACAAACACACCCAGCAGCCCCTCCGAGCTTCCTCTCGTACTGATCGTTGCGACCATAGGATTCAATAGCCAGATGCTCGCAAACTTCAAGGCCCTCTCTTTCTCCAAGCTCTTGTACTCTCTCAAGATCCGGTACATCATCCAGCCTGCAACAACATCTCCAACAGCGAAGAGTATTTTGCCAGAAGAGAACCAGAAGGTACCGAGCCATGTCGTAGGATATATCATCCAGGCAAGCAGGGGCGTGTACCTGTATGTGTCGCGGGCATAGGGGGATTGCCCGTAGGAGATGAACCGGGCTGCATCAGTGAAGACGAAGTAGTCGATATCTGTATACTTCATGGGCGAATTCGCATCTTGCCGTAGTCCATAAAGCAGGAATATTGCGCGAAGGAGTGTAGCTGTGGTGAACACCAATGGCGGGCTGCGGAAGAAGCTTGACAGCGCCATAAGGGGTGAATTGGTGCTGCCACCCATGCGCGAGAATGACTGAATTGCAACTGAAAGAAAACGCTATGCCTGATGAAACGACGGAATGTGGAAATTATTGGAGATGTCAAGTCTCAACTGCTACACTAGCAATCGCAGCCAAGTCACCCAGTCCCAATCTAGTTAGTTCCCACGTGCCAACGCGCCTGCACCGTTTGCCCTTCGTCATTGCTAAAACCTTCAACCGCGTTGACAACGTTTTCTTCTAAACCAATGAGCCAGAATAAACGCAAGAGAGACGACAATATGGCGGACGCAGGCAAGCCCGAGCAGCCGACCGGCCCATTCATTGCCATGTTCGAAGGCTTCCGAAAAGAGTTGGATGAACATCACGACCGCCGCGAGAGAATCATCAAAGCATCTCGAGACATTACCGCGTCGAGCAAGAAGATGTAACCAGCTATAATATCTCCACTCGATTTACATTGAACTGACATGCCGCAGTATCTTCACATTACAAAGGCTTGCCTCACCAAAAGCACTACGTCCGTCACCTGCTAACAAGAGCAATCAGAGTTCGGAACGTAGGCCAGCCAGTTCCACCGTTCGTCAACAAATCAAACGCACAGTACTGGGAAACAATACAAAAGCAATACTCCGGTATAGCCTCAGACCTGCAGTCTCTCAACGCCCACCGCTATGCGCACAACATTACAGGCGGCAACCAGGAATTCATCGAAGCGCTGTCTTTCCACCACTACCTGGAAACACAGTCATTGATTTCGTATGACGAGGCGAAGGCCAGAATCGCAATGATGAGCAAGGACGAGGCAAAGGATGGAGACCTGCAGCAGGAGGGTAGTGTGGTACCGCTGAGTCCCGAAGACTACATCCTAGGAATCTGCGATATGACGGGCGAGTTGATGCGCTTCAGCGTTACCTCCATGGCCACCAATGGCAGGCTCCCCGCTGGCCGAGCCAAGGCTACACCGACTTCTAAGTCACCAGCTGCGACAGAGGATGCAGATAGGATGGACATCGACTCCCAAGCACTGACGTCAGGCGATAGCCAAAAGCCAAGGACTGTACTAGATGATCTGCGCTCGATCAGACTGCAGCTCGAGATGTTTGAGGCGCCGTATGGGCCGAAGTGGGTGAGTGAGTTGGAGACGAAGAAGATGCCGGTGATGCGCGAGTGTGTTGATAAAGTGGAGAAGGCGCTGTATGGACTTACAGTGCGGGGGTCGGAGAGGCCAAAGGGATGGATGCCGGACATGAGCAGCGATCGAAGGGCAGAGGTGGAGAGCTATTAGGCTATGAATATACTGTCGAGACTACTGTGGACGTCTCTGTTCATCTGGTTTATAGGATGCTATGAAGGCCTCCAGGGCGAGTTCTGGCGCAGCAGACCTTCATTTTGGGACGAGCTCGGAGGATGTCACAGTGGAAAGGATGTTCAGAAGCAACTTTTATGATGACGCACGGAGGCATCTATGTCATTCATATACAGAAAGGCTTACAAGTTAACGCTATCATAGCCCATAAGAACATAAAGTCGTTCGATGCAACAATCGTCTGACTACCTCCAGCCCTCTTGTTGGTATCCATCAATTCTAACCTTCCACCCATCTGCTTTCGAGCACCCTTAGATGCGTCGTCCCCTTCTCCGCCCCACAGGCCACTTACGATTGTCAACTTTAACCGAGCTCCTACATACAATCCTGGAGGTATTCAGCCCACTCACGGTAGAGAAATCCATCCTGGAAGCAGTATTGCCGGACCGCGTCGCGCGTGCTTAGTGCGTCTCGTCGCGGATAAGGGCAACGATCATGCTGTACAGGTAGAAGAAAAACATCAGCAGGTGGAAACCGAGCTTGATGAACGATTCCTAGAAAGGTGTTAGCCAGATCGTACCCTGAAGGTATTCAGCATGTTATCGTTGAAGCATACCTTCTTATGAACGTTCAGCTTCCTGAAGATTTCTGTTGCGTCGAGCAAGTGGTTCTTTCCGAAGATCCTGTCTTTTGTCAGCGACTAGTCCTCGTTGTCTTGCCAATACACATACTTCTTTCCGTTCCACGCCAGAAGGGGCAGGTTGAGAATAAGCGCAACCCAGTATCCATTGATAAGGAACAGGAAGGTCAGGAAAGCGTGAACGGCGGCCTCGGGGATGATGTAGGTGTTCAGGCGGTTGCAGAGGTCGATGGGGTTGATGTAGTCACTGGCGCAAAATTAGCATGTGCTTGCAGCTAGGAGCGCTTCACGTATAGATCAAGCTATCCAGAGCGCTCGCCTCTCGAGATGTTGCACTCACCATTCCAGATCGCTGTACATAATGGTGAAGAAGACCTGTAGGAACAGGTTGACGGCGTTTATCAACACCGCCAGAAGGTACAACCATGCTTCACCAGTCATTGTGAGGGCTTCGTGTGCAGCGTAGCGCGAGGAGTGGTAGGGTGAAGTTCGACGGGAGCTGGTAGCGCAGCCTGTGTGTTCCGCAACGTGGCGAGGGCGGGTGAAGTGTGTGGTTGTGGAGCGGTTGCGGTCGTGTGTTTGCAGGCTATCTGGACTGGGCGGAAGCTAGCTCGTGCGCAGCGGGGCGGAAAGCTGGAGGTCTTGATGACGTAGCACGCAACGACTGCAATTAGAGAACTCGGATGTAACGAGGTACAGAGAGGGTCTTGTGGGGATAGTCAAGCTGTCAGCAAGCAGGCAGTGATATGCTCTGGATGACGTTTGCAGAGACAGGTGCTTCTCGCCGTGCCCTGGTTGAGGTCAAGGCGTGCTCGCTTACTGCTGTGCGTCTTTAGCGGCGAAGCCAACCCCAAACAAGGCGCAAGTTCATGTGAAAGTCACGATGCACCTGGGCATGTCGAGGTGACCACATCTGCGGTGTCAACAGTGTGACTACCTCCAGGCTGTCCTTTCAGCCTGACTCTTGCAACGCAACGCTGAGGATACAGTTCTTGGAAGATAGTCTGTCAGGAGAGCTCATGTGTATTGTCCTAAACAGGTCTGCATGATACCGCAAGACCACCTCCAGCCTTCGATGTATCCAGCTCTCTTCTCTTGCTCGAAGCAGAGTCATCAAACTCGTGGGCTAAGGCACTCCTACCCTCCTACCCTCCTGTCACTGGTTGACCCTCACTAACCCCGGCTTGTCCGCCTTGCCGCCCTCCAATCCTTCCAGTAGCTATCCACGAAGCCACGGTGTCCTTACACCGGCATCTGCCAAATGACGCTTGAAATCGCTGGATATAACTTATTCTGTCATGCAGGTGGCTCCTAACATGATCATGCCGCTGCAGTCGCCTCACCGTTCGCTGGAGTCACCCTTGGGACTGGGCCACCAGGCGAGTTGGGGAACCTCGCAGTCAGGACCTCGACACCATCCTCAGTGACAAGCAGAGTGTGTTCTGCTCACTTGTTAGCAGGCATCTTTGACAAATGTGAATACCGCCTTACCGAACTGAGCAGTCAAAGAACCGTCCTGAGTGGTGCTAGTCCAGTCGTCCGGCCATGTCTTGTCCCTGTAAGATCCAATACTAATCATGGGCTCGATAGTGAAGCACATGCCAGGCTTCGCTTGTCCGATAGCCTTGTTCTTTGCGTAGTGGGGAACGTTGGGGGCGCAGTGGAAGAGCTGGTTAATACCGTGGCCACAATATGTCCTAATAACACCGCAGTTCTGGCTCTTGGCGTGCTTCTCGATGACATTGCCGTACTCGCGGAAGAGTGTGCCTGGCTTGACAAGCTCGATGGCCTGGTCCAAGCACTCACGTGCAGTCTCCGTAACGCGTACTGCATCTGGGTTCGCCAACGCCTTGTCGCCAATGTAGTATGTCTCGTTCAGATCGCCGTGGAAGCCGCCGTGGTATAGAGTTACGTCGATGTTAAGGATGTCGCCATCCTTGAGGACTCGCTGGTCGGGGATACCGTGGCAGATGACCTCGTTGACTGATGTGCATACTGACTTCGGGAAGTGGCAGTAGTTGAGCGGTGAAGGGTACGACTGCTCGATGTTAGCTGATGTCGCTGCACCTTGGGAAAGTATCCCTTACGTCGCGCTCCATGCAAGCATTGTGGACAATCTCGTCAATGTAGTCGGTCGTTACACCAGGCTTCGCCGCCGCTGCCGCAATGTCCAGAACCTCACGCGCCAGTCGGCACACCTTGCGCATACCATCTTGCTCCTCCTTTGTAAGAATGGCGATCTTGTTCCTGTTCACAAAGACCTGTTCCGAACGGGGTATGCCGTCCTTCGAGTAATCTGGGAGCTTAATGCCCTTCTTCACTTCGCGCTTCGGTGACAGTGGGTACACGGGTCGCAGAGTGCCGGTGTAAGGGAACGTTGGGAATGGGTTGAAGTGCCCGGTCGCTGGATCCGGTTTAGAAACTACTTTGGGCGTGAAGATGTTGGAGAGAATACCGTTCTGCGACTTGTGCAGTTTCTTATGCTCGGCCTGTGAACATGTCAGATCCTCGGCTTCTAAAACATGTATTGTGTGACTACATACCCAGTTGCGCTTGAAGCAGTCTTGCGAACAGAAGTAGCTTTCCTTGCCCAGCTTCTGGCAGTTCGGGCATTGCAGCGAGCCAGCGTCGTTCTCGCAGTCTGTGCCGGCGCACTTGCGCGGGGCGTCTCCGGCCATTTTGTGCAAGGTTGTTAATTGCAAAGGGTTTATAATGGAGGTGTAGGTATTATGGCGGCAGTCCAAGGTCGGAAGAAATATAAAGCGATCTCAAAGAACGTAGACAACGAATGCGCAAAAAACACTTTTGATTCCGTATACCGACCACGGCATTCGGCCAGGCCAGGGTCCAACCCTGAAGACCGCCAATCGTTCGATGCTGACTAACTAGTCCATGTAAAATGCTCTTACCTGTTGCGGCATGTCTTGTATCATCTTCTTGATGTCGCCGCCAAAATTTCCTGTTCATTTCCTTGACCTTCACTGTATATAATTGCGCCATTGCAGCTCTCATTAGCGTATACACGACTCATCTGCATGTGAAATCTAGATCTCTTACCATTTCCATTACGCCGATTACCCTTATTCGGTACCCGCCCATCCGGAGTCAAGACTCACACGACCACCTCAATTTCTTTCACAACAATATTCACAACAACCATGAAGACTGTTGTTGTTGGCGCTGGCCCAGTCGGCACTCTCGCCGCCCTTTACGCCGCTGTACGAGGACACGATGTAGAAATTTATGAATTGAGACCGGGTGAGTTTCAAAAAATCTACTTCTAGCATGTGCTAATTCGACATTATTGCAAAGATATCCGAGATCCATCGACTGCACCGTTGAACACCAAGTCAATTAACTTGGCTCTCTCTGAGCGTGGCATCAACTCCCTGCGGCAAACCGGCCTGTCAGATCTTGCAGACGCAGTACTCGCGAACACCGTGCCTATGCATGGTCGTATGATCCACGTCAGAAAAGGCGGAGAGTACGTGCGTGAAGCACAGAAATATGATGCACACGGCCGCGTAAGTTTTCCGCTGGAGTTGATCACATCCCTAGCTGAATATGAGCAGGATCTATTGGCTATGGATCGAACGCAGCTGAATAGAGCTCTGATCGACCATCTGGACGCAATGCCCAATGTCAAGTTCTTCTTCAAGCACAAGATGATTGGTGTCGATTTCAAGAAGAAATCAGCGTGGTTTGAAAACCGTACAGACAAGAAGGATCTGTTGACACAAGGCCCTGAATTCAAGCTGACTTTCGATCTACTGATCGGCGCCGATGGGGCCCATTCGGCTGTGCGAAACCACTTGATGAAGGTTGTCCCCATGACTTATCAGCAAGAGTACATCGACAAGCTCTGGTGCCAGTTTGGCGTCCCCACATCTTCTAATGGAGACTTCCGGATACCACCGAACTACCTGCACATCTGGCCAGCAGACGAGTCTATGTTTATTGCGATTCCGAACACAGATAAGACCTTCACGTCAACGCTTTTCATGTCAAAGGAGGGCTTTGAAGAGCTGGAAGCGTCAGGGAAAGTGGTGGAGTACTTCAGCAAGCATTTCCCTGCGGTGGTACCCGACCTGATCACTGAAGACGATCTGAAGAAGCAATTCACCAACAACGAACATCTGCCACTAATCTCCATCAAGTGTACACCATACCATTATGGTTCCGCTGGAGTCATTGTTGGAGACGCTGCACACGCCATGGTACCTTTCTACGGTCAGGGCATGAATGCCGGACTAGAAGATGTCCGTGTGCTCTTTGAGTTCCTCGACAAGCACCCCAGCGACCGCACGAAAGCATTAGACGAATACACGAAACAGCGCACACCAGATGCGCAGACCATTAACGACCTTGCGCTCGGCAATTACTTCGAGATGGCATCAGACGTCAAGAAACCGCTGTACCTGCTACGTAAGTGGGTCGAAGAGACACTGTATGTTCACTTCCCAAGCTTGGGCTGGGCGACCCAGTACTCCCGGGTCACATTCAGCAACATGAGATACTCAGAGGTCTATCAAGCATCACAGAGGCAAACAAGGATACTGAACAGTGTTGTCGGACTTGGACTCGCCACAGTAGTAGGATCCACTCTTTTGTTTGCCGGGAACGGTGGGCTACAGAAGGCAAAGATGGGCATATTACGAGGAATCTGCCTGGCCGCCCAGGGCGCGCAACGAGTGGTTCAAGGCTGATGGAGCACTCGATTGCACACAACTCAACACACTGTACGATATCCCAAAACCTACGAAAGCCAAAAGCATGCATACAAATCCTACATCGAAAACTCCGGATACATACAAACTAACAAGAACAATTACAAAAAAGTGAACCCCTACTCCGCCGCCTTACCCTTCCACAACCTCGCAAAAGCCCCACCCCTCTTCCTCTTCAACTCCGCGTACCCGCCTTCCTCGACTACCCTCCCCTTGTCCAACATGACAACGTGATCTGCGATACTCATCATCTCCTTCGCATGCGTAATAATGATGACCGTCATCTGCTTCTTCTTCTTCTTCCTCTTCTCCTCACTCTTACTCCCCTTTCCCCTCGCCCTCAGCCAAACCGGGCTCCCAACAGCCCCATTACTCACCTCCCAATCCTCATCCGCCCAGAGTCCACCGCCCCTACTCCTCGGACTCATTGGCAGGCCAGTTGTGTCGTCGTGCTTAGTCGCGGAGGACACGAGGCGTTGCACAGTTTCGCGGATGGTACTCGCTGCCACGGCATCAAGCGCACTCGTCGCCTCGTCCAAGATGAGGATATCCGGGTTCCTGACCAGCGCGCGCGCGATGGCGATTCTCTGCGCCTGGCCGCCAGACAACACCGTGCCGCCGTTGCCGATCAATGTCTGGTACCCGTTGGGCAGGCTGTCGATGAACTCGCTCACACCGGCTGCGGCGGCCGCGGCGCGGATACTCTCCATGTCTGACTCTGGGCTGGACGGGGCAAGTGCGTATGCGATGTTTTGCGCGATGGTGCCGGGGAAGAGAACGGGTGTTTGGCTGACGATGGCCATGTGAGAACGTAGGGAGCCAGTGTGTAGTGTCTCGATGCTTTGCCCGGAGATGGAGAGGTCTTTAGCCGAGGAGGCGAGGAAAGTATGAAGACTTGCGTTTGTGGGGTAGAGTTTCAGTAGAAGGGCAGCGACAGTGGACTTTCCGGAGCCGGAGGAGCCAACGATAGCGGTGCAGGAGCCGCGCGGGATGGAGAATGAAATGTTGTGTAAGACTTGGTGGCCTCGGCGGGTCGGGTAGGTGAAAGATACATTGTTGAAGGAAATGTCGCCAGCGGATTCGATCTTGAGGGTCCCGTGATCTTCGTGGGAGATTTCGGGGAGGCAAGCAAGACGGAGAAGGCGTGCCCCGGCTTCTCGAGAGATATTGACTTGGGTCAAGTATTGTGACATCCCGCTGATATCGTTGATAGACAGCATAAGGATCATGAATGTCTCCGTGACCTTGAGAATGGAGTGTTCCTTGCGGGAGATAAGCCATGCGCCAAACCAGAAGAGAGCGATCGTCACAAAGAGGACGGAGGAATTGAGAAGGCCGAAAATGGATCCGGAGTAGATAGCGCGCTTCGTACCAATGTTGACAGCGTTTGTCGTTGCTTCCTCGTACTTCTTATGAAAGTGGTCTTCCAAGGTTAGGCAGCGTACTGTACGAATATTGACGATTGTCTCGTGAAGGACTTGGCCAACATTGTCGGCAGCCTTGTTCGCAAGGGTTTCCCAGTGACTGCTGATCATATTGTATGCCTTTATAACAGCAAGGACGACAGGCACTGCTGCAAGGGCGACCAGCGTCACTTTCCAGGAAATAGCCAAGCTCCAGGTGACGGATATCACCATCACAAGGAACATGGCAAGGAAGATACCCATAAAGCGTCCAGGCAGGTTGCGGGCTTCCTCAGCAAAGTAATCCAGAGACTCAGCCAAGCATGGCATGCTGTTCCCTTCCTTGTCGAAGAACTCGCGAGGCTGCGCAAGTATACGCCTCATGGCCTCAACTTTCAGTGCTTGGGTCCATGATTGTGCGACGCTATCGAAGAGATAAAACATGAGGTAATTCGCAAGGCTATCTGTCACAGCAATGCCTAGTATGATCAGCACATACCTGATAGATTCAGCTTTCGTGTCTTTGACGGCGTAGAAAGTGGCAAGCAACTGTGAGAACACCCAGGCGAATACTGGAGTTGCGAGGGAATGTACCAGCGTTGCCAAAACGGCGGCGAAGAGAGCGAGTCGCGAGCGCCAACCAAGGATGGGCCATACAGTCCTCAGAATGTGCGTGATAGACAGAGAGTCTGTAGGAAGCTTTGGCTCATCGGTAATTGTCTCACGACTGAACCTGGACCGAAGTTTCCTTCGCCTTGAATGCTTTACGGGCTGAGGAAGGTGCGACATGTGGACCGTAGCGATAGACACCGGCTTCGGGTAAGCAGAGTGAATTGACATCGGCCGTGACGATGCTCTGGAAGCTGGTCTTGAGCCGTAGTCCTTCTCTTTGAACGAGTGCATCTCGGTCATGCGATCGTTGAGGAGGGTCCTGGATGTGCGTGCAGTGTTGAACTGATTGGTCATAAAGACATCCGATACGGGTGACAATGTCTCGGGTGGTGGCTCGAGCGAAACTCGATCAGCGTTGAAGAAGTCCTCTTCATCAAGGTTACTGCTTTCTTCATCAGCCACTCTCGTCAGCCTGTTGTCTATTCTGATGGCGACAGTGTCAACCCGGCCCAGTGCGCTTTCACTATGGAAGGACGATAGTACAGACTGTCCGAACAAGGCTGCAGAGAGTGGCCGTCTTGCTAGTGTAGGCCTGATCCACGAATCGCGATAGAGAGACCTAATTTCATTCATTTGAGCGTCATCGAACTCATCGTCTGATAAGTATTCGCTTTGAATGTCTTCCTTTTTTCCTTCGTTCGATGCAAGGAAAGAGTGGAAGATCCCAGGTTGTACCTCTAGATCCTTACGATAGCCTTCTTGGAGCACCTGCGCTTTTCCGAGAAGATAGAGGAAATCATGCGCCTGGATCTGAGACAAGTCGTGCGTGATGACTATCGTCGTCTTTCCCTGACGCCATTCGCGTATGGCATGGAGGATCATGGCTCGCGTGACATAGTCGAGAGCACTGGTGGACTCATCCAATATCAACACAGGTGTGTCGCGTATCCGAACACGCGCCAAAGCCATCCTTTGCTTCTGTCCTCCACTCAGAGAGCTTCCGTTCGCGCCAAGATTGGTCTCGAAGCCTGCTGGATGACCCTTCACGATCGGATCCAGCATAGCAAAGCTGACCGCGTTCTTGACGTCATCCATCGTTACAGTCCGACTTTGATCACCTAGAGTGATGTTGTTATGGATGGTGTCGTCGAACAAGACACTGTGCTGCTCCACCAACGTGACATTTTGTCGCAGCCAGTGAACGTCTAGCTCGTTAAGCGGCACATGATCCAGCAATATCTGACCCGAAGACGGCTGGTAGAACCGAACAAGCAGCTGGCCTAGGGTGCTTTTGCCCGAACCGCTTTTGCCAATGACGTATGTTGTTTCTCCTGCTGGGAAGAGCAGAGTTACTTCTCGAAGAGCGATCTCGTCAGTTCGTGTGGGATAGGAGAAAGTGACCTGATCTGTTAGCATAACATGAGAACTATTCGAGGTCGACTGACGTTTCTGAATTCGACATCACCTGGACAGCTCAAAGGTTTGAACTCTCCTTGAGATTCGTGTGGCCCATCCTCCTTAGACATTTGCTCCATCAAAGCTCGAAGTCTAGCTCCAGAGACCTTGCCTTTCTGCATGACGATAAATTGTGGGAGGAATCCTGTGATAGCTCCTATGGCCAACAATGCTGCCCAGAATGTAGTGATCACACTATTGATGTCGAGGGCCCCAGTTCTGGTCAGGTGCGAACCGTAGGCGAAGCCTTGGACAAAGACCGTGAAGGTGAAGAAATGTATCAGCCCTATTTGCATAGATCGCAAATTCGCCACGCGCTTGTACAGGGTGGCAGCCAGAGAGGTAGCCTTTGTGAAGACTTGCAGCTCGTGGCTCTCGCCATTGAAGCACTTGACCGTCTCGATACTTTGTATGGCGTTGGTGATATATTTCAGCGCCTGTTGAAGCTGGTCCGCCTGATCGTGCGCTCTTGCAGATAGTTTCTTCGATAGGAATGCTTCTGCGAGGTAGACCAAAGGAACTGTACAATTGATGACGAGGGTCAGCTTCCAGGAGTAGTAAAATGCTACCCCCAGAGCTGCAACCGCGGCGATAGTGCACTGAAGCGCTTCACCCAGCGGTGCAGATACTGACAGCTGCAGATCGCGAATGTTCCTGGGGATGCTTAGCCATACAAGCACAAGCAAAGATCATGGCTGCTCACATCTGAATGGTAGGTAGGAATGCGGCGATGCCGCTTTCCCGCAAATCGAACCATGCCATGTCCTTTCGAACAAGCACGTCGAAGATCCTGGTTCGCGCACTCTTCGCTTGCAATTCCCCGAACAGCAGGAAAAAACAGAAAAACACGCTGTTGAGAACCCAACTTGCTGCAGCGACACCAGTCATGATCAAACAGAGCCTTGTGACTTCACTCAGTAGCTCATCGCCGTCGAGATTTCCAGCACCGTAGTCCGAGTATGCGCTAAAGATGCGGCCGTATATCATGGAGAAAACGGGTAGGGTGGCAGCAGCAGCTGCTGCGCTTGCGAGCGCGCTGATTAGCACCGTAATGTGACTGGTTGTGGTGAAGCCGAAGAGCGCCCTCCATCCCACCTGCGAAGCAAACTTTTGTTCTTCATCGGCTTGCGTAGTTGCCTTCTTCTCTCTTTCGGGGTGTTCGGATTCTGAGGTTGTTGCCATGTTGACTGAAACGGACTCGAAGTTCGCAAGACGAGAGTAGAGGGTCAGACCTTGGGTCAAACAGTGAGGGCGAAACGGTGCAAACACGATTGTAAGTGAAGACAACGAATTACCACATTTGGCGTAGCGGGTGCTCTCTGCATGTCCAGCCGGCGCATTGCTGATCTCGAAGGACTGGTTGCGTCTGTCACTTTGTTTGGCCTTGCTATTGTTTCTGGCCACACACCACCAACGGATGGTTCGTGCAACAGCAGCCCCAGCATTTTCGCAACGGCACACTGCGAGAACATATTGAAAGACATATCGAAACGGATGATGGACAGAAAGTTATGCGAAGTAACCAGGGTTTGCGTCAATTCGTTAGATGTACACCATCGCAGGTATTGCAACTTGGCGGCAACCCACACTCATGTGTGAGAGCTTTCCAGCACAAACCCAAACACTATCTATTGTTGCTTACAACATCGATCGAGCCGGGCAAAGGCATGGCGATGTGAGCAAGACGGCGAGAACGATTACGGTATACGGTCATCTGTACGTGGCGACGGCTTGAGGCATACGGCAGGACCGGTAAGCTACTACGGACAAGTCCCGGCCCGCAGAATACCAATGCAGGACGCTTTCCACCCTTTGTGTGACTTGCAGTTAGGTCAGGTCATGCCTTGGACTTGTCTATTTGCCCTGGTGAGCCTGCTCGTAGACCCAGTCGTTCAGGCCCTGGCGGTTGCTGCGCCCGTCAGCTGTGCTTGCATCGACCCTAGAAACCAACTTACCGAGCGATCTCGACGGCGTAGAACTGCATGCGCACTGCAAAAATAGTTCCCTCCTGTGTGTAGTCTGTCTTGGGGCTAGCACGCAGCATGGCGCCGAAGTTGTAGTCCTCCACCGTCTTCTCGTATTGGTTGATGAAGTTGCGCCATCGCTCCTTGCCGGCCTTGCTCTTCATTTCGTCCTCATTAATTGTGGCTGACGCATCGAAGTCGGGGAACTCCTTCTGGAAGTGCTCGTAGATCTCGTCATCGAGCTTGGTAAGGCGCAGAGTGGAGCCCTTGACCTTTTCGAGGATGTTCCAATATGTCTCCATGTGCTGGACGACTGCGCGACCTGTCAGCAAGGACACAAGTTGACTGTGTGGATTTGCGCACCCTTCACCGCGAACTGCTTCTCAATGTCCTCGAAGTTGTCGGCATGCTCCGGGTTGATCTGCGCGCCTGCTGGTCCGAGAGACATCTTGGGGGTATGTGGGATGTTGGCGATTTGTATGTGGGGGATGGTGTGTAGTGTGAGAATAGTACGACAGCTCTAGACGTGTTGGCAGTGCCGGTCGCAAAGTGGTGTAAATTTCGTGTCGAGAGTGAGAAGCTTCGTCATACCCCGCGCCACAACGCAAAGCAGGTGCAGTGCGGGGCTGATTAAACACCAAAAAAATCCACGACAAGCTGTGGCTTTCGATCCGATTACATTGCTCGCCAATGTCACCCACACTTCACGTGAGTGCTCGATTGTCCATCTTCCAGAGTGGGGCTAACTCATCCAGCATGAAAGCACTCATGTACCAGTGACGGCATTAGCCTCATGCGGAGCGCTTTTGATCGCCGCGGAAGGACCATTTCTTCGATTCTATCACGCCAAGACTTTTCGATTTATTACGTCCAGACGCGTCTTCAAGGCTCAGGCTGTTCATGGCATATCAGTCTATGCCGAAGAGCTTGACAATGTGACGAAACTCGTCGTTTGGGGCGGACGTCTCGTCCGGGCCCTCCGACTCAATCCCCCCCGATTCAACGCCCCGACTGACGATCGTGGCCAAGAGCCCATGTCTCTGTGCCTGTCAAATGTTGTGAAAGCCCCCGACTGGATACTTGACCTCGCGCCTCGGATGAGTAGCCTGGACGACGAAAATGTGTACAATCTAGGCATTTGTGCTGCTGTTACCGCTCACAATGCACTTCTCGAGCTTACCATACAGTATCACAATGGATCAACACCTGCCTCAAGGTAGGTCACACTTGCTTCCTGTTGCCTTCCTTTACCGAGTCGAAAAATCCAAGCTTTACTGACCACTGTGACAGCTCCTTGAATCTTAACGTCTCTGCGCTCACGGCAAGCTCACGTTCCATTTTGTACTCTGCACATCTTCTCTGGGAGTCATCTAACTGCATACTCGTTGCTGCTGGCACAGCGTTCGGCGAGATCATGTACTGGTCATGGAGCAAGCCGGCCCAAGGTGAAGCAATTTCTCGGATTCATCAAGTCTTCCTTGGTCATGAAGGCTCGATCTTCGACGTTCGCATCTCGAAAGAGCTGCAACGCGGGTGTTGCGGCAACCTAAAGCGAGTCATTGCTTCCTGCAGCGACGACCGTACAATTCGTCTCTGGGACGTTTCTAATGTGGACGTCAATGCCACCAATGGGCAGGTTGTAGACCAAGGTGCCGAGGCGCAGCGGACACGTCACACAGGCTTCAGTGTCGCGGCTACTGAAGCACAATCCGACAGTTCGAACTGTCTTGCGATTGGGTGGGGCCATACCTCGCGAGTCTGGAAAGTGCGGTTCTTAGACTCGTCACCTTGCGATGGAGCATTAGCTCTTCTATCGGCCGGTGAGGATGCTACGTCGCGCGCATGGAAGCTTGTGGCCAGCACAGGAAAAGGAGATACCATACCGTGTACACTACAACAGACCAACTGTGCCGCTTATCACAATGGTAAGAACATATGGTCTATGACCACCTACCGTCAACCTGCTGGTCCAGTACGCGTCGCCTGCGGTGCTGCTGACAGCAAGCTTACCACTCATCCACTGCTTGGTGTGAATCAACGCGCACGAGGTCACGGCACCACGGTCGCCGAGTATACTGTGCACGACCTACTTCATATGGCACAGCCCTCGGCGACAGTCAATGAAGCCTATCAATCTGCGAAAGCTTCGAAGAAAGCTGATTCGATCAGAAGCTACTGCTTCATCCTCAGCACGACATTTCTGCTCGTCACGAATTCCGGCAAGATATTAGTCGAATCATTCAACTCGGATACTGGCTCAGGTCTGCAAAGTAGTCTCACGACATCGACCTTGGTCGATCTGTTGGAAGATCTATCAGGCTACTCAACATGCACCAGCGTGCCTACCTACGGGGTAGCGTTTCTTGCAGGCACCAAGGGTAGTGTCTATATGTATTCGGCACACGACTCGGCTCTGAAAACCATCCTCACGGTCACCGGCAAAGTCGGCTCTCTGTTCGCCACAGACACATTCTGTGCTGGAGGTCGAAAGCAACTCGTGCTTTTGGTCACCCTAGTCGGGCAGAAACAAGCTCAATTGGTTTTCATCGACATAACCATGGGCCTATCACCTTTGAGCTCAAAGATCGTTTCGGTACCTGTGTCGGACATCTTGACAGGTTCGACTATAACAAGCATGTCCGTGATAGAAACAGATTTTGAGAACACATTCCTTTTCCTAGGGTTCCGTCGCGGGTCTATAGGATTGTATACCATCTCGCAAAATGCCACCAGTCCGGAAGCTAGTCTCTTCAGGATCATCGAGAAAGTACATGGAGACGAGACCATCACTGCAATGAAGTTCAAGGCGTCGCCCGAAAGCGCGTCAGTGGGTCATCTATTTTCAGTCGGACGCGACGGGTGTCTCGCTGTGCATCTCATTGACCTATCGAAGAACACCGTCAAGCTCGTCCACGATCTGACCTTGCCGATTGGACTGCACATTGAAGGCTTGTATTTTCAAGACAATCATCTGCTGGTGCATGGGTTCTCGAGCAAGAAATGGGTCTTGTACGACATCACTTCTGAAGAGGAGGTCATGGGCATTGAAACTGGAGGTGCGCACCGCAGTTGGGCATTCCAGTCAAGATCGAACTCCTACAACGCACAAGGAGGAACATTGGTGTGGACAAGGGCGTCTAGCCTGCACGTTTACAGTCAGGAAGGCTCGAATCATGGCGTCATACGTCCCGGTGGTCACGGTCGTGAGATCAAGGCAGTAGCAGTGTCTCCCCCAAAAGACTGCTCTGTCTACTGCGTAAGGCACCGAGGTCTGATCGCCACCGGTGCTGAGGATACAGATATCAAGATCTTCCAGTACGCCAACGGCGAACTGGTGTGCCGTAGAACGCTCCGCAAGCACACCACGGGAATCCAACACCTGCAATGGTCTGACGACTGTGAATATCTCTTTAGCAGCGCCGGATCAGAGGAATTCTACGTATGGCGAATTCGAACTCTAGATACTGTCGTTGACATCGGAGTGATCTGCGAATTTGTTTACACGCCGGAAAGCGAATTTTCGGATTTGCGAATCATGTCCTTTGACGTCAGTCGATGCGGCAGCGCTTATACAATTGCGATGGTGTTTTCAGATTCAAGCATAAAGGTCAGTATGATCATCCAGATATAACGATATGGCTAACCTTATGTAGACATATCGCTACGATCCGACAGTCGCAACTAAATGGCAGCCTCTAGCTAAGGGCACCTACTTCACTTCCTGCCTGACGCAATGCACTTTCCTTTCGCCAACCAGCCTGCTGACAGCTGGCACAGACGGCCACGCAGTCCTCTGGTCTTTGTCTAGCGAGCCTGTACAGCCGTCGACCTCCGCTCTCAAGTGGCACCATCCCGCACGAATCCACCAGAACGCGTCGAAGGCTATGTCATCTCATGTCAATGGCGACGGCACAACACTCATTGTTTCTGGCGGCGATGATGGTGCCCTTGCATTCCTGCTCGCTTGTCCTGCCGCATCGGATCTATCAACAGCAGCACAGGGAGCCTACGCGTCGCCGCCGGTACTTGTAAACCGCGCGCACGGCTCTGCGATTACAGCGTGCACAGTAGTCAACCTTCGATTCCACATATTCGTTCTCACATCAGGCAATGATGAGTGGGTTCGCCTATGGGAGGTTGTCATCAATGACACAGATGCCAGTGACACAAGCAAGACTAGATCCGATAAATTGACAATCAAGCGACTGTCAAAGGTCAAAACTAGCGTTGCTGATGTCTCAAGCATGGCGGTGGTGGATAACGATGGCGATGCAATAGCGAGGGTGCTGGTGTGTGGTGTCGGGATGGAAGTCATCCGGTTAGACCTATCGCCGGGTGGGGAGAACATGAGATCATGAGAGAAGCCAACATGCTTGTTTGAATTGTTTATACCCCGAACGTAGAACCCTGGTATTCTGAGTCTACGGAGGAGCTCGTTCTTCTGAGCATTAGACAATTAGATAAGTGGAACTGCACTAATCTTGCAGCATCAGCCAACAGCAAACAAAAGCTTTAGATTAGAATTAATGTGATCTTCAAACCCCAGGAAACGTTTTGGACGTCTTTGCATGAAGATGTCGACATGCGTGATACCAGCTCCGACGTGTCGGCGGTAAGCACCACCACCAAATCCCATAGTGGCGTGATTGGCTCAGCTCTCATAATGTCTCGCATCAGTGTCGTGAGATGACAGCACCAGCAGTACCAGTGGGCAGCACCAGTGCGTGGAGCACCCAAAAGCTTGTCTCTCACCATCTGTAGACGATGTGGGGAATTCTTCACCACACAAGGACCAAGATGCACAATGATGTCAACATCGGACTCGAGAGGCTGGGTACGGGCGCCAGCACAGGGAATCCGGCACTTGGGCGATAGCCGGGGCTAATAGCTGAGGGACGTTGGGCATGTGAAGATCTGCGTCTGCGTCTACCCAAGAGGCTGATGGGAGAATGATGTGTGGTTCTTTGTTAGAGATCTGGGAAGCCGGGCGTAAGGCTTCACCGCTAATTGGGCGAATCTCGTTGCAAAGCGAGTCGAAGCTGCAATGTCTCAGATTTGAGATCGAATGACTGTAGAAACATTGGCTTGTAAATACAGAGAAAGAAAGAGCGATTCGCTGCAAGATTGTCGATAATGTGGATGCACTGTGACGAGTTAGAGTCCCCGTCGATTGTGAGGCTGCATTGCATCCACTGCATCCAATGGCAAGCTCTGAGTGCTAGTCGGAGATGTTGAACCCCACGGGGCCGTTGCGCGCTCAGTAATTGATCTAGCGGTGAAGATCGAACAAAGCCGAAGTATGCCAGTGCTGTTGCACTGCATGGAACGGCTGTCGGGAAAGTGTCGCTTAGCGGTAACGGTTGGATCAGGCCTCCACAACCAACAGTCAAGTCCAATGGTTGGTGGTGTGAAAAACTTAGCTGTTGGTGTGGTTGTTAAGATCGCGCGATCGCTGGTCGAAGGTACATCTACAGCGTGAGTGAGGGGCATGGTGTTGAGGGGCAGATGGGCGTAAAGCGAGCGCTAGCCGAATCTCCGAGCAGACACCTACAGGGATCTGATTGCTCAAATCCGCCTGTCATTAGGAAAGGCAAGTGGGGTATCCAGGAAGTTTACTGAAATGTGCCCTGACGAAGGACGTCCGCATCAACGTGGTCTGAGGCGCGGGAAGATGGGAACAGACATGATGCGAACCATGCTCGTCGAGTACGGCGATCCGCCTGTTGGCTGTTGCACGGTGTTTGCTGAACTGCTTCGCCGTTGTAGCCAGCTAATCTTGAAATCTGCAAATGGGCGCCACGAGCACCCTTGTAGACGGTGTGGTCTGTGCATAGCGAGTGCGTAGCCAGTTGAGTGGTGTCGGTTGACGGAGAAGGATTGTAAGGGTCCGGCGCTACCTTGGTGTTTGATATCCAAGCCTTGTGTTACTCGGTTCGCGTATCAGCTTGCAGCAGCGCGGTAGCCGCAGGATTGCAAAGCCTGACAGCAGTCAGATGAGCACTCTCGTGGACTGCCTGTTATGGCATGTCTGGAGCGCTCTGGACGTAGCGAGGGAGAGACGCCTCAAGCTTGCAGCAGTCAGCGGCGTGCAGAGCGGTTGAGGTCAGATTCGATGGATGCGGCGGACGCGGGCCAGGGTCCATCAACCTGACCTGACTCGGCACGTTCAAGATTGCCTCATGTGTCCATGATGCACGGCCTGTGCGACGACAGCTTGACCACCATTGTGACCGTGTGTCGCAAAGGTGTTGAGCGAAGTGGAGCGTTGGCTGTTTTCAATGCGCAAAAGCTTCATATGCAATCTCTTGACGAGCAGCGAGGTGAGCACTGAGCAGTATCATTATCGTGCAGCCGTCTGCCGTCAGGCTCGAGCAGGATTAGAGATGGTCTCGTCCTGGTTTTCCCTATTTGATAACCGGCTAGCGCATCTGCAACCGGTGGTGCTCGGCGCAACCCTCCGAAGAAAGCCATGGCTGGGGGGTCCCATCACGGCATCCTTCAGTGAGCACCTTCCGCATGCTGCGATGTGGATGCTCGCACAGCGTCGAACGGGCGCAATGTGGTTGCCCACTCTGCTCTCGTCGCATAATCGTCGAGATAGTTCAACGCGATGCATCACGAATGACAGAAGCTCGAGTAAGTAAATAAGGCTCATCGATGCCCACGATACCTGATTGTGAAGTTGCAGCACGCCTGAGATCCAAGCGCAGAGGATGCAGGCATGGGTGGTCAGACTAGCGCTGCATGTCAAGAGATGGCTCGTCCCTCTGGCCAATTGCGAGCCCAAAGGGTCTCGAGGGCTTGTGTGTTTATCGACGGCCTGTCCGCTGTGATGCTGCCTTTGGGCTGACATGTTGCCCGTGGTGTGGTGTTCTTGTCCTCACCGCGGTTCATATCATTGCCAGCTTGCCTGGGTCTGCATTGTATTCAAGCACCATCGAGCGTTAGACTTGACCCCAGCCGTGTTGCGCAAGCCTTGTCGTTGAGCCCCTCCAGATCGCCCCGGGAGGTCTGAACACGGCAGCCCGTGATCGGAAAAGGCATCTAATTTCTTGACATACGGCCGCTCACCAGCGCTTTTCTCTGTTCATATTGTAAACAACGCACCCCCCTGCGCTGCTCCAGCGTCGACGCCCTCCTCTTCTTGCACCCTGCTGCATCAGCGAGCGCGTGCATCGGGTTGCCCTTTTTCTTCCTGACCAGTGTCGCGGGCGCAGTTCGGACGCTCGTGCATCTCCTGCACGAACCTGCACCTTTCTTTGGCCGACCGCTGGAACACGCAGCTTAGCTGCTCCTCCTGTGCAACCCGCCGCCTCCAGTGGGCTGTCTTTCCGTGCGCCGTCGCTGCATAATATCTAGCTCTCTGCCAGAGCAATTTTATCGTCACCTAGGTCTCCTTACCTAGGGCATCAGGAGGAAGTCAAACGGTATGTACCTCGAGTCCGCGCCGGCTACCCCCACCGAGATTGCCAAGATTTGCCGGACAGCAACAATGCCCTGCGGCAACTGCGCCCTCTCCGTCTGCAATTTGTCTGCACTGCTGACTGTCCAAGTAGCATCCAGGTGACTTCATCTCACAACGTAGGTGCTCTGTGAAGGTCCCGCGACCCAACGTGACTAGCGAGTACTGCCTCGACGTCGAGTCCTCCCCAAGCGACCTCTACAATAGCGGGCGCCCGTCTATATACCCTGCGTGCAGACACTCCCGGAGTTCTATATGCAGTCAGTGTCTGCTAGCCATAAATCATGGACACAGAGGATGGACAGGTTTTCATTAGAGTGCGTGTGCACCACGAGCGCTGTTCATAGGATTGATACTGATATGCTGCAGAACTTGGCGTACTTTGTACGAACACACGAGAAAGCGCTTGCAAATGCTCTGCAATTGCAGCGACAAGCTCCCAAACATGGCCAGAGCAATCCGATCTCCCCCTCCTCGCCTACGGGCCCCTCAAGCCCCCCAGCCTCCTCCTCTTCCAGTGTCTGGGCTGCAGCTCTTTCGCTGCCTTCTTTGACGTTCACCTCGCCCACGATCAAGCCAGCGAAGTTGACCTTGACACCGCATCATCTGTTTTACCTGCTCTCGCGCTTCGAGGACACCTCCATCCCTGTGGGACCCATGAATGTTAGACTGGAGAACATCCACACAGACGCCTCACCAACTAACTACGTATCGTTCCTCAGCAACACTCAGCGTCACAGGCAGAAGAACTCGGACGGTAACTCGATCCACTCGGTCTCGAGTGTGCGCAGTGTCATGTCAGGCATGTCGTCGCTCTGGTCGAGCTTGCGGATTGGATCGAACAGTGCAGCTAAGGCTGAGAAGCAGAAAGCCTTGCTTCAGGAGGATCTGAGATACCTGTACTCTGCGTTCACCAAGATCCCGTGTCTGCGACTGGCCCCAGATCACAAAGCTCGCCTGATAGCAGGGTACGAGGAGTTCCCTTTCGACACCGCTGTGCCACTGTTCGCCTTCAAGAATGTTACAGCGCTGGAGATCTACGATGTCGACTTCCGCCAATTCTATGGATGGGACCGACTCGCTGAGAATCTTCGCAGTCTTACTGTCAAGCGAGCAGGTGTTGATGACCCTGCGGACCTTCTCATCAACATTGTCCTGGACGACATTGACAAGCGCCGCAGACGATCCGCGAAAGCACCTCACTCCCCGTCGGTACCTTGGCCTACAGCGAGTCCTACTGCGAAACACGCGCACCTAGCCCGATCCGAAGAATCGCCGCCGTCCTCACCCAATGCTCCCAGCAAGCAAGGATCGAGCCCCCGTAACTCTGATGTTATGCGAGACTTCACTGGGAAAGCACCTGCGACTCAGCGTCAGCGAAGTTCTTCTCCTTCTCGACCCACCAGCTCTCGACACGGCTCCAGCCATGCTCACGGTCACGGAAGGAGTACTGCGCCGAACTACCGACGCTCTTCTGGAAGCTCAGCTTCGAGCGTGCGATCAAACACACCAAGGGGAAGTTCGTCGAATCTTCTTTCCCTGGGCTGGTTCCCTTCGACAAAATGGCGCTTTCTAAGGCATCTGAGTCTGGCTGACAACGCGCTCACAAACATATCTTCTAACAGTCTTGCGCCGCTTACGAACACCCTGCAGTCGCTCGACTTGTCCGCCAATCTTTTCAGCGAGATTCCAGATAGTTTAGCCACTTTGACTTGCCTGCGTGCTCTCAACCTTTCAAACTGCATGATTGAGGGCCTGCAGTCCCTGGGCCATAACCCATTACCTGCAATCACCACACTGAACCTTCGTTCCAATCGTTTGTCGTCACTGGCTGGCATTGAGCGCTTGTTGTCATTGGAACGAGTCGACTTCAGAGACAACAACCTGACGGATCCCACCGAACTGGCACGACTTACCGTTATACCTGACATGACCGAGATTTACGTCCATCGCAACCCGTTCTGCAAGTCCTACCCTAACTACCGAGTCACAATCTTCAATCTGTTCCGCAAAACACCTGGCTACACTGAGGATGTTATAATCGACTCCACCGGTCCCAGCAATGCTGAGAGGAAGCAACTCGTTGATCGAGCGCCTGAGCTCCCAGGCGTTCCTGTCGTTAAACCCCCGGTCGAGGACGAAATACCCCCACCTCATGTCCCACCAAAGATCGTCAAAGCTCTCGACTCCACGACCGACGAACCTGACAGGCTCAGGCGTTCTGGCTCGCTACAACGTCAGAAGAACACGCGGAGTTCGCAAGCTGCGCAAGGCTCACAGCGGAAGAAGAAGGGACCAAAACGGAGGATCGTCGAACTGTCGCACGCTGAGGCGATGCAGCAGTCAGCTAGCTCTGGTCTTACTGGTTTTTCGTACGATGACACCTCGGCAAGGACACCACCCAGGATACAAAAGTCTGTTACGGACGTCACAGTTCAAGACAAATCTCGTTTTGAAGAGCCACAGAATGGGCAGATTACTGGCGACCCAACCAAGAGGCCCTCTCTGGACGAGCGGGTTGTCATAGACACTACCCACACTACGCATCAGCAGTTGCCACCAATCGATACCACAACCGATAGCAAAGCACCACAACTTCCCGAGCAAGAGTTCGATATGAGCAACGATCTATACAAAAAGAAGATCGAGGCACTTCGACAGGATTTCGGCAACACCTGGCTGAGTGCATTGGGTGACGAAAGCTGGGACCCGGCAGCGTCAGGCCTCTCCCAAGAGCGAGGTTACAACTCGCCTCCCATACAACCAGCGCTACCCCGAACGCCCAGTCAAGGGATCGTCTCAGGAGGTCGTACACTAGGCTGAAACCTCACCACCTTGATCTAATCACTTTTGCGATACCCAAAAGATTTGTCTGTTTTTCAGAATCTGCGCCCACCTGTTCACTAGGTGCTGTCAGATTGTTTTGGTTTTTGTCATATCTTTGCTGTTCCATTTCACGCAGATCACCTCTCTTGCATGGCGTTGGATGGATTTCGATTTCCAAGGACTTGAGCGCCTGCGTCACGCTCGTTGTTCTTCTGCGTTTACTCTCACCTATATCGATACACCGGCGGCATTTTCATCCCCAAAAAGGCTGGCTGTGCTTGCATTTCCTGCGTGGTTCAATGGACCTGTTATGACCTTGTCTTTGTACCATTAATCATCTCATGGCGTTATTTGGGCTTGGAAGACTCTCTGCTTTCTGTTTGCAAACATGGCTCATCTAGCTTGGCTTGTGAGCAAAGAAGGGGCGTTGTTTGACTTATTGCATAATGAGGAGCGGATACTTGGACACGATCTTAAGTAGCTGCACAGTCAAATGTGACGATGATGTCCATGGCAAGATAGAAGGTCTTCGTGATTTGCACAGCATTGCAATGTGTCCACACGTGATTCTTACATTCACTCCGCTCCGCAACAATTGATGAGCAGCAGAAGGTGTATAGAATTTCAGTGCAGCCAACATCGAATACCTTCGCACTGACGTATGTTGAGAAGCTGAAACAGTTTGTGTAGTGACCTCACCGCATTGGTGCGTATAAATACTCGGTGCATGAGGGGACGCGCCGAGCTCGCCTGAAGAGCCGGCGGCCAAGTCTAGAACGAGATACGGAGCTCAATGTCACTGGGATGCTCTCAGACGGTCGCAGTGAACAATCGTGAGTGGAAGGTCCTGAAAGCATCATAGCAGCAGTGTGCAGAGTATCAAATCATGCTGTGCTCGCTGACAGGACTTGTGAGTGCACAAGAATGCACATGTAGACGTTGGGTGAAGCTGCTATGTAGCGCGCGTGAGTGGGCGGTGCACAGGATGATGACAGAGCGCTTGAGTGGTTCAGTGCAAGCCCTGTTCCCAAACATGCGAGCCTCGCTTCCTTCGGATTCAGACACTTTTCACTTGCCCTCTGCCTCAGCTCCCAAATACGTCCCAAGTATCTCCCATTGCTTCCCTCGTCGTCGGCCGCGCGTTCTCAGTTGAGCCTAGCTCGTACTTCTCTGCCAAGCGCTAGCCCAAGGACGAAACAATCCAGGCAAAACTACTACACGGCGACGCTCTACCACTCGCACCACCCACCTGCCCCGACTCTCGAGTAGCAAAAGCTTTCAGACGCACTTCCCTGCCGTGCAGCATCGAGCACCACCACGCAGCAACCGCCTCTTGACCCCGCATTCCACGTCGCAGCCAGGCGGTGAGGTTCCGTCCCTCAGCATCCCACTCAACACCGTTCGGCCACAACGCCTCAGTGCCCCGCTCCCATCGCGCCCTCAACCGCCCACCGCACAGGTATACACTTGAGCACGTGCATAATTGACGGTACCGACTCGCGAGTCACTCCTAGCGTCGAGTCGACCCAGCACTGCCGCAAGGCGTCTCTGAGGGGCTTTGAGCCATTCTTCATACAGCGCCCACCACTAGCGACCAGTGTCTACACGGACCGGCCCATCTGCACTTGAGGTACGTTGGACTCCCCCTCGCTGTGCATGCCTATCTACACCTCCCGAGAGTGGGCATGTGCGCTGGTGGCAGGCACGACATGGACTCGGTCCCTGCAACGCGGCTTTGTGTCAAACAGAGCTATCCATGCTAACAACAGATGTCCAGGGAAAACATCTTTCGAGTTAACGCGCTCCTTCTCTCCGACCCCACCCACGCGAGGTTCTCCCTTGCTCCCTCTCATACCCTATACTAAGCCAGTAGCAAATCACAGCTATGGCCGAGAACGAGGTAGACCTCGACTCTATCATAGACCGTCTCCTTGAGGTCAGGGGCAGCAGGCCCGGCAAGCAGGTTCAGCTGCTCGAGACTGAAATCCGCTATCTGTGCACCAAGGCGCGAGAGATCTTCATCTCGCAGCCCATTCTCCTCGAGCTCGAGGCACCAATCAAGGTCAGTGAAAGTCAACGACTCTAAAATCTTCGCTGACAATGAACGAAACAGATCTGCGGAGATATCCACGGCCAGTACTACGATCTGCTCCGACTCTTCGAATATGGCGGCTTCCCTCCTGAGGCCAACTACCTCTTCCTCGGTGACTACGTCGACCGTGGCAAGCAGTCGCTAGAGACCATTTGCCTGCTCCTCGCCTACAAGATCAAGTACCCCGAGAACTTTTTCGTCCTCCGCGGTAACCACGAGTGCGCCTCAATCAACCGTATCTACGGTTTCTACGACGAGTGCAAGCGAAGATACAATATCAAGCTATGGAAGACGTTCACCGACTGCTTCAACTGCCTGCCCATCGCTGCTATCATCGATGAGAAGATCTTCACCATGCACGGTGGTTTGAGCCCTGACCTGAACTCCATGGAGCAGATCAGGCGAGTCATGCGACCTACTGATGTGAGTGATCCTGCGTCGACCCGTCACTTCGACCACTATACACGAAAAATACAATGAGCTCAAGCTGACTTGCGCAGATCCCTGACTGCGGTCTTCTCTGCGATCTTCTGTGGTCTGATCCTGACAAGGATATCACCGGCTGGAGCGAGAACGACAGAGGTGTCAGTTTCACATTCGGTCCCGATGTCGTGTCACGCTTCCTGCAAAAACACGATATGGATCTTATCTGCCGTGCCCATCAGGTCGTAGAAGACGGCTACGAGTTCTTCTCAAAGCGGCAACTCGTCACATTGTTCAGTGCGCCGAATTACTGCGGTGAATTTGACAATGCAGGTGCGATGATGAGCGTCGACGAGAGCTTGCTATGCTCCTTCCAGGTATGTCCACTTGATCCTGGATAGTAGGACCAGACACTAATATTGTATCCATAGATCCTGAAACCTGCCGAAAAGAAACAAAAGTACGTACCGAAGTTCAGCAACAGCAGACCGTCAACTCCTCGTAGCAAAGGAGCTTGATCTTTTCCTTTCAGTCACTCATTCAGAACAAATGCCAACAATCATTACAGCAGGTTTGGACGCCGATAGACAGCGACATCTCGACAGCCCTCCCGAGTCCCGACGCCGATCTAATTTTGCGAGTCCGACCCCAGCATATTCGAAATCGCCTTCGCACCCATGGCAACCCAATTACTCTTCGACATTTGTACGCCAACACCCCTTTCCCAGTCTTTGTATGCGAGAGCGGCGCATCACATTCTGTAACGAGTACCACGATTGCGAACTGCCTCGGCACTACCAACGGCGCTTTAGACGGTCTGACGCACTTCGCTTTGCCTCTCGTGCTCGCCGGCGAAACAAGAGGTTGAAGATCAGAGGTCGTTTGCTGTGTTCGGAAGGACAGAAAAGAGGACATGACTTACGGCTGCGCTACGATCACGGTTGTCACATCGGCTACGGTTTCGCATGGCTTTCTCTCAATACGTTGACATTCTTGATCTGGGCTGCGTGGTGTGGGAGCATTTGGAAGTCTCATGGGTGGGCCTCATCAGCGGGCTTGTTTCTACGTTTGGTCCCCACTCTGTTTCGGGCGGAGGACGAGGCTTCAACACTCGATCGATAATGTCTGTCATTTCTTTACTTTGTCACGTTCAATGAGCAACCCTTTGGGGATGTAAGCTATGAAAGCGGTTCACGCGTATGCATCATTTATCATGCGTCTGGGTGCCTCTCGTTCCTCTCGTTGCTATGCCGGTCACCATGATTCACACGGGTTTCTTTACTATCAGACAGGTCTTCACAGCTCCCGTTCGACGCAATGCAATATCTTTACACTCTATCATATCAATGAACATTCCTTGGCCCTCGTTTCGCTCACTACAGCCCGGTACTTCTTCCTAGTTCTATGTACCGGCACCGTTCCTCTCCAAGTACCTGCATCCAGTTCACACAGTCAGTCACTATGCCAAGGTTCGACACAGGCCGTCAGCAAGTCGAAGCTGCGGCAGCCACGTTAACTCCTCAGTGCAATCGAATCCCAACTGCTCTCAAATATGTCCCAGTAGAGTCAGGCCTCATTTCGCAGTTCTCATGCACCACCCTTCGTCTTTTGGCTGAGACGGCCCTGCTTCACATGAGACTTGCCTCTGCCTCTGCCACTGCCAGATGCACGCACAACGTCTTCACTTTGATACATCGTAAGTCAGAATTTGCAATACATCTTCGCGTTCCCATCTACTCTACCATCTATCTATCCTCCGCCCCAGCCATCTACGCAGCCAACCTCCACGCCCTCAAGGGCAGCGCCTGTATTCGCATAACAGCGGGCTTGATGTACCCCCAGAACGTGACAACGCCAACGATGATACACAGTATGTTTACAATATAGTACCCGTCGGTTGTGACATTGCAGACTCCGCCGCCGTTGATGCAGCGGTGCTTGTCGCCTTCTAGAGCACACGAGAATGGCTGCGTGACGAGCGGGCCTTTGAGCAGTTCGGTTTTAGGGGGGGTGGAAGGGGGAGAGCAGGTAGCGGAGGTGAACATGTCGACGGCTTTGAGGATGAAGAAGCGCGGGAATGTGCCGCCGAGGTTTGAAACGCTGTGATCATGTTAGTACCGCGTTCTGAGAAGAGGGGAAGTACGTACGTAGCGAGCAGCGTCATGTAAGTACCGCCGATTACCGGATCAGAGATCTTTGCATGGAAAGCGCTGACGGCCACGAACATGACCGTGTTCATAAATGTGGAGAGGACGTGTTCCGCGATAACGAGGAGTAGGAATCCGCCTGTTGCGCCGTCGGCGGGGAAAACGGATACCACGAACTGCGCAAATCCTGCTGCGACCAGGCGGCCGACAAAAGACCAGCACCAAATATGCATGGGCGGATATGTCTGGCACCATTTGCCAATGTAGTAGCCCAGGAACACCTCCACAGGGAAGTCGACGAGAATGACGAGGGAGAGTTCTTCCTGCTTGAGGCCCTTGTCGAGGAGTTTCAAGCTAGTGACCGCATCGTTGGCCTGGAAGCCGATTTTGGCGATCAGGTGGATGATGATGAAGGACTGGATGTTCTTGAGCTTCAAGATGCCCCACATTGTTTTGTAGACATCCTTGATGCCATCGGTGTTGCGGTCGCGGTCTTCGCGCTTCATGAGCGCCAGGCCGAGGGTTACGAGGAGGTACGCCCAGCCCCAGAATGTGAGGTAGCCGTCGAGTTCGAGCAGACCAGTTTCGGCGGGTGCGCCGGCAGGGCGGAACCATTTGTTTGCGAAGTCTTTCGAGTTGAAGGCGAGGAAGACGGTGTACGAAAGGAATTGGCCGGCTGTAAGGCCGACGGTTTGGGCGGTCGAGGCGTATGCGAGATTCTCTTTGGACAGAAGTGTGAGGGCCCAGCCTGGGTGTGTTAGCTTTGATACTCGCATAGTGTCCAGAATTGCAGCTCACCATCTACGGCAATGTCCTGCGTTGCGCAGAGAAAGACGAGGGCAAACCACCACCATGTGAATGTCCATACACGACCGTCTGACTCGCCAGCCTCCGTCATGAGCCTGTTGATGTTCTTTCCTAACCAGATCATCGAGAAACCAGAGATGGTCTGGATGGGCAAGATCCAGCTCTTTCTTCGGCCAACGTTAGGGGACCAGACAGCATCCACAATCGGACTCCAAAGAAGCTTCAACGAGTAGGGATATGCGGCCAGCGAGAAGACGCCAATGGCCGAATACGAGACGACGTTCTTCAGCAGAAATGGGACTGAGCCGTGCGCCAAACCCATGGGAATGCCCTGGAGGAAGTAGAGCAGCACGAGGAGTAGGAAGTTGCGCTGGTCCTTTTTCGACAGCTCAAAGAAGCCTTTCGAGGGGCCCTCCTCAGCGTCCAATGGCGGTACGTCGTCGTCGAGGGTGAAGGAGTGGCTGCTCATGAGGCTCGCTGCCTGGCTGGAGGGCGAAGTGCCGTCGATGCTCGCATGCTTGCGGCGATGTTCGAGAATAACGCCGTTCATGGTCGCGCTGGTGTTCGCATGTCCGTTGTTGCTCTCCTTTCGCAGCGAGTCGGTGGAGCTCTTGCGTGGTACAGAGCCGCGGTTCTTGGACCTCGAGGCGCGTTTGCTCATCTGTGGGAAGCTTGCGTACCCTTCCTGGAGGAGTGCTCGGAAACCTCCGGGTTTGAAATGAGCCGGGTATACGGGAGTGGAAATGGAGCTGTGAATGCGATGGGCGCGTTAGGTGTCAGGGACTAGGGAAGGTGCAATGAATAATGTGTAAAAGGGAGAAGGAGCGACTTGGAAAAGTAAAAAGAAATGTGTAGAAGACCGTAGTACTCGAATGCGGGCAGCACTGGTACAGTGACGGTGCTGTGACCCTTGTTCCTGGATGGGAACCGTGTCCTCATTCTATTAGCGGCCCCGGGAGGCGACGCGGTTCCCACACGTCAACCCTGTCTGGCACGTGCGGTCGCGTTCGGCAGTGCTTGGTATCAACCTTGGACTTGACGTTGCGACAAGACAAACAACACCTCCACGATGGAGTCTGCCGACCAATTGGACTCCGACATCAGCGACCTACATGCCCGCATAGCGACGCTAAAAGCACACCGCGCAAACCTATGCTCAGTCCTCCTCTCGCAGCCCCACCTCGCGGCGCGTCTCGGTAACGATGCGATCGCAAAGCGCATAATCGACCAGCAGTCGAAACGAAACCTCGAGAACACATATCGCGCCTGCGCAGGTGTGACCGCGTACAAAGTCAAAGACCCCGATCCATACGCGGTAAACAATGGAGACATACTTGGCATCAGCATCGAGGTGCCTATCAACGGTGGCTTCGTCGACACCTACCACATCCTCTTCACACTGAACAAGCACGGAGACTCGAAACGATTGAGAATCCACAAACACACGATACCGTCCTGTATTCCATTACAGCAGCTAACCAATAAGTGGTTACCGCAAGGCGCAAAGGACGGCGATGGCGCAAAAGATCCAGAGCAGGACCTTGTCAGGTTTGGACGAGCAATGAGGAGAGAATTGGTCAGTTGGCATATGCGGTTCCAAGTTGTACAGGATCTGAGGAAGGAGGCAAAGCTGCCCGATACGCAGGCAGAAGATGATGTTGGAGTCGATGTCATCTCTGGGGGCAGGGTGCTGAATGCGTTTGTGAGCGATGACAGCTCAGATGCCGAGGAGGATGATGGCAATGGCCCAATTCGCATCTTGGATATTGAGGCAGATGCTGCCGTTCGGCAGGTCACGGTCACTTGGTCAGACGGACGCACGGCAGTACTCGTGGTCACCAAGGACGGCAGGGTCGAGAAAGCTATTTGCCGGGCAAAGGGAGGAAGCCGAGATGTTGTGTCAAGCACAAAGGCTGTTGGACCACTCAGCGGCTTGCTGCGCAGGCTTTCGGTTTAGGAGAAGCTTGATTTGGTGGTCTCACAGCAGGCGTTCGCTGATATTTACTTACGATACCCAGAGCCTTGAATGAACAACGCAATTCTTTCACGTGGATTCCATGTTCTGTATGAGACAAACCGGATATGGTGCTCGCTTGTGAAACAGCTGTACTTGATTCCCAACCATGTCGTGCCAATAAGGTGCTCACAGCGCCGCAATCGGCCGAACATGGCCCGTGAGCTTCGACTCAATGCAGGACCATCTCGATCAGCGTTCGTCATGTCCAAGACTTTTTGAAAATTCGTTCATGTCTCGATGAGCAGCGTGAAGCTTTGTAAACGTCCGGACTAGAACGTGAGCACTTTGTAAGAATCCCATGACTCGAGATGCCGAGCGCTTAGCCACTCGCATCCATCCACGAGTCCACGACAGAAGAAGTGCTCCACCTGTGCGCCCCGAGGACCGTCAAAATTGTCCAAGGGCTCACGGAGGGCATGCAAGCGTGGGGAGAGACGGCGAGAGATGCCGCTATCAGACGAGCATCTGATAAGACAAATCTCCACGCTAGTGATCCTTTCAAGGCGTCGCGTCAACTTGCACGTACATTGCGCGAAGCCTCGTGATCGGCAAGACGCGGCTCTACTTTCCAAGCCACTCTCCTGTGACTTCATGCAGGTACCGCGTCTTCCAAGGGTTCGATAAGACGGCGCCGTGCTGGCTCTCTGCACCGCAGAGCCGCAGTGACATCGCAGGTGGGTTGCGTCGTTATCAGATGCAGCACAATGCGAGCGACTAAGGGCAGATAAGTGGACACAGCATTGCGCCATGAGCACTGTGTAAGCAGGCGTGCCTGGACCATGATGCCGAAGTCGCCGATGACGGAAGTTTTGTAACGGGCCGCTGCACATGCTCGTGGCCAGGCAGGATCAGAAAAGTCTTTAATAGACTGATGCGTCCCTTGCACAGGTGGTTCACCATTGCACTACTGCTATATAATTCACCGCCCTCGTCTGCTCCGAGCCCGCCACACCGACATCCGTCCGACATCTACCTACGCCCTAAGCCCAAACTAGGCACGCGTTTTACCGTCTTGTTGCAAATTATCTGCTGATATCTGCTCTTGCGGTCTTTTATTTATTTCTCACCTACACCCTAAGAATCTCGACTGCTTCACAGAAGCTGTGCTGCCAGCCAAATACTTAAGCAACCGTTACCTGACATCGGACCTCCGACCCGTTGCACTACTCGAGCTTTAAGAACCACCATGTCTTTCCCCGCCTACACACCCAAGGCCCGCGTGCAGAGGCCTGCGCCCGCCTTCTCTGGCACCGCTGTCGTTGACGGCACCTTCGAGGGTGCGTTCACCTACTTTCTATAAGGCTCATTCGTTACAATGGGAGCATGCTAACACTATACAGATGTCAGCCTCACCCAGTACACATCCAACAAGCAATGGCTTGTCCTGGGCTTCGTCCCCATGGCCTGGACCTTCGTCTGCCCGACCGAGATCCTCGCCTTCAGTGACCGCGCCTCCGACTTCGAAGCGCGCGGAGCCCGCGTCGTCTTCGCATCCACAGACTCCGAGTACTCGCTGCTGGCCTGGACCAGCGCCTCGAAGAAGGACGGCGGCCTCGGCAAGATCAACATCCCGCTGTTGTCGGACAAGAACCATACCATCAGCAAGGACTACGGCGTTCTGATCGAGGAGGAGGGCATTGCGCTGCGCGGCCTGTTCCTCATTGACCCCAACGGTGTGCTCCGCCAGATCACCATCAACGATCTCCCTGTTGGCCGTAGCGTTGACGAGGCCCTGCGTCTGATCGACGCCTTCCAGTTCACAGACAAGTACGGCGAGGTTTGCCCTGCGAACTGGAACCCGGGCATGGACACCATCAAGGCTACGCCCGAGGGCATCAAGGAGTACCATAGCAAGAACTTGGATGAGAAGATGAGTGATGCCAAGGCTACCAACGGCACTCACTGAGCGTGTTTTGAGGTATCACTGGAAGCGTCACTGTGTTGCATTATTTTGAACCGGCATTGCGGATGGCGCTAGTATAGACATGCGTTTGAGACGGCGACGACATGCTTGCTTGGGGCAGGTGTGAGAGTGGCTGTTTGTAGATCGTAGAATGGCATCAATAGACTTTTAAGCCTTGGGACACCTTCAGACTCACAATTGCCGAACTCATTGTATTACGCAGAGGCATCATATCGCATTGTGCTCTTATTGCTAACGTTCGTAATCGTCTGCAAAGGTCACTCTTCCAGAGACTACACAGTCCTTACACCATCTCCCCTCTACTGCTTCTCAGTGTGCTCCCACCCCAGCACCTTCTTTACCTTGTCCGTCGTCCAAAAGGCAGCATTACCCTCCAGTCCCTCACGAATCTCAGTATCAGGGTAGTACTTCTTCGCTAGCTCCTTCGAAGGCGTCATCTGCGTAGTATCAGGCGCAATGACGTTGAAGATCTCCGCGCCCTCATAGTTATCTGCCTTCTCGAGCGCAGCAAGACAGGCGCGCGCTGTGGCTTGCGGGTGCACCCAGCCCCATAACTGGCCTACGTGTCAATTAGCATACGGTCCTGGAGTATTTGATGGGTTGAAACAAGGAGGACTTAGGGAGGATACGTACCAACAGCAGCCTCCTGCCAATTCTCATCATGCTCATCCTTGACATCTTCCTTCGGCGCGACCTCATGGATGCGCATCAGCGCAATCTTGGTCCCAGGGAACCAGTTCACGAACGCTCTGGCCTGGGTTTCGGCCTCGTGCTTCGCCAGCGCGTACGAGTCGGTCGGATTCACGGGGTAGTCTTCGTCTATGGGGAAGTAGGGGAATTTCAGCGGCTGGTTGGCGTAGGCGAGGCCGATTGCGTTCACGCTGGATGCGTAGCAGATCTTCTTGATGCCGAGTTCGCCGCAGGCGCGGAACCCGTTGAAGGCAGAGTTGACGTTGTTGGAGTGCACCTAATCAGCACCATCAGTATAATGTTTCTTGGAACGAGGTGGGCGGATGTACCTTGTGGTCCTCGGTGCCCACGGGGTTTGGGATTGCTGCGAGGTGGATGACTGCATCGCAGCCCTTGAACGCTTTTACCGTCGCATCGTAATCTGATGCTGCGTCTGCTGTGCGCATTTCTGTGTTCTCGATGCCCTTGTTCTTCTCATCTGTGCGGTTGACTTGGACTGTCGAGTAGCCTGCTTTGGCGCACAGCTTAACCACCTCTTGACCGACGGTGCCTCGGGCTCCTGTGATAGCAATCTTCATGTTGTGAATCGAGTGTTTCAGTGTGGTATTCTTGGGTATGAGACTGGGGTTGATTTGGTTGTGGATTTACAGTGTGCTTTTGAGACTCTTTAGCTGTAGCTTCCGCATTTGTGTATTTACCTATTTGACTATTTGAGGAGTGACGTTGCTATGAGGTGAGGCCAAGAGCTGCCGTTGTAAGCGCAGCGGAAGCGTCGTTACTCACAGCGTCTGGCCCATCCATATGTGATGTCAATTCGGATGCTCGGTCATGAAGTATGAGTCGTCGTTCTGATCACAGTCTGTCTCATTTTTGGATGGTGCTTGTACTCAGTTCTTCAGCAAGACCATCGGGACCTGTACCCGCAGGATGTGCGACGCATGCAAACATGCACCGAGACAGCGGAGAAGCTTGTGCGTGATACTCTGGGAGGTGGTAGCAGGGTAGCTGAGCGGTCCTCAGAACTTCTTTCTTGGTTGAAGGAAACGCAGTGCGCATCGACGTTCGGGTCGAACCGATTGGATGATCCGGCAGCGGCGGTGCGGCTGAAGCTGCTGCATATCACAGCAAGCTGCACATGTCAAGCACGTTGCAAGTTTAACGCATTTTGTAGTAGCAAATTTACCCTCGATCACATGCAAGCGGCAATTGCGATGGCTTAAAGGATTGCTATCGTGTGGTAGCGGCCCTCTCGGGGGCTCCACTCACTACTGAACTCACTTATCACAACGTCATGACTTGGTGGATTAGGATGCCTGCGCCACTTGTAAGAACCGCGTAAAGTCGCATTCTTACCACGCGATTGTTCCTAGCCCTAAGATCACCAATTCCACTTCTTCAAGATGGGAAAGCAAGAGTTCGACGCGCGCCCGAGTGTGATCGTTGTTGGTGCTGGTGCTGGTGGTGTTGCGACGGCCGCGCGCCTCGCCCAGGCGGGTTGCAAAGTCACGCTTGTTGAGAAAAATGATTTCTCGGGTGGGAGGTGCAGTCTGATACATCGCGACGGCTACGTATGCTACTCCTGATGTCGAAGTTGAGCTTGGGACTGACATGGTGATAGAGATTTGACCAAGGACCCAGTCTCCTCCTCTTGCCCGAGCTGTTCAAAGAGACATTCCAGGACCTTGGTACATCACTGGAAGATGAAGGCGTTCACCTGGTCAAGTGCAATCCTAACTACAATGTCCATTTCCATGACGGGACAAATTTCAAGCTATCAACCGATGTCGCGGTCATGAAAGAAGAGGTGGAGCGATTTGAGGGTAAAGATGGCTTCGAGCGCTATCTTGGTTTCCTGCAGGAGTCGCATCGTCACTACGAGTTGTCCGTCATCCATGTGCTGAAGAGGAATTTCTATTCGCTTTTCAGTATGGTTCGTCCAAGTTTCTTGCGCCATTTGATTGCTCTGCATCCCTTTGAGAGCATTTACACACGAGCCAGCATCTACTTCCGCACCGAAAGATTACGAAGGGTTTTCACATTTGCGAGTATGTACATGGGTATGAGTCCATTCGATGCTCCTGGAACATACAGTCTTCTGCAGTACACAGAACTCGCTGAGGGGATCTGGTATCCCATCGGTGGTTTCCACAAGGTCATCGAGGCTCTGGTCAACATTGGTGAGCGAAATGGTGTCGAGTACATGTTCAACAGCCCTATATCAGGGATACAGCTCTCCGATGATGGGAAACGCGCAACGGGAGTCACATTCCAGGACGGCAGGCCGCCCCTCACCGCAGATCTGGTTGTCTGCAATGCCGATTTGACATACGCCTACAACGAACTCCTCCCATCATCCAGCTACGCCAAATCCCTCCAGGGCCGCAAAGCTTCATGTTCGAGCATATCATTCTACTGGGCACTGGACAAACAATTCCCTGAACTCTCAGCACACAACATCTTCCTCGCCGAAGACTACAAAGAGTCCTTCGACAGCATCTTCAAGAAGCACCTCATCCCCGACCAACCCAGCTTCTACGTCAACGTGCCCTCACGCGTCGACCCATCCGCAGCACCTAAGGGCTGTGACTCCCTCGTTATTCTCGTCCCCGTAGGCCACCTTGAAGACTACGGCTCCGACTCCCATAAGGGTTCCAAGGACAGCTCCGGGCGCACTCAGGACTTCAACGCCATGGTCCAGATGGCGCGCGACACGATCCTCAAGATCATCGAAGCACGCCTCAACATCAACGTCGGCGCTCATATCGTCGACGAAGTCATCAACACACCTGTGACCTGGAAATCCACATTCAACCTCGACCGCGGCGCCATCTTGGGTCTTTCGCACTCGTTCTTTAACGTCCTTGCTTTCCGCCCCAAGACCAAGCACGCGTCCATTGAGGACTTGTACTTTGTCGGCGCGAGCGCGCATCCTGGAACCGGTGTGCCGATTGTGCTTGCGGGCGCGAAGCTGGTCAGTGATGAGGTGTTGGCGAAGCTGAGGATGGAGCCGAAGCGTATGGATCAGGGAGAAGCGGCGACCATGAAGGAAGAGTACAGGGTTATGCAGAAGTGGAGGGTTCCGCTGAAGAGCCATTTGGATGTGCAGAGCAAGACGGCGTACTCGATTTGGTTGCAGTGGTGGGTGCCGGTTTTCCTCACGTTAGTTGCGATTTACCTGTGGAGTGGGACAAGTCAAGGGCTGAGTGTTTTGTCGTGAGTCACGCAGTCGCGCTTGGGACGAGGTTGATACCGTAGATCACAGAGACCTGCCTAGACTGATGATGATAGTGGAGGAGTTAACGTTCATAGCCCTAATGCATCTCTATAATGATCAAACGATACTTTCATCGACGCCTATTATGTATGCACATGCCCAGGTTCGCACCTCTCCTTACTGATAGATGTAGCACAACGGCTTCTCCCCCAGAGTATCAGTCAGATCTCCAATCGGCATAGCCTCCACGTTCAACCAGTTCATCTGTATCAAATCTTCCAGAGTAGTATTACGACTCGGTGGTTTATTGTTAAGCGTCAGTGTGCCAGCGACCGTGTTCGCCTGCTCCCTGTGCAAGGCTTGCCAGATCCAGTAGACTCTGTCAAGCATTGCATGATGCAGGAAAAAGGCTGGATCTACCGGCGACGAGAAGATGTCTCCAGCGTCGCCGCCGATGCTGAAATGGCCGGCGGCGTGGAGGCCGAGAAACCCGTCAGGAAAGCGTCCTTGCAGCCTGAAAGGGGTCAGTAACAGCCTTAGACATGTGTTTCGACTCTATATTTCTACTTACTCGTTCTGGAAAAGCATGATGGACTTCGAAGCATCTCCAGTGGTCAAGTTCAGGAAGTTCTCGACCGTAAGCCAGTTCGAAGATGCATAAGTGGTCAAATCGCGCTTCAAACAGCGAGGATTGTATGACAGGCTGCCGTTGACCTTCGTTTGGCCTCTCATCGTTGGGGATACAGGACCAAGGTTCGCAACCATGCCTTTGAAGGGACCATCCTGGAGACATCCGCCCCCTTCTCCTGAAGGAAGGAAGATGGTGCCGCCGCCGCCTACGCTGCCGTTGTGGAAGATATAGGAACCGTCGCCGCTCATGCTTGTTGCGGAGCCGTCGAATACGGGGGACTGCTTCAGGTCGTCTTGGTAGGAGAACCAGTTCCAGTATGGCTGGTAGCCCTTGTATGAGCATTCTTCTTGTAGTGCTTTCTCGTACGAGTAGACGAAGAGTCGGTGCTGAATGGAATCAGGGTTGTTAGAGCCAGACTTGTGTACAGGTACTCACCCATGTTAGGAAGTTTCCGGTGCCGTGGATGGTCAGAGTTTGATTTATGTGTTGCCCAACAAAATCATCGTATCTGTTGCGCGCCCCTGGGACCAATGCTGGGTCAGACTTCGATGGGGAAGAAAGCATGCACTGTACGGCAGTCGTGTATGCTTTGCGTTCCTTGCCTGACATTGAGTCCCTAACTCTTGCATAAGTCTCCGATCAAGCGTCCTCTGCTCTGCGAGACGAAGTACGTACCAGTCTTTTCGAACAGCAGCGTTGGATACAGAGCAATCAGTACCATTTACCTTGACCTTCCTGAGTGCTGTGATTGCCTGACGCTGTAAGTCTTCCGCGGCATCTCGAGTCCTTACAGCTGACTGGACTGTCGCAGCCAAAGCCAAGACTTGAACGACGGGCACCAACATATTGAAAGCGACCACAAAGTAGAGAAACAGCGCCAAAAAATTGATCATAGACGGCAGCTCGAGCTTTTGTAGTTTAAGATTTCCACATTACTGACAGCTCTGTGCGCAGCTACAGGTGTATCTATTGGCTCTACTGCAACACCCCCGACATGCCAGAAGCGCGAAGGGTGCTCGGCTTATTTCTTCCGATTTGCGAGCGGATGAGGTGTCAACATATCCTGGCAAAGAAAAAAAAAGCTCCGAGATATCATGTGAGGATCTGAGATCGAGTTCAGCTGCGAAGCGTTTCCATAGACCGTCGGAACGGTGGTCGCTCAAGAAAACTGTGCGTGGGAAGAGGTGCTCAAGTATTCAGGTATCCCGCAATCTGGCTCTTGCAATAACTCCCATTGTGTCTACGAATCAGGAAGACTCGCATCTTGGCATCTCGTTCGGAAGTGTGACAGCTGCGGTTAATCAAGCCCTGTATTAAGTGTAACGGGTATCCAGACCGGTCGAGATCTCCACTGGTTTGCAGGGGGTCTGGTGGGCACGTACAGGAACCCAGAATGTGGTATTCGTGTATGTTCGTTTTTCGAGATTGTCAACAGGAATCACACCAGAATTCGAATGGGATCTGGCGTCATGTGCATCTTACCTTGAGGCGAAGTGTTGTAAGAAATTGAGAGATTGGCGCGGTTGGGCAGGGACGACGCTAGCCTCGCCTCTGCCTTCCTCCTGTCATTCCCCCGACCGACACCTCACTCTTGCCCTTATGGAACCTCGGATAGCAACGTTGCTCGATCAGTCACCTTACAAAAGACTTACTCTTGATCCTTCTGTACTGACAACTGCTTTACCTATTGCCCCCCGTTATATTGAGTCCGCAGCTGGCGCTGTCGAGGCACGCTCAGACCGTGCATCTCGCGGCCCCCATGATCATGTCGATATCAGGAACAAGGCCTCATCGCAAGCGCATTCTAGTGCACCGATCGCACAAGTCTTGAATGACTCAGTGTCTTCATCTCATACATTCCAGTCTCCGTCTGGTCGTCAAACGCCACAACATGCAGCCTTTGGTATCAGGAAAGATGGTCCAATTTCAGGCCCTACGGCAATTTCACCAGATGCACGCAGACGAGACGAACACCACAACTCTGTTGGATACTCTGGAGGCGATGCTTCGTTGATTCAGTTGCCAAAACCCCCACAGGTGCCACGAAAGACTGCGAAGAGGCCCAGAATTCCGCCACTGCTGCAGGGTCTACATCAGCCTCCTCCACTACCACCCAAGAATAGATTGTTTCCGCCCATTACCAGCGACAGAAGTGGAATTGTAAGCGATGTCGGTGATCGGTTCAATCTTGGAAGTACCTTCCCCACGAGCGGCACTGAGGAGCTGGCCAAACCTCGAGTCCCGCAACGGAAGGGGAACGAAGTCGAAAGCAACCATGTAGGACAAACAACAACCGCACTTAGCCATAGAGAAGGACTTCAAGAGCATGAATGGAGTACTGAGTTTACGGCAGACTCTCTACCAGTGGCCCAGACTACGAGTAGAGTTCAGAGTAAAGTCAAGGCACCGCGAAAGCGGACCAGGTGGTCACAGAAAGAGACAGAAGACTTGCTCATCGGAGTCAGCAGGTTCGGTATCGGCAGATGGAAACAGATACTTGAGTGTACAGAGTTCCACTTTCAGGCGCGAACCGCAGTGGATTTGAAGGATCGATTCCGAATATGCCGTCCTGGAGAAGGACTCAAAGCCAGGAAAGCAGCTATACCGGAGGGGTCAACAACGGCAAAACCGACAGAGACTGGCGACCCAGTTAGCCACGCCAGCCTTGCGCCTATCGAAGACGTAACAGTCCATCCTGCCCCGCCCATTCAGCGAACAACTTCCGAAGAGACAAACTTGATCGACCAAGCTGCTACAAGCAAGCCAGAAATCCACGGCCCATTCCTCAAAAGTAAGCGTCGAGCGCGCCGTGAGTTCAGTGATACGGACGACAAGAACCTACTCAAAGGCTTCAAGCGGCATGGCGCTGTATGGCACTCAATGCGTGATGACTTCGAATTGGGTTTCGGTATGCGCCATCCTACGGACTTGCGCGACCGCTTTCGTATCAGGTACCCGGATCTCTTCGCCCAAGCTGGCTATAAGCTGAAGCCCAAAGAGGAGCGCGCACTCAAAGATCGGGCAGAAGTGATCAAAGCACAAGGAGCGCGAGCATCAAGACATCCTACTACAACAACCGTTACGACGTCTGACAAGAATGACAAGTTGACTGCTCATACATTGGTGACTATTACGCCCAATGTACCATCCGTCACCACCCTCATGCCGGTCGCTACAACGTCGCAAGCTGAATCACTGCGGCCTACGTTCGACCCGATCACCGATCTCACGTTCGATGATGACGAGGGCGACCGAAGTCCTATCGTCTTGAACCGCAACATCCTACAGTGGGCCGACGAGAACTCTGCGGCTCTGCCTTCGACGACTGCAGTATCAGCGAATACCCAGGCGACCACTCATGTGGCCAGCGATCTGCTCTACAACCCATTCACCGCAAGCGACGGTCTCCATATCAACCCTCTGGCCACGCTCAAATTACCATCCACAGCCCACTGGAGCTACATGAATCCTTCCACTGCAGCCCCGCCACCCTCGCTACCACCTCCTGGACCGTTGAAGCATTCGCTACCTGCAAACAGTGCGAGCACGTCCACGTCCAGGGCACAGCACGATATGCGTACGCCAAACCTGCCGAACATAGTCTTCCCATACGTGCCGAATGCCAGTGCTAGGAACGCTGTACATAATCTTCCTGCGCCTGCGGACATACTGTCATCGGGGCAGACGGGTACTTCAGACAACCACATTTGGATTGGGTAATGCGTTTCGACGCTTCAATGTCGATGATACCAAGCTGTCAAAAGTAGAAGAGAAGAATATGCTAGTCACAAACAATGCAAACCGCAATGGCTCTGCCATAATTCATTTTAGTCATGCTGAGGTATCAATATCATCTCTCTCCACATCCTTCTTCACGGTGTCCACAACTACCTCCCCGTCTGACACAACGCAATACAAAACTCCCTAAAATCGCCCTTCGTCGCCTCCTCAACATCTTCTTCCACCATCCTCCCGTACTTCTCCTCGTACTCGCTCTTGACGCGCGCCAAGTGCATGCGCTCCCAGTGCAAGCGCACGAGTCTGGAGATGAGAAGCTCGTAGCGCTGCTGCCGTTCGTGTTTGGATGACGAGGTATTCTCGCGTGAAGAACGGCCGTTGGACGAGGAGGACGGCTCGATGAGGTCCATGAGTGCGTGGTGCAGGAGCATGGCGTCGCGCGCGGGGCGGTTGATTACGCCGTTGAGGATGTGCGCTATGACTTCGCCCTACACAGTATTCGTCAGCTGCTGCGTCTCCATAACGTGTGGAAAAGAAAAGGCGAGCTAGAGTTGTGAGACTTACGACGAGGTTGTTACTCTTCCTTAAACAGTCCCTTGCAAAACTCCCCTGGTATTTCCGCTCATACGTCCTCAGGCACTCGCGCAAATGCGCATCCGACCGCATAACCACGATGCCCAGAATCGCCGACTCGCCGCCCTCCCGCGCCTTCAGCGCCTTGTACAGCGTGTCTACATCGCGGTTCCTGTACTCGACGGGCCACACGTCGCTCTCCTCCTGCCGTTCGCCTTCCAGCGCCATGAGCACGGCTTTCCGGAACTTATCTGCTTTGAGCTCTTTGTCCATGCACTTGACCAGACTGTCTGAATAGCGCTTGTCCTTGAACGAGTCGCAGATAGCCCTGATTTCGTGGTTTTGACGACCCATGAGCGCTTCGATGAGCAGCTCGCGACGCGCCGAGTTGGACTGGTACCAGTAGTTTGCCCAGTATCCTTCGCCCTCGTAGCACCCCAGCGCCGTCACGTATGCGATTTTGCCGAAGTTGCCAGAGGTCTTTAGTTTGATGTGTTTTGCGATGTTGATGCCGCGGCCTTGCACCTTGCAGTGGCGCTTGTATTCTGTGCGCAGCTCGAGCATCTGGTCGTGGCTGAGGACGGGGAGGATGTCGATGAGGGTGTCGAGGTTGGGGGTGCGTGCGGAGAGGGCGTCGACGATGGCGAGGGCGTCGGGTTCGGCGTCGTAGACTCTGGCGCGGCGCTCTTCTTTTTTTCGGCCGTTGTCGCGGCGATCGCGGTCGCGGTCGCGGTCATCGAAGGGGTCGTAGGGGTCGCGTGCGGAGGAATTGTAGGCTGCGAGGGCGAGCTTGTCTTTGTGCTTGGATGGAGGAAGCGGGCTTGGTGAGCGGCCTGATCGTGAATGGGCGCGATGCCTGCCTTGGAAGGATTGTCTGGACTCACGCGGGGAGAGGCTGTCGAGGGGTTGTAGGTGATCGATGTCGTCGTCGTCGAGCATCATAGCCTGTGGCATGGGGCTGATCGACTGGTACACGCCCTGGTACGCCTCCAACAGCGGACTCGGTGGAGGCAGACCGCCGCCTGGGAACCCTCCTGGCATACCTCCAGGGACAATGTTCTGCAGGTCTGGCCGGCTCCCGCTCACAGACAGCCTGTCCATGCGCTGCGTGAGCCCGTCAGGTCGACCTCCACCGCCCACTGAAAGACTGTGCGGGCGCATACCAGGCGACGGCGGCGCATTGAGCTTTCCTCCGCCGCCCGGTACCATCTCGACCACCTTGCGACCATCGTAGGTGCTCGTCGCCCCAGAGCTCGACTGTGCGCGGTGGTGCTCTGGACGTGGAGAGTGCGTGCCCATAGGCGGCGGCGGGTACTGCGGCTGGGACACGGGCGGCGGCGCGGGAGCATGTGGGTTGGCGGCATACTGAGCCTGCGCTGGCGGTGGAGGATACGCGGGAGTCGTTGGCTGGGCTGTGTGTTTTATGGCCGGCTGTTGGGCAGAGCTGACGACGGGTTTCGCACTGAATGTGATCTTATCGGGCGCTTGCGCATACTGGAAGCCCCAAGCTGGGTCTTTGGGCGTAGCTGTGTATGCGAACTGCTGTCCCACGTTTGGAGTCGTCGTGTATTGAATGTTGCCCGGCTGCGTGTAGGTGATGGGCGGCTGGTATTGGCCGGCCGCTTGAGCCTGCTGCATGTAGCCAGGGCGCTGCTCGGGAGGCAGGTCTGCATAGTTTCCCATGGTGATGGGCTCGTTTACGCTTCTGGCCGCCATTGTCTCAGTACTCGTCGCGTGATCTATGCCAGGATGGTTCGAGGCGCGACCTGGAGCTCGAAGCCTGAAGCTCAAGCGGAGTACTCACGTTGGATACACGAGTGGCTGCCTGGTCTCGTAGTGAGGGGTGCCCATTGGTGCATACTCAGCTGCGCTGTAATGCTGACCCGGCCCAGATTCATCGCGCACATGGCTGTGGCTGCGACTGCGGCTGCGCTCCCTTGCGCGACCTGGTGACTTAGAGCGCGACCGACGCGACCTGTCATCTGGGCGCAACGACATAGCGCTGATACAGTACGGTTGTTGTTTGGAGGTCGATTGAGTGACTCACTCCGCCGACCGTCAGTCTACGCGCGCACAGGAGGCTGGCAGCACAGTGCGGGCTGGGAACGACTTTTGGACCCCATTGCGGAGTAACCGCAACAGCGGGGGCGTCCAGCTCAATGTCGCTTGTGCCCGTGAGGCTCTACCGCAGTGGGTCGAAGGCGGTGAGACTGCCCTACGAGTGTCGAACGCTGCAGTTGAGCCGCATGGCCACGAGGAGTTGACATGTGCTCCAAACTTCAGTCAGCTCGCTCGCTTGCTGGTCTGTCAGACTTGGACTTGGACTATTCGCCTTCACACGTCACCGTTCGCCCTGAACAATTAGCGATAACGTGGGCATGAGCCCCATGTCCACACTTGTCGGCAGGATTCGCGAAAACTGACCTGCATGTCAGGGTAGCCCGGTCGGTCAGGCACGGCGATTCACCGCCCTAAGAGTCTAATCCTGGATAAGTTTTTGAAAGGGCTGCCAGAATTGCTCATAGCTCAGGAACATGATGGAATGAGGGCATATCTTCAACACGAACGTGCGTATCTGCTTGGTCCTGACCAGTCATGCTCAACGCTTTCGTTCGGACCGGATCCACAACCGGACGCCGCGACGCCATGTCGCAAGGTGAAGCGGTGCAACTGAACTTGCTATCAAGCGGTGTCTGTGTGCCTGGGTCAAAGCATTCAATATAGCTAAGACACTGTCGGACGTCTTACTGTCCCATCTGTTTGTTCAATCTTTCATCCATCATGCCGTCCTCCATGATTGCCTACCCAGACAACCTCCAAACCCAATCGCAGCTCGTCCAACTACCGCAAGAAATCAAGAACATCATCTTCAATCTGTGCTTCACCGCCGATGGCGCTATCGTTGAGCCAATCCCGAACAGCGGGCCCTCGAAGGGTGATGTCTCTCGCAGGATGGGAGTCGATCTGTTGCAGACCTGCCGCAGACTCTACCATGAGACAGACCGCCGATCATTGTTTACCCAGAATACTTTCCGCTTCAGCACCGTCGACCGTATGAGCACCTTCCTGAGGTCACTCAGACCTGTCCACAGCGCCTGCATTCGGGATGTCGAAATCGATGCGCAGAGTATGCACTCCAACCACCCTGGGCTAGCTTGCGTATGGCTGCACTACCTCGCGTGGGGCAATGGCCAGTGGGACAAGTCACTAGGTTCCTTACATGTGGATGCTCCTGGGCTCAAGTACCTCCGGCTGAACTTCGAATCGTGGCCCAAGATTGCTATGAAGAGGGTCGAGCTTTGGAACCAACTCAGAAACATGCTGTCAAAAATCCAAGGTCTCGAGCGAATTGTTGTTATCGGTGCAAGCAAAGGTGCAGCGATGGCAAAGCGAGCTCCCTTCTCCCCAGTCCACTGTGTTGGAGGTGATGATGTCGGCGTCGATGATCTGGTTCCACGTATGTGGTCCACTGTCGGAGCGTCAAACGAGTCGAAGATCGTAAGATGGACCCGTCAAGATGGTAAGCTGGAGCTGGAGGTAGTGTCGGTATCTCATCTGCTGAAGAACGTCGATCCACACTGGTATGGCCCTTCTGTGAGGAGAAGCCACACGGACCCCTGGCCAGAGAACGGCTCCTGCACCTTGTTTGGGTATGAGAACCGGTACTCAGACGTTACGGAGCCTACAACAAAGGGCTTCAATCCCAACGCCGCCGAATGATAGGTCTCGCGGGGTCCCAGGGACCATGGATCTCATTTTTGTACTTCTGCAGTCCGATCAGCCACCAGCTGCAGATGCCCATCACAAGGAAAGTCAGGAAGCTTCCAAGCACTACACCCGCGATGAAGGCACCCTTTCCGCCGCCTGTCAGAGTCACGAAGACACCGCCCCACGCAGCCGTTACCAGCACAATCGTGAGGGTGAGATGACCTTGCCAGGAGCGAGCTCGAAGTTCTCGACGAAAGATCGGAAAGAGGCCAAACACTTCAATAGAGAAGAGTGTCAAAGAGAAGACGTGTGTAGTAGATGGAAGGCGCGAAGCAAGAACAGTAGATGCCATCATGGCAGAGTTTGTTGAGATAGACGCAGGAAGTCTGTACCGTTATTAGCGTGCATAGCGAATAAAGCATTTATACATCTTACTGAGCCCCTGGCCCACTGCTGTAATCGAAGAAAGCCACGTTCATCATGAGCAGCCACGTGCTGATAGCCCAGATTGAATCGCTTGTCGTCGATTTTGTCAAAGATTTGAGTATAGGGCTGAGCCCTAGCAGAGCAGCGTAGATCAGTACAGCCGACTTCACAGTCGACACTCGCTGCTGATATCGAGAGGGCGGAGACAGCACTGGTTCCGAATGCGAGTTATTTGCTTCACCTGCATCTGGTGGTTTTGCGTGCGTGTCGTCAGTTGTTTCCAGCTCTTGTCCTTGCCAACGATCCCACAAGACCCAGGCCAACACGGTGCACAAAGTCGCCCAGCCTACTACTGATAATGGCGAGACGTTTCCTTGAATTATAGCGACAAAACAGCAACAGAAGATTGCGACTGATGCAAGATGCTGCACGATGATGGTTGCGTCAGCCATGAGCGACCAGAACTCGTATGGCTGCAGGCGCGGATTGCGCTGCAGGTGATCGAGGAACGTCTTCTCATCCGTGTAGTTGTCAGGGACTGTGATCCATTAGTTTTTACTCACCGTCAGATTATGCGTTGGACTGACACGGTTGCTTGAACCAAAGCAGCTTTTTGTAGTGGCTCCTCGACCTGCGGCTAGTACTGCGTCCTTCTCTTCTCCTTCTCCCTGAGGCTGATGGCTTGAAGAACGCATCTACTGGATCCAGGAGCCGATTGGACTCCATGTTGCCGTTCATGCGCGAAGCAGATGTGGTGTCGTGGTGCAGAAGAGGTGGTTAGGAGGTTCGCGCTAAGACGTTTGTTTGGCCCCACTCACAAATGTACCTTCACCGGTGAGCATAGAACCTTGATGTTACAGGCAATTCACGATTGCGTGAATGAACTTCACCAATACCCGAAAATATCGACCAAGCAGTCTATTCAAGCAGTTTGTTCATTAATCTTATGGGTATACGCTAATCAACGATTACGGCCCGCACCGAGACTTGCTCGTCTGGTTCAGTGTCTGCCAGGCCACAAGCAGCCTTCTCCATTTCGGCACAGTTGCGCGCCCGGCCTTCACCACATACCCTTCTTGTCGCAATGTTCTCCCAATCTCCATGTAACTCTCGACTGCTACCCTTATTGGACCTGCAGCTTCGGATGGCAGCTGCTCGATGGAGTGCTTAGATCCGTTGTATAGCTTGAATGCGTTGTCCAGAAGACGATTGCGTATGCTTTCAATTCGCGGCCCTGCGGGTTCCTTCAGAACTTGCTCCTGAGTCAAGCCTGCCTCTGACAGCCATGTTGTGGGAAGATACACACGACCGATCTTGGCGTCTACAGCGATATCTCGTGCGATGTTGACGTATTGCAGTGCTACTCCCATTAGGTTGCCGGCGTTCTCTACCGCGCGCTGCTCTTCCTTACTCAGGCTGCTGTGATATGTGCGGAAGATGAGCTCGATGCACATCTGAGCTACCGTGCCCGCAACTCGCTCTGAGTAAAGTTTGAGGTCGTCCTCGTTCGCGATTGGCGGTGCTGCTGTGTCAAAAGCCAAGTCCATGTCGAAACCAAGGAGCAGATCCTGCAGTGGCTGGCGCGACAATTTGTCGGTGGGCAGCTGCACAAGAGCCGAACGCGTATCAGCAGGGAACTGCTCGTGAACCAATTTGATAAGCGCAGGTCTGGATCTTGGTCCTCTATACGCAAGGTCCAAGAATTTGTTCAGATGCGCAATCCATTCTTTCGCTTCTTGGGCCGTGGTAGCATTGTCCACCAGGTCGTCAGCAACACGGCAGAAGGAGTACAGTAACAGTAGGTCGGTGCGAAGGAGCCCTTGGAAGGTTGAAGATGCAAGATAGAAGCTCCTGCTCTTGCGCTTCAATCGGCGGACAGCCTCTCTCAGACCTTCAAGGCGGGCTTCGTCGTACTTCTTTGGCGACGCGAATAGCGCTTGCATGAGAATGACCGGCGACGGCAATTGAGGCGCTGGGTCCGGGAATAGCGAGGGGAAGGTGTGCAGGATAGCAAGAGCATTGTCAAAAGCGACTAAACCAAACACAATCAGCGTGTTCGTGGCGAGGAAGAACAATGCTTCTTCAATCTCCAGCCCATCCCACAAGTGAATGCCATGCTTTGTGCCGCTGCTGATAACCCAGGTCCCTCTGCGCAACGCCAAGGTGTCGATGATCCAGAGATAGATCGTGGGCAGCCAGATAGGGAGCGCGGTGTTGGACAGAGGGAGCCCAAGGATGAACTGGTACGCCAGTGTCCATAAGCCCAATAAGACTGGCCCTGCCCAGACGAGAATCAAGCCTGTGTATGTGCCGGTCACATTGGCCTTCACGCAGTACCACCCATATGCAATGATCGCAGATATAACCACCTGTCCACCCCACTTCTGATATTTCCAAGGCGCCGGTGAAGAGGGGGTTGCGGCGCGCAGGTAGGTCGGCTGGTATGTAGGCTTGCTGAGCAGCAGATATAGCAGCGAGGTGTTGTAGGTCTGTATCACGAAGAAGAAGACCTCTTCAAAAGGAATATCGAACAGCGTCAGGCCGACGATTACATGGCTTGGGTAACTCCATATGCCGGTGCGAATAAGGTACGAGTCCCATGGGATGGTCGCGGTAACGGCGATCTGCAGTGTCAGTATAGGGTTATGCTGTAGGATGCAGGTAAACATACAAACACCAGAAAGCCGACTCTGTAGGTATCAAGTTTCGACCAGAGCGGGCGGTAGAGCAGCGTGAGCAGCACGGCCGGCGGGATGGTGTACTTGACATGGCTGGTCACTGCGTATCAGCATATGGTTCAGAGTTCTGAAGATCCTGGACAGGGCGCATTCACGTACACGAGCGCATAGTCTGAGCCCATCGTCGCAGATCGTCGCGACTGTCGACCCGAACGTGGAACGAAAAACGTGCAATTTCACGTCAATTCAAGAACCACAATGCAGGGAAGAGACTAGCAGCCGCAACGGAAAACCAAGAGGGCGTCAGGCACAGGAAGGACTAAACACTCGCTATCTTGATCACGTTCCGTCGCCGCCGATTGCCGACCACGGCGAGCATGGAAAAGAGCGTAAACTGCATGTGCACGTCGCTGAATGAGATCTGTGCAGCAGATAAGCTTTTGCCTGACATCATTGACTTTAGGCATGGCAGGTGTGGCACCCCAACGTCAAGCAAGCATTAGCGGCCAATGATATTGCAGCGCATTGCATCATGGTACCTGGAGCTCGTTCGGTCAACACGCCATCAACTGTTTGGCCAGACATGTGAAACCTCAGAATACTGTCATGCCGAGTGCCACATGCTTGTCAGACTAATATCCCAGGCTGTACAACCTTGAGAACTTCCTCAGCACGCCGCTCCAATGCGAACAGCACCCGTCAATTCATTATGTCCTACAATGGACGTAGCAAGACGCAGGCCAAAAAGCACCCGTATCTTACTGGAAACTTCGCACCGGTAACCCAAACATGGACGCCAACGCCCGTTACCTGGACGGGAACCCTCCCCAAAGAACTCAATGGCGGCATGTATGTTCGTAACGGAGGCAACCCCATGGCCAATGCCGATCTTGGACGTGAGGCCCACTGGTTCGACGGCGATGGCATGCTCTCAGGAGTCTGGTTCAGCCGTTCACCCAACAATGCCAACGAGCTTGATGTTCAGTTCGTCAACCAATTCGTCCTGACGGATGTGTTACTGTCTCAAGTCGAGAGCAGCACACTCCGGACACCGATCTTGCCTAGTATTGCAACCTTGACAAACCCTGCTTCGAGCCTTTTCTGGATCATCTGGAGGATTATGCGCACCGTCTTTATCGTTCTATTATCACATCTACCTGGCTCGGGCTTCGCCGTCAAGCGCATTAGCGTTGCCAATACGAGTGTTCTATATCATGATGGAAGAGCATTGGCAACATGCGAAAGTGGCCCTCCTATGCGCCTTACACTACCTGGGCTGGAAACCGTGGGCTGGTTCGACGGGAATACAGTAGAAGGCGAACCTGAGAGTGAGGACAAGAAGGAAGAACCTACACTTGGTGGGACAGGCCCGTTGAGCTGGATGCGCGAATGGAGTACTGGTCACCCTAAAGTCGACAACGCAACGGGCGAACTGGTCCTATTCCACTGCAGCTTTGCCCCACCGTATGTCCAGTACTCACTCATACCGCCTACGGGCTCGAATATCGAGGATCACCACTCATCGGACGATGCAAGTCGAATCATCAACGCTGCGGTCCCTGGGTGTACAGGCGGAAAGCTCATGCATGACTTCGGTGTGTCCAAACACAACACTGTCATCCTTGATCTTCCGCTTAGTCTATCACCTCTCAACCTTGCGAAGAATTCACCAGTGGTGGCGTACGAACCCTGGAAGCCCTCTCGATATGGTGTCTTCCCCCGTCAACATCCAGAAGCGGTGCGCTGGTTCGAGACCGATGGTTGCTGCATCTTCCACACAGCCAACACGTGGGATGAGTATGACGCTGATGGTAACGTAGCCGCAGTCAGCCTTCTGGCATGCCGCCTCACGTCTGCTTCTGTTGTATTCAGTGCTGGAAACATCACGCCCCCGCCGCACCCAAACCATAAGGACGTAATACGCGAGAAGCCCATGTCTTTCTTCGCCAAATACGATGATGAAGTCGACAGACAGGATCCTGAAAAGATGGACGAGACATCACCCTTGATATCTTACAAAGATGCTGTGCCCAACTCACTCGGCGCATCCTCAGGTTTGCCAATATCCGACGATGACGAAGAACAGTGTCGACTGTACTATTACAGATTCTCTTTGGAATCAGCAACCGAAAATGTCATCACGCACCAGTTCGCCCTCGCGGCCATACCCGTAGAGTTTCCTACAGTTTCGCCTTTGACCGCCATGGACTCTGCACGCTACATTTACGCTTGCAGCACGTCAAACGAATCTTTTGGCGCCGCGCTGGGTAAAGCCAGCAAAATTGATATTCTTGTCAGATTTGATGTAAAAGCTCTGCTTGTAAGGGCTCAAGTCGAACCACCAGATGCAGTTACAGGCTGTGTAGACAACCGTACTCTCAGCCAGATCATGGCCTCCAGCGACCCCAACGATCCGATCAAGGTCTTCAGGTTCCCACCAAAACATTACGGACAGGAAGCTACGTTTATCCCTCGCTCAAGGCGCGGTTCTGCAATCAACAAGAATACTGCTTTCGACGAGGACGACGGTTACCTTGTCTTCTACGTGTTCGACGAGCACCAGTTGAATGAGGACGGCGAGTGTAAAGAGGATGCGAAGAGCGAACTCTGGGTTCTGGATGCTCAGACGATGGCACGAGTCGAATGCAAAATCCAGTTGCCAACTCGCATTCCGTATGGTCTTCATGGCAACTGGTTCACAGAGGAGCAGATCGCTCGTCAGAAGGGAGTGGAGATGGTACGGGCGCTGCCGGCAGCCGCTACGGATACCAGGTGGAGTCGCATCAAGCGAAGCATACATGGGCGTTTGGGTTGATACCAATGTACACATAGCATGAGCATACGGCGTTTGAAGCTACACATAGGCATGCATATTGTCCATAATGATAATAATTCACGACACACAAATTAATTGTTCAATTTGCGCAAAGCACGAGCTCTTCCAATAAACTCGAAACTTCAGTCCTAAAGTCTAAACTATCAAGACGGCTGATGAGAATCGCCATCACACCGTTTGCAACTACCGGCGCCGTGGTGCGCTTGTCACTGCCATCACTATTAAACACACCTGCAACATGGCATGTGCATGTGTGGGGTTAATCCCGACGGCCATACAGGTTTATGACGCAGTCACCTGAACTGTTGATAGATGGAAACATCCGCGATCATCGACGTCGGTCCTTGAGACGCGCAGATCTTTCAAAGTGGACTGACACAACCCTGGAGCTACGCTATCGAATATGTGCCTTTTCTCATGACCGTTAGATCTCCTCGCAGTTTGACAATGAGCTGTGGAGATGCTCCAACAAAAAGCTGTATCACTGCATCCACTTCTATCCTGGCACCCTGCAAAGATACCAAGCTTTCGGCTCACAAATCTTGCAAAGCTTGGCTACGCCTTTTCTATGATGCGCCGATCTGTGGTGGTATTTCCGCAGATGCAATTGCTAAGTTTTGTCGCGTTGTTGCAGTCATGACCTCATTCTCTCGAAACCTCGGCGCTAGCTGATCGGAAAAGCTTTCCCATTGGCCATCAGCCTCATCTCAAATCATTTCGCTGCAATAGCATGTCCGAACTCTCCGTGCACCCAACGATGCGAGAATGATGTTTGGGGAATTGCAAATTTGAAACCTTGTAGATTTGTATAGTAGATAGGCATCACACGATCGATGTCATCGTTGACGTAGTTGTGAGCGGGCGTCTTAGTGCTCTCGATATATGAGTGCGGTGTCGCTGTAGAATGCGATCTTGATACACATCTAACAACCAAGCCTTTCTGTACAGGAAACAGTTCTTGGACAACACTTAGCAACCATGGCATCTGACCTCGTTGCGCGGGCGAACCACGCCCTTGATCTCAACGGTAAGTTTTACAGTTCGTACAGTATCCGTTCAAGCCACTGACATTCGACAGGCAACACTGTAAACGGTGCTACAGCCGACATCGCCATAACAACTCATGGTTCCGATCTCTACTTCGCTATTTGCGCAGCCATGGGCTTCGCCGGCTTCTGCTTCATCGGTCTTGCCTTCCGCAAGGAGCGCCGCGACCGTCTTTTCCACTACATCACCGCAGCTGTCGTCTTCGTAGCATGCATTGCCTATTTCACCATGGGATCCAACCTGGGTTTCACCCCGATTCAAGTGGAGTTCCCTCGCAGCAACTCCGTTGTGCGCGGTACCTACCGTGAGATCTTCTACGTTCGATACATCGATTGGTTCATCACGACTCCGCTCTTGCTTCTCGACTTGCTGCTCACTGCTGGCATGCCGTGGCCTACAATTCTCTGGACTATTCTCGTTGATGAGATCATGATTGTCACTGGTCTGATTGGTGCGCTTGTCGTCAGCAGGTACAAGTTTGCCTACTTCACTTTCGGTAAGTCCAAGTCGTTCGAACAATTCTAGTAGCATCTAACACATCGTAGGCTGCGTCGCCCTCTTCTATATCGTCTACCAGCTCGTCTGGGAAGCCCGCCGCCACGCTAATCGCTACGGCTCCGAAGTCAGCAAGTGCTTCACATACTGCGGCTCCCTGACCGCATTCCTCTGGATCCTGTACCCGATTGCCTGGGGTCTCTGCGAGGGTGGCAACGTCATTTCGCCCGACTCTGAGGCGATTTTCTACGGTGTCCTTGACTTCATTGCTAAGCCTTGTTTTGGTGCTCTCCTCATCTGGGGTCACCGCAATATCGACCCTGCATCGATCGGTATGGCCATCAGGGATTACGATGGTGACGCGATTGTTCATGAGAAGCGTGCGCCTCACAATAACGGCATTAACCCTCCTCTTGATGGACCTGTAAACACCGACGGCACCAATGGTGTCAACGGCCACCAGGTTTAAGCGTTTTGGTGGGGTGGGTAATGCAAATATACCCATGTGTAATGATCAAATTGGAACGATCTTTGGATTAAGACAAGTGCGACCATTAATAATGTAATGAAGGGAAAGGAAGGGCTGTGCAAGTTGTTTGGAAGTTGAGTATGTACTATACTACAACACAGTAATGACACTAGTACAAAACCGCTGTCTTTCCTCACTGCGCACTCTTCCTGTATACAGAAATCAAGCGAAATGCCGACTTCCTACTTGATATATCCTGGGTACATATTAGAAGCGTTCAAACGTATACAACGGAGTCTATCAAAAGACTCCACGATCCTGCGCTCATGTACATCCAACATCGAACGTTGTGCCAAACGAGCTATCAAGCCGTCGCGGACTGCAGTCATCTGTCGCAACGAGCCCTTCATCATTACTCCCAGCTACCGTTCCCGCTTGCGGCCCAAGAACTTCACTCCGGGCCGACAGAATGATGCCTATCTACGCTCTTGCTTCTCAATCACATTGCACACCGATGAAATCTAAATCAAAAGAGTCATCGAAGAAGAATATTATCATTAGGGTATCACATCAGCTCGCTAATCTAATTATAAATAGTCAAAACATCTGTAGAGTTATTGTACTCCGTCGGCGCACACTTCTCAGTATACCCACCAAACATCTCGCCCCTCTGCTGAATAAAGTCGGTGAACGAGCCCTCCGAGCAGCTATCACCGGGTCCAACAGCGCACTCCAGCTGCTGCGGGTCCTGGTTGACAAGGACACGAACATAAGTTCCGGCAGGGTAGCCATAGCTATCGCACTCCATCCTCTCAATAGCGATGTTGGTCAGGAACGGCAGGATGCGCGAAGATATCCATTCGCGCTGGTAGTTCTGCTTTGTGAGCGGCATGGTGGCGTTGATGTTTGCGGCGCCGGCGAACTCGGTGTTGTTGAAGATGCCGAGCGCGACGGCGACGGTGGGCGGCAGCTCGCGGTGGGTGAACGAGACGTACAGATCCTGGGTGGAGTTGTCGGCGAGGAGCTGTTGTGCTGTGGCATTCAACCAGGGGTACCCAAGGACGCCGGAGATCTCGTTGCCGTAGCCCGTGTTGTAGAAGTACTGAATGTCGTTCATGTACTCGAACTGGAGCCACTCGTCTGCGCTGAACAGCTCGAGCGAGCAGAAAGGGGACTGACCGCGGATGACCGTCTCATAACCACACAGCTGCTGCATAGCTGTGATGTCGTTGGCAGTCCAGTTGAAGCTAGGGGCGAGGTCGCGGAAACGCTCGATGACCGGAGCTGTGTAGACCTTCTGGAACTGCCCTGACTGTTTGCTGCCAAACGAAGAGCTGTACTTGGGGCAGCCCTTATAAGGTGTCAAAGAATTGGCACCCTCAGAATCATCCTCAGATACGGCGACTCGCTCAGTCTCGTTGCTCTGTGTGACAAGGCCCTCAATGAAGGACTTGGAGCTGAGCTCTGTCCGCTCGGCCGTCGAGGTCCAGACTTTCTTGGGGTTCTTGAGCCCAGGATAGCGAAGACGAACTTCAGTGCCCAGCTTGTACGACTCAAGGCGGCCAACAGTGGTAAGGTCTTCTAGCTCCTCATCCGAGATGGGTGTCTGCCACTTTTGCAAAAAAGACAAAGGACCTGCAGACTTCCAGTTCACGGACATGTTGCCCAACTTGTCTGTGAATGGCTCGATGTACTCCTCGTAGTCGAAGTCGTTCGCATAGATGGCGGCATGGCGAACTAGGTAGGCTGCGCGAGTGACATTGCAGCCCTGAGGTGGAGCAGGATCAGATTGAGGGTCCTCGAAGTATGGAGCAATCTTTATGAAAGAAGTTAGTAAGGAGTTTTCGAAAATAAACAAATCAAGTAAGAGAACTTACACCAGCCAAATGGTTCAACACATCGAAGGAATATGCTGCATTGGCAGCATTGACCACTGCAAGAGTGAAGAGCGCTGAGGAAAGCATTGTGGATTGAAGGTTCGCTACAGAGACAACTGCGGTAAACAGCGCGCCTTCTCAGCCTTTAAGAGATCCCATATTCCCAGTTGCCCCCTTAGCGCGCACGAGAACATGGTAATTAGACACTTCCAGCTGCCGGAGTTCGGCACTGGGGATTTACAGTACTATATGAGAAATATAGGATGACATGACGATGGTGATGACTGTAAACAGGGCAGACTCAAGCTTTCTTGGTCAATGCTTACCTGTGAAAGGCATGGTGACCGCATTGACGCGCATCCAGGCCCGCTCGCTACGTCATGCAAGCTACTACAACAGGACAACCGTCATCAACAAACTTTCGTGTGGCTCAAAAGGGTCGAAAAGTGAACACTGATGCGTGGCAGACAATTATGTTGATTGGGCTGTAGCTCCCTGAGCCACAAATGTGCCGTTTCAGCCAAATCGCCAACGCTAAAAACACCCCAACTAAGGATTGAAAGACTATCCCAGCCACAACACCAGCCCCTACGCCAGCCCTTATGCAAACCTCCGCCACTTTTCTCAACTAGACGGCCATTATCTGCCGCCTCAAGCTTTGCATGTTGAGCTCCAATGCGTGGCATTCATCCTCCTTTGCGTGCAAGAGCTTCTGGAGTGCCTCCTTCTCCGACCTGAGCGCCTGTAGCTTCCCACCAACTATCTCTCGATACGCACCATGCTCCTGCACAATCGCCTCGATCCTCGACCACTCACTGGCACTCGGCTTAGTTTCAGTTGCGCTGCCACTTGATCGCTTTGCCAACTCGACGTCCTTGGCCTTGAGCTGTGCCTCGAGATCTTGAACATGATCCTTCCAGGCCTGGTGCGCTGTCATGCGGTTAAGGTCGTCGATACTGGCACCTCCTCTCAAGGTCTCCACTTGTGTGACTAGATCTGAGTTTCTCTTCTCCAACTCAAGCACGCGTTGCTCAAGTGCTGCTGACTTGGCGGCAGCAAAGAGGTCGTTCGTGGCCCGGCGCTCGATAAAGCTTCCTGGCCTTCCTCGAGTAGGACTCTTGGTTCCTGCCTGCGATTGTAGGCGTTCGACCTCTCGTGTCTTGTCTGCCAGTTTGTTCCTTACGACCTGGACATTCACAAGGTCTTCGTCGCGAAGAGCCGTCATTGCTTCCAGCTGCCGATCCTTCTTAGCTAAGAACCCACGTATCTTGATGTTGTTCTCCAGGTCCTCGTCTCTCAAAGCCCAGATCGCTGTGTGCCGTTTCCAGAGTTGTGCCTTCTCTTCTTCGATCTTCTTCAGTCGCGCTGTCACCTCCTGGTATTCGGCTGGCTCGACAGCAGCCACGGGATCTGATCGCTCGATGTATATAAGCTTTGACATTAGCGCAGCAAGTTGGGACTCCAGAGGCCCAGGAACGTGCGGTGCAGGAGCAGGTGACACGGGCTCATCGTTTGCTTCGTCGGCATAGAACATCACCGGAATCGATGTTGGTGTCTTCTCAAGGTATTCTGGGACCTGCTCTTCGCCATCAAGCGTCGAAGCAAGAGACTCGGTGTCATTGTCTGCCTCACTGCTAGGAGTATTCTGTTGGCTTTGAGGTGTAGTGTGCAGAATCTGAGGCACGACGCTGACAACAGGTTCTTGAACAGACTCGTTTCTCCAAGCCTCGATGACTGGTCGTTCTGCAGGAAGAAAAGGCTTGTGTTCCTTGGGCCGGGGCTGCCATATCGCTGGTATGACGAGTTTGCTCACGGGGCGTGCAGCCATCTGTTCGTCACCGAAGGCTGTGTCTGACGACTGGTCCGAGTCGTAACCTCTTATCTCCGCAAACGACTGGTTCGAGGCTACTGATTCTGGGCGACCGCCGTATATCGAGGCGACTGAGTGTATAGATGCTGTGCGCTCAGCTCGAGGCGTTGCGCGCTGTGAAGTCCACATCTTCGGAAAGACAGTGTTGGTTTCGTATGAATTCGTCGCGAGTGTATGGGTATCTGTATACGTCTGGAAACACAGATGGCGACGATGGGAGTGGCGTGGAGAGTCGCTTGCGTAATAGGCAAGGCTGCACAATGGTAGAAATCTGACTTGCAGGTAAGTCGCAGACCACTTATGAGCTTATATTCTCGTGTCCCTTTCAGTATATGATAGTGGCGGCTTGCAAACACATCCTGAAACCGTGCTGCGACGGAGGAGGTGGAGTGGCTACACCCGCGACAAGAATAGAAGAGTGACAGCGGCAGATCGCAAGAAGCCTGTCTTCACCATCACCGATCGGCAGCAGCCTCACAACTTCGCAATCTTTTCTTTGCTGCCCGTGGTTTAGACCATCAATTGTCGTCGATGGTTTCACATATGCCAATGTCCGGTATGCGATGGATGTTACCTTTTAGCCTTGCAATACTTACGGGAGGGCCGAGTTGATTTTCAAAAAGACGAACAATAACAACACGTTGATTATTGCAAGCAGATAAAACTTCGAGGCTGTTGACACGTACAGCTAAGTTGAAGTTGCGGGCTTGAGGAAATCCAAAATTTGACAAGCCAACCTGAAACCTCTACAGTCACATACACAAACTCGCTTGACTGCACAACGATGACCCTGTCACAGACTTGATGCCTTCTTTACACTAGATGCCTCAGCCATGGATCGGCGAGCCCTAAACAATGTGTTACAAGAAAAGACAAAAACAATGTTGTTGTGCAGACCACTCGCTGTTCGGTTCAGACAGTGGGACGAACGTTACATTGAATTAAATGAGACCTACAACAAACGATCTTACGCCCTTAGATATCATACCGATCCGACTCGTGTTCGACCGGTCTGTATATGAAATAATCAAACCCAGCCTTCGTCTCAGTACCATTCAGATCACTCGCTGCAACACCCACAAACGCACCTGTAAAGCTACCGTGCGCCTGATGCCCTCCACACTCATCACTTAGGATACTCGCATCGTACACAGGACCAATCTCCCTCAGTTTGTCTCCTTCCACCGCATAAGAAAACTGCAGAGCCTTGCCACGGATGCTGAGCGCTAATTTCACCTTTCCTTCCTGCGGAATTTTCACAGAGTCGGCTAGTGGCATCTTCACATTGCCATCTGGCCACGACATCTCAGATGTCAGAATGAGTAGTTCGCGATTGCCGTCTGCATGCGCCGTGACAGTCAGATAGAAGAAGTTGAAGCGGCAGTAATATGCCGTCAATCCTGCAAATTGCCTCTCATCGGTTGGCGAGAATGAGATGGTCGTCTCTGCGTCATACGAAAAATGTGTTTGACGTCTTGCAACTAGTGCTTGCTCGAACCAGCTACCGATCGCTTCGCGGCCAGTGAGCTGCAATTCACCGTCTTTGACGTTGAAGATGCGCTCCGGTTCGGGTGTGCGTAGCCACTGGAAGTCCTTGTGCAGACCGGCCCGAGCGGAGAATGTGTAGTTTTGCTCCGCCCAGTATGCTGTGTCATCACGGGTCGCAGGAAGGTCGACGTAGAGTGACGGGACGGGGCCGTCTTTGATATAAAGCCAGTCATCGTCGCTCCAGTAGGCCTCCTGAATCGCGGTTTCGCGGCCCAAAACACAACGCCGATTTTGAGTAGTTGGGCGACCTGTGAGGTGAACAAGGTAAGTCTTACCTTCCGGAGTCTCGATGATGTCACCGTGGCCTGCTTTTTGCAGTGCGGTGAGCGGGGCGTCCTTCGAAGTAAGGATGTGCTTCTGGGGATGTAGTTCGTAAGGTCCCCAGATGTTGCGTGACCGAGCCAGAGTGCAAGCGTGCTCGTATGCCGTTCCACCTTCAGCAGTGAGAAGGTAGTACCAGCCATTTCTTTTGTAGAGATGGGGACCCTCCACTAGATCCAGCTCGGTGCCATGAAATATTGTCTTGGTAGGACCGACTAATTGGTGACTTTTCGGATCCCACTCTTGCAACCGTATACCTGCGAAGGATCTCGGGCGGCGACGGTGGTCTTGCAGCATGTTGACGAACCACTTCTTGCCATCATCGTTGTGGAACAGAGATGGATCGAATCCAGATGAGTTGACGTAGAACGGATCAGACCAGGGGCCTTCGATGTGATCTGCCGTGACTATGTAATTTGGAGTGTCCTTGAAAGAGCCATCTTTGCGCTTGACGTCGGTATAAACCAGGTAGAACTTCTCGCCATCGTGACTTAGACATGGTGCCCATACTCCACAGCTATCTGGGTTGCCACGCATGTCAAGCTGGCTCTTCCTACTCAGCGGCCGTGTCACGAGTTCCCAGTTCGCAAGATCCTTGGAGTGGTGGATTTGAACGCCTGCGTACCATTCGAAAGTTGACGTAGCAATGTAGTAGTCATCCTTGACACGGAGTATTGATGGATCCGGGTTGAAGCCTGGCAAAATGGGGTTTCGAACAAGGGGCATATCGGAGTATGTGACCTACTTTGATGAAGCAAAGGTTGGAAACATATCGCATCTGTCGTCTTCTATGGAACTTGCTTACCTGAACATGAGGCTAAAATCGTGAGGAGAGAGATCGACATCTGCATTTAGCCGGACGGTATTAGCCCGAAATACGGCGCAGACTTGTAAGAATCGGTCTCTGCTTCCATGCTTGATCAACTGCAACTTCAACTTCGTGTCTCCGTTCCTCGGCTCAGTGTAGAATTTGCGTACTGAGTTCGAGCTCTGCTGGAACGGCTGACGAACATCGTATGCTCCGCTAACACGGATTCGGTGTCCAGCTTGTGAAGGCTAGCCAAGGCTCATCAGCTAGAGACTTGCCGCCGGGCCAAAATTTACCAAGCATTGATCCGCTTTCCCAAATCGCTCCGGACCACAGTCGTGGCCTATCATTGCGGAATGAAGCACTGAGCAAGCGACCCAGCCGCCCAAAAAGTCCTTCTCCGCCATCGGCGCGCTGAAAACGTCTAATAAGAAGAGATGAGCGATAACATCTAGACATCACAGATCACGAAGGCGCCTGTCAAGTGAGCGCCAGCAGGACGGGAACCAACGCCAGCGCTGATCCAAAGCCGTTAGTTCATCAGATCCTGAGAGTTTACGGGCTATGCTCGCTGATCAAGGCAGGAGCTCCGTTCTTCCAGCAGCGGAGCGCCCGCCCTGTGGAAGCCATAGCTGCTTTCGCGTGCTGCTGTTCGCTCTTGCGCAAGGCTTCGAGACCACTTGCCATAATGAAGATCTGATAATTTGCAAGGCGAGGGAACGATCATCTGTTCATTGAACCTTGACGAAGCCAGCTGCTAAGCAAAACGTGATATAAAAGGGACGACCTGCTCCTGCCGCATTTGGACGGTACCTTTGTCGACCTTCAGCGGTCTTATCTCTTATGTCAAGTTTCTTCCACTGTCACTTCTCTTGATTGCACCATCATGCGCAACCTTTTTAGAAGCGGTCCTCATTTGGAGCAACCCGTAGCCGACCAGGGCGAAACGAAGGATATCAACAAGGCTGGTCAAGCCCTAGTAGTCGATATCAAACGCCCCATCGACGACTCGAGTGGCATTGAGTCCTTCACCGTAGATGCACACAATGGTGTCAAGAAGATTGAGGCTACCACCACCCTGTGGGATAAGAAGTCTCTCATCGCTGCGTATATTTTGATGTGGATGATCATGTTTGTGGACGATATGTTATATTCATCACTCTTGACAAGTTCATACTGACACAGCGAAGCAATGTAACAGGGAACTTCGGGGTATCTCATTACTTTCGGGACTAGCCCTTGCCAACAGCATTCGTTGACAGCTTACATTGGAGTACGTACCGTTTTCCTAATTACTCAAGCACGCGACTCACCATCTCCAGGTCATGTCTAGTATCATTGGTGGAGTACTCAAGCTTCTCCTGGCCAAGACTCTGGATATCTTTGTTCGACCGCAGGGATTCGCTCTCATGGCTGCTTACCTAGTTATCGGTTTAGTAGCGGCTTGCAACAACGTGCAGACATACGCTGCAGCCAGATCTTCTACTGAATTGGGTACTTCAATCATCAGATACAATCACTGTCAACATATACTAATTCCTCAGATACAAAGCCATGTCGTACGTCATCTCGATTTTCATCGCGGACACATCTCATCTCAAGAATCGTGCCTTCATGTTTGCGTACGTCAGCTCGCCATACATCGTCGCCGTCTGGATAACCGGACCCTTGGAAACTGCCTACCTTGCTGGCGCTGGTTGACGCTGGTTGTATGGGTCCTCTGTCATCATCACCATCGTCGTCACGGCCCCCTTGTTGGCCTTGTTTTTGGACGAACTACTGCAAGGCAGTGCGAGCCGGCATTATCCTCCCAAGCAAGAGCAATCGCAGCTTCATCGAATCCGTCAAGTACTACGCCATCGAGTTCGATGTTGGTGGTCTCGTGAGCGGCTTAGTGTTCCTCTTGCCATTCAGTCCATACTCCTACCAAGATGGGCAGTGGAAGAGTGCCTTTGTTATTTTCTTCCTGGTCACCGGCGGGCTTATGCTCATTAGATTCGTACTCTACGAGAATTTTGTTGCTCCGAAGAGTTTCATGCCCTTCGAGGTTCTGCTCGACCGCACTGTTCTTGGTGCTTGCATTGTCTCAGGCGCCTTCCTTGTCAGCTTCTTCATCTGGAACGCGTACTTTTTCTCCTACCTCACCGTGGTTACCTGACTGGACGTCACAAGGGCGACATATGTTGTCAAAATCTACAACACAGGGGCCTGTTTCTGGTCCTTTGTCGTTGGTGTTCTTATCAGATGGACTGGTTGACTTAAGTGGATTGCACTTTACTTCGGTGTGCCGGTTTCGATGCTGGGCGTAGGGCTTTTGATTCACTTCTGGAATAACTCTAATGTTGGCGTTGCTTCATCGTCATAAGTCAAATTTTCATTGCCTTTGTGGGTGGCGCCATTGTTATCATCGAGCAGTTGGCTGCTATGGCTGCGACGACGCATCAGTATGTCGCTGTGGTTCTGGCCGTCGAAGGCATGTTCTCGAGCGTCGGCGGCGGCACCGGCAGCTCGATATCTGCAGTTCTGTGGACTGTTATCTTCCCAGCCAAGTTGGCCGAATACCTGCCTGCTGAAGTGCAATCATCCCTTATGGCCATCTATGCCGATATTGTAACGCAGACATCGTATCCTAAAGGCACCCCCACGAGAATCACAATCGCGCGAGCATACAGAGATTCCTAGAGGTACGTGGCCATTGCCTCTACTGCGGTTCTTGTTGTTGCGCTTGGAGGATTCCTGATGTGGAGAGGTAAGACCAAGAACCCGAGGTTCCCTTCAAGTGTGCATTTGCTGATCTTACACAAATATCAAGGTCAAGGATCTCAATCAGGTCAAAGGTCGCGTCTTGTAGGCGCCGTACCCTTGCTGATTTCCATCGAACTGCTGTGTTCAACCATGATGATCATGAGATGAATTCATAGCAACGGTACAATGAAGGGAAAGCTGTACGATGAGAGGCCGTCTCTGATTCTAGATACATGTGTAAGCTTGACATGTTCAATGTTATAATAATGACTGATAGGACGTATAGACCCCCCTTAATCCGGTACATGATCTGCAATGTCTCACCTCGTTGCTCAAACAGCAATACCTCCGAATGGACTTCTGTGCCTCTACACCTTCTAAGGGTGAGCTTGCAGAGTGTATATCCTGGGTTTCGCGAGGTGAAAGGAGTGTATGCAGGCCCGCCAATATACCGCCGCTGCCTTTCACTCCGCCGCTGCCTTTCACTCCGCCGCTGCCTTTCACTTCACCTTCACCATTTTCATCGAGCAGCGGACAATAACGGTCCCAGCCACCTCGAGCGATAGCGGAGCAGCAGTTGTCCCTATTGTCACAATGGCAAGCTCGCTGCGCACGGTAGGTGTAGGGCCCTATATCTAGCTTTATATCCTCGTCCTTGAGGTCCAAGTCTCCTTCACCCATCCTCTCTTCTTCTCTGCTCCTGGCGAGCTGTGTTCACCATCGCAGATTCTTCCTCGACACCGTCCTTCATTTCGCTTCTTATATCCATCATACATCATTATCATCCTTACTTCACCATGTCTCAGCAGTTCGACTTCACCAGCGCTGGCGCTGAGTTCGATGACTCTGGCTTCTTCACCCAGAGTGACGCTGGCAATGCATTTGTGGACTCACTTCTTGAGTTCACAGCTTATGGTGACGGCTACAATGCTTTCACAGATGTTCAGCAGAATGCGGAGGAAGAGTGGGAGGACGAGGTGGACGAGGGGAATGTATTCTTCAATCAGGCTTTTGAGCCTACCTTCGAGCAGCAGAGCGACTTCGAAGATAACTTGGCTACTACATCACCTTCCCCTTCTCTCGCGTCTCCAACCCCTTCGGCTTCGGCTTCGGCTTCGGAGGCCCTCAGCGATGATTCGGCCATCTCTCTTTCTAACTCGCTGGACGATGTTGGCGCCATCATCCTCAATAACAGCCTTTGCGCCCCTCTTGCAACTTTGACAACCGCCAACTACACACCAGACCCTTCTGTCCTCACTGCAGTACCCGAGGCTACCCCCGACCCCACCGCCATCTACGATCCCCTAACCACCCTCCATTTTCGCACCTCTGCCAACGCAAAGGCACACCGTCGCCGCGCTCGCCTTCCGCCCAAGTCTCAAGCTCTCGATGTCGCACGCGTCAAGCACTATGGTCGCGACTACTGGGTGCGTCGCATCTACAACGCCATGATCGACATTCGCTATATCACCGATGGCGACTCCTCCATCCACCGCGCCCGCTTCACCCAAACCCGAGCCTTCCACGCGCTCGACCTCGAAGCTACCGCACACCACATCTTCGACGAAGCCATTGCTGTCCATGAGCGCGGCTGGATCCGCCCCACCGTGTACCACAAGAAGGTCGTGCGCGGCAAGTTGATCGACCTCAGCGAGAACTCGCTGGAAATGCGGCTGTCCAGGATTTGTCTGTGTCTGCAGCAGAAGAAGAGCAGCGTTGATGATGCGATTCGTGGCGGTGTGACGCTGGCGCTGCTGTGCGATAATCCCGAAGCGAGGAGCTTTACTAAGGCGAGTAATGATGTTGGGAATAAGAAGAGGGGTATGCGGTTGAAGGAGACGAGTACGAAGGAGAAGGCGAAGAAGAAGGCGCAGGTGGCGCAGGCGCATCAGCAGGATGCGAAAGTCCAGGTAGAGGGTGTTCCGAGAGCCCATGATGTTCGGGAGCAGGTCGGAGTTCGAGAGGAGTAGCTGAGGCGCTGGTGTTGGCAGCGGTGATCATTTCGAGCGTTCTTGCGAGATACAGTCTTTGCTGGCGAGGACTGTGTATTAACGATGACGACCTTAGGACTTTACGACCCCATCCTTCTAATAAAACTTGACTCCCCCAATACTCTCGACCTTTGCCACTCCCTTCTCTTTCTTCTCATCATGAACACCCGCCTGCTCCCTCTCCTCCCGCGCCGCTTCCTCTCTCAGCGCCCTCCTTTTCTTCCGACTCTGAAACAACGCCTCCTCCTCCTTAACCTCCCTCAGCACCTCCGCCCACTCCCTCTCACTCCCCTCGTCCCCCGTCCCCAACACCTTCTCCACATCGACATCCTCCCCATTCTGCACGCGCTCAATCACCTCCCTCAACAAGCCGATCTTCGCCTCCGCTTTGTGCAGACTGTGCGCACGCTCTTGCTTCAGCCACAGAATTTGGATCGCTTGTGAGCCGACGAGGAGTGATAGGATTATGTAGGGCGTCGCGGGATTCCACCCGCGCGATTTGGGGGCGGAGCCGCGGTCTTTTAGGGGTTTGGGGATCATGGAAGCCCAGAAGCTGGGGCGGAGGATTGTTGGGGTGGATAGGAAGCGTGCGTGTGGGAGGGAGGGTGCGAGAGAGAAGTTGCGGGTCGCGACGAGAGTTGTGCGGCAGGACGCTGGTGTACGAAGCAGTTGGCGCACGAGGATTGAGGGCTCCATTGTGGGCGGTGATGGCAATTGAGTTCGCGATGGGTGCTGATGCGGTGATTTGAGATGAATCTTGGGAAAACATGAGCAAGGGTCCGCGAACTAGTGGAGACTAGCGCGTCGCTGATGTGGTTGACATGTGCCGAGGTATGAATGATGTACATGTACTGGACATTATCCCGCCTTCAAACCAATACACAATCTTCACGATGGGGGAGCATTTTAAGAAGGTGTTTGCCAAGCATGGCGACATATCTCCCAAGGAGAGGGCTCAGAAATGGGTACAACCACATCCACGTCGAACATGCTCGGTACTAATACGCGTGTAGTTCGAAGTCGCAATGGGTGGGGACTACGAGGCACGTCCAGGTCTCTGACAGAAAGTGTTGATTCGCTAACTTGCTCCAGGGACACGATGCAATGCTGTCGCATATACTGAATCTGGAATCTGTTACTGTGGCGCCTACAAGCAAAGACCCTCACAACTCCCGCATAGTCTACAGTTTCACAGTACCGAGGCAGTTGTGCAATATGGGTGGCAACCTGCATGGAGGAGCAGTCGCATTGATCTTCGACATATGCACCTCGACAGCCATCACGGCTATCAGCCGCGACGGGTTCTGGGATACAGGTATCCAAGTCCAGAACTGAACTTTGGAGGCACCCGTGTACTGATGTCTAAGCAGGCCACGTCAGTCGCAACTTGAATTGCACATACTTACGACCTGCTGCCGAGGGCACGAAGGCGTATGTGATCAGTGAAGTCGTTCATCTGGGGAAACGTCAAGGTCTGACCAAAGGAGAGATCAGGTTGGAGACTGAGGATGGAAAGATAGCGTATACTTGCGAGCATGGGAAGGCTGCCGTGGGGCAATCCAGTCTGTAAGAAGTTTTGTACTACGAAGGGGTATCTGTAGACGATTACCCAAGTTCCTTTGGATGCTTCCATGATATCGTGAGGTTGCTGCTGGGGGGTGTTGATCGAACCTCCAAGATGACGTTGGGTCCTTTGCCCGTGCGCACCTCCCCCCATTGGTTGACATCTGATGTTGCGGAGCGTCGGTACCTGGAGACATCAGACAGACCATCGACTGTACAACAACGACCACACCATAATGGATCTCGGTGATGATTCCCCTTGGGGTGGTAAGAATACTCAGGCGCCATAGCTGTCCTACAAAACATTGACGTCGTGTTAGACGTGCCCTCGCAATCGGTACAAGACCCCCCAAAGCAAGACAAGGACGAATCCAGCACGCTTTCGCCTACGCCAAACAACGCAGCTGCCAGCTCTACACCCAGCGCTTCAGCTGCACCGCGCTCGCCTGCCGCTCGTGGACCTCGCCGGCGCCAATATGGCACCCAGTCGACGAAGCTCGAGGCCGTAGACGATCCGCTGGGCCCGCTGGGAGCTCCCACGCCGCCCACAGCGTCTGATGTCGGACCTCCAGCACCGCCGCAGAAGGAGAATGTTGCATCACGGAACAATCGCCCGACGACTGGCGCCTCGACATCATCGTCTCTGCGCGGCATGATGGACTCGGTAGACCTCAACGACGACGAGGACGACGAGCGTGTGCGGTCGCAAGGTCCCAGAGTGCCCCCACCTGTCCAGGCACCGGTACACGCAGCACCTCAGCGCCAGGCACAGCCAAGTGTCAGCGTCGAGCAGGCTGCGAAGCCGACCTTCTCCATCTACGTGGGCGACCCGCACAAGGTGGGCGACTTGACAAGCTCGCACACGGAGTACTCGGTCACCACCAAGACGACCTCCAAAGGCTACCGAAACCCCGAATTCACAGTCTCACGCCGATATCGCGACTTCCTTTGGCTGTACACCCAGCTGCACAACAACAGCCCGGGTGTCATCATTCCCCCGCCCCCGGAGAAGCAGTCTCTCGGTCGCTTCGAGGCTGACTTCGTCGAGTCGAGACGTGCGGCGCTGGAACGTATGCTGAACAGAATAGCTGCGCATCCTGTACTACAGCACGACACCGACCTGAAGCTCTTCCTCGAAAGTGATGCCTTCAACGTGGATATCAAGAACAAGGAACGCAAGGATGTTGGGCTGGGCGAGAGCAAGGGCATGTTCGGTGGCATGCTTTCCGGTAGTAGCGGCAAGTTTGTCGAGCACGACGATGTAAGTGCCTACCCCAATACATGTTTACAATTGCTGACTTGCAGTAGTGGTTCCATGATCGCAAGATCTATCTCGACGCTCTGGAGAACCAGCTCAAGGCACTTCTCAAGGCTACTGATACCGTCGTCATACAACGCAAGGGGCTTGCAGAAGCTTGCGGCGACTTCTCCGCCTCATTGCACTCGCTATCTGCCGTTGAGCTCTCGCCCTCCCTTTCAGGCCCCCTGGACAGCCTCTCCGACATCCAAATACGGATCCGCGAACTCTACGAACGCCAAGCTCAGCAAGACGTCCTCACAATGGGCATCGTAATCGACGAATACATCCGTCTGATCGGCTCCGTAAAGACAGCGTTCCAGCAGCGCCAGAAATCCTACCACTCGTGGCACGCAGCCGAGCAAGAGCTGCAGAAGCGCAAGACCAACCAAGACAAGCTCCTAAGGCAAGGCCGATCGCAACAAGATCGTCTCAACCAACTCAGCGCCGACGTCGCGGACGCAGAGCGAAGGGTTCACCAGGCTAGGCTCCTGTTTGATGACATGGGTAGACTGATGCGCAGCGAATTAGAGCGTTTTGAAAGGGAGAAGGTGGAGGACTTCAAGTCGGGCGTAGAGACGTATCTGGAGAGCGCTGTGGAGGCGCAGAAGGAGGTACTTTGTTCCATTCCCGCGGTTCCTTCTGAAGTTGTGCTGACACAATCATAGCTCATTGAGATCTGGGAGACATTCCTCATGCAACTGGACACCGAGGAAGGCGAGACATTCGTTCCACCGGCTGGTGTCGTCGCGTCGCCTACAGCAGAACAGCCCGAGTCTGCGAATGGGCGCTCCAATGCGCAGGAAGAAGAGGAGGCGCCGCACGCGGATGTTGAACAGGAAGTAGCAGCATAGTAGCTACTACTCCTGCAAATTCTACGAATCGATAATGCTACCCTGACTCTACCCTACTTGCGGATCTCTCAGTTTCTTGTGTGTCCAATCAATCAATACCCGCTCGTGTCAAACAGGCGATCAACAAATTCTAAAAGCCTAGATGTAAGCTCGTTCAGTACGGGTCAAGTAAAAAAGCCGCCCCATTCGGTGGTGGAGTGCGCGCCCTGCTCGGTCATACAATTGTTGTTCGGTCACTGTTCGGCCACTGCAGGACGAGATGCATTCAGGTGGAACGGGGACTGATCTTTCGGCAGCGTAGAGTCGACGCATCGGTGGCTGACAGAGATGTATGGACCCCCCTGTGTTGATGCGCAATCAAAAGAGGTAACATCTGGTTGGCCGACCCCCTTGCGTGAACGTGCAGATCGCGCCGTACGGGGGTTGTGTGATGGTTATACGGTAAGAGGCATCCACAGGTGCCGTGAGTGGCTGTGTATGTACGGATCAGAGTCTGCACCTCAACGACGACGGACAAGGAAGGAAAGGAACGACAAGCACGGGAGCACGCATCAAAAAAGTGTGGACTGTAGATGTAAAGACAAACAAATAGATTAAACATTTGAGAATGGTATATAGTACGAAAAGCAAAACCCAAGAACCTAACCAGCCCCAACTCTAGGTGAGTTGTGGCCATGAGCGCTCATGTATCGGCTCCGAGTGTCGTGCCCGTCAGTGCTCCAAATCAAACAAACAATCATCAATATCATCAAAGCATGCCAGCTGGTGGCCCATTCGTCGCCGGTGCAGTCGAGGCCTGCGCTTGAGCCGGCTTCTTGGGCGCAATCTCCTGGATCGAGATCTCGGAGTCAACCGAGTCTCTCCATTGCGAAATGCCCTCGTTAGTGTCGTGCTGCTCTTTCGTGGGTGTGCGCTCGAAGTCGAATCGATCGCTGAGGCGGTACGCTTTGTTTGTGGTCTCCCAGTGACTCCGCAGAGCGTCGAGCTCTGAGGCAAGGTTGTCCAGCGCCATGGAATTGCGGGTTGCGGTGGATGCTGGGCGGTTGTTGGGTGCTTCTGGGGTGCTTGAGCCGTCGTTGTGGCTGTAGAGGGAGTCGGCTGAAGCGATGCTGTCGTGTGTGCGGTGACGCGTGATTTCACCGTTACTGCTGCCTCCCGGCACCTGTGACTGGCGGCGGTAGCTGTCTACAGAGTTCTCGAACTGATCGAGGAACATTTGCACCCGGTTCTCTGCCTCGCGTGCACGTTCTTCGACGGCAGTGTACTGCTGACGAAGAGAGTCAAGGTCAGCGCGAGATTGATTCGCGGTGGACTCGGCTTGCTTGGTCCGGTTCGCTGCTAATTCAGCTTCCTGTCGCGCTGCGGTCAGTTCGGACTGCAGTGTGGATAGCTGGCTCTCAAGATGGACGACGGTTGTCTTCATGCTGTCCTGAACCTTTGCAAGCTCCGTGCGCAGTGACGTCCTCTCCGCTTCCCACTCCGCAGTCTGCTCTTTAGTCGGGCTTCGCGAGGTCGAAGTTGCTTGCTTAAGCTCCTCCTCAAGCTTCGTGTTCGCGTTCTTGTACCTGTCGAGCTCTTGCTTCATCTTAGCAAGCATCTTCTCTGTACCTCGTAGGTATTTGACGGCTGCCTGATGATCATTGTGCAGAGCCTGTAATTTCTCCTCCCAGTCCCTGCTGACATCGTGTTCGCGCTGCTCGAAAGAAGCACGCAACTCCTCGTGCACCTTGTTCATTGAGTCGATTTGTTGCTCAAGCTCTCTGACGCGATTGAGCTCCGGAGTGCCGAACCGTGAGTTCGGGCTGTCCAGCACTCTCGAACGGCGGTGGTCAACAGGGTTGACTCCTCTCTCCTCAAGAAGATTCTTGAGCGTTTTCAGTTGAACCTCGAACGCGTTACTCTCCAGTCGCAGGCGCTCATGCTGTTGGTGGAGCTCAGCCTTCTCCACCTCGGAGGCTTGCACGTCCCTCATGGCCTGCTGCAACTGTTTGCGAATCGTGAGACCTTCACGACTGGACTGTTCTTGGTAGGCCTCGAGGCCGGCGATCCTCTCCTCAGCGCGACGCAGCTTTTCGGAAGCCTGGTCGGCAGCCGCCTGGTTCTTGCGCGCCATAGCGTTTGCGGCTTCGACTTGTTGTTGTAGTATGCTGACGCGTTCGTTTGCGACATTGTCATTTGCGGGAGCGTGGGCAGCAATGCTTCCCAGACCAGACAGCACAGCTGCCTGATGAAGACGTGCTTCTGCTGCATGCTTCTCTGCCAGCTCTTCAGCATCGCGCAGTTTTTGAGAGGCGATCTCGAGCTCTGTTGTACGGGCCTCATGTTCAGCACGCAATTGACTGAACTTCTGCCGTATATCTTCCCTCTGACCGCGTTCTTCTTCAAGCTTCCTTTCCAGCAGACTTGACTTCTCTGAAGATGCAGCAACAGCTTCGCGTAGTGTCTCCAGTACTGCAGCATGGTTCGTCGACTGAGAAGAGAAATGAGCAACCTTGGCACTCAGCTCTTCCTTGTCAACAGCGAGCAGACGGGAGGATGTCTCGGCTTCGGCGGCGCTGGCAGACATTTCTCTCGCTACGCGTTGCGCCTCATGCAGCTCAGCTCGTAGACTTTCAGATTCGGCAGCTGCCTTTTGTCGAGTGGAGTCCAGTTCTTGCACACGTGCTTGCGCAGCTTCTGCAGTCTCATCGGCCAGTTGCTTGGCCTTCTTTTCGGCCTCGACCTCCTGAGTCAACTTCTCGACCAACGTGGTCAGTCCTGCTTGAGCGGCCAGCGATGCAGCCAGGCGTCGGCTGATGTCGTTCATACGGTCCAGATCGGGAGTGTCCGTGTTGCGACTGCCATCGAGCTGTGGAGTACCTGCCTGACTGCCGCCACCATGAGCTGCCAGCTTCGTCTTCGCGTAAATGGCTTCACTGATGGCAGCGTCTCGTTGCCGTTCCACTTCTGCAATCCGTTTCGCCGCGTCTGACCCTTGTGTCTTGATTGAAGTCTGTACACGGTCGACCTCTGCCTTCATCTTTAGTAGAGCCTCGAGCAGCGGTCGATCCTCATCTTGGAAGGTATCAGCGGATCGTTCGTCAAACATGGGGCTCGTCGAGGTGGCGGGATGGTAGCCAGCTTTGCGTGCTAAGGCGAGCTCCGAAGCGTACCATGCATTGCGATTTTTAGCAACATCGAGCTCGCGAACGACATCGTCATTGATGTGGGCGACTGCCGGCGAAGCACCCAGACCACTATCAACTTGTCGATTATCCGCCTCTCTGCTCAGAGCGCGTTGCTGTGGGGTTTCCATTGATCGCCTGGGTGTTTCTTGTTCAATGCTAGCTATAGTGTCGTGAGACGGCTGCTGCCTGTGTGATTGCGTTCTCGATGTGTTCCGCGAGGTCAGACTTCCAGATCGCGTTGTATCCATGGACTCCTTTGGCGTGCGCTGGCTGACGGCGTCGGAGCCTTTGCGCTGAAGTTCTGCACCGGACGGGCTGTCTCTAGCGGTTGGCGAGAGGTTCTCTCTGTCGAACGAAGACGCGGCCTCGGTGTCGATAGAAGGCCCGAGAGATCGCTCCGCTTTTGTCGGTGTTTTGCTTCTAGAAGCTGGGACTGCCTGAGGATTAGCGCCATTCATCCTCGGTTGAGGTGGTTGCTGAAGGGGTGGAGGTCCGGAAGGTGCCTGTCCAGCTGCACGAGGTAACCTCGACCCACCCGGTCCCATTCCGTTCGACATATCCGGAGCTCGTTGTTGGTGTTGCTGGTGTTGTTGTGGTTGTGGTTGTGGTCCAGGTAACATGCTTTCGCGATTTGGCGGTGGCCCGTTCCTGCTCTGAGGAATGTTGCTACGTTCGCCTCCGCTCAACTTGCGAGGAGTATTGATCGCTTGCTGAGGAGCCGCACTCTCATTAGGAGGATATCTAATCTTCGATGTATCCAAAATGTAGGCCATGCTCAGCTCGTTTCTTTCGCTGATAGAAGAGCTGGGCTCGCCCGCAAGGGTGACAATGTGTTTTCCAAATGCGGTCATGCTGTGACCTGACCGGGCAGAGGGCGAGTGCCCCATGTTCTGGAACATGTACCAACGACGAGACGTGATACGGAAGGCTGCAAGGTCTCCCAAATCGACGCCTTCTTGTGTGCGACCACCGAAGATGTACATGGTGTCGTTGACAAGGGCGGCAGAATGGCCCTCGCGAGCCACAGGGATGTAGCCAATGCAATCAAGCTCAGTCCAGGTGTTAGAGCGTGGCTCATATGTCCAAACATCATTGAACCAGGTAACACCGTCTGTGCCGCCGAACAGGTAGAGCCTGTCCGTCCATGCCACTACCGAGTGATTCGTGCGAGCGGGTGGCGATCGGCCCTGAGGAGAAGACTGATCCTTGGTATTTGGGAGCAGAACCTCCCAGCGGCTGGCCGACGACTGGAGGGAGTTCAAATCGAAAGCCACGAGGTCGTTGAAGAAGAAACCTTCCACTTGTCCACCAAAGATGTAGATCTTTGAGCCCAAGATGTTCAGTGTATGTCCATAACGTCCCGTAGGGCGTGGGCCCTGGGGCAATGCCCGTGACCAGTGTTTTGTCGCTGTAGTCCTGTCAGTCGCAGCGGTCATCCACCGAGGGGAACAAGCTTACAGGTATTCAAAAGATAAAGGGTATCATCCAGGTCGTCGTTGTCTGCCAGTTTTGTGTCTCCACCAAAGACAATAAAAGCATTACCAACCAACAGACTGGAATGCCCTACACGGGGCCCAGGTCCGTCTCCAGTAGTCGAGATGGGGTAGCAGGCCATGCTCCCGTTGCCCATCTCGGTCAGCCAGAGATCGCCCTTGACTGTTGCGCCGCCAACAAGACCTCCCATGAGGTAGACTGTGCCATCTTTGGAGGCGACTGAGTTGATCGCAGCGCCGTAGCGGGGAAACGGGTTGCCGGCAGTAAAGTTCAAGCGACGGGAGGACCACGGGTAGGGAGATTCTTGAGGAGCGTTCGCAGGCCTACCGTTTTGCAGTGCACCCTGTTGTGCGTTGTCAGCATACATGCAGAGCGATCGTGGAGAATGGGGGCCACGCACCTGTTCGTTGGACCCTGCTCTTTCCCGCAGGGCCTTGGGTTCAGGCGCGGTTGCACCCTGGCCGTCACGGCCCTGCAGGGAGCTCAGCGAATTGTTCACACTGCCGCTCGGCGTCGACGTGTTGGTCTGCGGCTGTGGCCCTGGACGGCCGCTGTCCTTCTCGCGAGGGGGTCCATTTGGCGGCGCGGCCTGAGCGCCGGGGCCATGCGACGAAGGGGTCTCTGGTGTGGCCGAGGGGAGCGCGCTGCTCTGCTGCTTGTTCTTCTTGCCGAACAGGAACGACATGGCGCCGGGTCTGCAGCCCGGGGGACGTTACAATGGCAGCTGGTGCCGGTCACGCACGCATTCGGTCTGCACGCGAGGCGGGCAGCGCGTTGGCTGGGAGCGTCTGGGGTACGCGCGGGCGAGATATGTCTCTAGTGTGGATCGAGGTTGGGGAGGCGGGTCGGCGTGCGAGGCGCTACAGGTCGGTGTTATGAATGCTCGCTGGAGCATGTGCGCATGCCTGGAGGGCGCAGAAGAGACACCAAACGTCGTTTGACCGGGCTATTGGGGGGGGGGATGTCCGGCGCCGCAGCTTTGGACGCAGCGCTGATGGCTGGGTAGGACAGCGTCTGGCGGCTTCGGCGACGAGACAGCAGCTATGAGACAGAGCGCACCAGCGGCCAGCACGAATTCGACGGTGCACCGGGGGCAGAGACAACAATGACAGAAAGCAGAGCCGCGCAGAGCCTTGGAGCGTCTCGGACAGCGTCCACAGTGGTCGCCGCGCGATCCCCCTGAGATGCAGCACGACAGGGATGGCGCTCACCGTGATTGGACTGCTGGGGCAGGGCGGACGAGCATTCACAGCATGCATGTATGTAGTGACGGCGTGGAGGGACAAAGCCCCGGCCACCTAATGGAAGGGCGTGTGACTCCTACACCCCGTTCGCTCACCGCAGATGCTGGAGGTATGCGAATGGCCCAGGAGTGTTTGCTCCATGTGCACCATGTGCATGTTGTGGGAGCAGGTAACGCGCGTGCCTCTTGAGAGCCGGACGGCGGTCCACCTTTGGCCGCGGTCAACCTATTGCACTTAGCCTCACCGTGACTCGCATCCACTTCGAAGCTTGTACGCCCGCGTCTTGAGCTGTAAAGGCAGCATAACAGCTGCACTGCACTGCACTGCAAGCTGCTCTTGCTCTCCGGCCCAGAGCCCTGCCCCGCCTGCGCTCCCCTCCAGCGCACATAGGCAGTTCATGCGACATGGGCGCTGCTGAGAGCTCCGTCACTCCACGCTCGAGCTCACCATGAGAACAGCCAACGACTCCGGCCACCCTCTCCCCAACCCACTTGCCTCGCACGCGCCTGTCGCCATGGACAACTCTGCCGCTGCCGCTTCGGCTCCCCGGGAATCGCGAGCAGCGCAGGACACTGCCTCATCACGGCCCGGTTCTTCCTCGATCGCCGCCCACGTCGCTGTGCAGTCGCCCGCGTCGACTGTCCGCCCAGCTCTGAGCGCCGCATCCTCCCACCGTCCACGTCTTGCGCGTGCAAAGAGCGATTTCGGCCCTCGACAAGCCGCACAGCAGCCCCACGAAGCCACCGAAGACGGCAGCGTGGACGGCCACTTCAAGATTCGCCATGGCTGGGACGACCAATTGAACTCGGAGGAGTACAGCAACATGCTGACGTCGGTGCGTTGAGTTGCGCTTGCCCGCGTGCTTCCTGGAACTGACCCGCCGCGACAGAACTTCTTCATGTACTACACCGACAAGAAACACGAAACGGGCGGCCATCCAAAGGGCGAGCTTGGCGCATCGACTGTACAAGAATGGCGCATGCGAGACCGTCTGAAGACCGTCTCTGCGGTACTGGCGCTGTGCTTGAACATCGGCGTCGACCCACCAGATGTCATCAAGACCAATCCATGCGCCAAAGAAGAATGCTGGATCGACCCTACTGTGACCTCGCAGACGCCAGGCCACACGCCCATGAACCAGATTGGAAAGGCGCTGCAGACCCAGTACGAGCAGCTGAGCATGCGCACGCGCTACAAGCTCTTGCTCGACCCTACCACGGAAGAGACGAGGAAATATGCGTCCACGCTACGACGAAACGCTAGAAACGAACGCGTCCTGTTCCATTACAATGGCCATGGTGTGCCGAAGCCGACGTCTAGTGGAGAGATCTGGGTCTTCAACAGGAACTACACCCAGTACATCCCGCTCTCGCTATACGACCTGCAGAGCTGGATCGGCGCTCCCAGTCTGTTTGTTTACGATTGCTCTGATGCTGGTCTGATCATCAGCAACTTCAACAGATTCGCTGAGAAGCACCAGGCCGAATTCGAAGAGGCACGGCGGCGAGACCCCAATGTCGAGTACGTGGACTTTAGCGACTGCATTCACTTGGCCGCCTGCCGGGAAAGGGAGTCATTGCCCACGAATCCAGAGTTACCCGCGGATGTCTTCACGTCCTGCTTAACAGACCCCATCACTATGGCTGTGCGATTCTTCATACTGCAGAACCCTCTCCCAAGCAAGGTCAGCTTGCGGGACGCCCACAACATCCCAGGCAAAGTCTCGGAGCGTCGAACGCCGATTGGCGAGCTCAACTGGATCTTTACAGCCATCACCGATACCATCGCTTGGAACTCGTTGTCGAAGCCCCTGTTCAAGAAGCTCTTTCGTCAAGATCTCATGGTGGCAGCGCTGTTCCGCAACTACTTGCTGGCTCAGCGAGTAATGCGCGTATACCATTGCAACCCTGTTTCCCACCCAGAGATACCACAGACACACGACCATCCTTTGTGGCGGAGCTGGGATCTTGCCGTTGAGCTTATCTTGGCCCAGCTCCCTGACTTGCAGGCCGAAGCTCGTGGCGAAAAGGAGTATCAGTACAAGCACTCAGAGTTCTTCTCCGAGCAACTCACTGCTTTCGAAGTGTACTTGTCGCAGGGAGCGGTCGAGCAGAAGATACCCGAACAACTCCCTATTGTGCTTCAGGTTCTTCTTAGTCAGGTCCACCGATTACGCGCTCTCATTCTTTTATCCAGCTTCCTGGATCACGGACCGTGGGCAGTCAACCTTGCCCTCAGCATCGGCATATTCCCATATGTACTCAAGCTCTTGCAATCTCAAGCGAATGAACTGAAGCCAGTCATGGTCTTCATCTGGGCTCGCATCCTTGCAGTTGACTCCTCGTGTCAGGCCGACCTGCTCAAGGACAATGGGTATCAATATTTCATCAACATCTTCAATCCAAGTTCTGGTATGTTTCCGTCCCCACTAGTGGTCTCGACATCAGGCTAATAAGAGGTAGGTATACCTATCCAGAACGCAAGTGAACATAGGGCCATGTGTGCCTTTATCATATCCATGTTCTGCAAAGACTACAACCAAGGACAACGTGCGTCATTGAGTACAGAGCTTGTGGAGAGCTGTCTAGATCACCTAAAAGACATGCAAAATCCTTTACTCAGACAGTGGTCATGTCTCTGTCTGAGCAAACTCTGGATCGACTACGAAGAGGCTAAATGGGTGGGCATTCGTTGCATGGCGCACGAGCGACTGTGCGAGCTGATTATGGATCCGGTCGCTGAAGTACGAGCCGCGATGCTGTACTCGCTGACGGCCTTTTTGGGAATCCGGGACGTTACAGCACAAGTCGCCAACATCGAAGAGACCATCGCGTCAATGGTCCTTGTCATGACCACGGACGGTAACACCATGGTTCGCAAAGAACTGCTCATATTCTTCTCAACCTTCATCGCACGCTACAAAACGCGATTTATCGTCACGGCATTCGAACACTTCACAGAGGAAAAGAACAGCGACATCCTGGCACAAATGGAACAGAAGAATGGCGACGGGCTGTACATGAAGATGCGCGCGACTGCAAACGGTTCATCTGCTGCAGCAAGCGCTTGTTCACAAAACACCGTCTACGCTGCCATCTGGAAAGAGATGTTGGTCATGTCCGTCGACCCCTATCCTGAGATCGCCAAGGATGCCGGAATCGTCGTTGACTACGTTCTGGTTGCTTTACTTGAGTCGTCGCTCGCACGATTTGCGCAGCCACAGTTCAACGAGATGCTGAGAAAGAACTCTGCCGCTCGTCCTGCCCGTCGTTTGCCAGAGGAGAAGCCACTTCAGCAGATGGTCTCGACCCCACCTACGCCATCGAAAGAGGCCAGCTATCTGTCACTTTTCGGGGGTATGCGAAAATCGACTACGTCACTCAAGAGCCTTTGGACTGGACACGACTCGTCCACTTCGCCTCAAAAGTCAGCCGCAAGGAGTAAGATGGACGACTCGGATGCTACGCTTGCGGATGCACGCCCTGACACCCCTGAGAAGTATCATGTTGAAGAAGAGCCGAAGTCGAGAGGCTTTCGGCCTCGATCCCTGTCGGAGAAACCACAGATACCGCTCAGGAGTGTCTTTTTTGAATGGTCTGTTGAGTACTTCCGTGAGCCCCAGATGAAGCCCACCGAGGCGGACGAGCCAGGCAGCACAGACTACAACGGGCGGCTCTGGAGAAGGAACCGCAATGATAAGATCATTGCTGAAACTCAGCCCCTCAAGGATGTTGCGGTCTCCAATCGATGGGATGTTCCTCGCGGCTATTTCGATAACCTCAGTCAGCCTATGAAGATGACTTTCCATCAATTCGAGGATCATCTCATCGTGACCGACAGCTGGAATACGGTCAACGTCATCGATTACTCAGACACCGTGAGAAGAATCAACTGCTTCTCCAACGGGAACCCATTGGACTCGAGGGTTACGGATGTTCGACTCATAAACGAGGATGATCAGGCGTTACTGATGACTGGCTCATCGGATGGAGTCATCAAGATCTTCCGCAACTACGACTCAAAGGGGAAGACAGAACTCGTGACCGGGTTCCGAGCTTTGACTGATCTCGTACCTAGTAACAGGAACGCAGGACTTGTTTTTGATTGGCAGCAGGGCAGGGGTCTGGTGCTGGTGGCTGGAGACGTCAAAGTCATACGAGTGTGGAACGCAGGTACTGAAGTCTGCGTCAGTGTAAGTCCCTCTCAAAGCGACATGTTTACGTTCAGCGACTGACTTCTCACAGGACATTCCTGCACGATCAGGATCCTGCATCACCTCCTTGACATCCGATCAAGTTGAAGGCGACGTCTTTGTAGCAGGGTTCGGTGATGGAGCCATTCGCGTGTACGACCAGCGCCAGAAGCCCGCGACTGCCATGGTTAAGGTCTGGAAAGAACACAAGCAGTGGATCACAAACGTACACTTGCAACGCGGCGGACAACGAGAGCTAGTGAGCGGCTGTCGAGGCGGAGAGGTGAAGCTGTGGGATATAAGAATGGATCGCAGCGTCAAGACTATAAAAGCGACAACAGACCACCTGCGCACGCTCAGCGTTCACGAGCACGCGCCGGTCTTTGCAACGTAAGTTGTTGGAATGGCGGGAGAAGTCGAGTACGTGCCGCTAACAATATGACAGTGGCACTCAGAAGCATCGCGTTAAGATCTTCAACATCAACAACGGAAAGCCAGTATCGAACTTCGAGCCCTACTCTGGCTTCCTCCGCGACCGGTCCGCCCCGATTACCACTACAGCTTTCCATCCACATCGACTCATGATCGCCGCTGCTGCCTTGCATGACAATCACGTCAACATCTTTTCGTGCCATGAGCCTAAGAACCCTACAATGAAGACTGTACGGTTGTGGGATGGCGGTGCTGTTGCTTCGAGTCGGGCGTCGATACATGGATGAAGAGGTTGACTTACGTCCTTCCTCGTGGCGATTTTGCAGCGCACCAATATTACGGGAGCTGCTTGCTTTTGCATTGGGTCGGGTTTGGCGTGATGGTGGAGGTCTTTTCCGGCTGGCATGGGCATAGCGTGGATATTGGCATTGAGCAACAGCATGAGGGTTTCGAGGTCCAATTTCTTTCGATACCCACTGTAGTGTCTTTGTAATCATAATGGCGCCCTTCTCAAACCATGGGATCACGAGCACAGTGTATTCCATTCTCGAGACTCTTTACTCATATGAGCGTGTCCTGATTCAGTCCATCTTAGTATGACGCTGGTGGGAATGTGGGGTATGAGTCGCACTGCTGCCCCTCCTCCGACCGCGCGAAACTCCAGTTAATTTCTCGAAACACCAACCCCCCCATTCTTTCCGCACTCCCTCCACCCATTGCAATATGAGCGACGCACCAGCAGCAGCTCCAGCTTCGAGCGAAGCCCCACAGGGCGAGGCACCCTCCAAAAATGCCTTGAAGAAGGCCCAGAAGGAGAAGGAAAAGGTGATTATCGGTCGTGTGCTCGAATGACTACATCTGTAACTGACGGTTTTGCCAGGCAGAGAAGAAGGCCGCAGCGAAGGCCCGCGAGCTCGCTGAACGCACAAAGAAGGAGGCTGCTGATGCCGAAGATGTCTCCAAAGACTCATACGGCGAGCTCCCTCTCACCGGCTCGAAGGACTTCAAGCCCACGGGCATCGTACGCGTCAACCTCGACGACGTTGCCAACAACGTTGACGAGGAGATCACCTTCCGCTGCTGGGTTGAGAACGCCCGTGTCCAGTCGGCGAAGCTGGCTTTCTTGAACTTGCGCCAAAACCTCAGCACTATTCAGGCTGTCATTGCCGCTAGTGACAAGTTGAGCAAGCAGATGGTCAAGTTCTGCGGAACTGTCAGCACCGAAAGCACGGTTGTCGTCACCGGTCTGGTCAAGAAAGCCCCAGAGCCCATCAAGAGCGCTTCCATCCAGGATTTCGAGATTCACATCAAGAAGCTCTTCATCGAGGTTAAGGCCGAGGTCCCTCTGCCGCTGCAGGTTGATGACGCAGAAAGGCCGCTGCCGGCCGAGACCGCGGTAGGAGAGGAACAGAAGGACGAACAGAAGGAGGAGGGAGGCGAGCGACCACTTGTCAGCCTTAACACCAGGCTCAACAACAGGACGCTTGACCTGAGGGCCAAGATCAACCAGTCTATCTTCGTTGTCAAGAGCGGTGTCTGCGCGATCTTCCAAGAGTTCCTGTCGAAGAAGGGTTTCACACTTGTTCAAACTCCCAAGATCTTGGGCGCCGCTTCGGAAGGAGGTGCCAACGTTTTCGAGCTGAAGTACTTCGACCGCCAGGCCTATCTTGCCCAGTCGCCGCAGTTCTACAAGCAGATGTTGATCGCTTCACGCTTCCAGAAGGTTATGGAGATTGGACCTGTCTTCCGCGCCGAGAACTCCAACACTGCTCGCCATTTGACAGAGTTCACTGGTCTCGATCTCGAGATGGAGTTCCAGGAGCACTACCACGAGGTCATGGGTGTCCTCGAAGACCTCATGCTGTTCATCTTCAATGAGCTGAACGTACGATACAAGCGCGAGACGGACCTTATCCGCGGTGTATACCACGTCGACGACTTCAAGCTCCCCGAATCAGGCAATGTGCCTAGGATTCCTTTCACAGAGGGTATCAAGATGCTGCGCGAAGCTGGCGAGACGCTTGGTGACTACGATGACTTGACGTAAGCCGTGGAAAATCTCCCTTCATAGGAGCGATGCTAACACCCTGTAGAACACCTCAAGAAAAGCACCTCGGACGTCTGGTTCTTGAGAAGTACAACACCGACTTCTACGTTCTCGATCAGTTCCCAATCGCCATCCGTCCCGCTTACACGATGCCCTCGCCTCATGACCCTAAGCTCTCGAACTCCTACGACTTCTTCATGCGTGGACAAGAGATCTGTTCTGGCGCTCAGCGTATCCACGACTCTGAGCTGCTGTCGAAGCAGATGCGCGAACACGACCCGCCGATCGACCCCAACGGCGCGGGTACTAAGGACTACGTCGACTGCTTCAGGTACGGTTGTCCACCGCACGCAGGAGGAGGCTTTGGTTTGGAGAGAATCGTTCAGTTCTGGCTGGGTCTGCCCAACATTCGTATGTGCAGTCTGTTCCCCCGTGACCCCCAGAGGGTTGTACCGTAAGCAGATGGTGAAGTGTAGACGGATCAGAGCTTGTGCTAGTAGAAATCGAAGAAGCCAGCTCCCAAGAGCTGGCGCTAGGAAGAGAAGTGAATGGAATGAATGTAACACCACACTACCTGGTCTATCTTAACGTCCCTGTGAAGAAGCCCACCAATGTAGCGAAAGGATATCGGTCCTACGAAGACCATGCTCTACATTGTAAACTCAAAGGGTCAATAATGAGAGATACTTGAGGGCAGCACATAACATTTGAGCGACGTCTGCAACCTAGTTTGGGTGTGGTTTTACAAGTGTGCGGTCCTTCAACTTTCTACAGACGCCGGGCTTAGACGGATTTAAGAAACCAAAACTGCGGGCCAAACGTCATTCCGTCTTTCGCGCGGCGACGCTTCTACCACGCGACATTCGCCTCTGGATATCAAGAATCGCCTCGCAACTCATGCGGAGCACCCTTCCATGACCACCTACGCAAACTATCTGCCCGATGAGATCTTACTCGAGGTACTGGTCTACATAGAGGCATGGGACACACGCTCGAGACAAGCAACACTCGCGCGCTTCTGCGCCGTGAATAGGTAGCTTCCACCCACCGTCTTCCTTTCCTCTGTGCTCACTATGACTAGGCAATGGTACGACGTCGCAATCCGACCCCTCTACGACTCGCCCTTCCTCACCGGCCGCGCCTACGACCTCTTCGTCCGCACAATCTGCCCCTCGGTCCTCGCGCACATCAAACTCTCCCCCCTCCAGAACCTCATCCGCGTCCTCGACCTCTCGCACATCATCCACCAAGGTACCAAATCCACAACGGCCCGCCTCCTCGGCCGCACGAAAGCAGGCTTGCAAGTCTTCATCGCCCCGCAGGCCAGCTTCGCAGTGAATTGCTGGGCGAGTCTTTCAAAATGCGAGAGGCTGCGGGTCCTGGACCTCAGTCTGGTGAGCGAGTGTATCAGTTTTCAGAGCCTGGCGCAGACGCTACGGAGACTGGGCTTGCTGGAAGCGATTTACCTCCCGCGGTGTACGAGCAGCTACGAAGGGCTGAGCATGAACGTCCGCTGGCCGCCGAAACTAGCGCATCTCTCGCTGTCGGGCAAGGTGAATGGGAAATTCCTATGGGATCTGTTGAGACAGCCTGACCACTTCCCGCCCTCGCTGCACAGCTTGAGCATCCTGCACTCCCCGGGGCTGGATCACACGGGCATCCGTCCGCTGCTGCAGAACCTCGAGAACAGCTTGACGACCGTCGAGTTGAGGGACCTGCCGAACGTAAAGCACGGCCGGCTCAACAGCGTGCTCGAATGGCTCCCGCACCTGACCAGCCTGACCATCGCGCTCGACTACATCGACTCGCGCTTCGGCCACATGCCTGCCGACTGGACGCCCGCATCGTGGCCCGCCGCGCGCCCGTTGCAATCCCTGACGCTCGTAACCAGCGGGCAGACATCCATCAACCCCTCGCGCTGCTTCACGGCTATCGACTTGTACACGTTGATCGATGAGCGGTATCTCGGCCGTCTGCGCTACTTGAACATCGCGCAGAGTTCGGAGTGGGAGAACGAGCACGAAGGCGCTGAGATAGGGGCGCTGGAGATGTTGCTTGTTGATGATTTGGATCGCGAGAATTGGGAGCAGCGGCGGTGGCACTACGCCGATATCAATATGGATGGAAGGGGGGATATGGCGTTTGATGAGTGGTTGAAGACGGGGCAGGGCAGGAGGATGGGGGCGCGGTTGAGGATGTTGAAGGATAGGTGACATAGGGGGTTCAGGGTGATGAACTGATCCTGGGGATCGATTTAGGCCCTGAACGTGAAATCGAGAGTAGTTAGGCGAGAGAGAGAGAGAGAGAGAGAGAGAGAGAGAGAGAGAGAGAGAGAGAGAGAGGATACAAGGCAAAAGATGCTGAGATTGTCTATAGAGCGATCTGCTCGCTCAGCCGAAGCTGGTCTATTCAATCATTCGTTATTCGTCGCTCGCGCTTCCACACCATGCTGAAGCACTGCCGTTCTAGCTTGCTTTCCCCTGCACCTGGCCGCGGACACCGCCTTTCCCGCCGATCTCACGGAACAGCGCAGTAACGCTCAGGTCGTTCGCAATGTTGATCTGGACCTCGACCTTGGCGCCCTTCTTGATACCACGGAGCGCAGTCTCGCTGACAGCAGAGCCAATCTTCCACGTCTTTTCCCTGAGCTCCTCCTCCTCCTCCTCGTCTTCGCTCTCGTCCTCGCTGTCGTCGTCGGCCTTCTCGGCCTTGGGCTTGGGCTCGGGCTTGGTGACCTTGATGTGTCGCGAGCCCTCAACGAGCTTGATGAGAACGTCGCCGCCTTCCCTTGGTGTTGTGATGGTGGCGGTGCGGCGAACGGGTAGGGGTGTTTCGGCATCGACGATGGCGTGGAAAACGCCGTTGGACTCGTCGCCGGAGATGAGGAGCACACCGACAGCGGTCGAGAGGTGCGGTGTGACGGTGACCATGGGGTGCAGGCTCTGCTCGATGTCCTCGGCCTCGAACTCCTGGATCAAGCTAGCCTGGATGGCGGCACCACGAACAGCGAGCTCGGAGGGGTTGATAGCGGTCGGCGAGGTCGATGGCGCAAGCACGGCGGTGGTCTCTGGGAAGGCAGCGCCAACAGCAGCGGCGACCTTGGGGGTGTGGGAGTTACCACCGGCAAGGATGATCTCGGAGATGTCGAGGGGGTCGAGCTCGGCCTTCTCGACGGCGTGGGAGACGAGGCGGGTGAAGGCGGCGAAGAGCTTGTTCCCGAGCAGGTCGTAGCGTGTGCGGTTGATGGTAGCAGTGAAGTCGACACCGCCAGCCAAGCTCTCGACGGAGAAGTTGGCAGACTGTCCTATCGAGAGCGCCTTCTTGACGGACTCGCACTCGAGCTTCAGCTTAGCCAGCGATCGCTCGTTCTCGCGGGGGTCTCCAGCAGCCTTGTGCTTCTTGATGAACTCCTTGGCGAAGTAGTCGATGAGGACCTGGTCGAGCTTGGAGCCGCTGACATCGAAGTCGTGGACTGCGGCCAGCATCGTGTAGATGCCGCCACGGGACGCGATGACGGTGACATCGGAGCGTGTGCCGCCAAGGTCAGCGACAACGAGCGTCTTGTCGGTGAGCTGAGCGTCAGGCCGGGCGTCGTAGGCCAGGACGGCAGCGGTGGGCTCGTTGATGAACTGCAGGACCTCGATGCCCGCCTCCTTCGCAGCGCTCTTCAACGCCTCCTTCTGGGACTCGGAGAAGTTGGTGGGCACTGTGACAACCGCGGCGTTGACGTCCTTGCCCAGGTAGTCGGAGGCCGAGGAGCGCAGCCTCCGCAGGTGGCGGGTTGTGATGTCGCCGACGGTGACCGCGTTCTCCTCCTCGGCCTCGCTGTCGCGGATCTTGAACGCGACGGTGCTCTCGCTCTCGACGGGGTGGGCCGACTGGTGGGCGGGTGTGGGGTCAATCGACTTGAAGCTGGCACCGGTCAGTTGCAGTGCGCACGCGGAAGCAGCGGTGGGGAGACTCACTCCTGGCCCAAGAAGTCGCGGAAGTAGGCAACCGTGTTCTTTGCATTGCGGACGAGCTGGCTCTTGGCCTGCCCACCGTGGAGCTCTTCACCCTCGACGTACGAGAGGACTGAGGGAATCTGGCGGTCTCCGTCCTCGTTGGCAATAACCTCGGCCTTGCCTTCCTGCTCCGCGTCAGAGTCTGCCCTAGCCAGTCCGGGCAAGCGTCACTCACACTCGAAGTAAAGGCAATGGAGCTGTACGAGTTTCCGAACGAGATGCCAATTGCAACCCGCTGGGCGGGGTCTGTCTGTGCGCTCATGTTGGCTGTGTGTGTCGTGGCGGCGGCGCGCTCTGCTGTTTCTAGTAGTGCCAGGCGATGTGTCGGGGGACCGGACGGCGGATGGACAGGCAGAGCTCTGGTATCTCGAGCTTGCGACGTGGTGTTTGGTCGTGGTGTTTGGTCGTGGCGTCTGTCTGGGCTAACACTTGGAAATTTTGTCTGTCCGCATTCCCCGGCTAGCGCTAGTTGCGGAACACCCAAATCCAAAGTTCCCGCGGTGACGTCCCACGCTGCACCACCAACACACCCAGCTTGCCAGCTTGCGACCGCCATGGCCTCGGCACTCACAGTCGTCCTGCCCGGCGATGTCGTAGCACAAGACGCGCTGCCGACAGGCACCGGCAAGAAGAAAACGCTCACCCTGGGCCCTGGCCTCCGACACATCCCACCAAACACCGTCACCACCACCGTCGCCGGCACGCTCGTGACCGACAACAGGAAGAATGCCGCGCTGGTCGAGTACAACAGCGGCCGGGTACGCCAAGCCCCACAGGTCTTCGAGGTCTACGCGAACATGCAAGCTGACACCCGCCACAGTACACGCCCTTCGCCGGCGACCTCGTCATAGCCACGGTCAACGGCTCAGCAGCTGAGAACTTCAACTGCCTGCTCACCCCCGAAACGCCGCCCGCCGCCCTCCCGCACCTAGCCTTCGAAGGCGCCACCAAGAAAACCCGCCCCCAGCTCCCTCCCAACTCGCTCGTCTACTGCCGCGTCGCCAGCGCCGGCAAAGACCAGCCGCCAGAGCTGACCTGCGTCGACCCATCGACCGGGAAAGGCGAGGGACTCGGTCCGCTCAAGGGCGGCATGTTGTTCAAGATCAGTCTGGGCATGGCGAGGAGGTTGCTTGCGCCGAAGAGCGAGCTGGCGCTGCTCGATGTAGTGGGTGCAAAGGTTGGGTTCGAGATCACGGTGGGCAGGAACGGGCTTGTGCATGTGGATGGCGGGAACGTGAGGACGACGTTGGCGGTAGGCAGGGGGATTCAGGAGGTCGATCAGAAGGCGCTTGGGGAGAGTGGGCAGCGGAAGCTGGCTGCTGATGTTTTGAAGAGCCTCTGAAGGACTCGCTCGTTTTTCCAAGTGGGATAGTGAAGCGCGATTCTGGGAGCCGAGGAACATGTTGGTGCGAGGGGAAGTTTCAACGCGCGAGACAAAAGTCCTGGCGTGTGCGCCAGCGGACATTGAGCTATGCCATGGCCGGTATCAGGCGCGCAGGCAACAAGTGGAGTACGTCGTTCGCCAGCCAGCGATCGACATCATCGCTCCCTCGGCCTCTCGATAATGGCTCGACCGAACTCTGGCAGCATGACAGAAGTAGTTGCTTGCCGCTCGTGATTGAAAGGTACGTGCTTGTGTATGTGTGAGCATTCGTGGCCATAGGCTTGGAGGTGCGATCAGACACACTCAAGATGTGAGCAGGAGAGATACATCGAAGATGGCTCTGACGGACGGCTCGTCCGAGAAGAGGGTTTGCAGAACCAACAGAACAAGGAGTTCACAGAATCAACAAAATAATGCCAGTGTTCATTACTGATCTGTTCCTTGTTACGAGCGCTTATGGTGAGCACCTGGATGTAGGCTTGTCTAAGAGAACAGAACTGATTTTCGTCTGCTGCAAGGCCGGAGATTGCTGGACGAGGAAGACCGCCATTACAGTATCCCGCCCTGTGGTTGCAGCTGCTCAAACGACACGCCCACACTCCACACTCGTATCGCCCTCCTCCGCCTCGAGCCTACATCGGGGGCACTACAAAGCCTCACAAATGTACCCTGGCGAGGAGTCAAGCCACTCGCAGACCACACTCAGCTCCACATACGTTCTAAAGGTCTTAGCAGTGCTGCTCTCGACCAAGACGGTTGAGTACTTCCCTTGCTGAAGTAGCTAGTACTGTTGTCGGATCCCAGTTCTCGAAGCTGTTGAACCGCAGGTTTCCATCGTCGCGTGAAGTACGACTGGCCGCTTCCATTGCGGTACTCCTCCACATATTCAGAGAGATTTTCGTACAAACGTACAAAGGGGGCAGTATTGGCGTAAGGCCCTCTCTCTTGCTTAGCAGATACCTCACCGACCGCTCCAAAATTCCGGGTCTTATCGCTGGCAGCCGCCGCTGCGATGAGAGACTTGGTATACTCTTTCTGGCGTGCAGGTCGATGACCGTCGCGAAACCAATTCACAAGCTTCTCTTCCTCACCAACGCGTACCGACAACGCCACTGTAGGGTCGTGAGTGGTCGGCTTGGACTCAGTAAAGAAGGGACCTTTGAAGCTTTGTGGAGTTGGGGCCTGCTGGTTCAATCCATTTGCAACCTCGTATTGCTGGGTTCTCCGCAAGCCATCTGGATCGCTGTAGTGTAACCCAACCGTTGCGGCGTTGACGGTACTGGCATTGGACTCAGATGCATCAGAATCTGCAGCTGCTGTAGTTGCGTTAGCGTAAGGCATAGCAGTCGCACTGAGACTCGATGTTGTGTAGGTGGCAGGAACGGCTGAACGTGTTGATACAGCATATCGAGTAGTAGAGTTGAAAACTGCAGTGCGCTGAGCGACACCTTCGTGCACTGGTAAGGTCAATCGCGGCTCTTCGGCATTACTCGAAAGTCGGGGGCGGTCATGGAAAGGCTTCTGAGATGCACTTGAAGGAAGCTGTTGAGATCGTTCAATGTTTGCAGAAGTGATCCCACGTTGAGTTGCAGCCTCTTCACCAAATGCAACTTCTTGCAGTGTAGGTGCGAACGAGAAATTGAGAGTCGAGCTCCCTGTGCTCTTTGGCCCAAAAGTTTCAGGCCCAATAGTCGGGGGTGGGTTTGCGGTTGCCTTGGTAGGAAATCGGTAAGTAAGATCCAATGATCCTGTCGAGCTTATCAAGGTATCTTGCACTTGATTGCCATCTGTAAACTGTGATGAGAAGGCATTGATCGCTGCAACAAACGGGTCTTCCAGAACGTCTTTAGCGAATGGGACGCGTGCTGTCGAAGGTATGGATGATCTCGTTTCGCTTTGTGTGGTGGCAGCAGCTCGAAAGCCCTTCGTTGAGGTATCTGTGTAGGTCTGAGTCGACGCGACGATATCCGTGCCCACATGCAGCGCGCGTCCCGCTGTTGTGGTGTTGTCCTTTGAACGCCCATTCTCGATGATGAGCGTCTGACGATTCTCAGCAGCCAGCTTGAAATACTCAAGTGTATCGTGGGGCTCATCAATACCTCGAAGACGATCCGAGGCCAGTGACCCTTCCACCTTACCTCGAGAGTGGGAGTACCGTCCAATATTCACCCATTGGAACGATGACGATGACCACTGATGAGCTGAGATATCTCGGTTGGGGTGGCCAATAAACACCACTTGCCCGTCAAACTTGCCCATCTGCTCACTGAGCCGGATTGGGTCAGGCAGGCTGCCAAAGAGATGTACGCGAGCCCCTCCCACGGTATAGTGTGCCTCGCCTTGAAGATTGCGACCATTACCAGCTTGAGGGAATGCTGCAAGGTTTTCGACATCGTTCGTAGCGTCGTACATGTTGCTTGGGTAGCCCCGAGCGGATAGAGGTTGCGAAAGTACGGAAGTTCTTGTGTGAGATCTGTCAAATGTGTACTGTAGGTCGGAGTCGACGGTAGCGCCGTGAATGCCTTCCGTATCATCGGAGTGAAAGCTGGAGCCACCATCGACGCTGCCAGGCTCTCCAAGATCACTCGCATGCATCGGTCGCCAAGTTTTGTTTCTCTTCCTGCGACCTGGCTGTAGCTTGATGATACCGGCCAAAAAAACGCTACCATGATCAGTTTGATCATCCTCGAACTCATCGTCTTGGTGTGGGCGGTAAGCCATCTTTTCAGCTCGATCTTGCTGGTCTACCGGAAGGCCGGCGGAATTCTTGATTGGGTGTTGATGTGAGAAGCTGTAAGAACTAGATGCGGCTATTTGGTGGTCGGTTCGAGGCACAATCTGAATATGCGAGTGGGAATGCTTATCGTCAAATCGCGGAGTGCCTCTGGGCAGCCGTCCTGTTGCAGTACACGCAGCAGTAGCGCTACGGCGACCTGTGACATGCTTAACGATGAGGAATGTCACGCCATAGCGACTGATTCAAGGAAGGAGAAGGAGTCTGCAGCGGCTGAAAGGTGAAGACTTACTGCGCCGGCCACCGCGAGCTTTCGATTTGATCGCCAGCTTGCAGCCACGAACCAGGAAGCAACGCGCGCGATGTAATTGACTTGGGCGAAACAAAGAATGCGAGCGACGATGGAGCAAGTTGTGGTGAAGCTTGGAGAACGTACTACAAGGCAGACCCTGGCCAAGGCAAGTGCAGCCGGTGAGGAAGTGACGGTGAACATTGGCGTCGACCATAGGAAGCAACAAGGTCACATGTCTACTGGGAGAGTAAAACTTGGCCGCTTTCTAACCTCAGAACGACGCATCTGCGATGCAGCAATCACTAGCAGCATGGTGCTATCTCCAGATGTTGTTGAAATTCAGATGACGCCACACCACAAGCAGGCATTCACAGAAGAGATGAATGAACAGACCGGAAAACGAAATGAGCGAAGATCAAAGGTTTCGATATGAGAAGATGCTTAGTATTGCTTGCAGTGCTCTTATAACAGAAAAAAAAAATCCTAGAGATATATTGAAGAGCCAATACTTACCTTTGAATGAACGATAAGACAGGCAACGGAGAGCTGTTCTGAACCCGAGACCTGGACCGATGCATACAGCACTTGACAAACTGATTGCTAGATGGCCAGAGACAATCTCCAGATTGACTCAATCTAACGGGCTTCGGACGATGGTACGGTCAGAGCACATGTCCCCACTGGTCGCTATCGACAAAGCCAAAGTACAAGGCCAGCCCAACAACCATTCCATCCACGAATCTTCACAAAGTTGTATGTTCGACTCTTGTGTCAGAGTACTCTCCGAGGTTTCGGCTTCCGTAGCACTCGCGCAGCTAGAACGCTACCTGCAATTATTCTGATGTCATGGCGGTCTCTGCAGGCAAAACAGGTGATGCCTTGAGGCGGCAGGAGACTGAGGGTACAGAGTCGAGATCGTGCATCACTCATCCTGTCCAGCCTTCTTGCGCAGCAGCCCAACTTACCGCATCCCACACATCGCCTACGATTTGCCGAGGCTGGACGGCCGGCGGTGAGCCTTCTACATAAACGCCAGTCTTGACTAGTATGCTGGCCCAATCAGTCCCGTAGGGACTTACATAGTTGTTGCCGCCTGCTATGTCGCTTGCAGGGTTGTCGCCAACCATGTATACGCGCTTCAAAGCTCCGAGCTTGTCATGGTTTCCCTGCAGGAGGTCGCCCCGATGTGCAATTAGTCGCTTCTCGGCAAACTCATATGTGGGCCTGTAAGGTTTGCCCATGACAACCTTTTGAAGTTGAACACCTTCCCGCTCGCCGCCAGTAATTGCCGCCCAAATGCCTTCCAGCGCCTCACGGAAGCCGCCTTGACCTAGCCTAGGCAAGTGGTACTTCGCGGCCCACAGGAGATCGGGATTGGAGAAGTAGAGATTCGGTTGTCCATTCTGTTGATAGCCCTTGTTTGGCAAAGCCGCATTTCCGTTCTTAGAAGAAAGCGTACCAAGAATTCCACGCTCAGAGAGCAGGACATCCTGGATAATTTGAGCGTCAAGTCCCCAGTCGCGAGGATCGTTGTATACGAATATCGCATCAATACGAAGGGAAGTGGATGGCGAAGTAGGATCGATTGGGGCCGGGAGAGGCCGTGTAAACGTTTTGTAGTAAGGCAACAACTGCTGTGAGAAAGGCCAGACGTCCGGATAGGCGGCTAGGATATCACCGGGCGTAACGACCGTCTTGAACCTACACAAGCTCAGCACAAAAATCCAATGAAAGTATCTGCCAGGGGTGAACTTACCCGTACGCTTCCGCAACCTGTCTGCACTTGTCCTCAACCCCTCCAACCACCATGACAGTCTTGTCTTTATATTGATCCATATCGGCGAAAGGAGTGTGGCTCTGCACAAACATGCTAGTGTCGAGAGGCACACCTAGTTTACGGCTCAGGTCAGCCACTCGTTCGGACTCGTGCTTGCCGCCACCATTGGTGAGTAGGATGAACGGTATACGCTGTGCCTGAAGATACGAGAGCGATTGGTGAGCGCGTGGTAGTGCGTCCGAACTTCGAACCTGGTTCCTGAATCAGCATGTCCCTTGTTCGCATCGAAGAGAGCGTGTATACCAAAACACCGTCGATGCTGCAACCGTTAGCGGAGCTCTTTTCTCAAGCTTGGCAACGTGCCTTCCTTACTCAAAAGCGAACGCGAACTCAGGAACACGATAGGAGGCGGCAGGAGCAGCTGTCTGAAGACTCCTGCGCAGCGGCAACCTTGCTATATGCGGGGTCAAAGTGCGGAGTACCATTTTGTTGACGGGAAATCAATGGCATGTTCTATTCTGTACACAGCTTGGAGATTGGGTCTGTCTGCGCTTGGACCACGCTACCGATTAGCTCACTACCACTCACAACGTACGGTCGGTCGGTAAGTACATACAACCTGACCCAGAGAAGTACCAAAGATCGTGATGATCTAAGACCGACTGTGACATCTGTCGACGACCACAAGTAGGTAGGTAATTTCTTTTGCTAAACGCTGTTCGACAGGTCTTATCAGTCCCCAGCGTGGATGGCTGACGGTTGAGAACAGACTGAGGCTTAGACAACTCTGCTTCCCTGTGCATAATCTAGACACTACTTCCATCAAGACTGATGTAGATTTTGCGGACGAGCCACTGACAGTGCTTTGTCTCAAATAGACTCCATGCTACACACGGAATTGCGGAGATGCATTTTGAACATGTCGGGAAAGTCATCGCATGATTCCAGCCTCACGAAGGCTCAACATGACAGACAACTGGCCTAACTCTAGTCGCATTTGTCTTGAGGGCATATAGATCCAACTCCGCACAACCGAGATACGTGTACCTACTCAAACTCTGTTCAGGACGTTGAACAACAAACCCGACGCGCTACAAACCAATAAGCCTGAGCCACCAAGATCATCGAATGTTCCATTGGAAGGTCACCATGTTCCAGGCGTAGTAAGGGCTGGTCGCAATCAGAGAGTCCTTACAATCCGTTCGTACATTCAAGTCACCTGAGTAACTTTGGTCGACATCGCGGTTGATTCTTCGATCCGCTCCTTACGTTACGGTGTTCACAACGTAAATCGTTCTGAACTGGGGATACCCCCTTCAGTCCCTGAATGGGATGGGGTCCTTCCATAGAGCTTGTCAAAACCCATGACTCTCTCTCATATTGCCGCTTGATCGTGAAACCTTGAAGCCTGACCATTGACATGACGTAACGTTCGCAAGACCTACGTGTTGTGCTCGTTATGAAGCGTTCGTCGCGTGATATTCAATGTTATAACAAATTCCACCACCGTTGGCTTACGGGAATTGCCTCTGTACCCAGTAGAGACGAACCCACAACTTACTCATCCGATTTAGACCGTGAAATACAGAAGCTACGTCGGTGTCTTGGGTCGACCGATGGCACAACTGAGCGTTTATTTAGGAGAAGCGAGACAGATTATATTCGTGAGACAGGTTGTATTGGGAAAGTGCAAAACTCCTTGCGATGACAAGGTCAACAAGCAACCGTGCACGCTCACAGAAACGAACATGCTAGACACACAGCCACTATCCGCCAATGCGGGCTTTACCATGGAGGAGCATAGTGGTGCTCGAGACCCTTGATATTTAGCGTTCAGCTTTGGGAAGAAACCTGAACCCAAAAGTCAACGTCTTGCCGACTCGGGATTAAATCCCTCTAGAAGCATGTTGAACTCACCTGCCTCTCATGGTCCGTGGCCTGCTTTGTGCGGGGTGGAATGATTTCTTCACACCCGCACCAGTGTCATGCAAACTTCGTGGGGTGGAAGCGAGCTTCTGTTGTGTGGATCTGATTTTGTTTACGGCAGTGGCACGCGTTGCTTCGCCACGTTTCGCGTTCAATCGAGGGGGCGTGGCCTGTGAGTCTGAATCGAAGTTGAAGACACGCTTTCTGCCATCCTTCGACGCACTACGTAATGACGCTGGCGTAATGTTGGGAGACGTATCTTCATCAGAATCGTCATCTTTAACATCCGAATCTGATGTAGGGGTACTCGGTCTTTTGGAGGGTGCCAGGCCTTTCCTGCCGTTCATTGCTGAATTTATACGTCGCGCGGCGGCGTGCATACGCGCAGACTTGTTAACGGCTTTCAGAGCGCCAGGTTTTACCACCTTTCGCTGCAGGCTGACAGTAGTGGTTCTTGTCGACTTGAGCGAACCCTTGACTGTGCGCCTCATTATAGTTGGACGCAACCGTTTCGACGCAGTCAAAGCGGAGGAACGCTTCAAAGCGCGGTCCTCGCGAGAGGCGATCTGCCTAGAGTGCTCAGCTGCGTCGACTTCGGCTTGTTCGTGAGCGGCCTTCGTCGCGGCGTCCAGATTTTTGACCTTTGTAGTCGCAGAGTTTCCCATGTAGATCTTCCGCTTCTTGGGAGAGTCGGCGTTACTTTCTGATCTCGCGCGCCCCGAACCGAGGAAATCTTGAAGCTTGCGCTTTGTTCCGGCAATGAAAGCAGAAGCGATGGACCTCTCCTCTACCGGCTTCTTTGGCTTTGGACCAAGAACACCACGGCAAGACTCGGTACCGCAGCGACATTCTTGTATGTTCTTCTGGGAGAACGGGCTTCAAAGAATTAGAAAGCTAATACCTCTAGTATATCGATCAACTTACTCAAAGTTGTAATCGTACGTCAGCTCCTCGCCGGTCATGACTCCGCGGGAACCGGCAAACAGGGCCATTCTTGGCTCTCCGCCAAAAGTCCACTTGATCATTTCGCAATTGGGCTCGCAGGAGTGGTTTACGAATCGTGCGATAGTACCTCGAGTAGCATCGATGATCATCTTGTTGTCGAAGCTCATAAGATAGTAACACTGATCCATGTTAGCCTGGGTTGCAGTGCAGCCTATTTGTCTTACCTTGTCTTTTTTGTAGATCTGCTTCATGCGCCTCTCACACTCAGATTGAGTGATGATCTCACCAGCATATTCGACGATGATCTGATGAGGCTGGAAGGTCCTCATTGCGCGAACCCCGTACCCACGCCCTTCAGTCTCCATAACTTCAACGCCATAATCATAGCCATTTCCTTTGCCCCGTCGCTTGAGCTCTGCAAACGGGCGATTCCCACATTCCTCTGGTGTGAGTCTACAGTTCGTGCTGTCGCATTCATACGCCATGATGCGATTGTGGCAGGCCTCTCCACATCCATCCTCAGGATCACAGTAGCATTGAGATGAATCTTGCTTGTCACGCTTCCATAACGCAGACGCGTCACCAATGAATCGGTCTATGGCAATGTTAGAGAATGCTCAAGGAAGAAGGGATGAACCATACTTTTAGAAAGTTTGACCCAACCATCCACTTTGACTTTCCTAGGTAGGGGATTATACGTGTCAAAGGGGAGTTTAAAGTGTCGATACACGTGTCGAGGGTCTTCGTTCAGCAGACGACCACCGGCGAACATAGGGAGAGGAAGCACGCCGCTTTCCTTCTTCATCCTAGACCTCTTCTTCGCGCGATTCTGTGTTTCTGACAAGCGAGCGTCGAAGTCGCGATGTTGACCAACGTACAGGCCCTGCTTCAGCCAGGCTTTGGTTTTAGGTTTCAGGTATTCCTTCTGCTCTGAGGTGGCGTCTGTATCGTCCTCGTCGGCGGTATCTGTTGTAGTTCGTGGGCGTCTCGACGATGAAGGACTCGCAGAAGATGTAGCAGACTTCAGATGAGAATCTGACGCACTTCTTCGGAGACCTTTCGAGACGAAAGACTTGCCGCCTGCAAGCGAGGTTGCCACAGCCTCACCGACCCCAGTAAGATTGCGCAGAGCCTCCTTGCGAAGATCTGTGCCACGCGAAGAGGTACGTCGACGCAGAGCTTGAGCGGTCTCAGCAGCGAGCTGTTCCTCTGCAGAGTCAATGGCACCGGTCGCGTTGACTTTTGGCTTGGGTGTCCTCTTCTTCGCTGGCGTGTCGTTGCTCTTGGTGGCCAGTTCCTCGAGGGAGCCGTGCAGGACATTTGTATGGTGCTTCTCGAGATATTTGGTGGGTGTGTGAATCGCGGTTCCGGCGAGGATCTGTACATTGTACGTGATAACAGACTTGCGCGAACTTCGAGACGGTCGGCGACCCTCACTGTTTGACGTGTCGTGCGCGGGAAGTGGCGTGCTGTCCTGCGCGTCAGCTAGTGGAGTGGCCGAGGCCTCTTCGTACAGTTCCGTCGTCTGTTCTAGCTTCGTTATCTCGGACATGACGCTGGCGCCGTCGTCGAGACTCGTGGGCGGTGTCGAGATGGGCGGCGACGCGCTGGACGTGGCGCGGGCGCTGGTGTGCTGGACCGCGTTGTTTGACAGCATGGACGATGTGGACAAGGGCGAGCCGTCTCGCTCAGCCATGGTCATCGAAGGGTCGCCTTGCGGGTCGTGTGGCAAGTGTTTCGTTGCAGGGCAAGGCAGTGACGCGCAAAGGAGGTCGGTCTCACAGGCACAAGCGGAGCAATAGTGCCAAAGTACACGGATGGCAGGCGCGCATGCACATCCAAGAAGGTGCAGATGGGTCAATCAGGCCTGCACAAAGGTGCGTGCAGACGCGACCGACATAGCGACACGGAGTGAGGTCGATAGCGAGTTGAGGGTTGGTCGGAGGAGGCGTGTGAACCAATCCAGGTAAACATCAAGCTAGTCAGCCAGCCAATTAGGCTACTCAGATCCGCCAGTGTCACCACCGACGCATTCCGTCTCGTTAGCTGAGGGGCGCCAAAAGACTTTCCATATGAATTAAGGTCGACCTCTCTTAATGGCAAGCCTGTCATGGACATGCTTGCACGGTCTGATTTCACTCATTCTGCTGCACGTTTCAACAGTGTGCACATACCTACGATACACTGGGGGCAATCAGAAGAACGGCTGTCACCTTGATGTGGACATCAATTGATTCATTAACTACATATACAAGAGTAAGCTTATCACTCACTGCACGGCGTTCGTGCCAGGCGAGCTTCGAAGCGCTCTTCCGGTCGGCCCTTGGAAACCCTGGTTGCTACTAACATCTTGCATTTCTAATCCTCCGCCCTGCTGCTCAGCGGTCAAAGGCGCCGTGCGCTTGCCTTTGCGAGGGTGGAACCTTTGATCTCCCTCTTCGTACTCTTTCTTGAAATGCAGGTAGGTCGGGGGGCGTGGGCGTTGCAAAACGGCAATCCAGTTCTTGATAAGTGAACCTTGTGTGAAAGGCCTGTGCCTGTCCTTCTTCATGAACTTGTGAGAGTTCAGATACTCGCGGGTGGTCTCGCCCCTGCCGACCAGGAATAGATGATATATGCCGAGGCTGAAAGGGTATGCCCAGGCCAATAGTCCATAGATGGACATTGCAAATGGAACTCGCCAACGGTTTATTGCTTGACCGAAGGAAGCAGCGTTTCTCGCACGCCAGATTAAAATGTGTGCCAGACTTGCTCCTAGTAGGAAAATTCCAAGCAAAGTTGTGGCGCAAACGAAAACGAAAAAGTAGCGATAGTTACGACGGCCCACGCAGTTGTTGAGCCAGACGCAGTGGTGATCTTGAGTTTCGACACAGTTGTCACAGATGCGGCAATGGTGCGCACGTGGTGGACGCCAGATGTTACAGCTTTTGCAGTACTTGGTCGGAACCTCCATTGCTGCATTTGTGCCAGTTGCCGAAACAACCATTGTCCATTCAGTCGTTGGTGGACCGAGATTCAGAGGATCTTCATCAGGATTAGTGGGTGCAAAGGGGTGTAGATTACGAGGTAGAATCTGAGAAGTTTAGCGTTGAGCAGGAAAAGGTCTAATCTGATACTTACGCCGGGGTCAGAAGCAGATGCATGGACGAACGAAGAGACGGATATTAGAAACAGATAAGCAAAGAGAATGGGTATCGATGGAGAAACATTAAGCCATAACCATGGCGCACTGCATATTTGTCAGCTGGATCAAAAACACGGCTGGTGAGAGGTGAACGTACGAGAATCCGAAGAAGAGGGCGGCTGGCAGTATGATCATGATCGCAGTTGCAATGTTCACAGGCCTGTCGCGCGTGTTTTGCAATCGTCCACCCCAACAAAAAGCCGTGTTGCCGGAGAAATACTGATAGTTCTTGCCAAGCTCTCTCCTCACAGCTTGCTTGGTAGATTCTCTCTGGACGAGTCTGGGAGACGATTCCGCGGAAGTGAGCTTCTCGTGACCTTGGTGAACGCGCATCTGAGCAGACCGACCGTCGCGGCTGGGCAGCATGAAGCTAGAACGGAAGGAACGAGGGGACTTCCCTGGCGTGGGGAGCTTGCCAGCATCGTTGTTGTGCGTATTAGCGAGGTTCAGGTGCTGGGGTCGGGGCCGCTGGAGAGGCGTGATGCTCTCATCCCGACTGCGCACAGTCTCGGCTCTTGTAGGGGTTGTGTTTGCGGTCGTGCGGTCGGGCATGTCTCGGTCTGTGATGTCGGTTCCGCGGGATGGCGGAGGCTGGTCCAGCTCGTGATGAAGGCCTAGGGTAGGCTGGCCGCGCATTGCCTGCGTGGAGCCAGCACTCTGGCGGTACGAACTGGCGGTCGAGTCGCGCACGTTGTCGGCATGAAGAGAGCTGTGGCCGAGGAAGGAGGTTGGCCGCTGATTGCGCTGTTGCTGGAGCCGTTGCGAGCTCATGGGTCGAAAGAAGCCGTGGGCAGCCAGCGGAACATGAGTCCTACTCGCAGCCGTCGTTGGGCGACTTTGTCCCAAGCTGCCTGCGACACTCATGCCACCTCCCCGTCGCGGCGCTGTGGGCTGCGACCATCGTCCCTGGCTGCCCGAATGCGCGGTCGCGATGGAGGATGGGCGCGAAGGCGGCAGTGAGGGCTCGCCAACCGGGCCAGTCATGCCCAGCACGCGGCTGCCCGTCGAGCTGCGCTTCTGTTCGATCGTCGTCATGGGCGGAGCGTGGTGGTAGTCAGGGTCGTGGCTGAAATCTTCATGACATCGATGGAGGAAGGCGCGAGATGGCGAAGGGAAGGCGCGGAACGGCGGAACGGCGAAACGGCGAAACGGCGAGTGGAAGGTGCGAGGGAGCGACGGGAAGGGAAGGCGCGCAGGGCGAGCGGCTCTGTGGCGCTGTAAGGGCGCTCGTTGGCAACCTTGCAAGAAGAAAGGTTGTGATTGCGGTGTTGAAAGGGGTCGGTCCGAGCTCAGCCTCATAATCCATGCTGTTGCTGCTGTAGCAAGGGCCTAATCCGTTTTGGTGACGCACGCGGAAAGCTTGGCTCGAGTGGTTCGACACCCAGCTTTGACGTCCCGCCAGTCCACCACGCATTCTCTCCGCAACCCCCGTCGACGCCCACCCACACCGACGCAAACATGTCCTCCATCGCCGCCCGCTCAGCCTTCCGCGCTGCCCCGCGCCTCCGCGCTGCCGCTCCTGCCCGCCGCTGGGCCAGCAGCGCCCCGGCCTCTGACTCTGGACACGCCGAGAGGCAGGCCGGCAAGGACGCTCTCAAGACCGGAGCGAAGCGCGACCCCGAGCTCTATGTATGCGACGAGCATCTGCCATACCAGGGGACGCAATTGAAGGCTAATTGAGTTGCACAGGTGCTCCTGGCCATCATGAGCGGTGTCTTCGGACTCGCAGGCTGGCACTTCTGTAAGCTCCCCAGCTAGTCAAACGACGCGCGACTGTGCAACTCCATGCTGAACTCGTGCAGCCCGCTCGCCCACCAGCGCTTCGTCTGAGCGAACCGTTTCCAAGGCCGAACACAGCGAGCCCTGGAAGTCGGGCGGTTCCAGCCCATACCAGTACCACCCCGGTGGTGATACCAGCGTCAAGAAGGACGCTCCTTCGGCCCTGAACGTGGTCGTCATCCCCAACGTGACACTCCCCAAGGTATGTCAGCCATTTGTCATCATAATTACTATATCTGTGCAGGCATTGGTTAACGAAATGCTAACAGGAGCTCCACGACGCATACAACAAGTGGGGCAAGGACGGCTACTAAGCAGCTATCTGTCAGCCGATGCCCAAATCCCCTACAATTGCCTGAGAAGAGCAGACACCAATGCCTGGACACCTTTTCATCTAGACGTCGACTGTACATAAATCATGTAGCGGAAATCGAAGAAGACTTACAAAAACATGCATCCTCGGTTGTGATCCTAGCTTGGACCTGTAAAGCTCAGAAATCATGCAGAGACTCCTGTGCCATCCGTTCGGCGCTGATAGATATCAGGTTTAATGATGATAACGATAGGCCATCAAATTGTAGCATAGAATGTGACGTGAGGGCCTTTTGGGCCTGAGCCCTCACCATCCCTTGTACTCTCATTAAACTCAACCTCTTGTAACTAAATCTTTGCATTACCAGAGGAGCTACTGCCCTCTCGTCTTCCATAGTCTTAGACTCAGATAAGACGTTAACCCAATCAATCGATCAATCAATCAATGCGACGTGAGGGCCGACACTCAGAATGACGATTCTCAGCATTTGAGGACAATGACGAGATTCAGCATTTGTGCTTGTCATCACAGTTGGAGACTACACACATGGAAACTGCATGGTTAAGCCTCGGTATGAACATGCCGAGGGCATCAATGTCTATGGGTATCTTATGCTTTTTTGTTTTGGTGCCGTTGCCGAGCATAAACTTATACGCCGTTAGCACTGGGCAACCGTTTGCGGATTTCAGCCACCATGTCTTTCCTGTCAACCAGCACACCATCCTTCTCTGGGTTGTTCTCATCAGTGATACCCATGACCTTGATCTTGACCTGACCTGCTTTCAATTCCTCTTCTCCCAAGATGACCGCAAGTGGCACACCAGCCGACTCCGCCTGTTTGAACTGTTGCGGTAGCTTTGGCTTAAGTTTGTACGAGAATTCCGTCTTGACATCAGAAGCCCATAACTCTTGGGCAACTTGCATGCGTTCTGTCAACATGCCTGTGAAGCCCTTGCCGCCAAACGCCATGACAAAGACATCGACATCTTTTGCGCGTTGCGTCGATTCCCCTCGAGCTTTGATGATGCTGATGATACGGTCGATGCCAAAGGAAATACCCACACACGGAATAGGCTTGCCACTGAACATGCCCACTAGTCCGTCGTAACGACCACCCGCTGCGACGCTGCCGACGCCGATCTCTTGTTGCTTACCCTTCCCTTGGGAAGCGGAACCCTCGGTGACGACCTCGTAAATCAAACCAGTGTAGTAGTCTAGGCCTCTGGCGAGTGACAAGTCGAATGACACATGACTCCGGGCATCGAAAGCGTCCAGGTAGTTGAACAGCAGCTCCATATCCTGGATACCCTTCTTTACATCCTCATTTTGCGAGAGCACAGGGTCTGACTTGAGGAACTCGATGATGTCGTCTCCACCCTTGCGCTGTACCCACTCGCCGATCTTGTCTGCAATGTCTGCGGATAGACCCTTCGTCTCCATCTCTTGCTTCACTTCTGCCCAGGGTAGCTGAAAAGAATTAGCGAATGGACTGTTTCGCATGACTGTCTCTCACGAATATCCCTACCTTGTCCAATTTGTCCACAGCAGAACTGATCGGTCGTATCAGATCTTCTTTCACACCAGCGGCTTTGAACATACCGTCCAGGATTTTACGGTGGTTCATCTTGATGGTGTAGGATTCCCAGCCAAGGGCCTTGAAGACATCGTTTACAATCTTGAGAACTTCGGCATCGGGGATCATGGCATCGTATGCGCCAGCGATGTCAAAATCGCATTGGTAGAACTCCCTCATGCGGCCTTTTGTCATGGCAGGCTGGTCACGACGGTAGACCTTTGCGATCTGGTAGCGCTTGAAGCTTTGAACGCTGGGGTTCATGGCAAGCCATCGTGCAAGCGGAACCGTCAAGTCATATCGCAGCGAGCATAGTTCTCCTCCTTGATCTTGGAGGTCGTAGATGAGCTTCGAGTCCTCTCCGTATTTACCACTGAGGATTTCTTTCAGCTCGAAAACAGGTGTGTCAAGGGTCGTGGCGCCGTGGCGCTTGAATACGGTGGTTACTGTCTCGAAAAGACGATCACGGAGTGCGGCATCCTCACCAGTCCCTGGCAGTATCAGCACAACTTGGTCCAGTCCAGATGGCGCAGAGGGAAAGCATAGGGTACGGCGTACAGTCTCGCGTGCCCTTTGGCACCTTCAAGTTGAAATTCTTGGACTTGTCGTCTTTGCCCATGTCGTCATCAATGGCGCCAATCGAAGATTGGTCGCTGTATATGCGGCGGGGTTGGAAAGGGCGAGCTGGCGCAGTAAAGAGAGCAATTTTACTCCGAACAATTGTGTGTCGCGGGATGTTTTGGAGGAGCGCGGGGCAGGCGAAGTGGGGTGGGAAGAGCCGCATGAGCAAGAAAGTGACTCAACAGGGAAAAGGGCAAGCGCGTCAATGCAAGGGAAAGTTGGAGAGCCAAAGTCACCCAGAGCCTTGGCCCGTGCGTTCAATGTGTAAATCACAAGCGAAGTAGTTTGGAAGTTGTTAAGCTTGGGTTCATTTCATTGGTAGGGTATCTAGGATGCGAAATTCATCGAGGAAATCATACGAACAAGATGAAAGATGCCACCTTTTGTGGATACCTACCACGGCTTCCGGAATCTTAGCAAATCTCTTTGCCCATAACACTCCGCAACCACAGTCAAGATCATGTCAATCGTTACCCTCGTGTTTAAGTCGACCAAACACGAGCTGTGATCCTCGACAACAGAATGTATGGCAGCAGAAGGCTTACTGTGCGGAGGATCTGCTCCTCTCAGACTTGCCATAGCTGAGTCCTGGGTCCGCATCATCTGCCGCTGCCTCTCAGCTTCCGCACGAGCCGGTATTGTGCGGATGGTAATCTTATGTGATGGATCGTCTGAGCCTTGATCTAGTTGTTCACTATGATGTGGGCGTGTTTCATCTGTGTTGAGCGCTGACGCTGGTATGCCAGCTTGCACCAGGTTATCGCCGAGCTGCGCAAGCAAACGCGCACGTGCACGCTCGAGAATATCGTCGTTCGTGTCAGTATTAGTACTTCCATCAAGGCTGGTTGGGATATCCGACGTTCCTAGGCTTATGGCTTGATGCTGCACGTCATTTCGAGTTCCTGAACGAGACTTGTTGAGCGTGATCTCACTTGTTGAGTCCAGGTGCTCGTTGACACCAGAATGTACATACCCCGTTTCCGAACTGTGGTCATCTTCGCTGGCATCGCAAAAGGTCGTTTCATCGGCTTCGGCCTCGTCATCTTGCCCACCAGCTGCTGGATCTGTACGGAGCAAGTCATCCTCAGCTCCTCTGTTCTGACGTTTGAGATCGGAATGCAGATTGGCGCTCAATTCACCGGCTTTGTTCCCGAGATCTCTGATATGACTCATCTTCTGGGAATCCAGCGTCCCAACGTCACTAGACAGTGCTAGCAAGGCCCAGATCCAGCAGCTCTTTTGGCTAGAGATCGTGTCGAATCGATCCATCGCATAAACGCAATACTCGAGACCTCGCCTAATGTTGTTCTCGTTTAGTTGAGATATCTGAGTCCGTGTTGGATACTCCCGATCGAGTATATACAGCCATTCGTGTCGATTTGATGGCGGTTTTACAGACAATGACTCATTCGCCTTAACGTCCGGATTATCAGCTAGCCTGCGAGCTCCGTATCCACTCAGCGTGCTGCGGAGGGTTTCGAACCGCTTGATGAGCTGCTTGTGGTATAACTCCTGCGGATCCGAATCGTCGTGCTCGTAATCATCGTTGTACGTTGCTTCGTAGCCTTCTTCGACAGATATCCAGGCGCCATCTTGATAGAAGGCACGTTGCCTGGTAGAAGCAGTAGGGGTCTGCAGAAACTTGCTGTTTGCGTTTTCGTCGTGTGTTCTCGAGGCTACGAGTAGATGTGGGATTGCCGATGCTTCTGACCTATTCGAATACAATGAGCTGCATGTCAAGTCATAAAGACTACTTGAAAGCCCAAGGAAGTTGCTAGATGCTTACCGTACGCTACGGAGATATGCGAGCGCTTCTCCCAAAGAGTCATCCGAGTGCTGGTCTTCATCAATTGGCAGAGTCATGCGCATGCCACACTCTGAAACTGGCCCGGCACTACGGTGCTGGTGCTTGTCGGAGGAGGACTGTAGGATGTTGACCGTCGAGTCCGTATGGTGTGTTTTTGCACGCTTGTTACCGGAGGCTGGGCCCGCGATAGGTCCGTCAACAGCTGCCCGCTCGCGCTTGCGCTCGTTTGCCTGGGTCAAGACTGCAGATTTCTCGAGAAAGTTGTCCGGTCGCTGCAGCTTGTTGTAGGTTTCGCCATCTTTTGTTACAGCCAGATTGGCCCGAGATCCTGCCATCTTGCCGCGGGGCGGTGGGTGGTGGAATGTAGGGTTGTCGAGGTTATGGAAAGCGAAAGCAGATGAGTCGCGGCGAAGGTCCAGGCCGACCAGGCTAGAGTTCTATCACATAAACATCGAACAACAAGTCCATATTCAAAGCCAGCATTTGAATAATTTTCATGTATTCATACTCGATATCAAAAAGACTAGTCGTGCTGCATTCCAAAATATTCTACGTTGAATGCTGTCTCTCTCCATCCTGATTTCCAAGATCATTACCCTTTCTTCACCTTCTCGATATTCTCCTTGACTGGCTGGTATGGGTATTTGATCGTCAAACACCAGATGTCGAGGTAATCACAAATAGTCCAGATCACGTCGACAATGAAGCTTCCATGTACACCGACAGCCAAGCCCAGGCACATGAAGACAAAAGCCACCTGGTAAACGTCGTTGCCCAAAGCGCTCGGCCAGCCCACACCGATGTGTTCCTGCAACCAAGGACCCAGTGAATCGATTACGCCGTAGATCAACGGATAGATGAGCACGTTGCCGCGAGGGAACCGAGATTTTGTCAAATGCGAGATGATCATGCGACCGACCGAGTAAGCGTTAATAAGACCGGCGTAGAAGACGAAAGGCACCAAATGATGGCGTAGAATGAGTGGCTGCAGAAACAGGTAGGCGACGATTAGGATCCAAGCTGCGGCAAAGGTTAGAAGACCAAGGAGGGCAACTCGTGTCTTCTGGCCCCGGGCACGGCGTGCTTTCATTACGTTTCGTGCACTGTGATGTGTGAGCGATCCTGTTTGCATGATGTCTTGAAGATCCATGGACTTACCTGGAAACGGTGTTGAAGACAAGCACAACCCCTCCATACACCATGTACCACTCGTTCCAAGCGAGATTGTAGACAATGTCGGGAATGAAATCATGGTTCTGGATGCCCAGGCTTTGGAACATGGAGCCCTGCCAGAAGCTACCGCCTCCAAGGAATGCAGTGGAGGCGTACACAATGCAGAGCGTCAAAATGCCTTCGACTGGACCGGAAATGACCCCGAGGGTAAGGGTATGAGTGTGATACTCATCCCAAGTCTGGACGTAAAACGTCAATGAGGCTATTGCTATCAGCATCGCGTATCACTGATTGCCAGTGCCAATACACATGATAACACTCACAGGCGAAAAGCGTTAGAACTGTCTTCCAGCCCTGTCCAAGGTTCATCGTCGCGGAGAAGAGTAGCACTTCTAGTGTTGTATTGATCGCATCAACACCATGGTCGAACAACTCGCCTAAAGGACCACTTTGGTGGGTCCTTCGGGCCTGGCTTCCATCGACAGCGTCAAACGTCTGGTAAAGGAACAGACCAATTGCCCAACTCAAGTAAACCCAAGGTGGGCAATCCTGATCCAGCGTAGGTGTGTACCATAGCAGCGTGAGGAAATTCACAATGACGAACCCGAAGCCAGAAAGCGTGATCTAGATGAACCTGGTTAGTATACGACTCGAGCACACATGGCACAACTTGACAATTTGACGAAATCGACATGTTGAAAGCGAGTAGTCACGCACAAGGTTTGGTCTATCCACGTTAGCCCTTATCTGCCTCAGGGTGATCCTGACTTACGCCATCCACATTGGAAAACATTTGATGACAACATGTGTATAGAATGGCTTGAGAACATATTGTGAGAGCAAACTGTGATCGACACCAGAGTACTTGTACTCTTTGAGCTTGGGCAGCTTATCCTGACGGATGTAGACCATGGCTGTGGGCTCCCAGGGGGATGCGACGGAGGTTACAGTTTTTGTTGTTGTATTGTTGTTGTTGTTGTTGTTGTTGTTGTTGTTGTTGTTGTTGTTGCTTCTATTGTGTTGGATAAAAAGACGAAGTGGAGGGCAGGAGCCCAAGGCTTGGCTTGTGATTGCGGCAATGACGTGGGTTGACGGCGGGGGCGCAACAACAGAACCTTGGAACAACAAAAGTGGCCAGCAGCTGTCAACACCGTGCCAACAATAGACTATACTAGTACCAAAACTCATCAAAAGAACCAAACTGCAGCGTACCATCATGTGCATGTGCTTTAATTTCTTCGCTGATGACAATGAGTCTTTCGGACATGTAAAAGCCTCCCATTCCATCACATCAGAAGTGATGATCTTCTGCTTTCCACGCTGATGTGCACTGATATCCCAGAAACCGAGCCATCACGCACTCCTCCCTTTGTAGTTGCATGTGTCTGCTGACTGATGATCGTTCAAGCAACGGTGCTCCATGCGCAGGGGACCAAGATCCGGCTCTTCATAGTTTGGATCAATGGCACCGTCTTGTGCACTGTCTCGCCCCATCCCTCAACATTCCAACTCTGCTCGCGGCGAATCTTACGCTCCTCCAAATTGGCGAACTGCCACAGATGATGCACAGTGTTCAGCTCGCCAATCTGGACGAACCAGGCACCGACGCCCTCCATAACCTCCCTGCGTGCCTTCAAACCACGCCTCCAGTGTGTTTCCCACTCAAGCAAATTACCCGGGTGTAGTGTGTAAGATCGCAGTTCGAAGAGACCGCCGAGCTGGCGTGGGGGAGTTGTAGGCCAGAAAGAGAACTCCTGCATAAGCGACGTGTGCTTCGATCGGATGAGACTCTTCAGCTTGGCATCGAATGCGGCGAAGTCCGGGTGCGATTGAATGTTGTGAAGTGATTGGTGGTAGCCTTCATAGCGTTGATATTCCCAGATGTGGACTGTCGTGTTTGTCAGTACTGTATGAACATATTTATCGGACGCACAATCGACCTACCAAAGGTGTTGCAGTCACCGACCTCGGTCCTCCAGCTGCCCACAAGATGCACCTTATTCTCGGGAATGGCTGCCATTTTTGGATACCAGTTACCCACCAGCTCGTTGTACTCTTCGACCTTGTCTGGCTTGACATCGTGGAACACGATTGAGTGAACGTACTTGCCGCGTGCTAGGACCTGAGAGAAGCTTCGCTCGATATCTTTGTCGAGCTCACGACCCTCAGGCGTCCCATAGATGAGAGACGACAGGGCTCCGCCCTTCTTCTTTCCGCTTTCCTGCTCACGAGCACGAGCTTCCTCTGCGTTTGAAGATGTTAGCGACCCTAGGGTCTTGCCAATGACAGCAGCGCTTTCGTCAAATGAAGGACCTGACACAGACAGATGACCAGAAGGGGACGCACTTTCTTCCTGCTCCTTCCGCTTCTGAGCAGCTACAAGACCTTCACGGAATTCCTTCTGTTTCTTGTTGAAGCTTGCGGCGGCATCAGGCGTGATGTCGGCCAGCGCTGGAGCTCGAGCTGAGCTTTGCGTGATAACGCCAGCTGCAAAAGAGCGCGAACCAACAGGTATCGAACGAGAGGCGGACAAGATGCCGCGTGCGCTGCTACATGCACGTTGCGCGAGCATTGTGGTAGAGCTGTGTTGACAGATTGTGGGCGACCGAGCAGGCAAATTAGAGGATTTCGGATCAGATGTATTCGAATTTGCTGCCAGGGAGCAATGAATATCGTCGAAGAGGAGTTGAGCAGTTTGGCCTTGGGCGTGCTGTATCGCACGCAAGCTTGGGAGCTTTCCCCTCATCATCCGTGCTGCAGCTGCCCCTGCTAGCGCAGATGCAGCTGGTCCAACCCGCCTGCCGTAAGAGTTGGGGCGGGAGTCAAAAACTGGGGAAGGTCCGCCCCACTCGTATCAATCGTGGAAGTGTGGAGCCCACTCTTAGTTGACGTTTACTCGTCATGTTTGATTAGCTTGCGCTACCTGCGTGCTACTTGCATGTACGTCATTCCGTATTTATGGTCATCCGACAATCTACTGAGATACTCTGGGATCCGCGGCCGAAACGGAATTGTACATCCTCATCCTATGCTTGAACTGGATAATATCTGCGGAGAGCTCACGAAACGCAATAAGCAGGTAGTCAAGGTATATCAAACTGCAGCCACCGTCTGTTGCTGTCGTGGTCGGTAATGTAATCGTTTGTACACACTGTGATTCCATCCAAAAATAAACAATCCCCTTTGTTCGAGGCTGAACATCATGCACAATTGCGTGATTGTTGAAGCTGGACTCATAAGAACAACTGCGGCTACAAAGTGCAGACAAACCGCGTACACACGCAGCCACAGCAACATGAAGCTAGGGCTCAGAAGAAACCCAGTGCAAACTTATGTTCAGAAGTTGTGCCCTTTCAGCCTTGATGTGGAGGGAGATTGAGTCACATCGTACATGGGGCCACTAACAGTAGATGGTTAGGAAACAAAGATGCAGCGCAGCGCTTTACAAATTCTTGAGGGTTGTTTGCGCTTCGGCGGGAGCAGACGGTCGTTCCCACTTGCCACAGTAATGGCCGCAGCTTTATGCGTAGTTTTCCTACGACAACAAACAATCTTGAACGGGATGGTGAGCGCACAAGATCAAAATGATATCGAAGTGCCACCCGCCGTATGGAACCGTTGGCAATGCACAGTTCGTTGCCGATATACATCCGTTACGGACGTCGAAACGACAGCCTGACGTGGTGTGACCCGAATACCATTGTCAACACCGTGTGAATGGATTAAATCTGCGACCATGTGTGACAAGTTTGGCCGCGTGGGGAAAACTCTGTGCTATAGCGATGACATGCGGTTGTCCAGAGGCTAATCTTCGTCGAAGATTTGCAACACATGGTCTAAGATAGTTATTATCACGCGAGCCTGAAGCCCGGCGTCTGCCATGTTGTTGCCTTTATGAGGACCCATAATGGACGGACTGTAAAAAGTTAGTGCTGGTCTCGAAATGCACAGGATCATACATACGCCCAGCAGATTCCCAAGTTAGCTGTGCTCATGCGATTGACCTCAGAAGATTGTTGCACTCGGTGCAAGTGCAGAGCAAGTGCGCGAAGGGTTGCATAGTTAGGATCAGGAAGTGCGTTGATCAGTGCGTGCATTGAATCTCGACGCATTGTGTCGTCATCAACTCGAGCTGCATCAATGAACTTGTTGTAGAAGTCTCTGGTGAGAAGTGGATCAGGAAGCTCCCTGAAGAATTGCTTCAAAAGACCAGCAACGCTATTGACGTCATGTTGGAATGCTTCGGGATTGCGAAAATCAACCTGAGACGCGTCTGGAGTAAGTTAGTGCCGAACCAACAAAAGAGGTGCGACCAACATACCACTATCGAACAAGGCCTTCATCTGTTGAATATGAGACGAAGTCCCTGGGATGCGGTAGATCCCCTCAACCTCCAGCCCGAACAGATCCACTGCTTGGATGCATTGGTAGACAACCATGGGCACTGGTGAGCCATCTCGGTGGAAGAGGTCTTCAAGGGTGATACCAAATACTGGATTGACCGGCGGCTGTGGATTATTGTACAGTATCCCACTTGTTTGTTGTGCTGTTGCCTGACCAACAGGCCCACGAGGGTACTCAGCCTGCGAGAAGGAGTTGGCTGCGACTGGAGAGTATGGAGATTTCCCATACCCTGATGCCTGAGCCTGTGTTGGCTGGGATGGTGCCTGGTACGAAGAGAACCCAGCTTGGGATTCTGAGTCCAGCTGTTGAGGAGGAGGCTGCTGTTGAAATGACGAGCCATTTGCCTCTGGTTGCTGGGTGGAGAAAGACACTGGTGGTTGAATCTGCGGAGGCATCGAGGTACGACGGTCTTGGTTGCCGGCTGGGGTTAAGGAAGGGTAAGATTGTGCGGGAGCCTGAGTAGGGTGCTTGACGTAATGCAGCTCGGGCTTGACTGCAGAGACCTTGGAAGCATTCTTCAGAATGTAGTCGTCGAAGTCTCTGTCGTTGTTGATCTGGTAAATGAGTTGATTGACACTTGGTGGAGGCTGCATAGTGCCACCCTTGAGCGGTTGTGGGCTAACTACCTGGCCATTGTTGACGACCAGCTTTTCGTTGAAAGATGCTGTGAAGATCAGTATTGTGACTCGAGTCAAGAGCCTTATATCGAACTTACCGTACTTCTGCATCTCCATAGTCAGTGCCGCGTCCGTCTCTTTGATGAGATCTAAGAGGCCAGAGACAGCTTGTGGACGCGCTGAAACCAAAAGCTCCTTGCGGTAAGCCTGTGCCGTTTGGACCTTGCTTGCGTAGTCCTGGTCTGCAGCTTGCAATTTGCGCTGAAGGTCCTCCTCGTGCTGGGCAGCTGATTTGGGGCCCTTCAGACCAAATTTCCTGCCGGCACCCGTATCGCCTGTCTTGACACGATCAAGGTCCTCAGCCAGCTGATCGTACTTCGCCTTGGCCTTCTCTGCGAGCTTCTCCGCGTCCTGCACCTTGCTCTCCGCCGCCAGACCGGTCTGTTTCAAGGTCTTGCGATTCCCGTCCATCTTGTTCGCCAGCTGCAGGAGGTTCTCGTGCATGGCGTGCAGCGCGAGACCGAATTGGGTTCCATTGTCGGCGATGCGCTCGTTCGCATGTAGTACATGTTCGAATTGGGTTGCATACGACTCGTGGCGCGCATCTGCTTTGCGCAGACCGTCCAGTGTAAGCCGGCTCAGCTTCTTCAGACTGCCAGCATGTTCCTCCTCCAGGGCACCGCGGCGTCTGAGGAAGCTGGCGAAGTCCTGCGTGTAGCCCGTCAGCCAGAATGCCTCAGATGCGGGGAAGGTGCACGAACTCGGGCACTCGCAATGCTGGCCTTCAGCCGGTTCAGCAGTGTTGTCACGCCAATGTCCGAGTGCAGAACCTCGTGCACGCGCTGCTGTGTCTGCGTGTCCTGAGGCGGCGCGCGCTGCTCGGGCGATGCAGGTGCGGCCGTGTCGTCGATGGGCGAGACGGGTGCGGCATCATCGTTCAGTCCAGCGTGGGTGTTAAAGTCAGGATTGAAGCTGTCACTGCTTACCATGGGCGGTATGGAAGGCGGTGCAGCCATTGTTGGTGTTGTTGACGTGATGACGAGGCACTCGAGGCAGCTGTCGGCGGAGGACATGGCTAGCCGGTTGGCTGTCGTACTCGGCGCTTCTCGTCGGTCACGCTTGCATCACTGGTGCTTCCTTCTTTCAACGTCATGCCATCGGCAGGCTCATCATTATCTCACTTGTAAAATTATTTTACACACAATTAGTTCTTCATCGCCATCGCTGGACGCCCGTAAATCCGCCTCATGGTAGCTTAATATTGCTCGCCGTCATGGTGTCAAATCGATCTCCCCCAACGTTAACGACATCAGCCACCTCTAATAGTCTGCCAGAGGAGGTGGTAACCTGCCTCCAAAATGCGCGCTTTGTAAGTCTCTTCACCATAGTAGGACTCTGAACATTGTGCCCTCTACTATCAGTGGAAGTTACTTCCAGATCCTTCGTTACCTCTAGTCAAGCCCTCTTTTGTTTTATTCTCTCGGACAAGAACCGCTCTTCTCCTTCCACGTTGTGGCAGTCGCGTCTCATTGCATGCGCTCAACCCTGCCGTTTTATGTTTTATGTTTCCTGACAATGGCAGCTCCATCTTGCAACCTGTTCGAATAACATCCCTCACGTATCTTTGATGAACTATACGTATCTTCCCAATACACCATATTCGCCAGCCCCCATCATCATCATGACAACGCCATCTTCTTCTCGCAAGACCGACAACCTGGAGTCCAATACCCGTGTATCTCTCCTGGTACACGATTGGATTTCTCATCGACCACCTACCCTTAGCCAACAAGGTCGCTCGCCATCGCCTTCCCGACCAGGTCCACGTTCAGGATCGTTAGCCGAGCTTCTACTCGGCATGAACACAGCTTCACTTAGTAGGATCAGCACCACAATCAATGGCGTGGCCGAGATTGTACCTGCCGGTTCTGAGCAGGAAAGCTGGTACCGGGCCCAACATCTTGCGAACAACACATTCGGACCTACCGATGAGGACGTCTACTCTAGCTCTCCGGTGGGTGGTGGACTGTGGGGTGGTGGGGGTCTAGCTCGTACTAACGTCCACGAGGACGACACAAGAGAGGGTGATGGCGGTACTCGATGCTATGTGGAAGGAGACGAAGTCAAGGTTGTGGTTGTAAAGATTAAAGATGGAAGAATTGCAGATTGGAAGGGTCAGGTCAGAGATTGGGCTCTCGGAGAGCCAGACAGAGCATGTACGGTGAACGGATCATTGTCATGAATACATCAGCCTGCGCAATCCTCGTGTAGATATGCACATCACATTGGTCAGGATGCGACAGTGTGAATTGAACTACCAAGAGATCTGACATAGTGTGGGTCTTCTGCACGGATCTTGACCTGAAATACTAGGTTAGTCGTGGGCTTTCAGTATTTACCGCTGACGAATATCGAGTAGGTAATGCGTTTGCTAACAGCGATTGTCTGGTTTCCACTTTGCGCAACCTCGCTATTTTGGCGTTATGCAGGGGGCGCTCGGGTCGACGCAGGCATAACCTGTGATTCGGGTTTGGAAGGATCACTTTATGCCGTTTTGTTTGGGCCAGACTGAGACAAAGGCAGATAGCGTGCCGCCACACACCAAAAGGCACATGACTATCCCTTCATATACCCTTTGCTTCTTTCCAATCTTGTCGACCCTGTCCTTCTCATACATCGGTGGTTGATTCAGGTAATCACAGTGAAAGATATGAGAAGTGAATTCCAAGGTTTTACAGTGTTTCGTACGTACATCTTCGCTTTCACTTTACACTTCTGTTCACTTCGACATTGTGCCAACACCCGCAATCTGACAGTTATCAGAGTACAGCAAGAGTGGGATGATTGAGTCGGAGGAGCCGATGGCCGTACTTCTACAATTGGTAAGAGCTCTCTTTCGTGTCCAGGTCAGCAAGGAGCGATTATTACTCTTCAATAGAGCTTCCTTGGAATGATCCGAATAGCTTGTACGAACGGGAGACTGACAAGAATATCGCAGTGATTCTCTTGTCCAACAATCATACAACCGTTGCTGCCTTGCGCCAGGAAGTTACCTCTCGTGGCGTCGATTGGTAAAGCCTAGATCTACGATCGAATCGCTGGGTGAAGGCAAGCGGAAGGAGGACCAACCTGGTAAGTAGGAACATTCTGGAGTCGGCGGTGAATGCACTGACCAACGGTGAATGCGCAGACTTTCTATCCCACTAGCCTTGGCACCGGTCACAAACCGCTCTCCTTCTGCGCCTGCTCTTATGTTCTCCCACCTACCCCTCACAACCAATTCTCCCATACTTCTCTAGATTCCTTGCTCGATCTGCCTCGAAGCGCCCACATAAATCACATACGACAATGACTACGGAAGTCTACCTCTCACCCGCGCCCACCAAAGAGCTCTCCCCCACCACTGCCGCCGACAGAGACGCCATGGCACCGTTTCAGAGCGCACTAGATGCTTGTGTACACGGCTGGCATAACGGAGACAGTGTGGTTCTGCTCCAGAGCAATATTCAGGAGCTTTTCGGCGATATGCTCATGCAGTATTTCAAGCACAATCTGATCCAGCAGGTGGGGCAGCCTGTTACCTTCACATCTTCGCATAGCAGCAATGGCGGTCAAACGATCGTACAGATGCCAGAAAACAAGAACGCCCACCTTCACCTCCACACAAGCGCGAACCCCCAAACACAGACACCCCAACAGCCAGGCACTCAATTGAGCACCATGTCCGCTGACATCAAGAAAGCGCCTCGCCCAATGAATTGCTGGATCATCTTTCGAGACGCTATGCACAAGAAGCTGAAAATAGAGAACCCACATCTAACCGTGCAGCAAATCTGTAAGCCTTTCACTTGCATACATGATCAAGACCTTCATCGCTGATCTTTTCTGTAGCCACTCGATGCTCACAGATGTGGCACAGTCTTTCTCCGACAGAGAAGAAGCCGTGGCAAGCAGCAGCCAAGTCAGCGAAAGAGGAGCACTTGCGCGTACACCCGGACTACAAGTACAGCCCTCGAAAGCCTGGCGAGAAGAAGAAGCGACTGTCTCGCAAGGCAAAGCAAGCTCCCGGATTTGCTGCAGACTCTAAACTGTTCAAGTTCTCACCTGTCCCGGAGCTGGCAACATTGGCGTATAACGATCCCCAATCGGTCACTCTTGCAGAGGTACCGCCGCCTGGAGTTGGTGAGGTTCCAGTTGACTTTGGCACCGCCTTCGCTGCTGATGTGGCGCAGCTGATGGAACCGGCAACACTCCTGGGGAAGGAGATAAAGGATCTGGTTCCCGTTGATTATCTGCATGATTCAGAGAGTCTCCGCCACGATCGGCTCGAGGCCGAGTTTGGGGCTGACCTCGACGGAACCATACCATTCGATCTGTTTGGCGAGGATGCTTTCACTTTCCGCGCCGGCGCAGATGGCAATGCGACAGCCAAAATCCAACCCCATCCAATGGCGGTTCCAAAAGACCCAACTTCTGCGGAGATTGCGCATTTCCTCTCAACTCGTAGTGGCGACCAGATGATGCAATTGGTACAATCCATCAGAGAACCTGCTGCCCAAGCTACACTCACAGCTTCATTACTTTTCGTACCACCTACAGTTGGCACCAGGACCACGGCTCCAGAGAAGACCAGGAAAGCTCTAAATGCGTTCGTTGGTTTTCGATGTGAGTTTCACCTCCAACTCCACCTTGACAAGGCTGACCCAAAGCACAGGCTACTACATTCTCATCCCTGTCTTCAAGCCATGGCCTATGAAGAAGCTGTCTAACCCCATGGGAGTTATGTGGGAAGCGGATCCCAACAAATCGCTGTGGTCCTTGATGACGAAAGCCTGGTCCGTCATCCGTGATCAGATTGGCAAAGACAAGGCTCCTCTTGACCAATTCTTTCGGATCATCTGTCCTTACCTCAACATACCGTCGCCAGGGACTTATCTCGAGCGTTGCGGTTGGATACTCAACACTGACGAGGAGGGCACCCCAACTCTTTTGAGGGATTTCGCTCCGTCACCAGGTGCTTTCAGCGCTGGATTCGCAGACATGGCCCTGTCCGTCGAAGACATCATCAGCTATTGCCAGTCAATGGGATATGCCCAAGAGTACATCTCCGACTTCGAAACCCACTCTCCAACATCCCTTGCCCAGTCTTGTAGCCAATTTACTGGCAAGAGCACCTCGGTCAAGTCACAGACTCAAATTGCAAGCTCTACTCACGAGGGTCGACTTGCAGCACGCAACAAGCGACGAGCTAAGCGACAGACCGCCAGGGACACTGGAGTCGCACCGGTGCTACAACAGCAGATCGTCAACGCCCACATTACCGATGGCTTGAATGTCACATACCATGACAACTCTATTCTCGGTCACAGCGAACCCGTGGAGTTTCACGATGATCTTGCTGATATGTTAATTAATCACATAGGACAGGACCATCAGGGTAACCCTAGTACTCCTGCTGATTTCATTGTCACTGGGAATCCTATCATGGCAAGCTGGACAGATTGGAGTGCATTTCGACCCGGCGCAGACGAGAATGCTACTCTTCCCAGCTTCGACCCTGCGACTTTATGATCAGCTCTCGAAATCCTTGAGTCCAAAAAACCGTGAACGTCCGTCGAACGTACGATTATCACACTTTTCTCTCTTCAACCTTATTCAATCATACCTCGACCGACTGCCGGCTTTTCGTAGTACTCAACTGCGTTTGTTGTTTGACTCCTCTTCTCTTCACTCGATACCCCTGACCGACATGCTGGGCAAGCGCAAGCATGTCGGTCAACTTTTGCTGCGCAGTAGCTACTGTGTAGCCTTCTTGACAGTAAAGCTACGCCATAACGAACACGCCACGACCACGCTACCAGTTCGCCTCGTGACTCCGTCCTTCTCAGCATACTGCCCTCCCTCGTCCCTCAAATTCTCACCAGCATCGATCGTTACTGTCTGGGAGCTGTACTTCACCAAACGAAGCGTTATGACTTGGAGCACACCTTGAGGCACTGGATATCGATATGCATAACGGACAGCCTTACTTCAATGCATTGGGGCTTGGTCATCGGTGGCACTTCTTGCATTGCATACGTGTATTTAGACATAGAATGCAATGAACATTGCCAAAACGTCACTTTGTAAGATACTGGCCTTCTGCGCTATGATTACCACTCCCTTATCCCCTATCTTATGAATGTTCTTTTTTTCAACAGATCCGTCCAAAATAGACCCCAAGTGCAAGACCCTGCGGATCATGCTCGTACATCATGTCCTGCTTATTTGTGGCCTGCCCTTGCAGAGCCTTGGCTTGTGGGGTGATAGGCTGGGGGCGACTAGGCACGAGAGGTAGGAATGCAGGTATGTAACTTTCGAGTAAGCATGGGAGCAGCTGTACTGCTCTCTGGTATATTGTTTCCTACATTGTCTACGATACAAGCTCCAGGTAACTGTAGTATGATCGTCCCCCAGCTTTCGTTCATCATGCCTGCCCTCGCACAACCCTCCACCCCATACCTTCCCTACGCCAAAGTTCCTCCATCAGGCACCCAGCTAAGTCACGCTCGGAGCTTAGCCGCCCATAACCGTACCCTTGCTCGAAGGATGCTCAACTCTGCTGTAAGTGGATACCGTTCGCATCGCGTACCCACGCCTCAATCGCCGCTCTTCCAATCGCTCGCCCAGATAAACGTTCCGCAGCGCCACTGTGTGCCCGAGATTTTCTGTCCGGAAGGGCCTATGGGTCTATGGCGTTTGTAGTCAGCATACGATCCTCTCGTTACCGGAGTACACATGCTATGGATGCCGATCCTACTGCATGCATGCTTCCGCCCTTTGCAGAGAGGCAACACGACAAGTAGAGAACAAAGGCATTCTTGCAAACGCACGCGTCGAATCAAGTCACGTACCTTGGACACATCCAAAACTGCCTTCCGCGGTTGATGCCAGGCTTCTTGGTCGTGAGGCTAATGCACGGCTCGGCATGGCCTTCGCATCGGGGCGGCGGCCGCTTGGAGAACAGCCTCGTCCATCCTTCCTTTGAAGCTTGCTGCACCGCACCGGGATCGCAGACCAAGAATGGGGACGTGGTGGTCTGACTGGCGGATGTTGCCGGTGAAGCCGCTGGTGGTGGGGTAGTTTCGGTTCTGACATCCGCGGAGGAATTGAGGGAAGTCGACGGCGAGCTTGCATCACCATTGTCAGGTGTCAAAGATGTCAATGGTGGCACGGTGGTTGCGGCAAGGTTGGGTCCGGGGACTTTGGAACGTGTTTGGAAGAATCCTTTCAACGACTGCTGACCCTTGGCAAGCGAGGATGCATTAGGATTTGGGGCCGGGTTGGATGTTTTGGATCGCTTGATCGATTTGTTTGGTGATGCCGATGCAGATGCGCACCGCTTCTCAGGCGAGTTGAGTGGGCTCGTGGCGTACACGATTTGACCGTTCGCAGGAAACAAAGCGTTTGTCGCTCCCGCCAGTTCGGGTCCTATGTCTGCTCCTTGCATTGGCGAGATATCCGCGGCCCCTTCCAATGTCGCCTTGGTTAATGGGGATGCAAGTGCGTTTGCAGACTTCGGAACCGCAGGCTTCTTGCTGAACATGTCACGGATGTTCTGTCGTTTGTTGAATTCGGTAAGTAGCTTGCCTGAAAGCGGTGGAGTGTCTTTGGTTGCGCTGTATTCCCTCAACCGTACGCCGCCTCTGAACATTCCAGGAGGGTTCATGATATCGAGTATGTGGTGCTCTTGGTCTTCCGCACCTTCTTGTGTAGCATTGCCCATTCCCAGCACCTTGTCATTTGTCACCGCGTACACTGGGCAATGATCTGAGCCCATCAAGCCTTCCTGGATGTTCGATTCCTTGAACCAGTCCTTGATCTTGATACTACACAGCACGAAGTCGATTCGCGAGCCAAAGTTGCCCGGCCGAGCATTGATCTTCTGCTCCCAATGCGTAAACATACCCTCGCGATCTGGGTGGAACTCGCGGCAAAGATCGTACAGAACAGGCTCTTCTCTTCCATCATCTCGCTCGCCCACTACTTTGCCATTGAATAGGAGCTGGTTGAAGATTCGACGGTTTGGTGTGCTGAGATACTCGCTGTAGGTCATGCCCTCCGCTTTCATGTTGTCTTCCGCTTTCGCTGTGTCGATTAGGTCGCGGGAAACGTTCAAATCGCCAGTCAAGATGACGTTCTTGCCCATTTTCGTGAGGTTCCGTATTCGTGTGTCCAGCATGTCGAGGAATCCATAACGAAAGTCGTCACGTAAGCCATTGCTGTTGGCGGGGCTGTAGACACCAAAGAGTACGAATGCGGGGAACTCGAGGACGAGGCATCGACCTTCTGCATCGAGGGCGGCTGGATCGACTCCCAGTGCCTCAATGCGTGCCAGTGATGGATAGCCCCCAATGCTGTCTGATTCAGGTCGTTCCCGGTAGGGTGTCGATGACCCAGGCCGGCAGAGAACTCCAAGAAGGCCTTCTTCGGCGCGGATAGGTGCACATATGGATTGACGAGTGTATATTCCAACACCAGAGTATCCTACAATACAATCAGCACGTGATACAATGCTACATTGGGCCTGACAGTAGGTGTACCTTTCTTGTGCTTGGGCAGGCTGAAGTAGCAGTCCCAGCCTGGCACCAAAACCATATCGTCAGTCAGGTCTTTGCGCTGGATCTTCAGCTCCTGCATAATAACGATGTCGGTCTCGAGGATGTCGAACATGGCCTTGAAGGTGCGGTTCTTGCGCCATGGCTCGTAGCCAAATGGATTGCGGATGCCATTGACATTCCACGTCGTGATGCGGACCATTGTGCGTGGTGCTGGAGACGATGCAGCCTCATCTTCGTCTCATCTTCACCAAATATTGCTGATAACGGAGACGCGCCGCGCGACTGGCCGGTGGTCTCTCGAGGCAGTCACGACGTCACATGGCGCACTCGCTGCGGGCAAGCGCAAACTACACAAACACGCCAAGGATTTCCGGAAGCTCGAGCTTTCGCTCACACCACACCTCAGAGCTGTCATCGCCCGCAACCGCCCAACACCGCTCCCAAGCATCAATCTCCACTCCACCACCGCCCACCATGTTCGCCGCCCGAGTCGCTGCCCGCCAGACCCCGCGCATGGCCCTCGCCCGCGCCCCTGCCCGCGCCGGCCGCCGCAACTACAGCTCCGAGAGCCCCAAGCAGTTCGCCGGAACCGAGGACAACGAGTTCAACCGCGAGCGTGCCCGCATCCAGGAGCACGGCGGAGAGAGCGGCGAGTTCTGGCGCAAGTTGAGCATCTAGTAAGTCGCTCTGTGTGTGCGGACCGGCTGCCAATCAGCGGTCGTGTATATGATATCACAATGGGGGAAAGGGAGGACACAGACTGCCATTGGGGAGGCAATTGGTGTCAATTGGGTTAGGAAATATGTGCTGACGACGCATCCGCAGCGTTGCCGTCCCTTGCATCATTCTGGCCTCCGTCAACGCCAAGCTGAGGTGGGATGCCCACTGGGAGCACGTCGAGCACGAGGAGCACCTCCACCCCCGCGAGGAGAAGCCGGAGTACCCCTACCAGAACATCCGCACCAAGAACTTCTTCTGGGGTGACGGTGACAAGGTAAGCCTGGTCTGCCGTCAGTTGCATGTGCCGCAATGCTGATACTAGGATAGACCCTCTTCTGGAACGACAAGGTCAACTACCACAAGAAGGACGAGTAAATGCTTCCGTATCCATCAATCAACTGGCTTTATGGTATCTTGGAAGCCTTCTCAGGCCCAATTTATAAATAGTAGAATGCAAGCTGCAGGCGTAGAACCAGCAATACATTTCCTTTGTACCTGATCTGTGTCCGCTTTGCTCTTGTGCATGCTCCTACTACCGCCTATTCCACATTGCAGCCCATTCTTCTCAGGTTTGCTCGATGCTGCTCATACCCTCTTCCCACACTCGGTTGTGATTCTGACTCCACTCCTCTGCCAGCTTCTCGTCGCCTCTCAGCTTCGCAATGATCGCCTTCTTCATAAGCTGTTCACACTCGCCATCTAGGTAGGAGCTCCTTTTGAAACACTCCCTGGCTCTGTCAATGTTCAGTTCAGCTTTTGCGATATAGCTGGTCTGTAGTCGAGACTCAGTCGTCTTTGTTGGATCTGCGAGGCCCATGAATGAGTCCGCAAGATGCGAGTACAGCGTGCCAGAGAGTATGTTATCTCCGTTCTCGAGAGACTGCGGCAGCACGGCCTCAAGCAGACGCTTTGCACTTGCGCATTCGCCCAGCCCGTTCAAGATGTTTGCGAGCAAGCCAACCGCAGACCACAGGCTGGGCATCAACTTCGCTTTGTATGCCACACTCGCTGCTCGCAGCGCAACACTGAACCCACGCTCCGGCTTTCCAACTCTGCGGAAGAGGTCGGCCTTCATGAGCAATACCGAGACACGTTGTAGGATGTCCGCATTGTCTTCCTTAAGCGACTGCGCGAGGTTCGAAATCGTCGTGAAAGCTACCGGGTAATCGCCTTTCGAGGCGAGGTAGTCGATGTAAGCCTCGGAAAGGAGGAAGTGAAGCTCGGGGTCAAGAGTGTCTGAAGATGGGTCTGTTGAGGGTTTGAGGGTTGCGAGCAGGTGAGAACAGGTTGACCAGTCGGATCTAGAAATGTCAAATCGAGTCTGTATGGCACTCCGATGACGTGAGAAGAAGACCGTACCTTCGAATAGCGCGTTTGAGCTTGATGATTCCAACACAGAGGATGAGATATTGATTGAACTTCAGAGATTTGTTTTGAGCGGTCAAGTCGATGGACTCGAATGCGTCGATGGCTTCATCATAACGCCCGCCCTGGCTCATCTGCATATCTGTCAATCAACCCGCCTAAGAATCACGTAGTTGCGTGAAGCTGGAACGCACAATGAAAGCCTGCCTCCCCACTGCTCGAAGCTTCTCGTCGACCGGGCAGTTGGCTCCGTGACAGTCGAGGAGTAGTTCGCAATGTACGTTCGCTAGATGTGGTATCCCGAGACGAGAGTACAGGGTAGACTGCAATAGCATCTGACCGCCGTAGTTGTTGACGTGTTCCTTAATGTCAAGGTGTGATGACTGGTAGATATGCTCGAAAGCTCGAGATATGGAGTCACCCTAATCGCTTTCGTCAGTTAAGGACCGTCTTGTGCATTGCCTCCACGCGTGGAAAATCGCTGCCGTACCGTAGAAAGACTCAGCTTTGCCTCGTTAAGCAATGTTGCACTCAGTAGGTTGTACATCTTGGACTCCCGAGCCTTCGCTTTCAGAAACGTTAGAGCATCTCGCTCGCTCCCAAGCAAGCTCATGTAGCCTGCACCCTTCATCTGCTTAGGGTATGCTTTGTTCATGTGGTTGAGCCAGCTCAGACTAAAGCTTAAGCATGTCATGTCCTGAGACTCTCGTGCTGTCGCAATGGTCTCGTTGATTGCAGCGATTGCTTCGCCGAAGCAACCAAAATCGGCTTGCAATATTGCCATATGAAGTAACGCATACTGGTAGTGGATCTTCTCGCGGGTCTGCATGGCATAGTCGTAGTAGCGGTGCAAGTTGTCGAATGCCGATGTATAGTCTCCTGCTTTCCAGGCATCAAAGAACCGGACAAGATGTGCTTGTCGATGTACCGTACTTGATGACGCAAGCATTCCGCGAAGCTGCGTCCTCATAGTTTCGGGCACCCGGTCACCGAAGCGTTGTAGGCGATTAAGTTGAAACTCCAGGATCCGGTCAAGGTCGTCTAGACTTATGCCCTGCGTCCCATCGTCTGGCTCGTTAAGGTCCCCATAAGCTATCTCGTAGACGTCGTCACCTTCTTGCATACCCATCTCAGCGACAACGGCATCTACACCGCTTGCAGCAAGTCCGGCAAGTCGCTTGGTCCACTGCGCTGTGGGTGCCCGGTACTTGACGAAGGATGACCAGAGCGCGATTGTGTCCTCGAATTGCAACCTGTCGAACTCAAGCCGTGCCCGTCGCACGAAGACGCCCAAAGGAGATGTCTTGGAGAGGTAGATGCGCTCTTGCGCATCCCCTTGTTGATTTGGAGGAGTCACCAGGAGCTCGCCGAGATTGTCGAAGAGGGAGTGCAGTGCATCGAATGAGTTCATCTCCCACATACTCTTGAGGAACAGGTCCAATAGTGTGCGGCCGGGCATGTTGGAGGCATGGCCTTGGAGAACATCTTCGAAACTGTGGATAGAGAAGGAAGGATCGTGGGGCGTAGAAGAGCGCTGTGATCTGGCGCTTGAAGAAGTTAAAGGTATAGTAGTTGAGAGGATGAAGGAAAGTATGGGTATTGTTGCTGAAGACGGTAGTGTGGAACTACAGTATGATCTTAGTAAGACCAGCAGACTGATCTTCTGTGCCGTAAGATAGCGTGCTGTGCCCATCTTGAACTTTGATGGTCCGGCGTTCGACTGAGAGCACTCCAGAAAGCTCTCCGGTGGTGAGACTATTGCCGCTCTTCACACTTGCAACATGGCTTTGCAGATATTCTCTTGGCTTCAGGCGATGACAGCGAAGCTAGGTTAGCGGATGAGCAAGTCTAATGGTGTGAAATAAGTGCTTGTTGTTCACACGCGGTGCAAGGCAAGCGCGAACTAAGCGAATTACCCAAACGCGTAGTCACGTTCATGCCTGAACCCAAGTCACCGAAGCTATCGCCCTACTTCTGGAATTGAGAATTCACATGTCCAAACGTCTCATTGGACATCCCCTTGTACATAAAGAACACAAGGTGCGCAAGAGTTGCTCGCTGTATCACCTGGAGATTTGCGTAGAACGATCGAACTGTATCATCTTTCCTATCTATTTGTCTCGGTGATATCGCGCACTGTTTCCTCCTGCACAGAGTCTTTCCTCCCAGCATTTTTGTTGTAATCTCCCCGCCTGAGCGAGCCTACGGGCAGGCCCTGAATGACACCCGGCGCACTCTGCAGAATATCGTCCTCCTCAGTCGCATTTGTCGCCCATATGTTACCAATGCTCAGATCGTAAGGACCTGGTATCCTGTCAATCAACGAGATGCCTACTGTGCGCACCTTTTGTGTCAACATCTCCCTCTGCGGCTCAACGACCTGACCGTGGTTCGTTCGTACAAATTCGCTCCATTTGATCAGCACTGTCTCCCACTCTCCCGGCGTCTTCGAATGAAGCAGGTGCTGGTGGATGTCTGTGGGTACGATTGAATCGGTCTGCACGTTTACGAAGTATTTGCGCCCGTCCGACTTGAACTGCAAGGCCAAGTACCCGTACAGGCTCACGTCCCAAAATGACTGACCGAAGATAGTACGTCCCCGTTCGAGTGTCCTGAACCCTGCGTACCCTGTCCTCTGAATGTGCGGTTGATTGTGGGGTAGTTGTGTGGATATGGTCCCGTGGAAGCGTGCGTGTGCGGGTTCAGTCTGGGTGACGGGGTGGTGATCGAAGTTGACAGTAGAGAAGCCTCCGATATCCTTGTCACTCATCTTCTTGCATTGCTTCAGATCCTCGGCAGTTTGAAAGCGGACTAGAGGGAAGGGTTTACGAGGAGAGCTCAAGCCTTCAAGCTTGAGAGCTACGCTGATGAGCTGGTGTCGCATGAGAGAGCTGCGGGCAGCACTTACCAAACTGTGAGAGGCGCTTAAACTCGTCCAAGCTGCGAGAGAAGAAGCCGCCAGGCGCGAGACACTGCACAGTTGGGCGCATTGTGATATGTGGCCTATGCGACAGTTGCTGGTTGTGAGATGGCGACTTTGGCTGCCGCGGTGAAACGATGACGACCACGGCGAACCATGCAGGTGCCCCCGGCCCTAGCGACTAGCCAAATTTTGGTCGGAAGTCTGGAGTCTTGCATTCTACATTGTATTTCCCCTTCAGCTAATTCATACCACAACTTCGAATCGTGACGTTCCTTCTCGCTCACACATACATACATACATCGTACTGTGTGCGCCTTCCTAAATTATTTCATTCTTTTCACGCGACGCGCCGTTCCTAGATGACCTTCGAACACGCCTCCGCGCCTCGAGGCCTTCAAGACAACAACCCACAATTCGGACAGACATTGTTACCTTCCTCACGCGAACTTGGCGAAGTAGTACCAGTGAAGCTGCCAGATGGAGCACCGGTAGCCGCCGGGGGTCCGGCCTTTGCAAAGTCATGGGCGCATTTTGTTGCTGGAGGGTGAGGCAAAACCTATTCGAGACCAGCAAGACGAGATGGAAGGCTGACAAGGTCCAGTCTTGGTGGCATGGCCTCCGCGACCCTGACCGCACCGCTTGACGTCCTCAAGACACGCCTGCAATCGACGTACTATCAACAGCATCTCGCCGCCATGAGAACCGCCCGAGGGTTACCGCCTATCGAGACCATGTCCTTTGCACGCAGCTCATTGCTTCACATCCGCGAGACGGGAGAAATTCTGTGGCAAGTCCCCAAAGCGGAGGGCTGGCGAGCTCTCTTCAAGGGCCTCGGACCCAATCTGATCGGTGTTGTACCCGCTCGCGCCATCAATTTCTACGTATATGGAAACAGCAAGAAGGTCATCAGTACACAGTTCAACAATGGACAAGAAGCTGCGTGGGTTCACCTGTTCTCTGCGGCTGCGGCTGGTATCGTGACTGGAACCGCAACGAATCCCATTTGGTTGGTCAAGACTCGACTACAACTGGACAAGAACATTCACACTGACGGCCGTGGCCGCCAGTACAGGAACGCCTTCGACTGCACAATGCAGACCATCAGAAAAGAAGGGTTCTTTGGTCTGTATCGTGGATTGACCGCCAGCTACCTGGGTGTGTCAGAGAGCACGTTACAGTGGATGATGTACGAACAGATGAAGCTCGCTCTGGCCAAACGTGCTGAGCGAGTCGCTGCGATGGGACGAGCACCAACACTCTGGGATCAGACAGTCGACTGGACGGGCAAGGTCTCCGCCGCTGGCGCCGCCAAATTCATCGCCGCACTCATCACATACCCTCACGAGGTCGTCCGAACACGACTTCGACAAGCTCCTCAGCAGGACGGTCGCCTGAAGTACACCGGTCTTGCACAATGCTTCAAGCTCATCTGGAAAGAGGAAGGCATGGCCGCGCTCTACGGTGGACTTGTGCCCCACATGTTCCGTGTCGTACCCAGCGCTGCCATCATGTTCGGCACGTACGAGGGCGTGCTGAAGCTCCTCGGCGAGTCCAGCAACATGTAAAAACACCTCTTCACTTTCATTTCCCTTCACATGTATAACATTTGGCTGCATGGACACGGCGTTGCAATTGCTTGGGAGCATATACTGACGGCGTCTTTCCACTCGGTGTAAATACCCACCCATCTTCGATCTTACAGAACGCTTGTATAACAAAAGATGTATAGAAACTGGCGTGATCAGGTTGGGGCTTTAGAGTGGCGCGTAACGGTCTTGGTGTAAGAGTACGATTAGTATGAGTAAGCCTCAACTCAGTCACCAAAAGACGCATATGAAGAATCCAAACAATGGTAATTGTATCAGACCAAAGAACGATTCCCTGACTCCGAAATGCTTGTTGTGTCAGTGATACTGTTCGACGATGAATGCAATGGTCGGGAAGGTGGCCTGTGCGCCGTTCCTTCTCCGAACATTCGAACTTCGTGAACTTTTGTCCCATCTTCAACGCGACCCATTCGCGCCACAACAACCAATATGTCGACAAAAATCCCCCTCCGAATACCACGATTATCCGCGCACCCAATGCGTCATCAGTGCCTCTTCCAACGGCGCACCGTCCCCTCTACACCGCGATGCATTGCCGCAACGTCCGCGCGAGCCTTCTCCTCGACCCCTGCACGACCACGTAAGAAGGAGAACAGACTAGTAGACGGGAGAATGCAAATGGCAGCTGCAGAGGCGACGATTCGCGGTCAACCATCTCCCAACGTCCAGCAAGACAAGCGGGATGCGCAAGAGATGGCTGAAGATATTGGGTTACTGCAGAACACAATCATCCGCGCACCGTTTAGCCAGCTGCCCAAGCCTACGAGTTGGGAGTTCTACAGCTACTTCTGGTCGCTGCTCAAGGCGAAGTTCACGGCATTGTACACAAGGAGCCATTTTAAGAGATGTGTGCACAAGAAGGGCATTGCATCTTACCTACCTGTGGACTTCATGAGGCAGAAGGAATTGAAGAACAAGGCGAAGAAGATGTACAAGAGATACTACGACTTGCTTGCTGCGTACGTCTGCCTCTCAAGCCTCAACCCATAGCTTACATCAAAGTACGGACTGACAGTATTCCAGCGGCGACGCCAAATCCCTGCGAAAGCTCTCCCTCCCACCCCTTGCCGCCGCCCTGCGCTCCCAAATCTCCGCCCGTGGCCCCGTGAAGATGTCCTGGCAACTCCACAAATTCAAGTCCGCGCGCATCGTCTCGCACCGCTGCTCCCCGCTGGGAAGCGACCACCCAGACACCTCCTACCGCCAATGCATCGTGCGCTTGGAGTCCGAACAGCAGCTGTCCATGACACCCGTCTCGTCTCCCAGCGCCACGCACAAGACATGCGCGCCGAAGTGGACGCCGAGCTACGCGCAGAGCAAGCAAGACGTTATCAGCACCGCAGAACCAGAGCAGAATGCGGAGGCCAAGGATAAGGGGAATGTGCAGACTGTTGTCGAATATTTGGTCATGCAGACGAGGGTTATGGACGGGAAGGAGGAGGAGTGGAAGGTGTGGGGTTTCGCGAGTGAGTCTACGCCTGCGAAGATCGAGGAGGATGAGCAGTACTGGAAGAAGATGCTGGACATCCAAACTGCGTCAGCATGAAATTGAGGCTGGTACTGGAAGAGTGAAGTTGCAGAAAGAAGAAACATTGTAAGCATAGTTGTGTACATGCCAGGACATAGGCAACTGTATAAATTCCTGTCACAGAGAAACCTTGAAATGAAAAGGCTGTTATCACTTGTGTATTTTCCAGCATGGATTTTGTACCGAGCATTCTTGAGGCATGAATTGCAGATTCAACTTGTGATCGATGGCAGCATCTCAACCAGAAAATCGGCTCCCAACAACCGCAGTGCAACGCAACGTCAAGAGTGGGGCAACAGTGTAGATCAAGTGGTCAAGTCTTGGAGGATGTAAAGATTCATGTCGTGAGAATTCTAGCCATCGGTATCATTCATGGACGCATGAAACATTCTCGACGTCCAGCGCATATTGCGAACAGCCCCATAATCCCGTAGTCTCTGTCCCTGCGGCAGTGTCGTGCCGTTCCGTCCGTGTCAGCCTCAGCAAAACGAGCGTCATAAACGCATGGAGGGAAGAGCCTATGTCCCGCGGAACCCGAGGCGGTGCAGGTGCCGGTGCCTGGAGGGGCGGGACTCGCACTTGATAGCGTTTAGAAACCGTGGACCTGTGTGGTATCAGTATGTGGCCTGGCAACTACACGTCCTCGGTGGGTGACTCACCTTGATGGTCTTCGCATCGAGACCAAGGCCCTCCTTCTTGTCGGTCAAGAAATCCTGGATATCCTTGCGCTGGTCTCCCTGGAGCTGGACGACCTCACCCATCTCGGTGTCTGCGACTATGGTTCCATTGCAGGCGAACTTCTTCTTGATGACCTTGAGGATCTTCTTTTGGTCGAACTTCTTGGGCAGGCCTTGCACGGTGGTCAACGTCTTGCGTCCATTGCGCTCTGCGTTGTGTTAGCGCATTCCGGAGATGTTTGGTAGCGACAGAGTGGTGCCATATTGGGAAGGTCGAAGAATTTTAGGGGACTGAGATACGCAGGAGCGAGGGTGTGACTGCTCACGACAAGGGTTGAGATCAGAACCGTGACTACGTACGTTGGATACGGATGTGGATGTAGTCCTGGGACTGCGCTGAGGACTTCTCGCCGGTGCCTTCATCGGCTTCCGCGAACGGGTCGAAGGTCTTGAGATTCTCGATGGACATACAAACAAGTGTTGCGTGTGCGCTGTGGGTGGGGTTATTGTTACGTGCGCAGGGTATGCTATGCCGGTACAGCTGAGAATAGTAGAGCGTGCGTTTGGTGGACTGAGTGGTCGTGTGAGTGGAGGGTAAGAGTGTCTGCCCAGGTGTTTCGTGAAGGAAGCAGTAATGGTGGGGCGGCGGGGAACGGCTGCCGCACAGACCTTACGTCGCAATTGCCCTGATGTCCTGATTCGCAAGGCACGAGTGAAACATCAGACTGCAAGACAGTCAGCTTCGAAGCTGGTTTGCTCGAATGAATTACGTGATTCTATCCAGCTCTTCAATATTTCGTTCAATGCACCAGAATTTCGCACGGCACGCTAGTGCCTGCCTTTCTCATTATACAGTTACACAGTACGCCTGTCGTGCTCAACGGCTTAGCGCGCCAACACTGAACACAGCAACGCTTCATGCATGCTTGGTGAAAACTACGACGGAGGCGCCGCAGCTGGTACTGCCTGTGTTCCAGTACCTGTCCCGATGCTCCCAGGTGGGGGCGGCAGAATGAGTGAAGAGTAGCCCTTTGTGATACCGAGTCAGTCGTCCATGATCGGCTCGACAACAGGTTCCAACACTTACAACGAGTAGAGACATCACTGTGGCAGGTTAGCAAGACTCCTGTTGGTCAGATGGGGGCTACTTACCGGCCATGCCAACTGAAAAGTAAGCCGGGGTTGTGGACGTCTTCTTTTGCTCTGGGGTCTCAGCGAGCCACGACTGCACGGAGAAGACCACGGACACCCTGCAGCGAATCAGTAGGTGATCGGGCAAAAGCAAGCTGACAACATACCAGCCGATCATCCTATTCGAGAGGAGTCATGTCAGTGCTGCAAGCCGATTCAGACAAAGGCGCCGTACTTGTTCCGGGTGAATATCTGGATATCATATCAGCCGTGCAACGTAGACGCAGAAAGTGGTACATACAGCAGCCATGGGCAGCGTGCTTGCCATCGTGCCTTGGTCATTGCATCAGTATACTCTAGCTGCATCCACACGAACAGACAGTCACATACTCGACATGTCGCCATCTGACTTGTCCTTGGCCGGTTCGGCGTAGGGCACAACTGTGAAATATCAGTGCACGTGATCTACCATGAACCGGATGCATGGTTGCGTATAGGGGAACACGGCGAAGGGCAAAGTGCAATCGGGGGCCGGCGCAGGCACATACTGAGGTCGGCGCGTCGCATATCCTTCTTTCCCTGGAGTGAGGCCATGGTGGAGCTGTATGAGCGGTGTAAGGCCGCAGTGGAGACGAAGAACGAGATGGTGTTGGTGATGCCGTAACGTGAGGTCCGCCGAAAGCGCGGGCGGGCGTTGCGCTCGGCATTCGACCGACATATCTCCCCATCTGCATCGGAACCTCTCAACACGTCTGTGTCCGTGACTACCCACCCTTGCCAGGACCCTGTGAGGCTGCAGATCATCCTTACTCCCTGTTGTCTCCACCATCGAGTGTTCTCGCAGCCTCCTGCCCTCCTATGTGCCGCCCGCTGTACCGCACCTCAGCTACTCGACATTATCCCGCCTCCCTTCCGTCACTCGGCCGTGCACACCGTCAACGATGAACCCGCTCTCGGTGCGATGACCTCTCGTCCTGGCCCGGGAATCCATGAGCAGTCCCGTGGCAGTGGTGTGCCTCCTCGGAATCAGGTGCGGCGGCGGCCCTCGAAGCCGCTGAATACAGCGCTTCCCCAGCCCGACTGCATCGATCCCACTCTTGGGGACGAGCGACCACCCGCACACAATGGCGCCGGCGAGACAGCAAGACCACTGCCCCGGGGGCGACCGCAGCTGTTCTACGGCACCGCACCGAACGACGGCTACGAGCTGTCTATCCATCCCTCCTTCCCATACCAACCGACCGCGAATCTACCCGTGCCGCCAAGGCCAGGTTCCGTACACCTGAGAGATGTATCGAACCAGCGTCGCATTGTTCCGGGCGGGACGGGCGTGAAAGAGCACCCCAGTGTTCAAGCGCCTGAGGTTCTGTCTCCACCTGTTCACTTCCCTGGGGGCAAGGCCGCGGATGTGTTTCCATGGACCGGCAACTCCCCCGAGGATACGTTGACAGAGGCGCTGGTCAAGGGCGGTATCAGCAACAAGCCACAGATTATGAACGAGACGAACACAGCTCGGCCCTCGTTATGGTCGAACCTGAAGAACAAGTCTGGGCTCTCAACATTGTCGACGCTGTTTGTCGCTGTGCTGGAAAAGCGTCAGCAGACTGGACGTCTCCAGGAGCCGAACACGTTCAAGCCTCCGCCACGCCTCACCCTTCGCGACACGGCAAGAGAACAATGGCTACACGATTTGTCGAATCCAGCCCACGGCCTCCGTCGCTTGAGTCGTACCATACCCCACGGCCTCACTGGCAAGGTACTGTTGGAGCAGTGCCTTAACAAGAATATACCTCTACCAAGAGCGCTGTGGCTGGCCAAATGTGTGGGCATCAACGAGCTGCGCGCTCACAAGCGAAAGGGTCAGGCGGGCACTGTGACGTGGGTCCGAGGATGGACAAGCTCGGTGGAGCAGTTCTTGGACGGTATTCTCTCCAGTATTGGCACTGGAGAGTGGAAGAGTCGCATCACATACTCGTATGCTACCCTTCATACTGAAGGATGTATAAGCTAACAATGTGCAGACTCCAACTGGCAACTTTCCTATACAAAGAGTGTCTGCTAGACGTGGACCATTTCCTCGACTGGATCCTCCACAGTTTGGGAGCATGTTCATCCGAGCGCCTGTTCATCTGGCTTCTCATTGTATCTATTCCCGCCTATTGGAAAGATATCACATCGTGTCGAATGCGCGGCAAGCGTCTGGCAGAGGCGCTGCTCAACCATGTGACAAAGGCGAGCTATTTCACACAGACTCAAACTCTCATGTGCTAACATATAACAGCTTTCTCAACAATACGTTCAAACACCACCGTCTAGGTTGTCGCAATTCCTTGAAAACACCCTGATCAAGCTCCTCGCCATACGCCCTGCATGTCTACTCATCCCGAGCTCCTGGCGCCAACACAGCACTACTCTCCACAGTCTTGCAGAGAGGATAAATCATCCTCAGATTGTACATGGAGTAAAAAGACTAGACGAACGGAATTGCAGGCTACAGCAGTCGTCCAAAATTGCTCCGGCCGCTTCCATGACATCAGCGGGTCAAGTCTATCGCATACTTGACAATGTCGATTACAACAACATGGTCCGTATAGAGGAGGTCTCTACCGACTGCATGGAGATCATCTCAAACCCTGTCAACCTAGTATCAGTCCTGTTTCAATGGGCATGCTCATGTTATCGCGAAGGCTCACACAGAGCATGCCTGGCGACTCGACTGCTCCGCAGGTGGGCCCAACTTGGTGCAGACATATATGAGTGTATTACAACATATCTTGAGGGTATGAGTTGGGCTAAGAGCGGCGACTCTCGTATAATCTTCAAGATCATCTCCGAATTGGTACGCTCGAGGACATTTGCAGCTGGTCGTTACATGCAATGGCTCATCGCTACTGGATCGATTGCGCAAGATTTGGATCTATCACTGGTAAGCAGTCTCTTTCTTCATGATAATTCAAAACTTACTATGAACTAGCCTGCGGCGTGGCCTGTACGTCTGATTACAGAGATACCCATCAGTGGATTACCAGATCAAGTACGCACTCTGCGCGCAACACTTCTGCGCGGGACTGCGCACTCGGCGGACTGGGAAGAACAGATCTTGAGCCACGCTAAGCTCGCCATCTCGCAGCAAATGCCAGCATTGTGCGGCGTAGGCTATTCAGGGTTGGACCATCCTAAGCTTGACATTGGCAAGCTTGGATCTACAGTCAGGATCGAGCTTGGCATTTGGCTCCGTCAGCAAGTTGCTCGATATGCTGAGGTCAATGAACAGTAAGTCATTCCACCGTACCTGTGCTCGTATGATGCTAAAATTTTCCAGCGTACCCACCAAAGACCCTGCTGTTGAGGAGACTGCCGCAGTGTCTTTGATCACACCGCATGACTTCCACACGGTCCGGTCTTACCTCGAGCAGTTTGAGGATCTCCCGCTACTTGCAGATGTTGTCAATATTGTAACCTCATCATTGGATCCAAATGTACTTGCCTCTGCCACGGATACGATGCATTACCACCTGAAAGCTTTTCGTGCCATCGGTGCCTTCGACTCTCTGTTCGGGAGAGTGGTGACACGGTATGCAGCAATTCGGACTATACGATTCCCCGAACGCGAACTACTCCTCAGTCTCACCAATCTGACGCGAACACTGCGACTGGATAATTCGCTCCTGCAGCTGCTGAGCTACGACCTAAGCCGACTGGACCAGAAGAACTCGATGGCCGCCTGCTCTCCAGCATCTGATAACATGGGTGAGGTGATGTACAACATCTTATCTAGTCCCGAAGACGAAATCGAACGCATACTTTCAAGCGGCAATAGTATGGATCAACAGGTTATGGCTCGAGTACTACGTAAGATCACCAGTAGTCTACAAGACTGTGTCAGCAAGGGTCTTCTACAGTCCGATAGCTACTCCGGTTGGTTCTATCGTCTGCGCAGCTTCGACGATTCGACTTTCGATGTGGTACTGAACGAGTGGGTGAACCTTTGCTTGCTGAACCATCAAGTCGAGGTTCTGTTTCTTGCATTACCTACCCTGGTGGGATCAGGGTGTATGCCTCTTTCTGGGTTTTTGGATAGCCTGCGAGCTTACGTGGGCAAGACGGCACCCGGACAGCCGGAGATGGCCTTTCGCGTTGCTTTGGAAGGCTTTCAGAGCCTACTGCCCTCCGATGTCCTGACAGGCACGTGGTCACCTCAAGACAGATATCGCTACCGACTCGAGCAGCATAATCTGTGCTATGAGGCAGAAGCACGTGTGGTTCAGTTCATCAGCGAACTCATTGAACTTGGTACATCCTTACCAGCACAAAAATTCGGGCAACAGTTGTCCAGCCTCTTGTCCAGCGGTCCAGTGCTTGGTATTTTGAAACATTATACCCTCTCCGACATGGCTTCGCTCTCTAAGCTCATGAAAGCAAACTCGAACGAAGGTTTGAAGAGACGGTACCTCAAAGCCGCATTCGGTCTGTTGTTGGACCCTATCGGTAATCATGGTAAGCAATCCCGTACCATACAATTACGTTCTTGTACGCTAACACAAACCCCAGGTCTAGCTACGAGAAGTCCAGAACAGCAGATCCTCGCAATCTTTGACATAGCCAGTGAACTTTCAATGCCGTTCTGCAGAACCATGGTTCAGCAGATCTTCGAAACGGATTCAACATCTACAGAGCAATCATCTGAAGGGCTGTCTGCCGCGCTTCTGATTGCTATCAAGTCAGCTCTAGAAAAAGACCAGCCATCTGGGTTGGAGCTTCTAGCCATCCTAGATAGTACTCTCACAGACAAGGTATGTAGAATCGTTACGCTCAACCAAAGCTATACTCATGGTTCATAGATACGACAACACGCCGAACGCGAGATCATCGATGCGTCGTCTTTCCTCACTACATCGCCGTTCGATTCGCAGGGCTTAGGCCAGACATCACCAGCATTAATCCAGAAGTATCTCGCAGTCATCGACCTGACTACGGGAGAAGCTCCAGAATCGACTGATCAATCGGCGATGCTGATGGCACTGACTGATAGATTCAAAGGCATGGCTCAGGCTCTGACTTCTCTGTGTGGTATCGGCAAGCCACCAAGTCATAATGACAGCTTGACAGTGTCAGACTTGTATACATGGTATGACGGTCACCTGCCCTCCCACGTCTTCACTAATCGCCAGTAGGATAAACGCTCTATTCCGCGTCCTCATCTCGCACAGTGCTTCGCTTGTACGGAACGCAACGCATCAGCATCAGACTGCCCTCATGATTGCTTTGAAATCTTTGATTGTTCATCCAGCCCTCGAAGTCTATCCACGGATCGCCGAATACATCTTCGACGTAGCCGTCATTCTGTCCGATCTTCTGTCCGACGATGTCCGCACCCAGCTCGCTCGTGCCGAAAGTACCACATGCGCGGATGATCCTCGATGTTCTTTCATCGTAGGCACTACGATGCCGATCGATGGCTGGCTTGTGCTGACCAAGCCTGTGAACCAACCGCAGCCCGCTCAAAATCTTGCGCCCTCCCAACCGCAGACTCCAGCCCCTATTCAAAGCCAGTATCAGAATCCGCAGATGCCAGGCTCGGGTGCACCGACACCTCAACAACGATACTTCGGCCAGCAGCAGCAACGCCAGCAACAAATGCAAGCGCAGCAAGCTCAGCAAATGCGAAACTATCCTCAGTATCCACAACACACACACCCGCAGAACAAGATGCTCCCTGCGCAGCTGCAACGGAACCCCTCGAATCAACTGCCTCCCACACCACTGCAACAAATGCAACACATGCAGCACATGCAGAGCCTTGCGCAACAGCGAGCCACCCAGCCATCGCCAGTACAGTCTCAGCGTCCTACCCCTGCAGTGGATGGGCCAGGGGTCACGACCAACAAGCTGCCAGCAGTGCAAGCGAAAGAAATGAGACAGTTCCCCTATGCGCAACCAAGATGGGAGATTTTGGCCGAAAGTTCTGGCAACCCCAATGCAAACGAGACAGCGATCAACCTGAGCTTGTTCGGTGCCAGAAGAGCCTGAATAACCTTGAGTATCTCGTCAACATTTTCTTCTTATTCCTTCACATCTATTTTAGCGTTTCTTTTGTTCGTCAAGTTAGGGTATATGGGTTCACATGCATGCAGCGTAGCGGTGGCGTTGATTATTAGGAAGCTCCCCATGGCATGCCTGCATTACAATGGCGTCGGATGCTTTGATCAGTCAGCATTAAGGAGTTGTATATATACGAACCTCGATACAGTGTGATATGATTACAGCATTTGGGGTGAAGGTGGTGAGAGTTGGAGGCTCTTTGGTTCGTTGCATATAAGCACGCAGTATTCACGGTAGATCAAGGAGCACGAAGGCACATGAAACAATCGTCCGCCATGTTCCATTTCCACGCATACCTAACAATCTCCTCGAGACCCACTTCATGTGGACTTTCCGGTGATCTTCTCGTAAGCCTCCCTGTACTTTGCTGCCGTCTGCTGCACAACATCCTCTGGTACCTTCACTCCCTCCTTCCCCTTCAACCCATTGCTCGTCAACCAGTCGCGCAGAAACTGCTTGTCAAAGCTTGGCTGCGCCTTACCCAGGTTTTGTTCCCACGTGTCCTTGGGCCAGAAACGACTGCTATCCGGCGTGAGCACCTCGTCAACCAACACCACCTCATCCTTCTCATCGAGCCCAAACTCAAACTTCGTGTCCGCAAGCACAATACCCACGGACTCGGCGCGTTTAGCAGCGGCCTCGTAGATCTGCAGACTCAGCTCTTCAACCCTTGCTGCAATCGTACGGTTTGCGATGATCTCACGCGCCTTCTCGGGCGAGATATTTTCGTCTTTGTCGCCCAGCTCGGCTTTGGTGCTCGGTGTCCACAGCGCCTGGGGAAGCTTCTGGCCTTCGATTAGTCCCTCGGGGAGCCGGATGCCATTGACGGTGCCGGACTTCTTGTACTCGGACCATCCCGAGCCGGTGATGTAGCCGCGCACAATGGACTCGATGGGAATGATGCGCAGGCGCCGGACTTGCATGGAGCGGTCTTGGAAGGTGGTTAGGGTGGAGATGGGGCTGGGGAGCGTGTTGCTGATGTAGTGGGTTTTTAGGCCGGGGACGTGCTGGGGAAGGTAATTGAACCAGTAGATGCTGAATTTGTTGTCAATGTTGAGTGTAGATGGAATGGAGGCTTGGTGATTGGTACCTCATGGCAGTGAGAAGGGCGCCTTTTCCTGGGATACCCTATGTGTACATTAGCTTGGACCACTTGAATAGGACACCAAATACTGAGAACGAAGAGTTGGTTGTTCTCTGATTTCTGTCGACTCACATTCTCCATGATAACATCGTACGCCGATATTCGGTCGCTGGCAACGAAGAGCAGTGTGTCATCGTCCACTGCGAATAGGTCGCGGACTTTGCCTGATGCCACCTTGGGAAGCTTGCCCTGAATGTCAATGGTAGTTATTGTTTCCGACATTTCCGTTGCTTGATTGTTGTGTGGAAGTTGTGCGACTCATTCAATTGCCCGACTTGGAGTTGAGTATTTTGTGCCTGCATGACGCTAGGGTGGGGCAGACCCTTGCGGGGCAGGCCATTCATCACTCAAGTCAAAGAACATGAACATCTCTGTATCACAATCTTTACAAGTTGGATTTTGCTTGAGAATGTCGCTGAGCTCAAGAGGCGAAAGCACGCACAAGATGATCCGAGACTTTAGAGCACGTGAGTGAGGAGGTGACGTTCTTGCTCTGTGCTTGTTGAAGCCTGGGTGCCTGCGCGTATATTGGTTCACGCGCTTCCCAGACAGTCTAGCCTCGTCACCACATTTCCATCTCATCGACCTTACACCAATATATTGCATCACCTCCTATGATTCTTCAATGACTTCGACGCAGTTTACAGCCTTGATCCGGCTACCTTTCGCGCGTGGCAACTTTGTAGATCCGCCACAAGCACAATGGGATGCCGAGAAGGACCGTCAACTATGGAAGGTCATCTCAAAGTCATCTAAGACCAGCGACCTCAACTGGGTGGAACTAGCATCCAAGTTCCAAGTGCCTCCTACGTTCCTGCTTCAGCAAGCGGCGTGGCTGTATGAACGACATTTCGAACATGTTCGCAATCAGATGAAGAGAGTCAGCGGTTCAACTGTTACAGCACCCGCTGCGTCTGGCGGCGGAAGCACCCTGACCCCTGTAGGTGGTGTTGCAATGCAAAGAGCTGGTAGCGGTGGTGCTGGACCTCCACGAACGACTTCTGCTTTGTCTGGTGGGCTCAGGAATAGCCCAAGCCTCGGTCTACAAGAAGCCATTGAGCCTGCTCCAGCGCTGACAAGGACGCCTTCTACAACAACCATTACACAATCTCGTGCCCAAGCTCAGCAGCTGCCGACTCGAACACTGTCTGCACGATCAACGCAACGACCTAATCTTGCCAGACCTACCAGAGATGATCGGTCTATCTCCCCAGGACACGTTACCCACACGACGCTCCAAGATCTACCAGATTCTCCGGAGATTCCGGCCTCGTCTTCGCCGAGTTCATCTTCACTATCCGACACCGATCATCCAGCTCATCGTAGCCAGCTATTTAAGAGGCCGCCTCGCTTTCAGCAGAAACGACCTCGTGAACTAGTCCCATTTGCAGAAGGTGACGGTATGCAGGAAGCGGACGAAGCAGGTTCACAAGGTAATACCTTGCTACCTTTTGCATCCGCTGCAAGGCGAGCGCCCGGTGCACCACGACAAAGCCAGCCCGAGCAGAAGACTCGACTTGTCGATCGGCAGAAGAGCAGCACAGCAGCGAAGCCTAGCAGTCCACAGTCTCAGGCAACAACTGAGACAGCATCCTCCATGACGAGCTCTGCTTCTGCTAGCGATGCGCCTTCCGGTCCTCAAGCAGCTGCAAAGAGTCCTGTGAGCCCCAACTTCAATCACCGCGCGGCAATGGCAAACCTTGGGAGTCCGAGAGCGCAAGCGTTGAGGCGAAAGGAGGGAAGTGAAGGCACACCAAGCATGGGGAGCAGCTTTAGTGACATCGATGGTGCGTAGTGTTAACCGAACAGAGATCTGAACAAATCTGACATCCACAGATGCGGGCATTAGCCAGTCGGCGTTGGAGGAAGCTTTGCTCAGCAACATGCAGCATGGGAGGATGAGCACACTCAGTCGGATGTCTCACGCATGGAAGCAGTAGTATTCTGCCTTTCTTTCACTTACACCTAGTATCGCAAGCATGATGTGTGTGCATAGTGCTGCGGTCTTGGCACCATGGGCGAGACTTTCACAAGACACAATGATACATGCTACACTTCTCAGACACGCTCACTTTCCACTCTTTCAGGTTAACTATGAAGCCGCCACTTATCCGTGTCGAAGACGGTGATAGCACGGAGCCCGTTTTGACCTTACGATACACCTCCGGCGAGAATGATCTTGAGGTCAAGATCATCTACGCTGACATAAACAGTCTTCTCGACCATCCAGGCCGAGCCCGCCTCGATCAGAGGCGCAAAATCATCCCATGCAGCGACGCCTTCCTTGACACCTTCTGGTCAGCTGCGGCCTCTCTCCTCGACTATTTCGCCGACTTCTACGCAACCGACACAGCACTGATGCAGAGTATATGGTTCCACCTCCTCGACATCTGGCAAAAAGCCTCCCCTCTCCCACTCTACCACATCGATTTCGACTTCTGCTACTCAACGCCCGCCCAACTGTTTGAGAAAGACTACAAAGACACCATCGCCCTGATCCACAGACTCATCTCCCCAAAGTCCCGCGCGTGTCCAGACAACCACAACGACTCACTCATTCACGATCCCAGCGGCACCGTCGAGGGCCTCACGGGCAGCTACGAAACAGGCCCCTTCATCTCCGGGCTCGCGCCATGGCAGCAGTTTCTCTACTCCGGCGCCCCGGGCTTCAAACCCGTTTCTCCAGAGCAAAACGACGCACGAGAAGCAGACGAAGGCAACACGCGCTACACCCCCCAACCAGCCATCGCACTCATCCAAGCACACACGGCCCGCGCCCGCGCCCTCGCCGTCAGAGTCGCAGAAATAGAGGACTGGGATCTACCAGCCACGCTCGCAGCTTTCGATGCCAACGCGCTTGCGATCCCCAACACCATCACCCACCCACACACATACGCCTCGCTCCTCCATCCAGGAACGGGGATGAGTTACCAGCTTCTGCAGGGCGCGCCGCCGGTGAGACGGCACGAAGGGCTCTCGGATCCGAGCATGATGATTGATACCCCGGATCTTGTGCTCTTGGACGAGGCGGTGGGGACGTGTAAGGGGAGGGAGGCCTATGTGCCGATGACGGGGCCTGTGGGGCAGGCTGGGGTAGGGTTTGATGTTTGGGCTGTTACTGAGAGTGAGGATGTGTTGGGCTGGGAGAACAGAAGTCAGAGTGATGGGAGGTCTGGAGTGGCGGAGGGAGCGAGGGAGATGTTTGATGAGTGGTACTTTGGAGACGAGGGGGTGTGAGTGTGGGGATGAGGGTTGGAGGAGGAAGCGTCTATTGGTATCATGTGCAATGCAATGCAAGTCGTATCCATGTCTACAGTCTGGGTCTATGCGGCGACCTGTGCAACAACAACATCTCCGAGCTTGCTCAACTGCAGCTCGCCATCGCTGCCCAGATCGTCCAGCCCGTGGAACCCTTCTTCCACAATCCATCGCTGTGTGTAATTGCTAAGCACCCTGCACGCATTACCCACAACTAGCAGACCCGGCGGCCTGCTGCCCTCCTCCTCGACCGCCGCACAGACGTGCTGGATAGTCGTCCGAATAACCCTCTGGTCGGGGCAGCTCGCGCGCTCCAGGACGGCAACAGGCAGGTCTGCAGGATACCCCTTGGCGACCAGGCTCTCGATCAGCGCCTCCAGCCGGTGCAGAGACATGAGCAGCACGATGGTTCTGCTGGCGACGAACTCTGGCGGATCGAGGGGCGCGCCTTTCCTCCCTGTGCCAGTGCAGATCAGCACTTGATCCGCGACACCTCTGTGCGTGGCCGGGATGGCGGCGAAGAGCGGCGCGCTCAGCGCCGACGTTATACCAGGAAGCACGGTGGGTATGAAACCATGCGCGCGGAAGAAATCGTACTCCTCGCCGCCGCGGCCGTAGATATACGGATCGCCCTGCTTGATGCGGACGACCACTTTCCCTGCCTTCAAGCCCTCAAGGCCCCATTCCAGCAGCTCTTCTTGCGCCCGATCTGCGTTGCCGGGGAACTTTCTCGCGATGTGGACGGTTGCGCGGCGGGGCACGAGGTCGAGGATGGGCGCGGGGACGAGCTTGTCTGCGAGGATGAGGTCGGCGGATAGGATGGCTTTGTGAGCTGCGCGGGTCAGGAGATCGGGATTGCCGGGGCCGGAGCCGGCGAGGACTATGCGGCCTGCTTTCTTTTCGGGGCTTGCTGTGGAGGTTGGGCCGATTTTGGAGGCGTTGCTGCTGGCGAATTCGCGGAAGAGGGTGTCAATGTCTGCGTCTGTGATGGCCGCGAGGCGGCGGAGGGGCCAGTATTCGCAGATTTGGGAGAGCCAGCGCATGCGGCGGCCTCGTGCTGCTTCTTTGCTTTCTTCGATGATGAGCTGATTGAAGGTTGCGGGCTGGCCGCTGTCTTCCTCTTCAGCTTCAAGGTCTTGGGATAGCTCGGCCGCGTGCTCTTCCTCCCATATGCGTCTTCGTAGTGTGCCGAGTCGGTCGACAGCATCGCCGAGGTGTGGTGGCAGCGAAGATGCAATCTCCCGCCGTATGCGAGCTGATAGCTTACAGCCCTTGCCAGACGCAGTTACGCCAATCTGGAGGGGACCGTCGGAGTGTGTGGAGAGGAGTGTGAATGAGCAGAGATTGGGCGCATCGGCGACGTTGACGGGAATTCGTAATCGGCGGCACAGGTTGGATATTTCTGTGCCTGTGCATCGTTAGACAAGCAACAAGGTGGGGGGAAGGGAGGGGGGGGGGGGGGGGGGCGGCGATCTGCAAAACATACTCTGCCCATGCTTTCCACCTGCCGTCACAAAGACTGCGTCGACGACGCCATCCACCTCAGCACGACCAAGCGTGGTCAGATCCTCCTCTTGAAAGCTACGCTGGATCCATTTGACCTCGCCTTCCTCGATGCGCCTAGCCAGACCGTAGTGTAGCGTCGCATCCCCGGGGGCAATCAGTATGGGGTTCGCGCCGACCTCGATTGATCGTGTGCATCGTGCGCCAGCGAGTGGGTTTGAGCCGACAATGAGGTGGATATGTGAAGCCGAGTCGACGGCCGTAAGAAGCGCGGGCGTCATGTTGTGTGTGTTTTGAAAGATTGTGGGAACTCAAGAACAAGTCAATGTCGCAAGTGGAGGAGGGGTATAACCATGTGCATATACAAGAAGCGTTATCTCGGTGGCATGTTCAACTTGGGGCAAATGCTAGTCACGTTTCTGTTCCGATGTCGATTGAGTATTTCCGAGATAGTGATAACGCAATCCGCGCTAGACATGCCCGCGGAAAAAGCGCTTGGTGGTGGAAGGACGGATGCGGCCAATCACCGCACGTGGATTGGAGGAATTGCTGCTGTCGCGGCCAATCATCGAACGTGGATTGGAGCAATTGCTGCTGTCGCCGGCAGGTCGCCTACGGCTCGTCGCGTCCCATCACGATATCGAGCGCCTTGCGGCTCAACATCAGGCTGTGTTCGAGCGCGTTCAGCTTGGCCGACGCCGATATGAGGGCCGGGTCCTGGGTTTCGACGCGGATCTTCTCCTTGACGCGGACGTCCTGGCCTTTGTACTTGTACACTTTGTCTGCTTCGTCGTGAAGGGGTGTGCGTGTGCCGCCGAGGGCTGAGGACAGCCGGTCGCGGAAGTTGAAGCCTGTGAATGACGCCGGCTCTTCTTCGTGTTTGGGTTCGAGTGTGCGGATCTCAAGGCAGAGGGCGGCATCGAAGACAAACATGTGGAAGGAGACATTCGAGGGCAGCGGAGGGTCGAAGATGTTTTCGTCGACGGGAGTCTCCCACCACGGCATCTGCACGTCGGAGTAGCCCTTCAGTGCCTGGCGCGCTTCGAGGATGTGGTCGTGCAGCAATTGCAGCTGGCCGGCGACGAAATTGGCGTTGGTCGCGTCGCCGCCCCAGGAGACTACATCGATGGCATCGAGGCAGCTGTTGATCGATGTGCGCACCGAGGTGAGCTGGGGGACGACGAGTGTGGGCGCGGTGGGTGCAGAGGAGATGGCGACATCGTAGGTCTGCGAGCCGCGGGGAGGAGGCAGGCTTGCGATGCGCAGCTTGACGTTCTGGGCACGATCATGAGCGGGATGTCTTCACATGCATATACACTACTGGATCAACCTACGCCCTTGACGATGCGCGTGCCGACGCGAGCAACGAGGCCCTTGAGGCTTTCTGACCGCACCGAGGTCAGCACCAGCGTCGAGCCGTGCTCGGAGGGTGCCAGCAGCGCAGCGCACTCCTCGAGGCCGGCCTTGAGCGACTGCAGCGTCTCCCGGAGCTGGACGAGCAGCCACTCGAGCTCGCGCTGCTGCGACTTTGTCTGCTCGCTGGCCAGCTGGGCGGCACCGATGGGCGGCCACACGGCGGTCGACATGTTCGTATTGGCGCCGCGCGCGGACGAGTAAGGGCGGCCTCGGGGACTTGGGGGACTTGGGGGACTTGGGGGGCTTGTCTCGATCTTGGGGGACTTGTCTCGACCTTAGGGGACTTGTCTCGATCGCCACTTGTCTCGATCGCCACCAAGCGTGGGAGACAGCACTGACAGGCCTCTTGCGGTGGTGCGCACAGGATGCTCGGCAGCAGCCGAAGCAAGGCAGCTCCAGCGCAGGGGCCGCGACCGAGCTCCTTCGCCAACGGCAATGCCTGCAGCGGATCTCACTCCGCACCGTCCCTCGACTCTGCAAACACCAAATATCCCACGCGGCTGTCAGAACAAGTCTCCCTTTAGCAGCACACACCGTCTGCGAACTCAGCCTGCATCCAGCAAGGCGCGACCCTTTCGGTCTTTGGAGCTCGCCGGGATGATGCAAAGCGCGGCTGTGAGGTCATGACCATCGCGCGCACTGATGACCCAGCGTGCAGCCGGGCTCCCATCAGACTTTTGACGGCGTTCCCGCCATACGTCACCCCTTGGCCCACTTCTTCATAAACAAGAACCTGCGCTTGGAAAACACAGGCGACAAGGCTTCCGCTTTGGGCTCTGAAATACCAATCGCTGCCGTCAAACCTCCCTTGCCATATCCGTTGATCCGAACTGATCCTTCTTCTTGCCATCTACCAACCTCACGTTTCAAGATGGTCGCTGCAGCCAGTGCGTACCCCTGTCGCTCACCCATCACCCATCACCCATCACCCATCACCCATCACCCTCACAACAACAACAACAACAACATGCTGATGCGATACTTGCAGAACCCCTTCTCGCCCTCGCGGCACTACTCCTTGTCGCCGGAGGCATCGTAATGCAAATCTTCACCATTCTGTCCGGCGCTATCAACTCGGCACCGATCAACCAATTCTACTTCCTGCAAGCGGCCACCAACGGCATCCCCAACGCCCGCAACCCTTCGCGATGGACCTTCTTCGCCATCTGCGGCCGTGACCCCAGCTCAGGACACAACGCAAACTGCGGCGCCATCGTTCCTGCGCTGCCCTTCGACCCGCCCCGCAACTTCGGCACCACGGAGAACGTGCCCGAGCAGTTCGTCGGAACGCACATGTACTTTTACCTCTCGAGGTTCATGTTCGCTTTCTACCTGGTTTCTCTGTTCTTCGCTGCCTGCGCGCTGTTCACCGGTCTTCTGGCGCTCTGCTCGCGTCTCGGCGGCTACCTTTCCGGTCTCACGGTCTCCATCGCGCTCTTCTTCCAGGCGCTGGCCGCTGCTCTGCTCACGTACGTTGTCCCCCCTCGAAACCTATCAGACACCCAGCTAACACGCCGCAGCGCGTGGATGATCAAGGGCCGCAACGCCTTCCGCTCCGCCGGCCTCGAGGCTTCTGTTGGCCGCTATCTGCTCGGCTTCGCCTGGGCATCTTTCGCCTGCTTCCTCGTCGCAACCGTCTTGTTCTGCCTCGGCGGTGCGCTCGGTCGTGACCGCTCACCGGGCGTGAGCCGTCGTCGCTCGACCAAGAGCACCAGGAGCCGCGCCAGCTTCATGGATACCGACAGCCAGAGGAGGGTCAAGGACGACTACTCTGCTTAGGTTGAGTGGCGATCGAGGACAGAGCGGCTGTAATCATGATCTAATGGAGATGTTGGGAAATGGTGTGGGAGGACATACAAGATGATATCCATGACTTTAATGCTACCCTTAGCGACTGTACACTCTACAAATTTGCTCTGTACATATGTAATGAACGTACTATACTCCACGTTATATCCCTCTTGTTGCCGACGAAGCTGATCTCCTACTGTGCCACGAATCAAGTATTGAGTCGGGTGTCAAGAGAGTAGCAAAGTCGTAGCAACAAATGTGGCCATAAGTCCTCCGCAGTCTCAGACCAACAGAGGACGTTTAACCAATCACTCAATGTGGCCGTGATAGACCTGCACAAATATCCAGCGTCGTCTACTATCGTTGATCTCAAATTACCAGCTAGTTCGTGCCGCGTACATGGTCCAAGTCGTCTCTCTATCGTCCTAATAATTACATGCGAAATGCAGACATCATTCATGCATGCCATGCCCTTGCTGCGCCGTTGAAAATGTCATAATGCGTGATGCGTAGAAGTCGTGAGATCCCTTCATCGTCCTCCGTGGCTGGTTCTCATACCATGTTCTCAGTCTCACTCCCGTTCCTGTGCTTCCTATCGCGCTTGCTCTTCTTGCTTTTCTTCCTCTTCGGGTGACCCTGCTGCTCCTCCCAAATCACCAGTCCCGTCGGTCTATCGCGGCGGTGCACACGATCGATGCCCAGATGCTCCAGCCCATCCCGCCCAACGTAGATACCGAACCCGTACCTCGTCGCGCCCGGGTCTGTCACGCTATCCCGCTGCGGCACACCCACACGTCTCTTCTCCCTCTCGCCCAGCGCAGGATCCGTTGGGGAATCGCCTCGCACCAGGCTCCTCACGCTCTGCGCGAACGAGCGCTCTGCATACGCGTTCCCCATCAGCTTGGTCACCAACTCAGGCTTGGTCTGCGGACGGTTGAACGCCCGATCCCCCAGAATCGGGGACTGGTACACCCAGCTAACCATCTCAGCCACGCTGTTGCTCCCATGTGGCAGCTTGGCGCGCTTCCGGCCCGGCAGCAGTGCGAGGAGGCCCACAATGTACAAAGCCAGGAAGAAGCAGAGCGCGTAGTACCCCGGCAGGTCGGCGGAGACGCGGACCACGTCGTCGGAGCCGTAGTACTGCGTCCAGAAACAGCCGCCGGCGAGGACGGGAATGCTGATGCTGGCTAGCGAGACGAAGGAGAGGAGGGCTGTGGCGAAGTGTCGGTTCATGAGTGCGGAAAGTGTGATGGAGATGGGAAGCCGGCAGGGGTAGTCGAGGAGGAGGGACGATTCTGCTGTCGCGCCGCCGGCGGAGGAGAGTGCCATGTAGGGCTGGAGGGTGCGGCGTGAGTAGTCTACTGATAGGATGGCGAGGAAGAGGAATAATCCGATGACGGCGGGGACGAAGGAGTAGAGGAAGTTCGAGGTCGAGAAGCCGGCGGCGTTTGTGCTTGCTGTGACGGCTGGGAGGAAACCCAGGCGCACAGCGGAGTTGATGTAGCTTACGACGTAGAAAGCGACAAGGAGGACGATACCAATTACAATGTATGCGATTACTGCGCCATCTTTAAGGTACCAGGGCAGGAAGCGCAGTCGCACCGAAGGACTGCGAATGTCCGTTCGGATGTGGAAATCGACAGGGCGGTCATCGCGGGCTTGCTCAGGGTACGTGCGATCAGACACTTTTTCTTTGATGCGGCCATCTTCGAGGGAGGATCGACGCGTCTCTCCGTGCTCTTCGCCAATACCGTAGAAGATATCGTTGGTGCGGTTCGATGTGCTCCAGTATCCAATGCGATCAGCGCGGTTGCGCAGTCGGTCCCAGTCGCCTTTAGCGAACGTCTCAGAACCTTCATATTCAGCCATAACATTGGAGCGTTCGAGGAGTGCAATGATATCGGCAAGGGATCGTGGGTCCCATCTAAGACCGGTGGGTTTGCGCAAAGTGATCAGGACGACGATCAAAGCAACAATGAGAAGTATGTACAGTGCGACGACTGTCCAGATGATACCCTGTACGGCAACCCATCGCCATACAGAGTTCGCCAGGTCGTAGCGCACATTGAAAGAAGCTGCAAGAAGGGGTATCGTCCATGCGAAAAGCCAAAAGATGACGTAGCAGGTTCCAAAAGCCGGGTGGCCTGCGCGAAAGTGCTCGATCCTGGGTAGCAGGAACTGCATAGGGTGTAGCTCAAGGAAGACAGCCTCAGAACGACGGTGAAACGAGTCTGATGCCATTGACAAGAATGGTATGACTCTTTGCAGAGCGGTCTGAATCTGGATGAGCCAGAGAAAGACGATCATGCCGAGCAGTGTGGGGAGGTACTCGAAGACGAAGTAGCGTCCATCACCGAAACTGTTGTAATTCCATAGCCCGTTGCCTCCGTCGCGCAGTGACAATACGGCAGATGCGATAAGTCCAGCCAGCATGAGGAGGCAGAGGAAGATAAAAATTCCTAGCCGGATAGGGCGGAGGATTGCAGGAACAAAGTGCAGCGGCAGATGGTCGAGGTCATGCGCTACGAAAACGTCCTTATCTGCACTGAAGGCCGAGGCTTGTGGGTACTGTACGCGAGGGTCATCGTGTAACAGTGCTTCTGCCTGCGCTTGTGTTGGTGTTCGATGTTGATAGTACTGGGGCTGTTGTTGTGTACGAGCGGGCGATTCGTACGCTGGGGCGGGCGACGAGAACTGGACATTCTGCGGCGCAGCAACTGGCTTGCGAGGGATCGAGTGGCGTTTGGAGTGCCTGTGGGAGTTTGGCGACATGTGCTCAGACATCCTTCTCTGCGTCTCCTGCTCTTGCGCCATGTATCCCAGACCATCGTCGGACACTATCCTCTCTACAGGGTAGTCTTCCTCGTACTGCCGTACTTCAGGATACACACGTGACCCTCGAACTTCCTCATCTCGAGTGAGTTGATCGATGGCGAACCGAATGTAAGGTGTTGTATCTTGGCCGGGCGTGGTAGCCTGCGAATCTGGGTCCATATTGGACCGCCGTCTGGTGTCCATCGACCTTCGCTCTTCTGTGATGGTGGAGATGGGACGAACTTGAAGATGTGCGGCGTGAGACTGTCGAGGTTGCCCTCTCGGGATACCCACGCCTCTGAGTGATGTTACCGGGGCTTGGTTCTGTGTCTGCAGTTGCTCATGACTTCGTGTGGGTGTACGGGTAGTGGGTATGTGGAAAAGTCGCTTTCGTTCGTCGCTGTCGCTCGAGTTGTGTTCAGAGGCGCTGTAATAGCCTTCTGATGCGGTTTGAGATGCGGCAATGCTTCGTTGTGAGCTCGAGTGAGAGAGTTGAGGTCGTGATACTATTCAATGGATCAGTGAATGCTCGCTGCCTCCCATCGGGTCGCTGTACCGTTGGTGTGCTTGAGACAGTATTCAGGTTCCACACTCATGATCTTTGGAACGCTAAGACAAGTGGAGTCGTGAGGAATGTTAGCATTATCGTGGATGGTACCGAAGGGTGACCGCGTGGGCAGTTAATACACATGGGAAGGCTGGCTGCTGCTCGTGGGGCTGGAGGCTGGGAAGAGGCTGGCAGGGGTTTATTTTGTCACAGCTGTGCGCGCATTGGTGAGACATGGGTAATTGACAGTGCAGTCTGAGCGGGGAATAAAACAGGATTTGCGATTGGCTATACTACTCGCCTGATAAATCGTGATGGATGCGTGGTGTTGTTGGCACATCCCCGCAAGTGGTGACGATGATCTGCTTTAGTGCACGGCCCGCAGCGACCCAAACTCCATCGTCTCAACTCAACCTACCAAAATTCAGGGTCGATAAATTGACGTCGATCAAGACCAGTGTTGCAAACGCGCAATTCTACTAGCGACATTTCACTGTATATGAATATGCTGAACGATTGTTTGGTTGTCGTTCAGAACATACAATAAGGTGACTTCACGAACTCGCTACAATCAGCCGTTGCACAATGCGCATCATTGAGTCAGGAGTTGAATTATCGAAGTGATAAGATGACAGCAAAGATGGAAGCGAGTCGTTTGAAATTCGTTTTGGTGCCGTGGGAAAAGCTTCAAGCTCTGCGCCTTATCTTCAAGGAAAGCGTGACCGTACTTCACAACTTGATCTAAAGGTCCATCCGCTTCTGCTGTCGGTGACAAAGCTCTGTATTAACTTTCTCCCGCCAGCCAACTACTGCAGGTATTTATCAACGGTCAAGACGGCACACAACTTTCAATGGAGAGATCAGCTGTTGTACACGACTACGTGATGCGCGAGATGCAGAACAGTCACGAAAAATCCCATCGCATTCGTTATACTATCACTTTACAGTGATGTGCATCAACAATGTATCGAATCCGAACTACGGGCTTTCACGTTGCAAACGACGTATCGTATGATTTATTATTGGGGAATCCTTTCATCCAAGAGAACGCTGTGTGCGACCCTCCGTGCATAGCCTTGCCACCAAGAGCGAAACGAAAGAGCTCAGCTGAGTGGACATGTACACTAATATACGAACGATCTCCGAACATGAGCACAGCGCAGCAGAAAGAAGAGTTGCCCCGCCAAGAGCATAAACAAGCCGCTGCCGAGGAATCGCTTCGCACCAGGGAAGAAGACAGGCGTAGACGAGCTCTTGAGAAAGAAGATAGGGGACTTGCAAGGGAGCTGACTTCAGCGTCGTCTATGCTCTCCACCTCTTCTAGTAATCTCGGCGTCGGCACTCCTACAATCACGGACAGTACGGGCGGTGCACAGCCAAACCTCTTCGCGGTCGATTCAGAGTGACCAATCATCCTCAACGTAGATGTATCTTAAGTCGCTTCAAGAAGGCTCTTCGTCAATTACTGGAATAAGTCCACTATTGACAAGACTGAATATACGAGGAGTCATTCTGATCGTGTTTCTCCATGTCTCCCAAACAATATACTATGGTTTGGGCATGCCAGTACCTCTGCCCTGGCGGAATGGATTGCTATCTACCCTTCCGATTTTGGGTCAACAGGCCAACTCTCATGATCACTTCTTTGAGGTCAATGGCAGCAGACGAAGTGTCGGCGTTTCACATCTGGCAACTCCCAGGCAAGATGACGTCAATGCGATTTTCAAGGCCCTAGCTGGCAAGGGTTCAGGCCCTTCCCCGAGTCTCTTTCGCCAGGAATTCAAACTCATCGGAGCGACAATGGTGCTCGACGTCAAATAAGTCGCTCTTACCTGATCAGCAAAATGACGTCGTCAGTCCTTGCTTGTTTCTGCTTTGCAAGGTTGCCAGGAGATCTTCCCGTCGGCGCGCTTAGACCTTCGTGACGACCTTTCAAGTATCCTCATCCGTCTTACATATGAGTCTCGCTTTGTTCTCGTTGGCAAATATTATCTTTGAAGAACTGTAGTCTCGTTCACCGTTATCAAGATCATCATTAACCCTCAGCTTGTTGACCTACTCCACGCTTCGCAATGACTGGACGACGTTCTGCGCGCGCGGATGCGAAAGCGCCTGTTAAGTACACCTCGGATTCAGACGACTCAAACTTCGGCGCGAAAAAACGAAGAAGTCAACCAAGAAGGCCGATGAGCCCACTCCTAAGAAGGGAACTAAGCGTTCTCAATCGCCTAATGGCGAAGCCGAGAAAACACCCAAGCGTCGCAAGAGGTTACCTGAGACCCTTGCACCTGAGCATGCAGAAAGGAGCAATTCTGTTATAACTACCCCAACAACAATTTAAATTCATAGATTATCTCGGACTGCGATCTTTCAGACCCAATATCTACTATTACCTTTAGTTTTTAGCGTCAGCTGTCTTGCTTACTATATAATACCACAATCTCCAGTGAGCACGTAGAGCAGTACCATCTCGGACTATCTCGGGCAAGATTGCAGTATATCAGGTTTGCACAAAAGCTTGCTGAGCGATAACGTATTCTTTAAGGAATGTATGCGAGCGTACAATTGTATTCAAGAAGCTGGATGCGTTGTGACAGCTGCCTGTTGTCTCATCAAGCAGGACCGCTAAGCGAAGGCGTACATCATAACAGTACAGAAGCGGCCTAGCCGTAATCTATCGATAGTATACCATTGCAGCTGACTCGTTGAGAGCGTCTCTGGGCGACTCACGTGACGAGCGATGGCGCTTAATATACCAAGCCACCGATCCTGCTACTTACCATTCCTACTAAGTAGAAGAGGAACCGCTGATAAAGGAATGGCTAACCAGGGCTAGCAGAGCATGGCCATAAGGGATCACGTGACGCCAAGGATTTATGTCGCTGATAACGTTGATGTCAGTCCCAGAGACAACTAGGACAACGACGACGATAAAAAGGCTTAGTACTTAGCATATAAACATCAGCAATTCCTTCATTAGATAGATCTCGGTCATATTCTTATCATACATGGAGTACTCATAGATTAGCAATACAATTGTGTATTACGAAAACTGTTACCATTGTCACCTGGTTACCGACCTTACCATCACCAAGATCCACTGAACAATATCTATGGTCACGCTAAGCCCTCTACGTCCCTACACTAGGTAAGTGCATAGAGCCTTGTAACATCAAGATACCTCAGACCAACGACCACAACGCATTAGGTCCGTCAATGGCGCCCGAGCGAATTTCGAGACATTATTAGAACCATCGTGACGCTTGAAAGTCCCCTTTCTATTCTGTCGCTTGCTCATCTCCTCAATATCTCAGAAGAAGATGTGCGCTGCCGACTCGACCTTCTGCACTCCGTGCTAAGCATTTCCGCTGATAGGAACATGCCTGTCCGGCCTTTGCATCTGTCTTTCCGTGAGTTCCTCGTCAACCCTAGAAGGGATAAAGACTCACCCTTCTATGTGGATGAAATTCAAGTCCATAGGAATTTGGCGAGGCGGAGTAAGTGAATAGCTGCCGCAGCTGAGTCGGCGCCGGTTGCTTCTTTAGAAGTGCCTCCTTTTCTCATCCTTCCAGAGGACATAGCCAGCCGCATCGACATTGCCCTGGAGGGGTGCTAATGCCCGAAGGATAGCATAAGGCATAACATCCCAATACATCGGATCGACGTCGTACTCGCCTTCATAATCTGGGGCGTTCTGACGAATAATACTGGGACCAGATGGTCCTTGGTGGTTCCGGACGCCGCTATTGTGGGTATTACAACTGAGACTTCCATACAGGTGATTCCCGACGTTGAGCAAGTCGATGAAACTCTGATCACTAGTCCCATTGTTAACGTTGGCCAAGTTGACATTGAACGCCTTTAGCACGCCGGTGAGAGGAGTTTCAGGTCTTTTGGCCGCGCGGTACAGAGCAGCCTTCCAGAAGGCTTTCCAGGATCGGGCAATGTCTTTATTATTGACTGCTCCTCCCAGTTTCTCGAGCACGACTCGAAAACTGACTTCGGCCTGGGTTTTCCGTCCTAAGTCCAGCCGTTTAAGTTGTCGTGTCTGCTCGTCGACCTTCTTTTCTAGTTCGACGATCCGTGCTTGAAGTGCTTTCTCATATTTCGTAATTCCAGGGCGAGGGTCCATAGAAGCCAACTTCTCCAGGTTGATGAAGGGGTTGAAAGATGTCTCTAAACAGCCCACACGGCGACAGAACATGCGAACATTGCGGCATAGGTAATGCCACTCGATGATTGCTATGTCATCTTTCATCCACCTTTCAATCTCCGATAGAAGCTTGGAGCCAGCTTTAATGTGCTCGTCCCTACTTTCTGTGGACCAGCGACTGAAGCTGTCGGCTTTAAACACAAATTCATCCAGATGTTCAAGCGAGACGCGAAGTTTTATAGAGAAAATCTCTCTGGCCTTGTATTCGAGGTACTGCTCCAAAATATATGTCGTGTCGGTGAGATCTCTTTGCATCTGCTCCTGGCTTGTCTCGAAGTTTTGAGTGTCTGGCTCGTCGAACTCCTTCAACCACCATCTGTTATCTAGTATGTTGCTAGGTATCCCGGGCTCCGGCCCTTGCATCAACTGGAAGTTGACGAATCCAATGTTGCGCAAGATCCTCGTTCTATCATTCCCGATTTTTTCGAGTTTGCTCCATAGTTGCTTAAAGTCAGCCTCCCGAAGGAGATTAGACAACTTAAAGTTCGTTCCTTCTGGAATAGGCTGTGCGTCATCCATTCTGATAGACTAGAATTTGGGAAGTCAAGAAGAAGCTCGAGTTGAGAAATTTGTCCGGTCGTCGGGTCTGTTTTAAGGGCTATCAATCGCGGCCTCCACATCCCTCATTATATGGAAAAACAACATAAGGCTGAGCGCGTGACGAATGGACGGGACTCTCCCGCACAGCTAGTAGACCCACCTAGATTTGGTAGCTCATGACCGGCACTGATATGGCGCATGCCAGCTTTGCTGATTCGTCGATAGCGGAGGTGAAGAGTAGCACCTGCAGATAGACGAGTGCGGGGGGGGGGGCTTTTTACCTCTATTGGTTTCAGCCTTGGGCCACCATATGCATGGCCGCAATTACGAGATGCAACGATGCCGGCGTAAGCATCAGCACATGAGTCAGCTCATCGACCAACCTCCGCCATCTCGGCCAAGCCTGTATCGAGCTGCAAACGGCCATAAGGGACAGGACTAACGAAGCTCTTCCTCCGGGCAGTCATGGACGCTAGACTCTTCGTGCTCGACACATTCACTAGCGTGACTGGTGGCCAATCCCCACAACTAGGCTATCCGCCTCTACTTTTTTCCGCTTCTTGTTGCTTGCGGTAACTTCCTTCCGCTTGTGAAACTTCTAATAGAAAATTAGTCGACCGAGGCAGTCCGAGACGGTAGTGTTATGAATGCCTGCAACGAATCGTGGTATTGTACAACTGATACGGTAGTAATAAGACAGATTTTAATGCGAATAGAGAATGTAGAAGCTAAAGAATCTATTCCGAGCTTACACCAGGCTTGCAAGATCTTTTCGTGATGATGGAACATAAATGAAATCTTATGTTCCGCTACGGCGGTTGTTCCGTTACGAAGGGATGCACGTTACGGCCTGAAAGCGAACGAATAAGTCAGCCTGGAGCACTTCGAAAAGCCTAATCAGTGTGGGGCCAGACCAAGCTATTTCTGACCGATGACGTGAAGATGGCTTTTCGGAAGTATGGCTTGCTCCCAGGCTTGACGGACGAGCAAAAAATCTTGAAGAAGGGTGAGGAGTTGTGGAAGGAAGAGTAGGTGTAGTCTCCAATACATACTCTCAACTTATCTCCTTCTGATTCTTTCAATGATGCACTGACGCCCCCAGCACAAGAGACAAAGCGCAAGGCTCGTCACAGTGACACAGAGGAGGAAAGAGCTCATCCTGAAAGTCGTCAAGGTACTCACCACCCATATCCTGTTGCTTGATCCTTGGCAATCCCATCTCTCGCTCCATCCCCTCCGGCAACTCAACGCCCCCTCCATCGTCGGCATACAGCTCCTCGAGCTCGAGCCTGGTAAACTTTAATGCCTCAACTGCCTCTAGCCTGCATGCTAGGAAGCGCTGTTCCTCATTATCGTCGATGAAGTTCCGCATTGTCACCTTGAAAGAAGCAAGAACCTCGGCGACTCGCTCGTATATCACCCTGTGTAAGCTTCGAGGACACGGTGATTCCTCGTGAAATAGCTGAATGCCTCCAGGGTGTGGGGTATACTTCCAGCCCTCGCGCGGACGCAGCGGCAGCTTGATGACAATTTCATTGAGATTCGGAAGGCGTTCGAACGTGTGGTACGTCAAGCCTTGGGATTTCTGATAACGTTGAAAGCCTCCAGCCTTGACTTTGAAGAAGTGCATGAACGACAGGAAGTCCATACTGAGGCTTATCTTCTGGATGCCGTGACGGAAGGTAGCGTATTGTTTCAGTTCAGGGTAGATGTGGGGAAAGCGGCGGTAGCATTTTGATAGAGCCTGCTCGCTGGAGGTAGTCGGCACACTGTGTGGCTCGATCATCTGATAGTACTCTCCGAGACGGTCGATGCGTTCGGTGAGTGTCCGGTAGGAGGATGCTGTGATGCACAAGCCTTTGGAGTGAATCAGGCTGCTGCCACCAGTAATGCAGAGTCGCAGTGTGATAGCTCTCACTTGGTGCGAGACGTAGAGTATCTGGTACCAGTCTCCTAGCTGGTCGACGATCTCGAAAGGCCCGGGTTTCCGAATCCTGCGGTCATTTTTGTAGCGCATGCCGAAGCGTGCGAATTTTTCGCTATAGATGCCATGGGTGTGGGGCTGGTGCATACAGAACTCAACGACGCGCTCTTTAAGCTCGGTGGGTAAGTCGGTCCAGCTGAAATTCTTGCCGTTGTTCAGCCACCAGAACCACAAGGTATCTGCTCGTAAGGGTACGTCGATAATGGGAAAGTTTGAGCTCAAGAAGTGATTGAGGGCCTCCACACTCTGGTCTTGGGTGACAATAATGCACTTCCACAATTTTGCCTTCGTACGGCGTCTGCGCAACACGACACGGCATTTGCATGGAACACTGATGTGGCCCTCGGCAGTGTTGCCCTGGAACAAGACGTTAACGATGGCTTCCGAGGTGTTTGTCTGTTCGTTGATCTGGTGCACCTCAAGCCCGAGTTCGAAGTGAGCTGGAGATTGTAGCTGAAATTCGCAAACTGCCTGACGAATGTGTTCCATCGAAGGTACCTCATCGGCTACTGGTACTACCAGTAGCTCAGGCGGATCACTGAATACCTCCATGACTGAGGTTTGGCGTCGATATCTACGGCGTTGGCGAGATTCCGTCGAGGGGGCATACGGATATGATAGATGTGCAGAAGCTGGGACTTTGTAGACAGCACTCTATATAGCAAAGGTACCCACCCGGGCGGTTTTGGTTGCCTTGAACCAAGCTAAGGTGAGCGAGAGCCTGAAGAGCCAAGTAAAGTTAACATTACCGTGGAGTCATTCAATTGACTGATCAGGCCCACTACACGATCAGTCAGATCCAACCCTGGAGCACTGAGTGAGAGAAATGATCCCGACATTCCACTCCGAGATTCCCCCCAAATCCTATCGGGTAAGGGACTTCTGTGCTCCTCAAAAGTATCTTCAGATCGACTCGAAACTCAGTGACGGCTACCTATTTCTATGCAACTCGAGGCGGCTCGTTCGAATGGTGACAATTGCTTCGTAGTGGCTGCGAACCATGTCATGTTTAAAACTTAATTTCGCGTTGGAAAACTTGAAATTAATGACCGCAAGAGATTGGTCCAGGATGTGTGTCGAAGCGATGAAAGAAGACGCGCTTTCTTCACGCGTCAACGTGCCAAGCGCACCTTTCCCAATCGAAGTAGCGTTGCGCTCCAGCCAATGGTCTTTCACACCACCCAACTGCGCCTTCACATCTACACTGCAATACAGGCTGCGCCAGTAATACTTCATAATTTACTAGAGGAAGCGGAATAGCAGGATTGAGGCTTCGAGATCAGTTTGAAAGAGCAGGATGAACCAGAACTTCGTTGGACAGCCCAATGCAGAAGACATAAGAGCACTGGAAGGGCTGCGCCGTGGGCTGGTGCCCATGATCGCAGCTATGGACAAGCTGAGGCGTGATATGGACCTCGCAATGTCACGGGAAACTGCAGTAGACTGGTAAGTGGTATTTTCAGTGGTCTCATCAAATCTGAAAGTTTTTTCGGTCAACCACTGTTGTTATTTGCGGCATCTATACTTCATTACGTTGCTACAATTCGACCAATGCCAGGCCCTCGCGACTTCTGCCAACACTCGGATTGACTTCTTCTATAGTTATACTCCATACTGACTCTATACAGGCCACAGATCCAACGCACAACAACAGCCGTAAACTCATACATCACAACCCTCAACACCTTCATCCACGGCGGCCGCAAGCACGCCGTAGAAAGCAGAAAAATCGATGCCGGCAAAGTTCTAAAGAACAAGCAAGGAACCGATGAAGTAAGATACACCGACATTACCATACCACCACAAGCAGACACCATCCGAAATCAACACCCTTTCCCCATCGCGCCCTTCCCCAATACCAACGACCATCTCGCCGGTCTAGCACAAACGCTGCTTCGGAAGCGTCTGGAGCCCACAGAAGAGAAGTGGGTTGAAGACCGATTATCGAAATCCCTTGAATTCGCATCCGTACCGCCAGAATGGGGTATCGAGCCCCAGAAGCCTGCCGAGAAGGAAGACAAAGACAACGACATCGAAGCCGACGCCGATCAGTCAGGAATGTTGAGCAGATTCAGCAAGCGCGCGAAAGGCACTCTGACCGAAGAGCAGCTCGTGCAGCGCTGGAACTCGGCGCATACGTGGTTCTTCAATCCCCCGCAGACGTCCTTCGACGAGGAAGGGGAGTATGCATCGGGTGAGGAGGGTGAGGAAGGCGATGAGGAAGAGGAGTTCGAGGATGCGATGAATACGCCTGCTGCGGATGCTGCTGCGCAACCAGCGCAGGAAGATGACGTGAAGCCGGCTGCGCCACCGCCACCGGTTGTTATGATTCAGGAAGCGGAGCCGCCGGTGCATAAGCCAGTGCCTGGAATGCCAGTGTTGGAGTTGGGGTTGATTCAGAAGTTTATGGCGACGGGGCAGTTGTAGGAGTGTTACCTGAGCAAGTTCCCCGGAGTGGAAGCTGTCGGCGAGGGTGCATTGAGCTGAGGCGGCACTCGCATCAAGTTAGAAGGGCATTGCGGACAATGGCATTCATCGAGGTCGATTAATGTGAGCAGCATTTCGTCTTACGCTGCCTAGATTGGGTATACAACCTTTGTACCTCTCCTATTCGAACCATGTCCCCACTGCGCTCATTCCGGCTTCAGCGCGTATATCCGTACAGGATACAGTTCCTTCGGCATCCCCCGTTGCAGCTCTGTAGCCACAATCTTCAGCCTCGCATCCTTGAACAGCTTCCTAAACTTCTCATCACTCCGCGTAACACTCGAATCCTCCTCATCGTAAATGTCTCTATGCTTGATATCCGTCGACAGATTCTCCTTGACCACTATCCACGCCTCAGCTTTCTCTCCGCCCTCGCCAGGCTTGACCAGCCCTGCTTTACACCGCTCGAGGTACGTGATGATTTGTGCGTCTGTCAAGTGCCCCAAGCACCACTGGTTCCAGATCAGATTATAGGCACCTGGCTCGGGTATCCAATCTTGCAGCCCCAGATTTATGACCTCGCCCACTTGACCGCACCCTGTGGTCTCTCCTGCAGCATCTGCCTGTGTATTCTCCAACTCCTTAACAAGCTCATCCGTAAACTTCTTCACCGGCTCCACAACATCCACGCTCCGTCCCACACCCAGCAACAGCCCCTTCGTTATCCGCCCAATACCTGCGCCGCAGTCTGCTACGCGGTCGAGAGGCGGCAAAGCTTGTTTCGTGGTGGCAGCTTGCCCTGCTCGTGCGCGGCGCAGCTTTGTGAGGAAGTTCGAGGAGCCTTGTAGGTCGATGCGTGAGGTTTGGGGGAAGCCGCCCAGCATGCCATTGTTGTCTGAGGCCACGCTTTCCCAGTAGGCGAGGGAGGCTGAGACGTTGATTGAGGCATCAGGGCGCTCGGGGTCGTGGGATTTGAGGGGATAGTCGGTATCCATGTCGAGAGCCATGGCCGATGAAGTATGGGTGGGAAAGTGTGTCGAGCGCGTCTCTGTTGATCGTGGCGAGGTCTGAAGGATAGCAATCGTGTGAGCGTTTTTGTATCACAAGCTGTTTGTGATGGTGCTGGAGATCAGCAAATTGTTAGCGTGTTGACCAATGATGCACATGCAGACGCGTCGAGCTTGAGGGGTAGCTCTGGAGCTCCTACGACCTGCAGCAGGAGTCCGCCCGCGCGTCCCGGACAGTACCACAGTGTACAATATTCGGATGATACTCATCATCTGTAAAGGGACAAACACATACACAGCCGGCATATGTCAGATTAGTTATACATATAAGACTCTCGGGAACGCGTCTTAGGCGTGTAGAGGTGTGGAGTGCAGATCCAAAGAGGCAGTTGCATGCGGATATCCTTCGCTATCGTCATTTCGCGGGGTCCACCCCATCCAAGCTGCCCACGCCTGCATCGGCAGCTGCATGCCATTGGTACTTTGTAGATAATCAGTTATCCCCTCTGCTGGCCGGAGCGATGTCCTGTCTTTACACTTCTCTCTTCAGAGCTTCACCTCGAACAATCACAACAGCTTTCCCTCGAGCATCAACACTAAGAACTATTCGAACGTACCGAGGTAGCTTTGCAAGATACTACACAGCTGGTAACAACATGTCCGACCTCTTCGTCGAGCTTACGGCACCAAATGGCCACAAGTACAAGCAGCCACGAGGACTGTTCATCAACAATGAGTTCGTCAAGTCAAAATCTGGCGAAACCATCACTTCGATAAACCCAAGGTACATGTCTACATTTACAAATGCTTGGATCTTTTAGTGGCACTGACTGACGGTGACACAGTGATGAGAGTGAGATTGTCTCGGTCTATGCGGCCAGTGAAGAAGATGTCAACGACGCAGTAGCAGCAGCACGCAAAGCGTTCAAGAGTTCGGAATGGCGAGACATGGATACAAACGCCCGTGCAGACGTACTCTTCAAGTTCGCGCAGTTGATCGAGGAGCACAGGGATACCTTGGCCACAATCGAGACATGGGACAATGGCAAGCCATACCAGGTCTCTTTCAATGACGACCTAGGGGAGGTTATTGGTACAATCAAGTACTACGCAGGATACGCAAACAAAATTCATGGTCAGGTCATCGACACATCGCCCGCAAAGCTGGCCTACACACTCCGAGAACCACTTGGTGTATGTGGGCAGATCATCCCGTAAGCATGTCTTTTCTCGTGGCGAACTCATATTGACTTTTGACAGATGGAACTTCCCTCTCGCAATGGCTGCCTGGAAACTCGGACCTGCACTGTGCACTGGTAACACAGTCGTCTTAAAGGCTGCAGAACAGACACCACTCTCCATCCTGTACCTTGGAACACTTGTCAAGGAGGCTGGTTTCCCACCAGGTGTGATCAACATCCTCAATGGAGAAGGCAGGAAAGCCGGTGCAGCTCTCGCTCAACACCCTGATGTAGCCAAGATCGCCTTTACCGGATCGACAGCTACCGGCAAGGAGATCATGAAGATGGCAGCTGGAACCATGAAAAACATCACATTAGAGACAGGCGGAAAGTCGCCACTGCTGGTCTTCGACGATGCCAACCTTGATCAGGCGGTCAAGTGGTCGCACGTTGGTATCATGTAAGAAACTTTGCGCTGTACGTGGAAGTCATACTGATCACTCTCAGGTACAACCAGGGACAGGTCTGCACAGCAACCTCGCGAATTCTGGTACAGGATGGCGTCTACGACAAGTTCGTTTCCGCATTCAAGGAGTACGTCGCAAAGACATCTGTCGTTGGTGACCCCTTCAAGGATGATACCTTCCAGGGCCCACAAGTCACCCAGGCGCAGTATGAGCGTGTTCTATCCTACATCGAGGCCGGCAAGTCCGAGGGAGCAACTCTTGTATCTGGAGGTAAGGCCTACAAGGATGTCGGCGGCAAGGGCTTCTTCATCGAGCCTACCATCTTCTCAGACGTCAAAGACAACCACAAGATTTACCGCGAAGAAATCTTTGGACCATTCGTCGCAATTAGCTCGTTTAAGACCGAGGAGGAGGCCATTGAGCGCGCCAACGACACCACCTATGGTCTGGGAGCTGCGCTCTTCACCGAGAACATCACCAAGGCACACCGTGTTGCCAGGGCTATCGAGGCTGGCATGGTATGGATCAACTCCAGCAATGACTCTGATATTCGAATTCCATTTGGAGGTGTAAAGCAGTCTGGCATTGGGAGAGAACTTGGTGAGGCTGGACTTGAGGCCTACACGAACAAGAAGGCCATCCACGTCAACTTGGGTACGAAGTTGTAAGGAATCGTGTATGAAAAGATACGTGTCATCACCACGTACCCAGACGGGGCTGTGCTTGGCGCCACGGCTTGGAATGGGTCGGACGACTGCACATGTTGGAATTAGGAAGAGTTTGCATGTTCTACGGAAGCAACGAATTCGGCATTAAGCAACAAACTGTCTGTCACATGCGTGATTTGGGTGGTGTTGAAACGCACTACTACATGTTGAAAATCACTCATCAGTCTCGCAATTCTGCTGAGGCATATTGACTGCGTGAATTATTTCCGGTACTCTCGAGGTCGGCGCGATTTGGACACCTGCCAAACCTTTCCCATGTTGTGGCTTGTGGAGATGCAAGGTCGAGAGTGGGCCCGTATGATGTCGTTGCTCGGAGGCTGGTAAAGCTCCGGGTTGCAGATGTTGAGACTGTACCTGAATGCCTCTAGGCCTTTGGGAGTCGTTGCACCGAATGCAGAACGAGTGAGGCTCTGCCGACCAGGATGACGGCGCAAACATGCTCCAGAGCCGGGGTTGCACATGTCACCAGTTGACAGCAACGACGTGTTCACACGATGCTTTGTGTGCTCGAGAGGCAGGCTAAGCAACCGTTATCCTTGGCGCAAGCCTCTCGTAGCCGAAAGCGGACAAATCATCAATGCCCTCGTCACTCGCTGCTCTCTCACTGCCCGCTGCGCCCCTCGCTGAACTGTGCTTGCTATCACCACGTTCACTCTGACAGCTGCACTGCCCTCGTGACTGATATCGATCTCTGTCTGCGCACATCCAAACATCTGGACCACCGCTAGCTCATGATCTAGGATCGCTTGCAAAGGCTATTTCACCGGTCCGCTGAGCCCGGTCAACGCCCACTCGCCCTCGGCCACCAGTGCTGCATCACTGCTGGGTCCTTGCGCCTTACTAAGACACGCGGCTAACAGCGTAGCTCTATCCCTGCCCTGTCGACTGGAGTGCTTGAGATCATCGCCATCACCACCAACACCCACAACGCCAGCCGCATGTGCACTGCCCGCACCGCGTGAGCGACTTCCTCATTTCGCTCTTCACCCTAGGCCATCGCTCTGGATCGCAAACGGAACTTCGATTCGCCCCCCGTCGACTCTCCCAATCTGACCTGGCACGCCCAGTGTCCCGCAAAGCTGATAACGACAGCGCCGACGGAGGCTCGCTTCAAGTCTTTCCTCTCCCGCCTGTTCAGACCGCCTTAACGCGCCATACGTTGTGTGGTCCCACTATATACTCCATAACAAACACGCAAGAGCTGCAGTCGCAAACTGCGTCATCGCCTCTGCATCTGAAGCTGGGAAGGAGCAACCATCCCTGCCACCTCGGTCCTGCAAACTCTAACTCCGCCGTTGCTTCCTGCGCAAGCTTGAAAGCCAACACGGTTTCTGACTCACACATTCACAACTTCCTGCGCTCCAGCAACACACCACTGGGCGCACTATCACCAACATGGGCAACCAGCCGTCCAGCGAAAAGGGCAAGAAGGGGGAGAAGGGTGCTGATGGCGTCCCTCTAGGCCGCGAATACTACCGCTCGTTCGAACGCTCAGACACTCAAGGCTCTACACGCTCGCTACGCAACTCTATTCGTAACAAGATCCCCGGCACCGGTAAGACCGACAGCCCACGCAACTCAGTGTCAAACCTGAGCGAAGTGGCCAATGGCAAGAACGACAAGTCAGACGCAGTCTCGCTCAAGTCAGAGAAGAGCAAGGGAGGGCGAAGCTCAAGGCGAGGCTCAATAGCTTCAGAAGGAGCAGGTCTCGTTGAGACGGCTGCACAGGTCGATGAGCTGCCAGACGAGCCACAGCCACCGCCATCACCTGTTCAAGGTGCTACAGTAGGGACAGGCCACGAAGCTGTAGGCAAGGCCCAGCAAACTGGCGAGGTTGACCGTGTCTCGGAGGTACCACCCTCCGGTGTTCCACCTCCTTCAGCCTCCGCTCAGCCAGGAGAGTCAATCTTACAGAAGAAAGGACAGCCAATTCCGAGATTACCGGAGCCTCCAGCAGCAAACGATGGAGCTGGTTCGCCTATGGAAATCAGTGCACTCAAAGCGATAGATCTCGATGACATGATCCAGCGTTTGCTGGATGCTGCGTACGCTGGCAAGGTCACTAAGACGGTCTGTTTGAAGAACGCCGAGATCTTCGCCATCTGCTCTGCTGCACGAGAAGTATTTCTGAGCCAGCCAGCGCTACTGGAGCTCGCGCCGCCAGTCAAGATCGTTGGTGACATTCACGGACAATACACCGACCTCATCCGCATGTTCGAGATGTGTGGTTTCCCTCCCAACTCGAACTACTTGTTCCTAGGCGATTACGTGGACCGTGGCAAGCAGAGCTTGGAGACCATCCTGCTGCTAATGTGCTACAAGCTCAAATTTCCCGAGAATTTCTTCCTCCTCCGTGGCAACCACGAATGCGCAAACGTTACCCGCGTCTACGGCTTCTACGACGAATGTAAGCGAAGGTGCAACATCAAGGTCTGGAAGGCATTTATTGACACATTCAACTGCCTGCCCATTGCAGCTATCGTTGCACAGAAGATCTTCTGCGTTCACGGCGGGCTGTCCCCGAGTTTGTCGCATATGGACGACATTCGCCAAATCGCACGGCCCACCGACGTCCCTGATTACGGCCTGCTGAACGACCTGTTGTGGAGTGATCCAGCCGACATGGAAAACGATTGGGAGTCTAATGAGCGAGGTGTCAGTTATTGCTTCGGCAAGAAAGTCATCATGGAGTTCTTGCAACGGCATGACTTCGATCTTGTCTGTCGAGCGCATATGGTCGTAGAAGATGGCTACGAGTTCTTCAACGACAGGGTTCTTGTGACGGTTTTCTCGGCGCCAAACGTAAGTCCTCCCTTGTGCAGAGATACTGCACCTACTGACACACTATAGTACTGCGGCGAGTTCGACAACTGGGGTGCAGTCATGTCTGTCTCCGGAGAGCTGCTGTGCAGCTTCGAGCTGCTTAAGCCGCTTGACTCGAGCGCACTCAAGAGCCACATCAAGAAGAGCAGGAACAAGCGTCAGAGCATGCTCAATTCACCAGTGAGTAACTTGCGGCCTCGGCCTATGGATTTGAAGCGATCTTTAGTGCCATATATTATATATCTTATTCGTACTGACTTAGCCGCAGCCTGCGCACTATGCTCCTCAGAGTTACTAATCATGTTCTTTTATGTAGGGTAGTGAGAGCGATAGTTCACCAAGATCAATACTCGCACAAGATCAGATACCACAAGATCCCGAATGCGACGGACTGGTGGAGAAGTACAAGAACGCAGATAAGCAGAGGTGCCCTCCTGGCCTACGACGGAAACCTGGTTTGGACCAGCTCGGCAGCTCGGAGGATAGCGGAGAGGTACTCGTATCGCGGAATGTCGACGCGTCAACACCGTCGACTCCGTTATCGCCCGAACTTCCTCCTGTCAAATCACTGCTGGCACCGTTGGAGGTTTCTAAACCGGACCGGAAAAAGGAACACTGGCGACTCCGGGAAAAGCGCGCCACATGGGAGTCATCATTACCAACCAATTTCAAGCGCCATTCAAATCACGTCACCCCGGGGCACACCCTTGAATATATTAACCAAGGAGTACCGGCTCCAAAGAAGAGAATGGAGGATTTTAACGTGTCGACTAAGCACAAGAGACGGAACTCTTCGCAATAGTGGATGTGGACAGGTCCCGTTCTGCCAGATCAGTCACAGTGAGCCGACAGCTCCTTAGGCCACAACCCGTCGAATTTCCAACGCCAATCTCTTTCGGAATATCCTTCCTCTACTGTGTCGGCCATGACACCACATTGTTTTCAGACGGCGTAAGATTAATGGGGCCTTTGCTTCCGCCTGGAGTTCTTCATTGAGCTAAGGTGTACAGTATAGCATACCGATGGAGGTGTTGTTTCTGTAGTGCTTTGCTTGGGTTAAGATGGATCTACTTTTCTACATGCATCTCTTTGGGTTGGCTTGCGTCTTCACTTCTAGAAGCTGTAATATTTATTACTTGCCAGTTTTTCAAACTCCGTCCTTTATCTGCGCTGTGACTACGCTACTCGTTGCAAAAGGCTGGCCGTTTTCGCTAAGGTCATACCTTGCTGGCAGCTGCAGTGCGCTGGGAACGTGTCCCGCTTAGGCATCGCTGCCTCTCAGTGCGCAGAGTAGGTACCTAGGTGTGCTTGGAAGGCGCACTCGTTGCCTTGTATTTAAACCTGCAGGCCTCCGAACACAGTTATCAACACAGCTTCTGCCTTATATCATACTAAATCTTCCATCAGGCCAACACCGAACGCAAGACATCAGAGTTTTGATATGAAGACCATCGCTCGAACCGTCGACGTTGGGTGCGCTGCTTTCTCAGCCCAGTTCCTCACACCTTTCAGATCTGTGCATTGGGGACGGCGCGCTGAAAGCCCTTGCACACAAAATTGTGGAAAAAGAAGGCCCGCCCATGTACATCGACTTTCCGCTTACAGAGCTGTCTTTCAGCCCACCATATCAGCCTTGGTGAGGCAGGAACACCTTGACCTTCTTCTTCCTTCCACCCCCATACACCAACCGTAACACTGAACGAGCAGAGCGCTCTACCATCCGAAGACCTCAACCTTCCACTACTCATATTCACACCAAGCGGTAAGAGAAGACTTCGACCGCCATCTAGTCTAGTCTTGAAGGCCACCAAACCAACTACAGTCTATCCGGACGATAGCTCTGAGCCAGCATCGAGCTGCCAAACATGTAACAAGAGCCTATCTTGCAATTCGCAGCTCTGCGAAGATTGCCAAATCTGGAACGACGCGCATCATGTTTTCGAGTGTTTGAGGAATCTCACGGTGTTAGACAAGGAATTAGACGAGCGACAGCCAGTCACATTAGGGCTGTTTACGCCACGCAACCCAGAAGACTATCCAACGTTGGAACACAACTGGCAGCAACCTATCTAAACCCAGGACTGGTCAATCACCTAAGCTATCCTGTCGAGAGAGAAGATATCTATTCAGGCTTGCTCGCCAATGTCCAAAAATTGAATACTCAGCAATGCTGCAAGACCTTGGACTCTCAGTTTCAGCTGCTACCATTCAATCAGCACTCAACAAATATGGCCTTAAGAACTTCAGGGCCCGGCAGCGACCAAAGATCAATGCTGCTACAGCTTCTCAGCGTCTCATATATGCCCATGAGGGTCGAAACTTCAACTGGAAACAGTGCCTTATCAGGTTCAGTGATGAATGTTCAGTCCAATGTGGCTCTGGAAAGGGTACTGAGTGGTCCTTTGGCTATCCTGATGGGAAATTTGACCACAACAAAGTCACATATGTGACTACTGATTGTGGGAGCCAACAGATGGTATGGGCATCAATATGGATCACACCTAGTGGTAGAGTTGGTTGGTTACCTCTAGTGATCATGGAGAGGGACTACACTTCAAAGGGTCAGGGGTACACAAGCCAGTCCTATATCAAAGTACTCGACAAAGGCCTTCTCCCTTACTACCAGCCAGGAGATCGATTTCTACAAGACAATGCTTGAATCCATACATCAAAGGCAACCACAGAGTATCTAGAGAGCCATGGAATATGGACTGTCAAACACCCAGCATACTCACTCGACCTCAACCCTATTGAGCACATGTGGTGGGCCTTGAAAAGGATTGTTCATCTTACCCACCCTGAGCTAGATCATATTGGTGACTCTCAGGAGGACTAGGATAAGTTTTGTAAGGCATTGAAGGAGGGGTGGCTTGCTATACGACACTGGGAGGTGGACTACCAAGACAGCACAGTAAGTACACTGTTGTCTCACATGCAAGCAAAAGCACCAACTGACGACTACAGTGTACGCCATGCCCGAGTACTCTTAATCCGCGTACCGCCACGGCGACTACGTAGCCAAATACGGCGTATTCCCACTTGCTAAGGAACAACTCGACCGCGCCGACGACGACATCCAAGACTCCGACCCCATCAACATCATCTCGCAAGAGAACCGCCGCTTCCACATGGCCCACAAAGTAACCTACTCCTTCTGCGCGCAGCTGCTCCAGGACCTTACCGAGCAGCCCGTCGACGACATCGGCATCGAATGGGACCCTAAGAAGTACCCGTTCGAGCAGGTCGCGACGCTCGAATTCGAGCCCCAGGACCCCTGGCTGCCGGAGTTCAGGACCTGGTGGGATGATCGCATTACGGTTAATTCCTGGCATGGGCTCAAGGAGTATTAGCCGCTAGGTAGCACGAATCGGATGCGTCGCGTTGTGTATGCTGAGAGTAGGAAGTTAAGACTTATGGTTAATGGGCATAGGGATTATGTCGAGCCGGGGAGCATTCAGGAGGTACCTGCGCCGTTGCCGGCGCCGCAGTTACCGTTGAGACATCAGCCTGCCGTTACAACTGTGGAGGCGTAAGTGGAATTGTTGTTCTTTTAGTGGCTTTGGGCTGAGGTTGGAATGTAGGAAGCTGTAATCGTCCGAACGTAAATAACTCTCTTCCTTTCTAAGAGTATCATGACTGCATTACCGAATAAGGACAAGACCAAGTCCTCAAATGACACTGTTCTCAAGAGTCTATCTTCCCCTGCCACAAGCTCTGCGCGTTCCTCCAGTAAATCCCCTCCTTGTCCTCGTTCGAAGTGAAGTCCGCGTCCGCCAGTCCGGCGATGTTCGCATCAACATCCCAGAAGCCGATACCATATGGATAGTCAGTGCCAAACACCATCTGCTCCACGCCCACCCCCAATCCCTCCGTCAACCCCTTGACCTGCCTCGGCCACACCGGCCCCGCACTGTCGTACCAGAAGCGTGTCTTGTAGGCTTCTCTCGCTGCAGCCGATTCTTTCGGGAAGCCGAGCAGAAAGCGCTCGCTGATGTCGGGGAAGGCGCCGGCGCCGTGGGATATGCGCCAGTGGAGGTGTGGGTACTTGAGCAGTGTACTGTTGTAGGGTGGTGAGGAGGCGGTAATGGAGGAGATGGCGCGCGCAGTTTCGAAGTAAAATTCTCCTAGGCCGGAACGGAGGGGCGCTGGAAATTGTCAGTCGACAAGGCCAACGATGTGGATGTGAGGGGATGGGTGTGCCGTGAATAGGAGACTGTTCTGACGTGGCAGAAGAAGACCCCTCTTTGGGCACGAAAGGGACAGGAGGGACTTACAAGGTCTACTTGAGATCAATCGCCCGTCTTCGAGTTTGATCACGGGGTCTGTGGGATGAATGAATACCACCTCCCTCCCGTCTCCTTCTTGAGCTCGCTCCTCCAGATACCCCCACAGCCCCTCGAAAGCAACATCTCCGGGATATACACCCTCGGCGTTCGTCAACACACTTATCCCCACCGCACCTAATTCTTCCAGCGTATATTTGATTTCACTGATACTTTCTGCAACGTACGGCAGCGCAGTAACGGCTAACCAACTGAAATGCTCTGGATACACTCTGCATACTTCGGCGACGTACTCGTTCAGCAGCCGCATCAGCGCAATGGTCTTCTTCTTCCGCAGATCAGTATCGACTTCGAATTTTGACGGCGAGGCGAAGGCGTTAGCCTGAGGTGTCGAGACACTAAGGATACACCTCTTTATGCTATGCTCAGCCATAAACTGTAAATGCGCGGGGGCGTTCCAGCTGGGTGTTTCGCGACCTGCTGCTGAGAGTTCGAGGGCTCTGAACCATTCTGGAATGGGGTGCGTGTGGGTGTCTATCCTGGTTGAGGTGCTAAAGTTGGGGAAGGAGGTGTTGGCGGCATCAGTGCGGAGTTGGGTGATTGAGTCGAGAGCTTCTTGATAGAAGGGTAGGACGGTGAAGTCTATGTCATCTCGAATGGCGTTGGCGTTTATGCGGTCTAGAAGGGGTTTCGAGGGTGTTGATGCTGCTGTTGCCATGTTGAACAGAAGAGGAAGGAGTAGGTAGGGTAGCTGCATGTTGTCAGAAAGGACTCTGTTTCTTGGATGTATCAAGTGAACGGACCTGAAATAGCCAGAGTCCAAGGAAGCTTTGCAATGTAGTCAAGAGGCGTGATGCTGGAGTGCTGTGTTGATCAGATGCAGGTGAGGTTGATGGTGGGATGCAGGTGCAGCTAGTTGCATGGAGCTTGTCCTCGCTCCGGATCCCCACATCAGCGTCAAAACTCAGTGCATATCAACATGGCAGCCTCAGATGATGTGAAGATGTGTGATTGAAGTATCTACAGTCCCCTCGGGAACGATGTTGGGTATCTCTAAAAGCAGTTGAGTGGGTCAACTCCCGCTGCCGGTCGAGAATGCGCCGCTCAACCATGAACAATGAAACCATGTCGCTAATCGCTGTCATAAACAAAAGGAAGTATATACAGTGAGGTGTGTGTGGGTATATGCAGGTCGCTTAGATGAGCAGGCCAACTCCAAGAGCGGCAGCGCTGATTTCGTTGTCGCGGCCATCGATACTGGTCCTGATCTTGCCCATGCGGCCAAGCTGGCGCGTTGCATCCATCTTTGCTTGCGACATGGCGGTTGGCGAGGGTGGACCAGAAGACGAGGCAAGGTCAATGCGGTCTGCGTCCTGCTCTGAGCTTGTAGGTGCGAGGTCGTAGCCGAATGTGATGGAGGCGATGGAGTCGTCGCTGGTTGCACGAATAGGCGAAGCTGGCCTCTCTGAGCCATTGATCTTCTCGATCACAACTGTGGTGGGTGTCTCGACTGTTGTGGGCTTGGGTGTACGCTTCTTCTTGAAGCCGTGTGCATCGTAGCGCGGTGGGTGGGATGTGTGTTCGACGAGTGTGTGCTCCTTGACGTTGATGCGCATGCGCTTGCCGTCGTAGATCACAACATCGCTGACTCGAGGTGATGAGGATAACAAGACTGGTGCGCAGCGACGGCGGTAGCGGAGAGCCTGGGAGGGTGTGGGTCGAATGATCGATGCATTCTTGGGATCAGATGAAGCCGTCGATGGTAGCTCCTCTTCGTCGTCCTGTGATGACATATATGTGAGGCCGTTTCGTGTGGGGAAGCGCACGTCTTCAGGATCAAACTCGTCAAGTTCGGCGTCTGCCGTGGCTGTTACGGTAGTGGCATTGCCCATTTCTCGACCTCCACCCAAGTGCGGGTATAGCTGGCGGATTATGCGCTCTTGCTCGGCAACGATCCGTCTGCCAGCGTCCAGGCTCGACAAATTGTCCAGATTCTCACCAAGCTGAGCTCCATCGAGTATACGCTGCCGCCTGTTCCTCCTAGGCAAACTTCGGTAGCGTGGCTCGCTGCGATCCTCGATGGGCGAGCTAATGTCGATAGCGGCACAGAATGCTTCGACCCAGTCGAGCATGACATCTTGTGTGGGAGCACATAGCAGCAATTGCTCTGTCTCTACACGTATGCGGATAGCGTGTTCGCGGACAGGCTCGAAGAGATGTGGGTCGGACTCGTACAGTTTGTGTCGAGCTGAGGCAGGGACGAGGTGTGCGAATGGCGATTTTGGAATCAGAGCTGTCTTCTTGAAGTCTGACGCAATTCCTACTTCAGCGTGTTGCAGTGTGTACGACGAGATCAGACGGCCGGCCGTAGGCTGTCTGCTCTTGCTCCACAAGCCTGGCTGCTTCGCTCGGTGAACGCTCAATTGTGTTCCACGAAGGATTATGTAGCAGTCAGACCAGTCGCGCTGGCCGGACACGTGGAATGGTGAGAGCAGCTCATGGCGAACGCCAAGCACTCCGCCAATCTCGACTGTGCATGTGTATGGTGGTGGCAGAACATCGGCGCGCTCTGCTTTTGCCTCGGTTCGTGCCTTCTCGTTCAGATAGCGCAGGTTGTCGTCGATTCGAGCGTATGCGGGTGGGCTGCCGAGCGGCAGCTGTGCGTGGGTGTGGAATGTGTTGTGGTAGCCATACGTCTGGTGCGCCGTCTGCTGATTGGACGAGCGCGTGCGCCTCGTTGTGGGTGCTGTGGATTCGGGCATAGTGAAGATGTGGTGAGGATGGGGGACTTGAAGAAATTGCAAAATCTGTCCAGCAGTTTCTGTTTTCTATGCGCGTCTGGTTTGTTTGTAAAAAGCTACCTCTCACAAGTTGACGCGGTGAGGGTGACGGAAACGGACATGGGCGGATTCTTGTGGCGTGCGTTCGTTGCTTGTTCGAAAGTGGCCGCACAATGCACCGCGCGCTACCTCTTTGTTTCTGGCCAAAATAACGATGTCGTCGAAGGGACTCCGCGAGGTCAGAATGCGAGGGATGTTGCCAGGGCAGGAGCGAGGTTTGAATTAAGCGGCGCAGTTGGGGATCCTTGCGTGGGACCGAAAGCGAGGAGGGGGCCGTGAGACGGAAGGTGCGCTGAGAGCAATTACCTTCACTCGGAGAAAGGTTACAGGCTAAAATAGCAGGTCAAACAATGCTTCTATGGGACCCGGCGGTGGCATGACAGGCTATAAGTATCCATCCATCATGCGAGTCCATCAGCTGGCCTGTCTTGCCCTGCGAGGTCCCTTCAACGAACGATAGCAGGGTTAACCCGTTCTCCACTCAGCCACGTTCGAGATCCCCTGCGACGGGTCACTAACCTTTGAAAGGCACTGGTCGCCCGTGCAGCGATCTGTTGTCCATTCAAAGTGGTTGCGCTAAGAGAGGACCACTGTATACGCGACTCCTTCGGTCCACTCAAATGCGACTTCGCGAAGCCTGGGTGTGGTCGATATGCAGGTCACTCGGTGCTGATTCTCCCACCTGCTGCTGCTGAGGGGTACCGCACGGTCGGCTTGAAGCTTGTGATTCTTTGTTTTCCCGTCCAGACACCGCCTTCAAGGCCAGGGAACCATCTCACATTCGACAAAGAGAGCGGTGTGCCGAGTAATTTCTTCTAGCAAAACAACCGTCCTTGCTGAAGTGCAAGTTGTGCGAGTCTGACAGGTGCTGACGGGCCCAAGTCCGCAGCCACGGACTCTCACTCCACACGAGTCATCATGCAGGACGGCCGCCCTCATCAAATATTATTTGAGAAACAGCTCTTCGGTCAGTTTCCAGAGGGATTTCCTATTTCATACGAATGTGATACCAGAATATTCGCTAAGCTCGGGAGGCACAGTCCTCACTTACTCGCCAAACGTCGATCATTGCAGCGCACACCACCCCAGCAACACAATCTGCGTACGTCAGCAAGTCGGACCTTTGTGGACTTCAGAAGACTTCCAGAATGGTCACTGCTCTGTTCGACATTGAGAACGATGATAGGGCTCGTTTCTTGAGGCGCTAGTCCGAAGGTTGAAGGCTGTTTCATACCTCACCGCAGATTGCATTTCACCGCACTTCAAAGCTCACCGCATACTTGGACCAAAGACACGGAAATTGTGTCGGGTAGGTGGCGAAACACGAGATAAGAGCAAGAAAGAGGTAAAATCTCCACAACAGGTCTCTGGTCTCAAAACTGACATCCTCTCTCCCGCTGTTGGGAAGGGTCTCCGACACCGCTGAGTCCACGTTCCGCATCGACGCCTGTCGCGGCAACAATAGTGCACTCAGCACTTGTGTATATGAATGCCATTGCCCGAAGCATCTTATCTATTTCATCAGGTGCAGCATCTTGGACAACGCAAAGGCAGTCAACCCATAAGTACCGCTCTCCTAGCCGTCTACACAGGCGCATCGCATCGCAGATTGTTTGTGGAACCACAAACTCTCCGGTCGCATTAAACAGCGCTCCTGCCTCCTGGAGCCCCTCGTAATTCAGGTTTGTCGTTTTGAGCATCTGTACACGACCCCAGACGTAGGAGAGTGCGACAAACGGTGTGGTGGTAAAACATATGACCAGACACCCCATTTCGACGTCGACTAGACAGAGGTGCTCAAGATGTATTGCCAAGGCATTTGAGTATCGATCGTTGCAGCATGTCCCGTGCGGGCCGTAACACTGTTGTCTCCATGCTCGTATAATTTCGATGTCTATTACGGGACCAACTGGTCCGTAGAACTCCTCATCCACGGGATATGAGGGATATTGTAGAACGAATACGGTGACCAAGATACTTGGCACCAGCTGCGGTCTCAGTTGTTTCGATTAGGCTCTAGTGCCTCTTCATCGATCTGGTTGTTATCCATGCTGCCGCTTTCTGAGTGTTCATCGTAGCTGCTATTGCCACGAGAGAGTGAAGCCGAAGATCCAGCATACAATCGGTCGTAGACTTCGTCGGGACTTTGTTCGCGAAGCAAGAAACGAAAGTGCCTGCCGGTCGTGACGAAATGGAAGTTTAGAGGTTGCTGATCCATCGAAGTAGAAAAATGTTGGCAGTAGGAGGTGCAATCTAGAGATCGGCGCTGACTGGAAGTGTCAGCAGGCCAAGCTACGAGGGTATTGACAGTTGAGAGATGCTTGCAGCATGCGAGGCTAGACACCTTGCCAGATGAGCTGAGGTTAAGCGTGTCGGACATGCGAACAGCCACAACTGGTACTTTGTGTCCTATGACCATGCAGTGATGTTGTTAGTGGGCACTGTGCCTAGAAGATCTGTATTTGATTGGACCACCACCTAGTAATAAGAACAACCTAACTTAGCTGAATGGGAATGATCAGGAAAGCACCGAGGCGAAGATGATCAAATTAGAATGAGTCGCTCAGATCTGATGTTTCCCGATTAATCGATGACTTGACAGAAGCTATCGTGTACAAAGCCTGTTTAGGAAGTCATACTTAAATGTCATCCGTCTCCTTATTGTGTGAAGCATCGTAAGGCAACGTGGCATTCTTTTCAGATAATCGCAGTTTCATCAGAACAAAAATGCAAAATTGTCTGGGGACAGGAAGAGTCTAGGACTCTACTGTGTACATGTCAATTAGAGCCCTGTGGAGTATGGCCGGTGTCGTTCACACTGAATCGTGCGGTGAAATTGACGCCGTACGTACAGTGTCAACGACACTGAAAAATGTCGTACTACACCTAACTTTTTACGGCGTGGTTGACACCGTAGTAGTAGCGTAGGAATTAGCCCCTGAGTCCCTTAGCGTAGCCTAGCTACCTTCTACCTCTGCCTCTATCCCCTGTCGACACCCACGCCCTATTCCTGTGAGGCGGACTCTTGTATACGCGGGTAAACTTTAGCTGAATCACCTGAATCTGCCATAAGTAAGGCTCTGGTGTAGGTGGCCAGGGGGAAGGGTGGTAGCGAGGGCTGCCAAGAGTGAAGGAAAGCAGGCGGATGTTAGCGGGAAGTTTGTCAGTCTGGTGTAATTGACGCCGTACCAAAAGTATGGTGTGGTTGATGCCGTACTTTGCCGGTTCGGTGTCAATCACATCAGACTTACTCCATAGGGAGGAACAAGCGCGTTACCACGAGAAGGTATGCCTGCAGAAAGCCTTGTCTAGTGTTCTCACTTGGCTAGAGAACTGCAAAGCGGACAAAATGATTTTTGAGATCCACGGAGATTATGTGGCTGTCAAATGTCGATAAACCCCTCCGGAGTAGTGAGTTTGACCGCATTGCTGATATGTTGTTGGCATGGTGGGGCCTCGGCCAAAAAAACTGGTCAAATCTCAACTACCACCACCAGGTAGTCTCAAACTCCAAAAATTCCGTCACGGGGAATCGAACCCCGGCCACATCGGCACTTGCGAGTGAGAGCGATGTATCCTAGCCACTAGACCATAACGGATATTATTCTCTTGATAAGAGAACATCGATTAACAAAATTAATATCTAAACATTTGAACCAACGACGAGTAGGATCAAGGCAGCATTATCAAGTTTTTAGAGAGGGGGCTTTCGCAGCTGGAATCCTGTAAGATCCGGGCTTACTGAAGGCAACTGAAAAGTCTGACAAGCGAGTCAAACGTCAAAGGTGGAAGTTTGGGTCTTGCGTTACCGAGAAAGCCGGATTTGGACTTGCGATTCCCACCAAACCTAGGAGGCAGTCAATGCAGATCAGCTTGAGCTCCAAGATCTCAGAATTATCTTGCGGACTGCAGAGGGTTTTGTCGACTGGTGACAGATACCCACTACTAGCTGAAGATCTCCAGGCTGCGTTGTGAGGGACCAAGGATTGGCGGCTACTGAATCCGACTTTTCCTGTGACATGAGAGCATCGCACACGTCTCCTATAACTTATAATACCTGACTAGGCAAGTCTACAAAAGCATTGGTTGCTGAAGGTCGACCGATGTTCCTGGCTATGATTCGTGGACTGATCGAGACGATAGAGGATTCCTGATTAGGCAAGTGCCAAAGCCTGTCAGTTACTGTTGGGCGATCAAGAGGTGCATCGGTCGGACTAAACAACAGAGGTTTGCACTGAAGATACTCCATTAGGCAATTTTCGAAAGCTGCTGGTCGCGGACAGGGCGGTTGGCAGTTCGATCGAATCATGTGGTGTGAATGTTATAGCAAGCCCTTGATCTTCTCTTCCATGTCTCACAACGGTGCAGGGTCATTTGATTGAACACCGCACACCTCACATTAGATCATCAGCGACTCAGATCACTTTTCAATCGTGCGTCAAAGTCGACTGTCGCCTTGCCGTGCTTCTTGTCGGGACTGTCATTTCGGTGCTTGTCATCCTGCTTCATCATCTGCTAAACGGTCTGTAGGCAAGTAATTCCAGCTTGGTGTGCCTCAGCCTATACTGTTGCTACACATTGCATGAAAGTACGCGACTGCTGTATTTGAAGTGAATTAGCCCAGATACTACAAACTTAGAATTAGCTTGAGGACTACAAAGTCCTTTGATCGATTATAGGACTAGAGAAGGCAGAATATTTATGTTCATGTCATTGTTTTGGTACTGTTGAGTTGATCGCAGGTACATCCTTTTAGACATGCCACGATATTTGAGCGCTCGCTACTGTAGCTTGAGAGTGGCCCAAACTATCTTCCATTTGCTTCTTCAATGACACTCATCACTGGCATATCATAGGCCAACCTCTCGGCACGACTGGTGAATGAGGATACAAGTCCTGTGTCACTCTGCTGCTCCTGATCCACAACAGAGCTGGCTGAGTTGTCACGAGAGCCGTGCGAGTGGTGTGAAATCGGGGATTCGACGCTCATATTATCTGAACGTCTGCGAGGAACGCCAGGCGGCATATTGATCGACTGACCGTATTGAGGCGAAGTACCGGGGTACGATAGAATTGGCTGTGTAGGAGTATAGTCGTCCAGTCGCACGTATGGTTGGTTCAATGGGAAGGAGCTTGGGTGGCCGGCACCGCCAGCCAGGCTCGTCGGCGCATGTGCTCCGTATCCCCATGACTGCTACTATCGTTCTTATGGGGTTGCGTATTGAGATGACTGGATATCGAACGGACGTCGCGTTGCCGTAGCAGAAGACCGACTGACCCGCTACCTTGCGGTTGCTCTTCGGCGTCGTTCGGAACTTTTGGTGAGAGTGAGGTGCGTTCGATCTCTGGGCTTCCGGGGTACGGCAGGAACGGGTTGTCTGGGGCGTTACCGACGTTGAGATCTTCAAGGTACTCGTTTATACCCACAGTATCTTGGAAAGGATCCGTGATGCGGTTGGGGTTGTTTGGGTCAAATCGACGGTTGGACACCTAGTCTTTTACTTCCTTGTACTTTTGCAGATGGCACTGAGTTAGGTTTGTATATACGGTCGACTTCTTGAATGTCTCGTCCACAGTTGAATGTCTCGTCCACAGTTGAATGTCTCGTCCACAGTTGAATGCCTCGTCCACAGTTGAATGCCTCGTCCACAGTTGAATGCCTCGTCTACAGTTTAATGCCTCGTCTACAGTTGAATGTCTCGTCCACTTGGAACGTGAAGCCATGCTCTGGGAATAGACCGGATTTTTCGTAAGTACTTTGCGTCTAAGCCGAACTTGCACGACGCCAGTCGAAGTCACCTCGCGCTGTCACTACTCACTGATTGCAGTGCGCTCGCTATTATCCTCGCGCGCCGCTATGAGATCGGTTGATCGAATTACTGGATGGTCGAGGGTCCAGGATGTTGTGCCTGTTCGTTCGGGCGGTGGAGATAGGTGTTGGTGGATAAGGTGAGGTAGGCGAGATCGTGTGGAGCGGACGGATCTGCTCTCGCTTAATCAGTCTTGTCGTCGTTGCGTAGGTGAAGGCAGGTCCAGGTGAAGGCAACTCTTATGTACGACCGAAAAGCTGGTTCAGTTTAAACAGTCATGAGAGACTATCTAGAAAAGTTTCGATAGCATTGCGGAATGTCGGAGTTCTCCAAGCAGTCACTTCGCGCTTTGATACTCGTTCACCAAGTCTTTGTTCTCTTCAAGTTAATCTATCGCAATTTGGAGTTGATGTTGCCCGCTCACGAAGCGCTCCGGAACTGCATTAGTAAGCATCCAATGGCGCCCGAATACACTGATAACCTCCAGGTTGCGTTGACGCAGATACGCTTTCGTTGCCCATGTTGCTGTCTTCTTCAATCAATGATAGTGCTCATTGCTGGCGGCCATCATCATTTAATACCAACAGCCTTCAAGAACTCTTCTTTTTGCTTTTGACCCTGCCCTGTGCTTTCCTCTTTCCCACCCTTCTTACCTCCCTTCTGCACACTCTTCGCGCTAGCGTCTTTCTCATCGATTTCTAGTAGCTTCACCACATCCGCCATACTCTCCACCTCCCTGACCCCTTCCCCATGCGCAAACCGCCACTCAACTTCTTCCTCGAATCTGACCTGGAAAGCTGACCAGTTCTGCGCCTTCAGTTCGTTGACATGCGCATTAACGGCTGCTGCTGGCCCTGAATAGATCAGGACCCCTGGATAGCCTGGTTTTGTGATACCAGAGAAGGGCGGGGAGAGACAGAGTTTGCGCTTGTTGGTGTTGAGGAGGTGGTGTAGCCATATTATCACTGTCTTCTTGGTATTTGGATCCACATCTTTTGTTCCCTTCACAGACTTCGTAGACTTTGCGGAACCAATACTTGATGTCTCAAGTCTATCTAAAACAACTTGTTGGAATGCTGATATGATCGCGTCAAGCGCTTCTTCTCCTTCTGGCAGGTTGAGGGCTTGGATGGCTGTCTTTGTTTGTGTTCTGATGTCATGTCTGGAAGAATCGGTTGCACCTAATACGTCAGGTAGACCTGACTCCGGGTAGGTATCTGGTATGCGAAGCTGTAATGTTGCATGTTCTTGTATGAACTTGAGCTCGCGACTCTTGGGCGTGTAGATGGCCTGGTCGGGATAGATTGCAGTGAGGAGCTCGATCTCATTGTCCAGACGCGAAGGGTCTTCTTCTGACATTTTGCTTGCGACCAAGTCAATTTAAAAATGTAAGCTTCGCCGCTGTTTCTGCAAGACTGGTTGGCAAGATGATTGGAGGGAGAGCATCGTCATCGTGAATGCTAAGATGTCCGTGCGTTAGCTGGTAGCTCACTTTATCAACAAATGCAGGTTCCTAGACACAAGATCATGGTTCCTGGAGGTGTTCATTGCGCGATGGACTGTGAACCTGAATAAGATTATTGTTTGGCATTTTTTTTGGGTCAGCAGGTCTAAATTCGAGTGTGGGAAGGCACGCCCTACGAAGCTGTTTCCCAAGTAACCGGAGCTTCACGGTACCTTGCTGAGAAGCATGTCAGATCGCACGTCCTGCAGATGGTCTGACTGCATGAAAACGATAAAAACGGGTCGGTGTGGACTGAAACGCGTAGCAGTCTCGGGAATGGTCAATTACTGTGGGCGGTGCCGTGCCCGATGCCTCTTACGAGGGCTGCACGCGGTGAAACTTAATCAAGCGCCTTCTTTTGGTTAGACACGCGGTTCGTTCGTCGCGCTTCTGTGAGTGCAAGCCAGCCAACCACTCGAGAACTCATCAATTGCCTCGAAGAATACTTTCTTACTTGCGTGTCTACCCTGTAGCCTTGCCACCGCCTGAAATCAGCACACGTTGGCTGTGACGCCTGTGAACGATAGCAAACCGCTCTCCCGTCCTCCGCACGCACGCACGCACGCACCCCAAGCACCGCGCCTCTTGGCTGGGGGCGCCCCATAACTTCAGCAGACGGCTCTCGAGCTTCAGACACTTCAATAAACCCGAAAGCCCTCCGAAAATACCCAGATCGAACGGCCACGAGCCGTACGTACACCCACGATGAAGGCTGCACCGCTGCTGGTGTCCTGGCACAACGAGAACGCACCCATATACTCGGCCCACTTCGAACCCCACGGCAAGGGACGACTGGCGACAGCTGGAGGTGATAACAATGTGCGAGTAGGTGCTTGGGAAGTTTTTGAGGTGTTGTGCGTCTGCTGACAAAAGACAGCTCTGGAAGGTCGACAACAACGGAGAAGACCGCAAGGTCACCTATCTCTCCACACTCGTCAAACACACCCAAGCTGTGAACGTTGTGAGGTGGAGTCCACGAGGTGCGTTATCACAGATGCCAAACACACAACATCTACTAATGCCATACAAGGCGAGGTGCTAGCTACTGCCGGCGATGACGGCAATGTGCTGTTGTGGGTACCAGCTGAAAACCAGACAAACACGCACAACTTCGAAGAGGGGCTGGAAGACAAAGAATCATGGCGAGTCAGGACTATGTGCAGGTCTATAGGTTCAGAGATCTACGACCTTGCCTGGTCTCCAGACGGTGTGTACTTCATTACAGGTAGTATGGACAATGTTGCACGCATCTACAACGCCCAGACAGGTACGACCCACCGCCCTCAACGCCCATGGACAACTGCTTAACCATTTCCAGGAGCTATTGTACGGCAGATTGCTGAACACAACCACTATGTGCAGGGTGTAGCATGGGATCCGTTGAACGAGTTCATTGCAACCCAGTCGTCAGATCGCTCGGTACACGTCTACACTTTAAAGACAAAGGATGGCCAGTTTGCGCTTGATCCACACAACAAAGTTACGAAGATGGATCTCCCTGCTCGACGCATCTCCTCGAACAGTCCTGCACCTCCCGATTTTGGCGCTCGAGCTTCATTCGCTGCCGACTCATCTCTCGGCGTTGGCTCGCCTGTGCCTTCGATGCCTTCGATGCCTTCGATGCCTGGTACTCCACAGTCCTTGGCCTTGCCTGCTATGCACCCACCACCCACTTCACACAGCCGCCGCTCTTCTTTCGGCGCTATGTCGTCACCATCAATGCGTCGATCTGCCTCCCCAGCACCATCAATGCCGTTGCCTGCTGTCATGCCCAACTCGCCCAGCATGAGCAGCATTGGCACTCTTGGTGTCCGCAACGCACCTATCTACTTCAACGAGACCCTGACCTCATTTTTCCGACGTCTCACCTTCGCACCAGATGGCAGTCTGCTGTTCACGCCAGCTGGCCAATACAAGGCTCTTCATCCGTCATTGGCAGATGTCGGTAAGCCGACTGAGGACATCACCAACACAGTGTACATCTACACTCGGGCTGGCTTGAATAAACCCCCGGTTGCATTTCTTCCTGGACACAAGAAGCCTTCTGTAGCCGTTCGTTGTTCGCCTGTCTACTATACCCTACGCCAGAATGGTCCTCCCACCAAGCACGTCACTATCGACACATCCATGGATGACGACATGCCCTCTCTTCCAGAGCCTGTGCTGCCCTCCATGCCTCCGACATCACACTCCTCTATGGATCCGCCACCCATCACAAGCGCACCGTCGCCTGCACCGGCCGCCTCACCGGCTCCGGCTGATGGCGATGGTCTACCCTCAGGCCCGCCGTCAGCTTTCAGTCTGGGCTACCGTATGATCTACGCGGTTGCTACTCAGGATGCAATCCACATTTATGACACGCAACAACAGAAGCCTCTATGCATCGTCAGTAACTTGCACTTTGCGACCTTCACTGACATCACTTGGTAGTACTCCCTCTTTTCAGTAACTCGCTCAGCTTGCTAACTTCGTGTAGGTCAAGTGATGGGTCAACACTGCTCATGACTTCTTCAGATGGATTCTGCTCGGCTGTCACCTTTGCACCGGGAGAATTAGGAGAGAAGTACACAGGACCGTTAGCCTCACAAACTCGCCGACAAACCACTCCTGCGGCTATCAACATTAATGCCGCACAATCTTCGAGCCACTCGACTCCCACACCGACTCCAACAGGGACAAGCATCCCTATCCAGACCATCGAAAAGCCCCCTGCGATGCAACGACAACCTTCAGCGGGGTTTCCCGCATCCCCAAGCTCCTTTGTACCTGCAAGACCTGGCAGTCCGACAAGAAGCAACTCTGTCTCCAGCATTGCTACCGCATCATCGTTCGCTCCTGGCGTTGGTGACCCAGGTTCAATGAACGCGCCAACTCCAGCGATGTCCTCAGTACCCAGTCTGGCGGCAGCCAATTCAGGCCCTGTCCCTATGTGGACACCACCACTAACTCCGGCGCATGGGCAAGGTAACACCCACAGTGCAAGCAGCTCTGTCAGCGGCATTCCGGTCATGCCAACTGGACGAAGAGAAAGCGAGCAGAGCGAGTCAGGCCGCGATGATGTCGTAGTGTCTGGTCTGAAAAAGCGCGAATTGCAGACTGTGCCTGAGGAAGAAGGACGAGAGAACAAAAAGAGGCGCATTGCGCCTATACCTGTCACCATGGGGAACGCGGGCGACAATGCGGTCGCAAGTGAGGAGAACACACCAGCACCAGCGGCAGCCGGTCAGCAATGATGATTCTAGGGTCTGGCTTTTCAGTTTCGACATATCATTTGTCTGTCTTCTAGCGGGCGTTCAGGGTCAAAATTCCGGCCACAACATCGTGAGCCAGGCTGTTGTTTTTGCGCAACACTTTTGTTTTCTTTTCGGTGTCCAACAAGATTTTCGAGGACGGTCTTCTGGACCACGAACAGGCTGCTGTCTACTTACAGCAACCTTCGAGTATAGATTGCTCGGAATACTCCAATCAAATTACATTTCAGCACTTCGGCCTATCCGGTGAGCATCTTTGCTCTGCAGCTTGCGTCCACAAATGCACTAAGACATAAGAACTCTCGCTCACGAATTCCAGGTAGCCGTCATCTGAACATGCGCCTTGTTTGCGGCTTAGCAGACTGTCCTAACAGAAACGGTAGATTCCAAGGAATGCAGGTGCTGATCTCCTCACCAAGAAGCCAATCACAGCAACCCCACGTGCGGAACACTCAACGCTCCTACATCTCTGGTTGGCTCCACTGCACAACAGCGGATACTGCGCGTACGACAAGCCTTACCACTCAAGGATAAGACCTGGTTACTTGTCGCCCATACATAAGGCGCATGTTTCTGGAATGTTTTTGCTACCGTCGCACCAGCGCGTTCTCGATCTCGCGACTCCACGTTGTCCTGGAGCATACGACCGTTTGCGACTGGCGATACCAGCGATAACGCAAAAACACCTATTGATACTTTTTAGTAGACATCTATAAGAACGTCATACTATTCAAGCACAAAACCTGTCGCATGACCTGAACACCTCCAAGAACCATGAGCGAATCGAAGACACTTGACACCGAGACGGTGCCGCAAGGGAAGGATGTCGAACAAGGCGTTCACGGTGTTCGTGATTGCGATGATGCAAGTAGTCTGGGCAAGGGTGACATTCTGAGCAAAGAGCACACGGATCCTGTGCTCAACGCAAAGATGCATCTTATCAACAACGTAAGTGCGAGGTGTCGCCAGCGGAGGAGACTTGTTGCTCGATGCAAAAGACGCAGTTTGGACAAAGCTTGTTTTCTCCAGCAGGAATGGCAGGCTAACTTGAGATATAGACCATCGATGGGATTGGATTCACAGCATACCAATGGTAATAAACTTACGGTTGCTGCTTACTTCCTTCACTGACAATCTAAACTAGGAAGCTCTTTGTATTGAACGGCTTCGGATACGCGGTGGACTCCCTCATCCTCCTGATTCAATCTATCATCGCTCGCCAAGCAGCGCTTGAGTTCAACCCAGGCTATCCCAATGGTCTCACCATCGCAGCCTACGTGGGTATGCTTGTCGGTGCTCTGTTCTGGGGCATTGGTGCAGATGTGATTGGAAGGAAAATTGCCTTCAATGTGTCGCTGATCATCTGCTCAATTTTCGGTATTTTGGCAGGAGCGAGCCCGAACTGGGAGGTCTTGGGATTGTTCGTATGCTTGAGCGCGTTCGGCGCAGGAGGCAATCTTGTGCTAGACACGGCGGTTTTCCTTGAGTATCTGCCCGGTAATCGCCAATGGATGCTCACGCTCATGGCAGCTTGGTGGGGTACGTATCACTCATGGGTCACTACAAACCTTGGAATCATGACATTGGTCAGACAACCGGCTGACGTATCTCAGGTATTGGTCAACTCATCGCTGGCTTCTTTGCCTGGGGCTTCCTTCCCAATTTCAGTTGTCAGGATCCCGCAAACTTCCCAGACGCAGCACCTTGCACGAAATCCAATAACCAAGGCTGGCGCTACGTTTGGTACGCCTGCGGTGCCCTTGTCTTCGTCATGTCAATGGCCCGCATCTTCGTCATCCGTCTCAAAGAAACGCCCAAATTCCTTGTTGGCGAGGGCAAGGACGCTGAATGCGTCGAGGTTCTACAAGGGATTGCGACCAAGTACAACCGCCCGTGCAGCTTGACCCTTGAGACATTGCAAGCATGCGGAACGATATCCACGCGCTCAACCCACGGAAAGAGTAAATGGAGTCTCGGCGAAATCGGCACGCACCTCAAGGGTTTGTATGCTACGAAGCGCATTGGTATCTCGACGACGTTGATCTGGTTGTCCTGGACTTTGATCGGTTTAGCATACCCTCTGTAGGTCCTGATCACACCATCAAAGTAACCATAACTACACACACGCTAACCTCCCATACAGGTATAATGTCTTCCTTCCCGCCTACCTCTCCAGCCGCGGCGCCGCCTTCGGCGATTCCTCGCCCTACACAACCTGGCGCAACTACACGCTCGTCAACTTCTCCGGAATCTGGGGCCCCGTGCTGGCCGGTTTCATGTGCCACACTAAACTCGGGCGGAAATACACCATGGTCATCGGGGCGCTCGTCACCATGTCGTTTTTCTTCGCGTACACGCAAGTCCGGACGAACGTGCAGAATATCGTGTTTACGTGCGTCATTAATTTCTGTTTGAATGTGTATTATGGCACGCTGTATGCGTACACACCGGAGGTGCTGCCGAGTGCGCATCGGGGGACCGGAAATGGAATTGCGATTGGGTGGAATAGGGTTATGGGGATTTTGAGCGCGGTGATTGCTACGGTTGCTGATGTGAGTAAACTGCTGTGCCTCGGAGAGACTGAGCTGATATGATGACAGACTTCCACACCGGTGCCGATTTATATTTGTGCGGCGCTGTATATCTTCATGGCGGCTATTGCGGCGGCGTTCCCGTTCGAACCGTATGGTAAAAGGAGTTCGTAGAGCTGAACTGCTTGCGCGGATGAGGAGAGTATTGGAGCAGGGAAGACGCAAGTCGCATATGAGTTCCTTGTCTGATACCCGCTATTGAGCTTCTTGTGTATGGCAGACCTTCAAACGGGATGCAATACCAATAGCAGTTCAATGTACATCGTTCTGCAAATCATGCCTGTCTACATGCATGCTTGCTTTGGCCTCTCTAGTAGAGCGCAAAGAAAGGGGATTTGAGCGAAGAGCTATACGAGTCACATACTCAGGAGGTTCTTACATGTTTGATCACGGATGATGTTAGACCCCCCTCGCGATCAATGGTGTATTTGGCTTTTTCCAGATTCTACCCGAGTTCAGAATTGTCCCGACTTGGAAAGGTATTGAAGACTTGATGCGCGAGAACTACTTCATGTATCGTGGACAAGAATTCGGTTACTTGAGTCTCGTGCCTACGTCTCCAATCATAGGCATAGTGTGGCACACTTGATGTGAGACTGATCTGCAGTCCATGGCCGCTACCGCAGGCCGCTTGAGCCAGGCTATTGCTCCGCGGAGGCTCGGAATGACGTAGTCTATACACATCGCGCATATCCGGAGTCGCCTTCCTATTCTGTCCCTTGTTTTGAGGCTTGAATGTACCGCAACTTGGTATCTGTGTACAGATGGCGTGGGGGTGGTGCCGCTCACATCATGACATGAGAGTATCGGACGAGAGCAAACATATTATGGGAATCAAAAGTTCTAGCAACTAGTCAATGTGTTTCATTGACAATGGTTCAATTGATGGATATTGTTGTCTGGCAAGCAGCCTTATAGTCAAGCTTGCATGTGTCTCAACTATCTATTAGATACTATCCTGCCTATACAAGGCCTCTAGATGGCCTGACCAGACCTGCCGCGCAAGCGCTATGAATGATGAAGCATGCAATATGCGACAAACAAATGTTTTTGACGCCGGTGGCTTTCTTCCTTCCCTTGCAAGTAGAAGTACGATGGAGCCTAGAAGTTGTTCCCTGTCTACTATACGGCGCTGGGTTGTGGCTGTTGGTGCAAGACCAAGGATGTGATGGTGTTTCTGAATCCCCTCCGACTCCCTTCAGGTCTCATCAACCGCCTGCGGTGTAGACACCGGCTCCTTCTTCAGCTCAGCAGCATTCTCAGCGGAACTCTCACTCGAACTGATGCCTACCGAGCTACTCCTCCTCAGTTCAGCCAACTGCTTCCTCAGTACCTCCATCTCAACATCCTTCTGCTGCAATAGCTGGTCCTTCGCCGATACCTCGCTCTTCAAATGCTTGATGTAATCAATCGCACTCTCCACCTTTGCGGCCTTTGAGTTGTTCGACTGCGCCGCGGTCTCAGGGCTCTTGGCGTCCGGTGTGCTAGTCTGCGAGCAGGGGGGGAGGAGGTCTTGCATTTCCTGGAGGGCCATATTGATGCGGTTTCGGCGGCCTTGTTCGGCGATCTTGTGGGAGGTGCGTTTCGATGTGAGGTTTGTGGAGAGGGATGCTGGATATGAGACGCCTGGTACTGTGGTGCCGTCGAGGATGTTCTGGTAGTTGGATTTTGAGGCTAAGAGGAGGGCGTGGGTGTTATCCGAGACACCTGCTGACTGTTAGAATCACCTCATGCTTAGTGGTTTGCTTGGACGTACTATTTTCTCCAGCTGCAAGCAGAGGCTTGATACTCGGCGAGATCTTCGGCCTCAATGCTGGACTGACCAGACTCGAGCTGACGCTACCCCTCTTCTTCGCGTTGCGGCCCTGCTTCGCATCTGGCTTCTTTCCGATTGTCATCGAGAAAGCTGGACTTGTAGGTGTTGACATGGGGTCGAGCATTGGGCTGGGTTTGTTTGACATGGCCGCGCCAGGGGTGCTGAGTGGGCCCATCTTGGGTGTCTTGCGTGCAAACATTCGAGGCGTATCGTGCTCAGTACCATCGCGGAAAGCAGTATCTATCCGTGACAGCGACGGTCTCGACTCCAATGACGCTTCAGGCAGAGCAAGGTCTTCCATGATTGGAGGCACGTTCATCGAAGCATCGAATTGCGGTGAAGGGTGTATACGCATGAGCGAAGCAGGTGTGGCAGGCGCAGCACCTTGACCGTTCTGCGCTACCATTGCCGGCGAATGTGTTACAGACCCAGGAATCGGTGGTGGCCGCATCTCGGACAGCATAGGCTCAGGCGAAATAGAGTCGGTTTCTGAGTAATCGCGGCTTCGTGGAACATCCAGCCCGTTGGTACGTGCCTCTTGCATGAGCTCGCTGACCTCCTTGGGCGGAAGTTGCATTGAGACTGTAGGTTTCCGTCTGCCGGGTTTCACAATGGGTGACTGTCGTACGCGGTTCGCAGTTGTCGCTCTCGGTGGGTTCCTCTTCGTCCTCAAACTCCTCTTCTGCTCTGCTGGCTGGACCATGGCAGGCTCGCCCAACATGTCCATGTCGACATCAACGGGCGAGTGCCCTGTCGAGCTTGCTGATGTCGAGGCCTGGGAGTGCAGTTGCGACTGCGCATGTTGGTGGGGCTGCGCGTTGAGTGCGGGCGACGTAAGAGGGCTGAAGTAGGCGCCGGGCACTGTGAAGTCAGGTATCTGGAACCGTGCGTCGTGAGGGGTGACTGCTGGGGAGACTAGTGGGGTAAACGACTATGTCACGGTTAGTGAGGCTTCGCAATGGCAGCCGCAGACCAACGTACGGGGTCGTCCTTGCGCAGGTGGTACCGCTGGTCGTAGAGGGCCTGCTGGTCCATCTGCTGCATGTAGCGGTGCGGATCGCCGTGCATCTCGACGCTATTGGGCGTGTGCGGGACGCCATGGTGCGGGCGGAAGACTTGCTCAGACGCCGGGGAGAAGACACCATAGTCGAAGAAGTTGGCATTCACGGTCGGCTGGGGCATGCCGTGGGTCCGCATAATTCCCTGCGCCTGCTGCGCGCCGGATGCGCCGTCTCCATGATTTAGATTCTGGGGAACCTGCGGGGGGAACTGGTGGTCGAGATGGTGCTGGTCGAGGTGGTGCTGGTCGAGGGCATCGGCCATGCTCCCGTTCTGCGGCCCGCCATGGCTGAAGGCAATGTTGTTGTAGTCCGGCAGATCGAGGTCGTTGAAGTGGTCGAAGTCGATCAGATTGCCGAAGTCTTGGTCGGCTGCGGCGTCCATGCCCGCCCACGATTGCGCATTTGCACTGTCCATTGCGTTCGCCGAGCCCCTGCCGAAGGAGGAGCAGCAAGTGGGAAGAGTCTCGATTTACGAAGCGCGAGCAATTTTCTTCGGCCTCGCTGGTGGGGCTGATGTCCGCGTCGGGTGGTATCGCAAGCGAAGTGAAGACGCTAGGCGCGCTCCTTCAGAGAGCGCAGTAGTCTCTTTGTTCACTATTCTCTTAGGGGAGGGGACTGAGGGACTGAGGGACTGAAGCGACTGTTCAAGCAGGCCAAACACACCCTGTACAGCCCGAGAGGGCTATGCGGACACGGGCTGACCTGCTGTGGTGGGCTAGAGAACACACCCCACGGCTTTACTAAGATAACCACCCGCGCCTGAGACTCGACGTGCGCGGGATTTCCAGCCAACCGCAGGCCGCAGCTGGCTTCGGTAGCATCAGCTGCCTGCCGGATCGACTCCGACTACCACTTGCGCATGACGTTGATCTTAAAGAAACAATAGCCGTGGTCTATGGCTGATGACAGTTATGGCTGATGGCGTCTAAGTCAAGTCGGCCTGACGTGCACCGGCGTGGGATGCATGGACCTCGAATGCAGAAACACAACACCTTCATTTCGCTGATCGATGCTTTGCGACGCGTCCAAGACCCAGTGACCTCTCCCAGCTCCAAAAGCAGGCCGTTCGAAGGCCCGTCCTAGTTACCCAATAGTGCTGCTGCATCTTTCGGCCCGGCTCCACGGGCAGCTGGAACGATGATCGGTTGCTTGCTGGTGCTGGAGCAGCAGTTCGCGTTCGTTCATCAATGCACTTGGCGCCTGTGCCCTTTCCGGCCATCTGGTGATGCACGGGCGAGTTGTAACGCAGCCTCGTGTTGCGCACTGCAAACAAACAAGGAAAACCTTAACTTGCTGCGCGATGTCGTGCAGTTGTCAGAATTCGTCGGTGCTTGCTCTCAAATTCTGCCTTCTGCAATGATTTGTGGAGTGCAATATTGATGCTACTGCTCGTTCGCGCCTTGTTAATCTCGTTTGGCTAGTGCCTGCCCCTTTGAGCTTCGACGTCCGAGAAAACAGGCAAACTCAAAACAAAGAGAAACTCGTGGAGGGGCTCGTTGTTGCGGCTGCTCGATTGCTGAAGTGTCTCAATTGCAAAGTGAAGAAGTTGGCAAGGCTGAATGCAAGTAAAGTGAGACAATTGTCGTCTCGTGATTTGAAAGGCACAGCAGCCGTGGAAGGCAGACTGGCCAAAGTAGAAGAACCCTAGAAATCCCTACTGCGCTGCCAGCAATGAACAGCAGCGAGCGTCAAAGTCCGCTTTTCCGTAGTTTACACATTGCTGAAAGTACATGATCCGTTCCAATATCAGCTCCCAGGACTGCTGCACACCGTGGGGTATTATCACCACAACCAACCAAACTAAAGGTAAAATGAAACACTGCCGTGAAAGGGCCCCGCATGAACGCCGTTACTCAGACACCACCGGCTGCATCTTCTTCTCGCCGTTCACATTACGATGCAGCAGCCATTACTTTGCTGGGGGGCGTAGGGGTCTTCGCGCTTGTCGATCTGCGTTCGATTAGTGACAAAGAAACCTGGTTAGTTAATGAGTTCACATACTGTTCCCCATCGTGAAGGCACCATCCAGTCCTTGGGTTCCTTGTCTGTGAATGCAATGAGACTGCACGCGCGTTAGCCACCGTCTTTGTTTACCACGCCATTACGGCAAACAAGGAGGCACATACTCCAGGGCAGCTTCTGACACGGGTATCCTGCGGCGCTCGAGGTCCTCCCGCAGGCGCTGGTTGAGCTCTGTCAGGCGTCGCAGCTTCAGCTCGGCCATGCTCTGCTTCTTAGACTTGCCATCGCCGCCGGTCCGGATCTCGTAGGGCGCAGCAGCCATCATAGCGGGCATCGTGCGCGTAAGTAGGGGTATCGTATAGGAGAAAGAGGCAGCGTGCGGGTGGTATTAGGTGCACGACGACGTGGTGTAGTGACGTGCGGTGTGAGATGGTGCGACGTGCCTCGGCGGGTGAGGAGGAGCGTAGGCGGTGCTGTTTGTAGAGAGCGGAAGCAGGAGGAAAGGAGTGAAGTTGGCCAGCCAGGAGAGCCTTCCGCGCGAAGGCCGGGCTGCTGCGAGCTGCGGCAATGGGGTGCGTCTGGCGATGGGAGCGGTGGTGGAGTGGGCGGATGGAGGCGTAAGGAGAGGTTGGAGGAGATTCGGTGGTATTGGCACAGCAGCCCCTTGCTCGCAAACGGCCTAGCCGCGCAATAGCCCTGAAGAGCCTACCACAGTACACCGCAGGGACGAGCGCCAGTAGAGCGATGCGCGCTGCACGGTGAGAACAATGGTTAGATGCAAGCAGCAGTCTTTGACCGTTTGATTGATTTAATTGGGTGACTTGCGAGGCAGTCACTGCACGCCCACTGCAGACTCACTCTGCCTGACTGCAAGCATCGCTGCGGGGACGTGCTAACCATAAGTCGCTTAGCGGCTCCCACACCTGCCATTTTGCTGTGCACCGCCAACATCATCGCCGTCGTGAAACTTTGCAAAAACAAAGGCCTGCTGCCGCCCTGCCAAACCTCCCCCAGCGACCCGGATTCACGATCCCCCGCTGCCCAGCATGGCGCCTCCACCGCACAGCAAGCCCGAGAACACTCTGTACGCCGCGCTCTCGATATGTGCACACATGCACACCCCGCCCCGGCGATGACAATGCTAACGCCGCTGCAGCAAACGCGCCCAAGAACTCATCGGAGTGAACCAGCACCAGGCTGCCCTGCAGCTGCTCCACGAACATGTCACCTCCAAGCGCACCCGCAACAGCCCCATCGCCAGCCTCGAGCCCGTCATGATCCTCTTCGTCGAGCTCTGCGTTGACCTGCGCAAGGGCAAGCTCGCCAAGGACGGCCTCTACCAGTACAAGAACACCGCCCAGAACACCAACGTGGGCACCATCGAGCTCGTTTTCAAGAAGTTCATCGAGCTCGCCGAGGGCAAGGTCACCGAGGCCCAGGCCAAGGCGGACGAGGTCCAGTCCTCGCTCGAGGGCACCTCTGGCGATGCGAAGAACATCGAGGATCTTGAGGCCTCGGAGACTCCCGAATCTATCCTCCTGTCCACCGTCTCCGGCGAGCAGTCCCGCGACCGCACCGACCGCGCCATCGTCACACCCTGGTTGAAGTTCCTGTGGGAGACCTACCGCACAGTGCTCGATATCTTCAAGAACAACGCCCGTCTGGAGCTCATGTACCAGTCGACCGCCCACCAGGCCTTCCAGTTTTGCTCCAAGTACGCCCGCAAGACCGAGTTCCGCCGTCTCTGCGAGCTTCTCCGCAACCACTTGCAGAATGCCGCCAAGTTCTCCTCCCAGATGCACGCCATCAACCTCTCCGACCCCGACACACTGCAGCGCCACCTCGATACCCGTTTCCAGCAGCTGAACGTCGCTGTCGAGCTTGAGTTGTGGCAGGAGGCTTTCAGGAGTGTCGAGGATATCCACACACTGCTCAGTTTGAGCAAGCGCCCTGCGAAGAACGTCATGATGGCCAACTACTTCGAGAAGCTCACACGTATCTTCTTGGTCAGCGAGAACTACCTTTTCCACGCCGCCGCATGGAGCCGATACTACAACCTCCTCCGCCAGTCCGCAGCTGCCGTTGCCTCCGGACAGGGCCTGAAGAAGGACAACCCAGCCGTCACCGAGGCCGACATGACCAAGGCTGCCTCTTTCGTGCTCCTCTCCGCACTTTCGATCCCCGTCATTAGCACATCCCGCTCACGCGGCGCCCTTGTCGATGTTGATGCGGCCAAGAACAACAAGAACTCTCGTCTCACAAACCTGCTCGGCATGAACCAGGCACCTACTCGTGCTATCCTGTTCAAGGATGCTCTCAGCAAGGGTCTGCTCAAGCGTGCCCGCCCTGAGATCCGTGACCTCTACAACATCCTCGAGGTCGATTTCCACCCTCTGTCCATCTGCAAGAAGATCTCCCCCATCCTTGAGCAGATTGGCGCTGATGAGGAGATGAAGAAGTACGTTGGCCCTCTCCAGCAGGTCATCCTTACCCGTCTCTTCCAGCAGCTGTCCCAGGTCTACGACTCGGTACAAATCAAGTTTGTACTCGACCTTGCTCAGTTCCCTGAGCCTTTCGGTGTCAGCAAAGCTACCATCGAGAAGTTCATCATGAACGGCTGCAAGAAGGGTGACCTCGCCATCCGCATCGACCACGCCGCTGGTGTCCTTTCCTTCGACTCTGATGTCTTCTCTTCTGCAAAGGCCATGCACCCTGGATCCGGTGCTGGCTCGGCCGAGACTGAGACCCGCTCCGTCCAGCGTCTCCAGAGCACACCTGCTGAGATTGTTCGATCCCAGCTCACACGCCTCGCCAAGTCTCTCTTCGTCACATGCCAGTACGTTGACCCCTCGTTCAACGCTGAGCGTCTCAGGCTCAAGGAGGCTGCTCTCGCCCGCGCCAAGGAGGGTGCCGAGAAGGAGCACCAGGAGACTCTTGCTCGCCGCGACATCATCTCACAGAAGAAAGAGTCTGCCGCCAAGGCGCTCCAGGCTAAGGAGGCAGAGGAGCAGAGCAAGAGGGCTCTTCGTCAGCAGCAATTGAAGGAGGAGGAAACTCGTCGTCTCGCCGAAGAGCAGCGTCAACGCACAGAACAGCGCATCAAGGCTGAGCAACAGCGGATCCAGCGCGAGGAGATTGAGAAGCAGCTCAAGGAGCTGAAGGCCACTACCAAGATCGACATTGACCTGCCCGAGAACATTGAGGACCTCGACTCGACCAGGATCCGTATTCTCAAGCTCCAGGCCCTTGAGAAGGAGAAGAATCAACTTGGCGAGACTCTTCGCATCACCGGCAAGCGTATTGACCACCTGGAGCGTGCTTACCGCAAGGAGGAGATCAAGCACCTCAAGGAGGACTACGAGAAGCAGATGAAGGCCGATGAGAGTGCTTACGAGAAGGCTAAGGCTGAGGAACTCAAGGAGGCCGAGGAGAGGCACAAGGAGGATGTTGCCCTCAAGCACCGCCTGTCAAGACTCGTGCCCATCTACTCCGACTTCGTCAACACCGTCAAGCAGAACCGCAAGGCCGAGTTTGAGAAGCGCTCGAGGGCCGCACAGAAGGAGCTCGAGGCCAAGAAGGCTGCTCGTGTCAAGGAAGTCAAGGAGAGACTTGCGAGGGAGAAGCGTGAGCGCGAAGAGGCTGAGCGACGACAGAGGGAAGAGGAGGAGCGTGCGGCTGCTGAGGCTGAGGCCAAGGCTGCTGAAGAGGAGGCGAAGCGCGCAAGGATGGCCGAGGAGAAAGCCAGGCGCGACGAGGAGCGCAAGTCAGTATACCCCCAACACTTATATTTGTACATTACTAACATTATCCAGGGCTCTCGACGAAAAGGCACGTCTCCAGCGCGAGAAGGAGGAAGCTGCAGAGGCCAAGATCGCTGCCAAGAGGCAGGGTGGTTTCCGCTCCGAAGTCCCCGACCGCACATTCTCTCGCGGCGCACCTGCTGCTGCAGAGCCCGAGAGCCGTGGACCTCCTCGTCTCAACCTCGCTGGTGGCAAGCCCTCATGGCGTGACCGCATGGCCGCAAAGGATGCTGGTGAGGATGCTCCCGCCGCCCCCGCTGCCCAGCCTGCTCCTGTCGCTGCTCCCACTGCCACTCCCCCTGCTTCCGAGGCACCACCCTCCCAGCGCTCCGGCTACGTTCCTCCCCACCTTCGTGGCGCTAGTGGCGCTGCTCCTGGTGGCGGCTGGAGAGAGCGTGAGGCCGCAGCACGCGACGCACCCGTTCGCGCTGAGTCTGACTCTCCCGCCGCTGGTGGCCGCTACGAGCCTCCTCGCCGCGGTTTCGGTGAGGACCGCAAGGCATCCCCGGCAACAGGTGGCCGATGGGAGCCTCCCAGCCGTCGCGGTGCACCCGCAGACGGTGCTCGCAGTGAGCGTGAGCCCGAGTCGCGCCCTCCCCCGGCTGGCGGTGCGAGCGATGGCAAGTACAGGCCCGGTGCGTTCAGGCGTACTGAGCGATAGTGTGTGGTTTCATTAGACATGATTGATGCCTCTGGGTCATGAGAAAAGGGTTGGCGGTATATAGGGAATTTTGCTCTGCTTTTCTCAGCTCGGCGGTAATGATCATTCGCCATCATAGTTAGGTTTTCAAAATCCATTTACAGCGGTTCACAGAACACACTATACGTGCTATACTTGTTGAGGTGAGGAAATGTATCCATGCAGATATATTGTGAAACCACCAATGTGTGCACAGCAAAACTCGATGACGATAGCAATTCGAACTACGCGTTCATCATCGAACTTGAAATATACCAACAAATCATCACACCCCTGCAAACAGTAAGTTTCATCCAAGAAAAAGTGACAAAAACATAGCGGTGATAAAGTATATTTATTTCAATAAGGCATCCGTTCAACATGGCATTCGTCTGACACGATGTATCTTCATCAGGCATGAGCCGACACACGACCAGTCTTTCACTCACCAGTCCACCGAAAACTTACCTAAAAAGCATACCTCTACCAGTCTCAAATCCCCAAAAATGACAACCTGCTGCCCACCACAAGTCAACGGCAAACTGCGCAGACATCGTGCGCACGGCCCCAAAAGAAAGTTCCTTCACCGTCTCCACCTCGATCTCCACACAACCCAGCACGACTTCTTCCTAGAGCTTCAGAACCGCAAAAAAATGCTTCCGTCACGGGGAATCGAACCCCGGCCACATCGGCACTTGCTGATGAGAGCGATGTATCCTAGCCACTTCTTTCTGTTAGAACACTATTGGTGAGGTTTGGGGTGATGGTTGAGCTTACCTAGACCATAACGGATTGACTGATTATGTAAACCCGCTGGGAAAGAATGTAAATAAACCAAATTATTATTGGAAGCCGACGAGATCATCTTGGGCCCCTGTGAATTCAAAGTGTAACAATAGTAGTGTGCTGTGTGAAGTGGGGGCCTTCTCGACTCAGAGGCCGATAAACGAGTCAGAATATTGACCAAGTCATAGAAGAACAAGGCTGCCAAATAAGTGACAACGTCAAGAACAGGAATATGAGGAGCGGGTTTGGAGTCAGATGGGATTTAGAAAACGAATATGTAGGTTGAATGCCTTCATACCAGCCATGGTATTATAGGAATATACGAACATCATCATCTTTCACAGCAACACTTCAATCACTCCTCATCATCATCCCCAGCCCCATCTCCATTGTCCTCTCAAGCCCGAGCTTCCCTGTACAGCCTTTGCTCCGACCTTCCCCGGCTGTTGTTGCTGTCTCTTTGGCTGCTCTCCCGTACCTGCCCCTGGTCCCTTATCCTCCGCCGGATTTGTGTCTCGTCCTGCTCCAGCACTTGCTGCCTGGGCTGACTGTTGCTGACCCTGATCCTTTCCCTTGCCTCCGAACCAACCTCTCGTTGGGGAGCGCGAGGCAAAAACTGAATCCTTTCGGTTTGATTCTGGCTTTGGCTTTGCGGGCGCGGCACATTGACGTATCGTACACGGGTCTGAGGAGCTTGTGTCATATAAGGGGATTGAGGAGTGGCGGCGCGGTATTTCGGTTGCCTTTCTCGCTGGCTTTGGACCGACGTTCGCTGCCTGCGGGTCCTGGGTTGAATTTCCAGTTCCGAGCCCTGCTGCTGACGGCTGCTCGGTGCCCGCTGGCGGTGCTGCCTGTCCTGGTCCAGTGGCTCCCGTATCTGCTGCTCGTGAGGCTGGTGCACCTGCTGCGGTTGACGCTCGTCGACTGGGGCCTCCAAGCTGATTTGAGACCGTTGGCGCTCATGCTGAACCGGTTGTGGTTGGCGTGGGAGGCGAACGTCCCGCGCCCTCTCCCGCTGCTGACGATCTGCGCTGCGTTCGTGCTCTCCCAAACGCGATTGAAGGTCTTCTCGATCCGATTGTTGACGCCTTTTGCGCTGCCTGGGGGCTCGCTGTTGCCTCTGACGCTCGTCTTCCGTTAATACGACGGGTTGGCGCTCATGTGATGGCCGCCGCCTCTCCTGGGCCTGGTGCTGACGTTCCTCGATTCGGATCTGAGTCGCCACCTGTATCTTTGCGCGAGACGCTGGGTTTGGCGTTGAGGGAGCTGACACCGTCGATACTGTGGCGACCGGGACTGTCTCTCTGGTCTTGCGACGAAGGTTCGGTACTGGAATCACCATCATCTTCCTCCTGGCTCGCCTCTGCTTCCGGTTCTGCACCGCTTTGCTCACCGCCTCTCCTTGTTGTTTGCCTCCTTGGGTCTGGCGCTTGCTCTTGCAGCCGCTGAGCAGGAGTAGTGGGAGTCTTCGACAGTCTGCGATCGTCATCTTGCTTTGCGTTTGCTGGGCGCTCTGACTCACCTCTTGATGCTCTGCGTGGCTGACTCGCTTCTTGAGCAGGCCGAGGGACCTCAGGCCGCAGTTCCGGCGCCCGCTGGCCTCTTGCTCAATCTCCTTTCTCTTGCGGAAGCGAAGGACCTTCCGCTTGGGAGTTACTGTGGGCGACTCTGCGGACAGGACTTGGGACAGTCTCCTCTTGCGATACTGGGCGCGCGCGAGGGGGTTCTTCGTGAGCCTGCGGTCTACGTTGAGGTGCAGGCGCTTGAGACCGAGGAAAGGCCTCCTCTTGGTCACGAAGGCCTTGTTTCGCTGGAGGTTGATGGCGAGTGGGCTCCGGCGCTTGGCCACGAAGGGGTTGCTTGCGAGCTTCGTCGCGATAGGGGACATTCGGCCGAGCTCTGGGCTGCTCTTGATAGTTCGAGGGATAACCCCTACGGACTGGGGCTGCAGGATAGGAGGGCTGCGGGTGGACGCCTCTTCTGGTGGGCGCAACTTGCGGCGGCGGGTGGAAGTCTCGCCGGACGGGTGCAAGTTGGGCTTGTGGACAGCCGTTTCGGCGGTCCTGTACGATTGGTGCGAGTCTGGGGTAGTGCTCGTCCTTACGAGCGTAGACTGGGGCAGTTCGAGGGAAATGGCCATCTCTTCAGACGGGGATTGGAGCTGGAGTTCGACGGATGGGTTCGTGTCCAGGTGCGGTTGGGTAACCTCTTGGCCTTTGTAGCGCTCCCCCAGGGGGTCCTGGTACCGGTCCTGGTGCCGCGTAGCGAAAGGACTCGACTAGTCGATCGCGATAGGGCTCAGGAGGTCGTCGTGCTTGGGGCTCTGGCTCACGATATCTGGGCTCAGGTGCCAATCGTTGACTGGGCTGAGGCTCCTTCTCTGGGTTTGGACCAAGTCCAAAAAATCCGCGCTTTTTTGGAGCAGGTTCGGCTTTCGGCTTGAGAGGCGGAGTGTAGGTATCCGGTTTGGTCCATGCTGGGGTATCACGTACCGGATATGCAGGAGCCGGAGGGCACTGCCTCTCAGGAGGGTAGTTGGGCATCTTCTTGCGAGGCTTCTTCTCGACTTCTGTAGGCTTGCAATCTCGTTGAATCAACTGTGGTGGAGGCGCAACGATACCTGGAGCTGCAGTACTGGCTTTCTTAACCGGGATCGAAGGGACTGTCAATACCTCTGAAATGCGATCGTCGACCTCAGGGTAAGTACGAGTCTTCTGACGCTCAAACTTTGAAGACTCTGGAGGCGTCACCTCAATATCTCGGCGCACTGGAAGAGACGCTGGATCTTGAGGATCTCGAGATATGTCAGCAGTCGGAGCTCTGTCGACACGGTCTGGTTCCTGCTCTGGTCCTTGAGCACGTATCGTCGGTTGTCGCTCAGCCATACGTTCAGTCGTGTTCACTGCGGCCAGAGCCTCTGGCTCTGCTTCTCTCGTCAGTGTCGGCTGACGTGTAGGTGCATGAATAGTCATTCTCCTCGATGGTGGAGCGGGGGGTGGAGACGGTAGGTAGGTAGCCGACGGTTCTTCCTGCACCCTTACAACAGAGTCATTTCTCATAGGCATTTTCGAGACAGGTCGAGGAGCTTCTTCTGGTAAGAAATCTGGCACAACTTCGGGTGAGGCATGGTAGACGTCGTAAGCAGCCAGTGGCTCGTCCAGCACAGAAGTGTGCGAAGAGGAGGGGGAAGTGGATTCAGGTAGCGAGATTTGCTCCGGTTGAGTAGACTGCCTTCTCAAGGTGGACACTCGTGATGCAGGAGCTGTTGTCTGTCGTTGCACCTCGGGCGTGAAGGTCGCGGCCCTTGAAGGAACCTCGGCTGCTCGAGGTAAAGGAAGAATCATGTCCTCGCTCGGCTCCACATCCACAAAATCGTCTATATCGTACATTGAAGGTGCTCTAATTGGTACCGATGGCTCTTCAGCTTGCGTATAGGGCGACGAAGGCGGAGCTAGTGGCTCTTCCAACGCCTCAGTGCGCTTCCGGGTAGTGACTCTTGTGATGGTTTCCTCTGGCGAAGGAAGAGGCCCCGTAGCCTGACGTGTCAATGCACGTTCGATCACTGACTCAAGTGAAGGTAATCGTTCAGTAGGCTTGCGAGTTGTCACCATACGAATCAATGGCTCTGGTGGCGGCGCTCGTTCCGTGGGACGAGGAGGCGACATCTTGCACATGACGGGCTCCGGGGATGGTGTTCGCTCGGTTGATCCTTCGACGTCTTCAATGGGCGACGCAAGAAGCTCAGTAGGTTTGCGACTTGGCTGTCGTGTTGACATACGAGTAACAATAAGCTCATTGTCGTCTTCGTCCATGATCGGCGAGGGAGATCTGAGAGACTGTTGTCGACTTGCCTGTAAAGTGGACTGACGCATCCGCATCACATGCATTTCGAATTCTGTTTCAGAATCTGGTTCAAGCGCAGGCTCAGGTCCCGGCACACTAGCTCTGCGAGAAGGCTGTCGAGTTGTTTGTCGAGAGATGACGGGCTCAACCTGTTCCTCAACGAATGGTGAAGGAGACCTAAGCGATTGCCTTCGGCTCGCTTGCAGTGTGGACTGTCGCATTCTCATCACAGGTGGTTCGAAGTATGACTCAGGCTCAGGCTCGGAAACACTGGCCGTGCGAGTTGGTTGGCGTGTAGCTGCACGCGAGGTGGCAGGCTCTTCCTCGGCGTCGTCAAGGACCATTTGCGAAGACGAAGTCGTTGACGAGGAGAGTGCGACAAATTCTCGACGCGCTTGGTCCATTGTGGTAGCTTTTCGTATCCGCTCCACCGGAGGCTCAAAGGCGACATCCTCCACGTCAGGCTCCTCGACATATACATCCTGTGGCTCATCTTCTACAGACATAGAGGTCAAGCTCAAAATTTCTTCCAAGACTTCCGGACCGAGCTCTGCGTCCCTTATGGTTGACTGACGAGATAATTGAACCGTAGGCTTCCTTGTCGACATACGCCGCACTACCTCTGACTCAGGCGAGAACGATGCCATGCGTTCAATCGGTAAGATTGGGGATGAGATCAGAGAGGTGGGACGTCTCGTCGGTACCCGCGGTGACACGTCCTGGTCGACCTCGGCAAGCTTCTGCTGTAGCTCCAGTGCAGGTAACCACTCGTTGCCGAGTACGCTGCCAACAGGAGAAATGAAGGAGAAGGTTCGTTCACTTCGCAAAGTCGGCTGACGAGTGACAGGTTGGGTTGCAATACGCTCAACCACAGGAGGATCCTCAGTCTCTTCTTCCCCTTCCTAAAGCTCGGAAGAGGAGAAAAGAAAGTGGCTTTGATCTTCAACGCGCTGCGACATGATGGTAGACTTGCGAGAGGGTAAAAAAATGGGTTGTCGAGTTGCAATGCGCTCAAGCGCCTCAGGCTCAAGTTCCACCTCATCTTCTGGTTCCTGTTCCGCCATTCTCTCAACTGAGGGTTCAAATTCGACCGTCTCTGAGGTAACTGCCCGCTCCAGTGGTAGAGGAGAGTAGCCTTCTTCGTAGTCGGAAGAGGCGAGTTGCACTGAATGTTTTCGGAGTAGACGTTCAAGATCTGCAACGCGATCTTGCAGCTCGACGAGAGGCTCCGTATACAAACGTTGACGTGGCGTATAGTCCTCGTATACTCCTTCAGGCTTTTGTTCGTTCTCCGGATGTTCGTCAAGATCCTCTGCGTGAGGCTCAAAATCCAGAACAGGAAGAGTTTCGAGGACGGTGGTGATCGAGTCCTTCGCCGCGGGCAGCTCAGACTGTGAAACCTCCAGCCATTCCTGTATCTCTTCCGGTGGAATGTCTCCGACATCTGACAAGCCCTGAGTGATAGCAGACATGCGCCGAGACGGGGTTGAGATTCGAGTGAGAACACGATTGAGACGTCTTTCGTTGATCTGCTGATCGATCATTCGAGGTATCTCTTCAGCTACTGAATCGACCGACTTGTTCCTGAGCCTCGTGGACTTCCTCGATAGACCGGCCGATACCTTGCTGAGTACTCGCTGTACTGAGTCGAAGCCTGTCTCGGACTCGCGACGCTCTTGTGACGGGACGCCATGGTCCTCGGCAAGCTCATCAAGCTCATCCATAAGCTGAGCGCGAGCCTCGGATATTTCAGTCAAATGCCTGCGAGTCTGTCCAAGCCATGAGTCCTGAACGGGCCCGACCTCCTCAGGGATAACCTCTTCGGTAGTCTCAAGAACGCTGTGTCGAGACACAACAGAATTTCTTGATGAGCCTTGCACAGGCGCCTTTTGGAACAACTCTTCGTGCTTTGTGCTGGGCCGCCTACCCAGATCGACACCAAGATCATCTGCGGCGGAATTAACCAGGTCAACTAAATCAGAGACTGTTTTGATGGTCTCACGCAAGCTAGATTTGCGGTCGTTGATGTTTGGAGCAAGCTGCCCTGGCGCTCCAACATTCAATTTCTCAGCTGCTTGGGGTGGAACGTATGGGCACGGCGGTTGCTATTCGCACACTTGCTGCACCGGCTTGCAGACCGGTTGGCATATGGGCCGGCAAGACTGACAGACTGGTTGTTGCGCGCAGGACGGCCGACACGGCGTGTGACAGGGGTTTGTACAGACACCCCCAACCTGACACCGTTGAGTAAGGTCTTCGGACACCCTTCGAAGCTGGGCAAGTCTGGGTGGACCGTGCCTGATATTGTTGATCACACCTTGCAGCGTAGTGGTGTGTTCTTCGAGAATGGCGTCGATGATGTATCCCAGGTCCTTTGCAAAGGTATCACTACACTTGTCTGCAGGTGAGCATTCGGAATGATGCTTGCGACGTCTTGAGCTATGATAACATGTGTCATCCACCTTGTCCGACGAGCGCGAGCTCGACGATGACGAGCCAGTCGCTGCTCGTTTACGTGTTCGCTGCTGTTTCGCCGACTGCGGTTCGGGCGGTGGAGGTTTGGTTGCACATTGGTGACAAAGTCGCTTGGATGCCTCTTCACGAGATTCGGTACTGCCCATGTATGAGAAGTGGCCGCAAGCTCGCTTGGTCCAGTTGTCAGGATCCTGTAAAGGCTTGTACGTTCGATACGTGCCGCCCGGCTTGATGCGTGCGCCAGGATAGCCAAAGTCTTTTGTCTTGCGTCTACCGTATGCGCCACGCCAGTCAACATGATCTGGTACTGCAATACTAGGGTCGTCCGAACGTATGCGATCATTCGCCTGAGGGACAGGGCCAGGGGCAGTACTTCGTCGTGACATTGAAGGCGTGGAGCTAGAGCCATCGTGACTGAAGCTATTGGAAGCAACATCTGCAATTCTTTTGAGAATGCTGCCCGATGCGCCGCCATCAAATGGCTCTGAAGATTGGTCGACGTCTGTCGCTGAAGACTTGCGGGACCTTGGCTCTGTTGATCGGCCGGCTGAGGATTCCTCATCGGTCAGAGGAGCACTGCGAGGCTTGCGTCTGCGAACTCGCTTGGCTGCGGATCGGTGGTCTTTTTCGACAATTCTTCGAACATGGCGACCAGAGTTCGCACGCCGAGCTTGGCGGGGGGACGATGGTGCTTCCTCGGTTGCATCTTCAACGCTCTCAGCTGCGGACATTGACTCATAGGTAGAGCGACGTCTCACTGTTTCATCAGAAGTGCGACGATTCTCTGACCTATTCGCATGTTCGAGAGCAATAAGTGGCGCATTCGAGGCTTCGTCCAGCTTTGAGCTATCGTTAACAGCTCGTCGTTCGTAGCCCAGCGGCTTGGCATCTCGTCGTGCGGTTTTGAAGATGTTGGTAGACCTTCTCCTTCCAGACCTTACTTCAGATGGATCAGATGATGAGAGGTCATCGTACGCAGACGAACCCTGAGGCGTCGTAGCTTTCCGAACGACCACAACGGGAGTTAGAGAGTCGTTCATTGGGCGAGCGAAAGGGTTCGTCCTTTGAGAAGGCTCGAGCTGAGAAGAGGCTTCTGGTGGAGGGCGTGGCAAGGCAGGTTCCATATCCGAGGTCGACCGTACCGCAATGCGTGAGGCTGGACTTGGGATGCGCGTAGGTCGAGTGGCCTCATCCTTGGAACGGCGGCGAGAGAGCGAGGCCGGTTGCGTTGCGTTCGCCAGGCTTTTTACACTTGCACCCTTGGCCGCTGCAGCAGCTCCTGTAGGCGGGAGAGGAGGAGCTGATCGGTTTTGAGACGCTTTGCTCTCAAAGAAGTCCTTCGTGGCCCGTACCGAGACCGGCTTCGCTGGTGTTCTTGGAGGCAATGGTGGCGGCGAAGGATCCGGCGCAGTGACCTCTCGCTCGGGCTCAGCTTTGGGTTCTGGGCGAGTCTTGAACTGGAAAGAGCCCGACGTTCGTGGTCGACCTTCAGAGGTGGCGCCGATCTGGGATGGCGCGCCTCCTGTAGCTTTTGGCTTTCGGTAAGGATGGTCGACATTGTCCAAGATCTGGCCATAAGGGTTCTTGCCTTCGAGATATGCGGGCGACTTGCGTCCTGGTGAAGCAGGCTGGAAATCACTTGGCTGCTGCGGCAGAGTCAGGCTCGGCTGATTCAACGACTTGCGTCGAGCTGAGATAGAGTCTGCCTGTGCAGGAGCGTCGTTTCGACCCTGTCTCGTGCGCTGCGTTTGCTCGCGGGTACCCGTACCGCTGGAACGGGATGCAGAGCTTGACGTGGGCTGGTCAAAGCCTCGGCGCATATGGGATGCTAGCAAAGGAGTGACGCTTCAGGACGCGTGAGTCGTGCCGTTAATTATTGCGTGAAATGGTGTTGATAAGCTCGAAACAAAGAACGGTTGACTAGAAAATAGAGAAGGCAAGAGGATGAGAAGGGTAGAAATAAAGGTGCGGTAGGGCTGGTGTGGACTGAAGGCCTTCAAATCCGGGTTGGGGGAGGAGGAAAGGAGAAGAGGGAGCGCGATAAACAAAGTGTTTTGGGCTGGCTCAAGATGTACCTTCTATCAATTCCTGACGGAAAGCACGCCGCGTGCTCCGCACCTGATGTGAAACCTGAAACACTCTGGTGGTCCTCACTGCCATGAAAACACAGTCCAGTTGGCTTGATACTATACATACCACATCGTCAACCTCCAAAACGCTTATTTACACGTCTACTTGAGCGCCGCCTGCAGGCTCTCCAGAACCTCAAGCTCAATCTTGGCCTCAGCAATGTCCTGCTCGCTACCGCTGCCGCTGGCAATCTTCTGGGCCTCGGCGATCTGGTTCCTGACGGCCTGTTCTCTGTCAGCTTGTGTCCTCCGCAGCATCCGCGGGGTGTCCGTACATCGGCGCTGAAGTCCTCCAGCGGGTATCCCTCGACGGCGTTGATGCTGAGCTTCGAGTCGGGCTGGACAACGGCGAATCCACCAGACAGGAAGAACTGCTTGTTGCTGCCGGACTCCTCGATGATCTCGACCAGACCGGGCTTCAGCTGCTCGATGGATGCAACGTGGTTGGCGAGGACACCCATATCACCGGTCTCGGCGGCAAGGTTGACCTGGACGCTGCACAATCCGTCATGTCAGTAATCGCTCGTTCGCAATGCGGGTTCGGTCGGGCTCGCGGTGGACATACACATCCTGGGACTTGAAGATGGTCTGCACAGCGATTTGTCAGCGATGATTCCCCAGGGAAGAAGCATTCCAACGGCAGCCTCGAGATGCGGCAGGCGCGGGCGATGCGTACCTGGTGAGGCAGAGCTAGGGAGAGCTTGATCTTGTCCGAGGCGACCTCAGCGTATCCACGGCGCTGGATGGGGCGGGCGATGGCGGCAGGGCGCGCGCGGAGGGCGGAGCGGGCAATGCGGAGGGCGCTCATGATGGATGGAGGGGTGGTGAGGATGCAATTGCTGGTGCGGCCGGGAGCTTGAATGTCGTTGAATCTGCGAGCGAGCCCGAGTTCTGCACTTCCGACATTGTCCCGGCGCTAACGGAATCGATGCTCTCGGGCTCACAGCTTGGACGAGAGACATGTCTTCCTCTTCCGTTTTTAGGATGATTTCTTTGATTTATTGAATCATGGTCTGCAGCTGGTGGTGTATGTCAAGCTCAGGTATAATCATTCATTGCAGGGGTATCTCAAATGCAAAACGCCCACCAATCGATCTCTCCGCTTTGACCAAAATCCCAAACCACACCACTGCGTTTCCCTGCGTGGACGCAGTCTCTAGCCGCAAATCATCCATCGTCTAGTAGTCGTCGAACTGCTGAGGCGCAGCCATGCTCATTCTCAATTGCCTCTCCCTCTGCTTCGCATGCAGCTCTAGGGTCTCCACTGCATAACTCAGCCTGTCTTTCCTCGCCTTCAGCTGCTTGTATTTCAATTCCTGTTGCGCATTCACTGCTCTTGCACTGCTTCGACCTGCTGCTGCCCGACTCGCCGGCCTTGAGCCTGAACCTCCTGTGCTGTCACGCCCAAGTCGGCCATCATTCAGGTCGCATTTCGCAATGAGAGACTGTTCGCGCCGTTCGAGCTTGTCCAAATAGTTTTCGACGCGTTTCAATAGGTTGCTGACTTCAGGGCGAATCTCTGAGAGCAATGCGCCTTGCGCGGTTTGGAGATCGGTTTCGGAGATGAGTTCGAAGTGCTTGTCGCAATCAGCATGTCTTGTCGCAGGATCAGCAGAGCCTAGAATTTGTCCGCACCCTTGTTGTTTGTAGCACCTTAGCCAGCCGTGGCATGTCGCTCACACCGTCGTCGAGGATGTTTATAGTCGAGTCGAGGTTCTGCATGCTGGCGCGCAGCGAGGCGACACAGCCTTCCAACGCTGATGCCATATTGTTGCAACACGTCAGTTCTCTTTTAACGCTGTTCCAGAAGTCACCCGCGTGTACAGTGTCGTCGTTGTGGGGTATGCGGAGGAGTCTGTAAACAACGTCGGCCATACCTTCCGCCGACTTCGTTGCCAAGCATCGAGAACTTCCGCTAGGAGCTCGACGACCCATCAACTCCCATCTCCCACGGCACCCGCATACCCACCCATTGCCTCTCCATCACACGTCAACATGCCTCTCCTCGGTCGCAAGTTCCCCGCGCAAATCGGTACGTCAGGTTGCGCAGCTCGTCGGAGCGCAATGGGAGTCGGGGAACACAGCTAACGGAAGTCCGATTATAGCTAAGCCCATGTGGCCCTTCTACGTCTCCGGTATGTCGAGAACACCGATTACAAATTGCAAAAGAGGGTGGGGTTAAAAAGGGAGATGATGCTGGGCAATTGGATACAACACGGAAAACGGAAGCGCTCGCTGGACAACGTTAACAATCCTTCACAGGCCTTGTCATCCTTTACGGTGTCAACGCTGCCGCCAACGCCATGGGCCAGGGTCAGTCTCTCCAACGCTGAGATTGCGGATCTCAAAGGAACAATCGAGCTGACAACTTCCAGCCGACGAGTACAAGAACGACCCCCGCAACCCGGCCGTCAAGAACGCATCGCCCAACCACTAATTCGATTACGCACGATGAGGGAAGGTCATGATACCATGAGAGGCACTGTACAATAGCCGTGTACGCGGAAGCTGCCGGGAACGCCTCGCTTGAAGGTGGCTGTGTAGACTTTGGCAATGCAAGCTTGATACGAACAGTGTCTTCCAACATCCCTGGTCATCTTCTCAGATAAGCCCCTTTGGACGCAGCTTTCTGGTCTGTTTCTCGAATCATACCCATGGCTGCTTCCCCAGCAAGATGTCACAGATACTCGAACCATCCATGGATCCATTTCATCGGCAAAGACTAGAAGACTTGCAGCTCCCATTGCTGCAGGACGACTCACCGATTTATGTTCAAACCACAGGAAAGGCAGATCCTCGTCAGACATTTGAGGATTGGAGTGCCTTTGGAGCGCGCTTTCGCTTATATTTGCTTCATGCTGTGATGAATAAAACCGATTAAACTGACTTCACTCGTACAGACTGTGCCCATGCATCATAGGAATAACGGTCGAGCATGAGAGTGCATTCCTACGAGGTGAAAATCACGGATCAGGAACGCAGTAGTCTCATCAACCACTTGTGTTCATGAACCCTTGAAACAGCATCAGCTGATGTAATGAGGCGTATCTGAATGAGAAAGACGACTAGGTGTCAGCACATGTACATTGCACATACCCACTGGTGACCCTGGCAACGACCAAGATATGCTTACCTAGGTAGACTATCGTTATGTCTGGAGCATGCGAGACGGCATGTTCCAGTAGAAAGCGTGACAGCTGTCAACCACTCTGCATCATAAGCCACCTACATCAGCTCTGAGACCCTGACTCCGGTAGGTATGGCAGGACAAATAAATATCGTCCTATCATGCTGAGGCTCCGTTGCAAAACCTTCCAGAGATTGACTCGGTGGCTGGGGCATCGTCAACGCAACCGCCGATGTTACATTTAAGATGCTCAAGCTTTGAGACCAAAAGTGCTGTCGCAGGCCGATCTTAGCCTGTGAGATCGATCTGGGCCGGAGAATTGCTGCCAGATCGTTCCGAACTCGCGTCGTGCGTCCAGCAGAACGACAGTCAAGACATGCAGCTATATTGGGCAGCGCATATATAGGTGTGAGAAAGTGGAGAATGCATAAAGGGGCAGTGTCTGGTGCAACTGCAAGGCCTCGGCATGAGGCGGCCAGCAGTTTGCGGCACTTGAAACGCTTGAAGAAGTCCGGCAGCGCAGTCCTGGCCGCGGACGGTGTGAAGGTGGGAGCGCAGGCCGTAACTGGGTAGCAATTCTTCCGAGTTCAAACGTGCAGGTCGCGCCGCTCGCCGTGCGGAAAGTGATAGCGTCGTCAATGCCAAGAGCGTGAAGGTTGGAGGCTACGCCTTCTAGATTGCCATCTCCTCACCTCTACCTGCTCTCCCGCACAACCACTGCTGTGCTTTCTCTCTGGGGCTATTTGCTGTTCTGTAGCGTGTAGCCGCCTCTTGCACTTCTGCCAGCAGCAAACGATTTCCTGCTCGCAGCCTTCTCCCAGCAACTCAGGTGCCGTAATCCGTTGGTGCCCATTCACGCCCTGTAAGTCCAGCCCAGCGAGCAAGGTCCCGAGCTACCTGTTACCTGCCTCCACGCTCATACCTATTTATCCCCCACAACAGCGCGTTTGCATCTTCACACTGCTGTATTCCCTACAGTCTTTCACTGCGTCCTTGCTCCACCTCCCTTGTCGGCGGCCTCGCTTGCTCGTACCGCTTACTCACCGCCTTGTTGGCAAAAGCCTCGTACTGACCGGTCCGCCCGCAACAGGCTGAACCTCACCTCCACCACCACCACACCACCTCCACCTCTGCGTCTTAACCGACGCCCCACTACAACCACCACATCACCTGCAGGCCAGCCTCCTTAAGGTTGACCCCCCCAGCAACCATGACGACAATGGTACGGAAGACCCCGCAGCCTGCATTGACGTGCAGAGTCCGCACCAACTGCACTGCAAGGCCAGCAGCTGACTGTCACAGGATCTCCGTGTCGGCAACAAGTACAGAATTGGCCGCAAGATCGGCAGCGGTTCCTTCGGTGATATCTACCTGGGTGCGTGCAAAGCTAGGCCTTGCCCACTCACCTGAGCTAACCTGCCACAGGCACTAACATCATCTCGGGCGAGGAGATTGCTATCAAGCTCGAGAGTGTCAAGGCTAAGCACCCTCAGCTTGAGTATGAAGCTCGCGTCTACAAGTCCCTCGCCGGCGGTGTCGGTATTCCCTTTGTGCGCTGGTTCGGCACCGAGTGCGACTACAACGCTATGGTCCTCGATCTGCTCGGTCCCTCCCTCGAAGATCTTTTCAACTTCTGCAATCGCAAGTTCTCGCTGAAGACCGTTCTCCTGCTCGCCGATCAGCTCATCTCTCGCATCGAGTACATCCACGCCAAGTCCTTCATCCACCGTGACATCAAGCCTGACAACTTCCTCATGGGCATTGGCAAGCGTGGCAACCAGGTCAACGTGATCGATTTCGGTCTGGCCAAGAAGTACCGTGATCCCAAGACCCACTTCCACATCCCTTACAGAGAGAACAAGAACCTGACTGGTACTGCCCGTTATGCTTCCATCAACACCCACTTGGGTGTCGGTACGTCCTTCTTACCTTTCTGGCTCATTGCATATACTAACTGTAAGCAGAGCAGTCCCGTCGTGATGATATGGAGTCCCTTGGATATGTTATGCTCTACTTCTGTCGCGGCTCCCTTCCCTGGCAAGGTCTTAAGGCGGCTACTAAGAAGCAGAAGTACGACCGCATCATGGAGAAGAAGATGACCACCCCCACCGAGGTTCTCTGCCGTGGCTTCCCCAACGAGTTCGCCATCTACCTGAACTACACTCGCTCTCTCCGCTTTGACGACAAGCCCGACTACTCCTACCTACGCAAGATCTTCCGCGACCTCTTCGTCCGAGAGGGATTCCAGTACGACTACGTCTTCGACTGGACTGTCTACAAGTACCAGAAGAACGCCCAGGCCATCGCCCAGGCTGCTGGTCAGGGCCAGGGCGAGGAAGACGACAAGAACGGCCGCGGACGTCATGTCACTACCACTGCCGCTGCCAACGCTGGCACTGCGGCCGGCGCCAAGCGTGGACCGGTCAATGCACGCCAGGAGGGCACCGGAATGTGAGTTCGATATATCTGATCCTTGTAAGGACCCCTCCCTCTGCGTTTGGTGTTCGATAACGCTTTTGCGCGGGGGACGCCACAGTCAGAATTTACTAACCTCTGATTCTTTGTTCAGGCAGCTTCGTTCGGCCAATAAGCGTGGCGGGGACCAGTATGCATCTGGTGGCTACTGATTCTTGATGCGGCTTTCGATTCGTCATCTCAACTCTCTTGTGTGAACCGGTTCATTCGATCGGCTCCGCACCAACGAATGGGAAATGCGGCAGTGCTGTCCTGGCAACATATTGGACGGCATTCGCACCTATTCGATCAGTTTACGGGATCTATTCGTCGGAGACCTACTCAGGACCTGGCAGGACTTTTCGGTGTCTTGCAACTATTACGGCCTCGGGTTTCTGGCGACTGTCTTGGTATCTGGAAGCTTATCCCACGCGGTATCTCAACTCTCAGGGCGTTACGGCGGGCGACCATCACTACTCAGCATTGTGATTTTCGTCAGCACGACACCTAATACTTGGACGCTGAGCACAGCTCTACTGGACATTCCCCGGATGATCACTAGTTCTACGGCGCTACTCTGCATTAATTCTGCCCTTTCCTTGTCTTTATTGCGTGTTTTCCTACAGCATTTCCTTCGTGCGTTCTCCCCCCTTCGGACATGGTCTACCAGCTTGTGGGGAGGTCAAGATTATAAGGGGACGAACACATCTAAATTGCAAACATAGCTGGAGTGGTGGCTCAGCAAGGGGACGGGTAGTAGACCAGAGGGTGTATTGGTTGGCAGCTATACAGATGGAAGGACTTCTCAAGGGGCCGCTTCCGGGGGAGTGTAGAGGGGTCTAGCCTGCTACCATTGCATCTGCGTCTGTAGTTGGGTGGTCGACGACAGGTGGTTTACTTTACAATACAGTCTCCTTTGTTCCATCTCAGCTTCCATGTTTCCATGCTTCCATGTTTCCATGTGTGACGTCTATCTTACAGTGATGCTCGTACAGTGGCTCTTACAACGATGCCAACGCCGCCCAGTGCTTTCCTTTATACATGATGAGCTACAATATCGTTACAATCAGTCAGCAAAGAAATCGACAGCCTTCTTCCTCCCCTTCCTCCCTCCACTTCCCCTAATCTTCCTATCCTTGTTATACCGTCCATCCCGATCTCCAAACTTCTTCCCACCACCAATAATCCTATCCTCACCGACATCCACAGCCCTGCCATCCTGCTCACCCACCCCAATCTCAATTGTGACCTTCTTCGGCGCCCTGATCCTACGGCCCTTGCGATCAAACTCCTCATTCGGCCGTCCCAAGCGCACAGATTTCGGGATCCGCGTCTTTGCGCCCAAAGCCCACAGATCGCCCCAGCGCGACTTCTTCGCGTCCCGGAAGGCTTGCTTGCTGAATGACCTAGGCACGGTCCAGCGCTCGAGTGTGCCGGCGGGCGTGCACACGTCCAGTATTATGTGGCCGCGGCGCTTGAGCGCGGGGAGGATGAGGCGCGGGAGTGCGAGGGGGTTGATTTGCTCGGGCGTGACGAGGTCGGGGTTCTCTGCGTCTGGAGCAGAGGAATCCCATTCGTGGCCTGCGAAGGCGGCGTCTGTCGACTCTACTCCTTGCTGCACGCCTTTGCCTACGAGATCGTGCTCGGGCAGCCGCTGGTCCCGTCCGCGCTGGACGGCGAGGTAGGAGAACTGCACGTCCTCGTGGTTCCTGTCTTTGGCGTTAAGGATGCGTTGTAGGTACGGCGGACGAATGTAGCGCTGTGTGAAGAAGCAGAAATCCTTTCTCCCTGGGCTCTTGCCGGGGGTCGAGTACATGGGGCACGCAGAGTGATTCGTGCAGGGCGCGATGATCATGCCCGTTTCTTTCTTCGTGAAGCGCGTCTCCTGCTCCGGCCGGGACACTTGCTCGTCCAGCGGTGTCTCGAGCGTGGTGCTGTGCGGCGAGGCAATGTGCCGCTCTAAAAGCATTTCTCGCGCCGCGGCGATTACTTCGAAACCTCGTGGCAGGCCCTTTTCGATCAAAATCAAGACACCGCCTTTGGGGTTCAGCAGCGACCAGTATTTGGAGACTTGGTCTTTGCGCAGGTATTCCTGCCTGAGGGGCCAGAGCGTGTGTGGGGCGATGATTATATCGTACACTTTGCGCGGCTGCGATGTGTTTGCATCGTCTGAGGGGGTGACGTGTTCGGGGAGGCGGGGAATGAAGGTTGTGTTTTCGAGGAGGCGGCTTGCGCGGTGGCGGAGGGTGTCGGAGCTGGTCAGGACGGTTGCTTTGCTTTTTGGTGCGGTCTCTTGGGAGGTTTCTGCTGGTTGTGCTTCTGATGAGGTTGGCGCTTGGGAGGTCGTTTCCTCAGGGGTTTCTTCAAGGTTTTCTTCATGGGTTTCTTGTTTGCTCTCCCATTCGGCTTTCAGGATCTCTTGCCAGGCGAGTATACCAACGCCGCCTGAGCCAGCGTCGAGGATTGTTCCACCCTTCTTGGCCAGCATGTGTTCCATCCACGGTGTGCCCAGACGGCGTCGCACCTCAACAAGAGCGCTCATGACGCTCGCATATGTTCCCGGCTGTACAGCAGCCATGTATGCGTCTGCCTCGATGTTGCCCATCTCTGCCTGCGAGGGGTCGAGTGTGATGGGCTTCTGCTCCTTGCCTAGCCTCGCAGGTGGCGTACTTGCGGAGTGTGGCAGCCCTCGTCCGCCGAAGATACGGTTCGCCGACTCGGTGAGGTGCTTGTGGTTTGCGCGTGTAAGGAGTTGTGCGGTTGGATCGACGAGAGTCTCCTTCGGGAGGAAGACGGTTGATGGCGAAGGCTTGAAGCGACCGGCAATGGTCAGGGGATGTGCGCGCATGAACGGCTCGTCCTCAACCTCGTCATCTTCCCACTCTTCAGCCTCTTCATGCTGGACCCGACTCTGCTCGTAGACGTTCTCGTGGAACGTTGCTGCCTTCTGCTCTCTGTATTCCTCCCACTCCTCGGACGTCATAGACTCTTCGTCCTCCTCCGCCAGATCGGCCTCCCCTTCTTCGTATAGATCGATCTCCTCGAGCTCGCCATCTTCGCCTCTCCGCAAGAGAACCGTTGAGCCGTCTGGTTGTTCCTCTGATATGATTTCCTCGGCTTGCTCCTCGGTCGCCAGCAGTTCCTCCGCCGTGTCCACGAAGATGGGCGGTCCGTAGAGTCTCTCGTACAGTGCGTACTCCTCCGCGCTCAAGTGATCCCGTGGCAAAGCATCGCGGAACTGCTGTCTCGCTTTCCGTACATTGACTTCGATGTTCAACTTGTGTACCGCCGGGTCGCCTGAAGGATCTTCCGGGCTTGTCACCTGATCGTGGGCTTGTTGTTGGCGCCGCAGAAGCGCTGTTGATAGCGATCGTTGCTGTGTGAAGGAGTTCGTTTGAGCCGGTCGCAGCGCAAGTGTCGACTGCGGTAATCGTGCATTACGCGCTCGTGTGATCGCGAGATTAAGGCGACATGATGCGCAAACAGAGTGTAAGCTTTTTGCCTTGAGCATGATTGCGCTGCTGAGGCTTGACAATGTACTGGACTTACTGCTATGCGGAAGAGAGAAAGTTCGCCGCATTCACTGTCAGGGTCCACGCTAGAGCGCGCGCTCAACCAATCATGAATGAGGCGTTGAAGAAAGAGCGGACGACTACGTGACGTCTCAGCCAACACATGCTCTCGTCGTTACCTGTGTTGTAATCTATTCGAACACTTCAGATGACAGTAATGTTCCTAGCTGAACCTCAAAGGGCCTCCCCTGCTTCTCTCCAAATAGCTTCATGCATTACCCGACATAAACCATAGCATGAGCGGATAAAGGTCATCACACGGTCCGCAACAAGATGAGCACGGGCGAGCAATTTGAAATGTCAGCTATCTGAGTCGTCAAGAGATCCTTACGCGCCAGCGATTGCACACCATTGCTGACTGCCGTTTGTCGGCATCGGTAGCTGCCATCCGGGATACGCAGAGCTCCACTCCGCCATCATCACCATTAAGTTTGAGCTGTACTACACACTACCTCCGTCACAACCACGACCAGGAGATCTTCTACCCAAGCCATAGCTTTGGGAAGTCATCTGACAAGAGCGTTGAGATACCCCGCCCAGTCCGACATTAGGTCTTACACACCGTCAGCATTCAAGTTGGCAAGTGGGGGATCAGTTCGACATCAGTTCGACATCAGTTCGACATCGTACCTTAGCGTTATCTCTGCCTAAGTTCCATTGCTTTACTACAGAAACCCAGACACTGTCGATATGGGCTCGACTGTAGAGAGTTTCGACTACACGTCGCTGAAAGAGCTATTGAAAGATACAAAGGCCGAGGTCTTGACTCCTGGCGATGGACAGGAGTACGAAGACATTATTCAGAGGTGGAGCGAGAGTTGTGTCAAAAGAGCTGTAAGTTCTGCCTTGAGCGTCGCTCCAAAATCATATAATTTGTTTGATAATGCATGTGATATACTGACATCCACCCAGTCTGCTGTTGTAGCAGTCAAATCCGCATCCGACGTCTCAGCAGCACTCGAACAAGTCCGCAAGCACAAACTTCCCTTCACCGTCCGAGGAGGCGGACACTCAACATCCGGCGCTGCCTCCATCGAAGATGGTCTCGTCATCGATCTCTCCAAAATGCGCGGTGTCACCGTCGACCCCGAAGCCCGCACCATCACCGCAGAAGGCGGCACCATCTGGGAAGACGTCGACGTCGCGGCTGCAAAACACGGTCTTGCAACCGTAGGCGGCACCGTGAACCACACCGGCGTCGGTGGCCTAACTCTTGGTGGCGGCTACGGCTACCTGACTGGGCAGTACGGCTTGACCATCGACAACCTGCTCTCTGTCGAAGTTGTTCTGGCCTCAGGCACAGTCGTCACAGCCTCGAAAACCACCAACGCAGACCTGTTCTGGGCGATCCGCGGCGCGGGCCAAAACTTCGGTGTAGTCACAAAGTTCACTTTCCAGGGCTACGAGCAATCGAATCCCGTCTTTTCAGGCCCACTTGTCTTCCCGCCAACAGCGCTCCCCCAGATTGTACAGTTTATGAACAAGTTCCACGAGACAAACGATGGACGGCAAACACTTGTCGTCGCCTTCTCCTCCCCACCACCGCAAAATGCCCCAGTCATCCTGACGCAACTCTTCCACAACGGCACCGAAGAAGAAGGCCGCGCCATATTCGGCGACCTCTTCGCGCTCGCGCCCCTCGCAGACATGAGCGGCACGGTGCCCTACCAGGTCGTGAACAGCCTTTTGAACGCCTCCGCGGGCTCCGACGGGCGCAAGTTGTTCGGCGGCGGCGCATTCAAACTGCCCCTCGATCCAAGCTTCGTGGAGGGCGTGTATCGCGAGTTCCAGACGTTTGTGGAGAGCAAGGAGAACTTTGCGGTTGCGCAGAGTATGATGCTGTGGGAGGTTGTGCCGTATAAGAAGGTTATGGAGGTGAGGAACGAGGAAACCAGTTTTGCGAATAGGGGAGACTATTATAATGTTGCGACGATGTTTAAGTGGTACGTATTCACCCTGTCTTTCGGAGGTGGAGTACCGAGCTGATGAGTGTTGATAGGTTCGATCCCGCTCTCGATACCGAGATGCGCACATTCTCGCGCTCGCTGCTGAAGAAGGCCTCTGAGACTGCTGCGAACAGGTCGAAGGACGGAGGAGTGGGCCAGTATGGCAACTATGCCAGCGAGGAAGTTGCGGCGAACGATATCTTTGGCGAGAATGTGAGGCGTTTGGAGGATCTGAAGCAGAAGTATGATCCAGACAACTTGTTCAGTCATGGAACGAAGCTCACGCCGCGACCACTGGTCGTGGTGAACTGAGACTAGAAGTGTTAGCTGGGGCTAGAGCTAAATAGTGATTGCAAGCAGGAATGAAGCAGTGTTTGCGATCTCGTGAATGCGCGTAGCGTCAAGCTTCATATTTTTGGCTCCGGATTGATTTGCTGTCGCCGTGCCTTTCTTGTGCATTCATTTTGTCTTTTCCCTATGCCTCTGATATCTCCAACCTGGTTTACGCAGGGCATCTTGTTGGTTTCCAGCAGCATCCATCTCATGTACAATCAGCTTGTCTTGCTCACCGGTCGTAGACCGAGCAAGCTTCTTTATCTTCTTTGTTCCTTGCTGCCTATAGATAGGCAGCTTTCTGCTCGCAGATAGAATCATCAATTCATCTCATCTTCTTCTGCATAGTGCTGGTTTAACACATCTCAGCTCATTGCCCAATCCAGGTGTCGCTCTTCCTACACGCTCGCACCTCAACCCCATCAAATTTCCGTCAAACATCCTTCATCAACTCCTCCAACTCCTCATCCTCATCCCACCCCCCACCTCCCCTGCGGTTAACCACAATCTTACTCTCCTCCTTCTCACTCTGCTCCGCGACCGCACCGAGGATATCCTTCAACTGATCTTCACTGACTTTCTGTCGTATCTGGCCGGTCCTAGCAAGCATAATGAGCCGGTTCTCGATGTCTGTGGCGCGCGACTCTTTGACGAGGCGGATCCGCCCCAGGCGGTCGGCGGCGTCGGGAGTTAGGATTTGGGAGAGGATGTGGGCGCGTTGGTCCGCTGGGTGGCGTGGTTAGTTTTGAGTTTGCGTAAATGTAGAGGTAGGAACGTACACTCTTGCTGTCTGTGGACTCGTTAGCTGCCTTCAACGCATGGAAGTCTTGGGTTGCTACCTCCGCTGGTCCTGCTCTGAGCCGTCGCCGCCAGGACTGCCCCGCCCTCCGCCGCCTTGCTGCTGCAGCTGTTGCAGGCGCGCTTGCCTGATTTGTTCGAGGTCAGCGTCGGACATGCTGGGTGTTTGTTGTGGGTGATTGGGTTGCTGTGGAAAAGTATGGGATGACGGCGCGGGGAAGTTCGAGGCTCGGGGGTCCGAGATGGTGGGGCAAGGCTTCGATTGCACTGTCATGTACAATCGCCCATGGAAAGTGCTACTACTTCTTTTGTTTCGAATACTTGAGAACATACGCATACTGAGTATGTTGATCTCTGGAAGCTGGGATTCCACGATGTTGGGGTCGCATCACATTTAGCTACAATGGCCCAAGGACTGATTTGCTTCCAGCCCAAACTGCTAGAAGCATGCATTGTCTATACTAAGGATACTAACAAACGTGAGTTGGGACAATATAGTCTCTCTCTCTCTCGCACTCGGCAAAACTATCCTCGATCATCGGGTCGCGGTTCGACATTTGACTGGAATCGAGTCAGCACTTGCACTTCTCGAAAGCACATCTCCACACTTGCCTGATTCCCGTTGTAGAACTGCTGGCTCCGCGGTTCCCTCGCTCTTTGATCGGCAAGTGTCCTTACCCTGATACCTCCCTGCTCCTCCCTCTCGGACCGCGAATTCTCAGACCGCTCACCACTACCACCGCCGCCGCCCACAGCCTGCCCCTCGTTCGGTTGAGGCGCGGCAGCACCAGTCCCAAGGAAAGACCCTAGGAGACCTCCAGCGTATCCAACAGTCGACGACAGCAGACCAAACGCGCTACCAACAATTCCTGTTGTTGTTCCCGCGAGGAGATTGGTCCCGCTCCCTGAGTATGCATCTGTGTAGCCCTTGACAGGTACAAGGACCAGAGTCGCACTGGGTGCTAGGTCGATGTCGCCAAGTGTTTGGTTCTCATCGCCGGCTGAGAGCTCGCGACTTGGCTGGGGCGCAAGTATGTGTCTGAAGAAGTATGGAGGGAGTGCGCGATTCTGGACATTCGGGTCGTCTGAGTCGAGCCTCGCAAACTCCTCATCTATCCATGTGCGCACTTCCTTCTCAAGTGTTGCTGTTCGCGGAAATGTGGAGCGAATAGTGCGACCATCAAAGAGGCGCACATTGAGATTTACGTTCTGTGCTTGCGATCCTCTTGTCGAGGTTGTTGTTCGAGACTGGGTTTGTGCCTGGCTACTCGCGGTTCGTTCTTGTTCGCGTTCGGCTTTCCGTGCTTCTGCTTGTGCCCTGCGCTCAGCTTTGTCCTGCTCTATACGTGCTTTGATACGTGCTAGCTCCTGTGCATCTTCCCGTTTCTTCTTCTGTAGTGCAGCACGCGCAGCTTGTTGCGCGGAATTCGTGGTAGTGGACGACGCTGCGAGGCCGGCTTGTGGAGTGGCCTCAGCACGTTGCTTGCCTTTGGCGTTAGACGTTGTGGAGGGAGTCGCTGGGGTGGGCGCGAGTGCAGGTGGCGGTGCTCGCGCTGGCGCTGGCGATGATACAGGTCTTGTCGGGGGTATTGCGGTCGTGGTGGGTTCCTCGTCTCCATACAGATCATCCTCTGCTTGTGCCGTGCTTGCCTGCGCCGGGGCTGAACCAGGGATAGCTGCTGCGCCCAGAACCTTCCGTACAGAGTTCACGAACTCGTCTTGGCCAACCTCGCTCCCAAGCTGCAAGCGTAGCTTTCCATTGTGTATGACGACCAAAGTAGGCGCGCTCTCGATCTTGCAGAATGCGGCGAGGAATCCAGCTTCGGTAGATCCGTGCTCTAGGCGTAAAAGTATAGCTTTCTGTTCGAGGAGACTCGATATCTGTGGTGGTTAGGTATGTGATAGCGTGGGCGGATACTCTTGCATGTGCAACTGAGGTCTAGGAAGCATACCCAACCGCTCTTCAACCACTCATCTTCCCATCGCTTGCTCGTTGCGCTATCATCTAAGCCACAGATTAGTGCCAATCTAAACTGAGGCAGCCGCACATGTACCTCGCACAAAGCATGCTACAAGCTTCTGCTGCTGGATAGCTTGGCCAATGCCGCTCTGCAAAGTGCCTTCATAGAACATGGTCGCGCGTATCGTGGAGGTTGTCGGCACGTTGCGGGGAGATAGGCGGCGTTTGGGGCGGTTTCCGCCAGGGTCCACTTCACTAGCTCCCGCGGGGGTTCTAGCGACTTGTGATGATCAATGGTAGACGGGTGCTGGTCCCTGGACTTGCTCGAAGTATTAAGGACTAGATCAGAACGGCACCGAATGGTGGACGATGCCTCAGAACATGACTTCTAGTCCTAAACTAGCAATCCGGAGGGAAGGAGCAAACGATTACGTGTCTGGCAAACACCAGAGTGCTCCATAGATAAAAAGGATTATTGGCTTCAAGAATGGCTCTTTCATGCTAATGGTCATTTCACCTTTTCCGATACCCACGTCTAGAATACTCATGCTACGCTGCCGACTACCAGCGCCGCAACACCCTCCTCTTCGCTCCTGACATCAATCTTCATTGTGACACCTGTTCTCGCGCTGAATGCCATCCTAATCATAGCGGCAACCTTGCCACCAGTTATTGTCTTTCCGTAAAGCTTGAGGGTATGTGTGGTGTTTGAAAGCGCAACGTCTGTGCCCTCAAGTGGTTGCAAGCTCAGCGTCTTTGTGAGCTGTTCTGTTGCATCTGGATGGCTGTCAGCACCAATGTTCCGGTCAATAAGTACCAGGAGTGACTTACCTGATATGCTCTTCATCTCGCTCAACTGCAATGTTTCTGTTGCAGAGTCACCGTTGGCCTGATCCCACACGTTGTCGAAGCTGCCAGCGTACGCTGGAACAACGTAGTCAGCACCGTTGAGATCCAAGTCCTCAACCTGGTACTCGTCAGGATACCCGTCGCCCTCCTCGGGCTCGTTCGTGCTTGGGTCGATCTCCTTGCTTGTGAACTTGAGCACGTTGGTGAAGGTGGTGGCAATAAATTGTGATTCGGTCTCGAGGCGCTTGAAAGAAACGTAGACAGTGCCGGGCTCGTTTGTGGCGAGTTTCGGCGCCGGGATGATGAACTCCTCCTCTAATTGAACATCGCCATCGTCCTCTGGCGCGACCACCATCTCGACATCGAGGAGGACTGTGTCGGGGAGGGTGTTCTTGATGTCGTACTGAAGAACCACATGGTCCTTGAAGACGTGCTTGATAGCGGTAACAACGTACTCGGTCTCTGTCTCGGTGAGCTCAATGACCTCGCTCGACTTGAGTACACCACCATGCGCCGCAAGCTCGGGAATCTTCTGCAGCTCTTCTTGGTACTTTTGAGCATTGTTTGCGGCGGATGCAGCTGCCGAGGCGCCAGCCTTTGATGGAGCCTTCGCAGCACTGGGGGCCTTGATGGTTGGTGTAGCACCTTCAGTCTTCTTGGAGAGATCCGCAGCATCTGCTTGTTCGCGCGAGACGGTGGGGATCTTTGTGATGTCGAAGGCAGTCTCGAAAGTGTCGCGAGAGTCAGAGCTGACGTACATCGCAAGCTGGTGCTCAAGAACGGGCAGGGAGAACATGGAATCGTTGCGAATGAAGCTGACAGCCAAGTCGTCATCCTGGTCCATCAATCGAAGGTTCAACGCAGCACGATCACGGACCTCGTCGTCGACATCGTCGAGACAGCGGGTGAGAAGGACGTGCACCGATTTCTTGATCTCAGGGTCCTTCTGGCCGACACCAAACTTAGCCAGCGCGGAGGTGGCAGCAGCTCGGACGATGGCGTTTTCCAGGACCACACGGTTGTAGATGTATCGAATGTACTTGGTGGGGTGGGGCGTCGAAGGACCTTCGCGACCAAGCACGAACAAGATACGGACAGCAAGCTTGGTGAACTCGCAATCTTCAATGAACTCGCAGAGGGTCGCAAGAGCATCCTCCTTGGCTTCAGGCACGAAGCGAATGAGGTCCATGATGGCTTCGACAACGGATCGCTTAAAATCGTAGCCTCCCTCGTCGCGCAGGATGCCGCTGAGGAAAGCCAGGAAGCCGGACTGCTTAGCCTTGAACTTGAGGGCCAGCGTGCGTACAGCCTCCACGATGGTAACCTTGAACTCGTCTGTAATCTCAGCCATGAAGCCGGTGATCTGCTTCATGAGCCTATCCACCGACGACTCGTTACCCGTCTTGAGCAGTGTAGTGATGGCGAATGTAGCGATGCTACGGTTGGAGTTGGTGATGAGCGACTCGATATCCTGGTTGCATGTGCGAACAGCGTCAGGCTTGAACGAAGCCATCTGCGACAGTATCCTGAGCGCAGCGAACTTTGTGACAGCGCGAGGCGATGTGAGGAACAACTGAAGGACGTGGACGGCCTGAACGAGCTCGGCATCGGTAACGTCGCGCATGTCGGCGATGGCCTTTGCAGCCTCGAAATTGACCATCTCGGACTTGTGGCGCAGCCAGCCGTCGAGGAGTTGCATCATGGGCTATGAGCACAGTCAGTATCTTGTAGATCACAATAGAGTAACGGCGTACCTTTCGCAGGTTGGGGTCCTCCTCAGCCAACTTAGCAGCCAACCTGACGAGCAGAACTGTCGCAGCCGGGCTCTTGACCACACCAGCAGCTGAGTACTGCTGCACCATCTTGACCAAGCTCATTCGGTCGCCAGAGCGCATCTGGTACAACAGACCAATGGCGTGGTACTGTGTCATGTAGTTTGTGCTGGCCTGCAGAGCGGTCTGAGAGCTGCCGCCGAATCCACCAAAGAATCCACCAGACTTGGCTCCAGAAGCGGCCTCAGCGGCCTCAGACTGCCATCTGCGAACAACGTCCTTTGCGACTGGGAGGAGGTGGTACGAGGAAACGAGCGCGGCAGAGGCTACGGAGGGGTTCTTGTCGACAATGCACGTCTTGACGAGACGCTCGATCGCTTGCACGGTGGAGGCATCGATGACACGGCATAGAGCACGGATAGCGTTGGCGCGGTAGACGACATCGCTGCCCACAGAGGTGTCCTTCATGATGGAAGATGTGACCATGATAACATCGTCGGCGGAGCCAGCGAGCTCCTTGATGACCAGGTAGACCATCTGACGGAGAGATGCATCCTTGTTCTGGAACAGCTTCGAGATACCGAAGAAGAGTGTTGTAGCTTCCTGGCGTCCCCAGCTCTCGCCCGTGAACAGGAGCAGTGCAAGCTTGGTGAGGATCACTCTGCACTTTCTTGGTGATATGGGGCTCTGGTTGAAGACGCGGGCATCCTGGAACACGGTGGTCTTGTCGATCTGGGCGACGCCGCCAACATCCTCCTGCTTCTTGTCCATGTTGTGGCTCGAGGTGCAGCTCTCACTGCGAGCTCTCCCTTAGTTCGAATAAAGTGTCCCGCTCTTGCTCCACTAAACGTGGCCTCTGCCTGTCGATGCGATGGTGGTTACCAGACCTGGCGCTGCAATTGGTCGTGAACGATTGGAGGGTCGGAGAGGGATGCGCCAGCGGGGACTCGAGATTACGTGGTGTTGTGAATTGGTGTACGTTGAAGTTGCGACCTCAACCGGCGCCGGCGTGCACTGCAGGGGTGCGGTGGGCTGCTGCGTGTTTGGCTTGTTTGACGGGCTCTAGCGTGCTTGGAGTTATGCGGCGGGCTCTGCGGCCAGAAACGGGAAAAGAAGGCGCAATCTTGAGGAGCATTGCTAAGACTCAACCTCAACGGTTCCCTCCTCTCCTTCCGTCCTTTATACTTCACATTCGCAATGGCTGCCTCGATACCCCGCTCACGATGCCTCTTCGCTGTGTCTGCACGACGGGCTATCCCTCCATCTCGAACAGCATCGCAATGCGCTCGAACTTTTGCCACAACCTCAGATAACCCCCCAGCAGCACCAACAGCCTCAAAGCCAAAGAGAGCGAGGACAGCGTTCAGCGATACCCTCAATTCCGGTCCGTCTTTTGGCGATTTCGTCAACCCTAATGCGCCACTGTCACCCGCCGAAGCCTACGAGATCAAGACTGCTACAGTTGGCCCAGAAGGCCGCAAGAAGACCATCACTCGACTGCCCGAGTGGCTCAAAACACCCATTCCTGTAAACCAGAACTACAAGAAGATCAAGAAGGATCTTCGGGGTCTGAACCTCCACACCGTCTGCGAGGAAGCGAAATGTCCCAACATTTCAGATTGCTGGGGAGGAAGCAACAAGAGTGCAGCGACGGCGACCATTATGCTCATGGGTGATACATGCACACGTGGTTGTCGTTTCTGCTCGGTCAAGACGGCAAAAGCGCCTCCGCCACTCGACCCTCACGAACCCGAGAACACAGCTGAAGCGCTACGAAGATGGGGTCTGGGTTACGTTGTCTTGACATCTGTAGATCGTGACGATCTTGCAGATGGAGGAGCACGACACTTTGCCGAGACCATCATGAAGATCAAGCAGAAGGCACCAACAATGCTCGTCGAGGCACTGACGGGAGACTACGCTGGAGACATGGAGATGGTCAAGAAGGTGGCTCTGAGCGGTCTTGACGTCTACGCACACAATGTTGAGACTACAGAGGCTCTTACACCGTTTGTTCGCGACAGGAGAGCCAAGTTCAGGCAGTCACTGGAGGTTTTGCGCACTGCAAAGGAGGCACAACCAGAGCTCATCACCAAGACTAGTATCATGTTGGGCTTGGGAGAGACTGAAGAGGATCTCTGGGATGCACTGAGAGGTATGACTTGACTCGAGATTCCCTCTTGACATTTGCTAACCTTTCTCAGAACTCCGCAAGAACAACGTTGACGTTGTAACTTTCGGCCAATACATGCGACCAACGAAGCGCCATATGGCGGTTCACGAATACGTCACCCCCGACAAGTTTGAACTGTGGCGCCAACGAGCTCTTGACATGGGCTTCTTGTACTGCGCATCCGGCCCGCTTGTGCGATCCAGCTACAAAGCAGGAGAAGCCTTCATCGAGAATGTGCTGAAGAAGAGGAGGCTAGGAGGCGCTGGCAACAGTGGGATTGCTGAAGCACAGGCGACGGAGAGCAAGACTCTTTAGAGAGAAAGGAGCGGTATGTGTGAGCGACCTGTATTATATTCTGCGAGCTTAAGCGCACTCAACGAGCTATAGCTCCGTGCACTTCAACGTGTGCGTAATGGAACTGGACTACTATCCTATCATAGTCTCGACGCCTCAAAATTCTGAAGTCTTTTTGATAAGAGGTATCATCCATGCTAATAATAGGGAGGTTCTGGGAAAAAGCGATTGCAATGACGAAAGGAAGGGTCCACGAACGCACTGGCCAGCTTTCTTGCACAACTCACCTTCGAGTCTCGTCCAGATTGCTCACTCTCATTCCCCACAACTAGTATCACCCATCACCTCCACTTTCCAGGTGGCATCGATGCACCTTACCAGCACGAGGACTACTGTCCTGTGGTGAAGTCCTGGATTGGCCGATACCAGAGCAGGTCCTACGACAAACCTGAAGACACAAGACCCTGGAGACGTTCGAGTTACTCACCTGGGTATCGCATTGCTCAAACCGCGTTCACGCTCCCCGCAGTTTGTACCCACCCACATCGGTCTTCGAGCGCTATGGAGCCCGGCATGCAGCTCAAGCGTTCCACAACGGAGTACATCTCATTTGCTTCTGTCAACCTCATCCAAGAACGGGGAACGCCCCACTCGTAGTGCACGGCTATCTACATTCCTTTCCTCTATCATACCCCCAACATCTTGCTTCTATCCCGTCGTGGTGTATCGGCACAGTCCTTCACTGGCAAACGTTCCCTCACCTATGGACAAATTCTACCTCTATGGCTTCCGAACCGATTGGATGCTGCTCCCAAGGTACATCGCAGACGGAAATTTTCAAGTCTTGAGTTCTACACGTGTGCCCAAACACAAGCATGTTTCACGGGCCAGCAGACGAAGAGATGGGGTATATGAGATCGTAAAGCATGGCCAACGTCCTGTGTATGATGCGTCTCCAATGACATCGTCATATGTCCAGTTCGAAGCAGCATCGAGGCTGTCAGAGCTGCTGGGCAACGCTGATGCATAGTATTCGGCCATCCCTCTACGAGCATCCGCTGGCGACCGTATCTGATATGGTAAACCCCACGGAGTTTTCGCAGTCTATCGGCTCGTATGAGAGTTCTCGCGGCTTGGAGTTACACCCACTATATCTACAGTGATACTCACCATTGTACTGCCCTTCCATCGAGGAACCTTCTTCCGTGGTGATACTTCAAGGCGTCCAGGGTAGCAGTACACTACACACTGGCTCCATCAACCTGGTACGATTCGAACGTACCGCTACAAGCATCGCCTTTCAAGTCTATCACATTCAGACAACTCCTTCAGACAATGTTCAACTCCGTGAACCTAGCTGCAGCTTCAGCGCAAATGATGTATGGTTGCAAAGCAAGTATATCAAGAGTATGCGATCGAAGACACTGAGGTCTAGTCTGTTAAAACGTTTTGGATCTGTTATACTTTGCCTACGTTCTACAGGTTCGCTTCCCAGGCGAGATACCTCTGTCTTCCGCTCGGATTGCACCCGTCTATGCCCATGCGATCCGAGCACCGTCAATGTTCAGTTGCAACAACACAAGAGCTTCTATGTCTCGTTGTGCTCGAAGATGGCGAAGTGCGTTATATATGAACGGTTCTGTGCAGTAGAAGGAACTGAGTCCGCCATTTTGTGGACTCCTTCAATTTCGTCAAAACCAGTTAAAGCTACCGTCAACTGCTCTATTACTTTTTCTTCTTCGAGTCACGTACCTCTATCTTCACGTCTCATATCATTCGTTCTCTAGTTCATGTCAATCCTGAGATACTCGGTTGTGAAGACTTCTTTCTTGCAGAACTCCTGAGCACCAATTACTACGACTTTGAAGCGCTCTAGATCATCGGCTTCGAAAAGCAGAGTCTAATTCGCCACCTCCCTTCCCAATACTGCTACTTCATCGAAGGCTCGCGTTCCTGCGGCTCTAGCGGCGCCACGTGGCACGGTCCAGGTGCACAGCCACTGCGTAACCTGTTTGAAGATGCATGTCTTCACCACCCTGCTTTCTTTCATGACCTTATCTCAAGCAATTGCAATACCTCGGCCAAAAGATATCAACAAAATGTCGACAGCTTCTGGATACAAGAATGTTGCGTATTTTGTCAATTGGGTATGTTGATTCACTAAAGACCTCCAACGTCATACTAAGCTGAATCTATACAGGGTATCTATGGACGCAACTACCATCCTCAGGATTTACCAGCTGATGTGTTAACTCACATACTCTACGCTTTCGCCAACGTCCACCCAGACTCTGGCGAAGTCTATTTGACAGACACATGGTCAGATACAGACAAGCACTACGAGCACGACTCATGGAACGATGTCGGCACCAACGTCTACGGCTGTGCGAAACAGCTCTTCCTACAGAAGAAGAGGCATCGCCAAATGAAAGTGCTTCTCTCGATAGGAGGATGGACATACTCATCCAACTTCGCCCAACCTGCGTCAACACCCCAAGGGCGAGCAAGATTCGCCAATAGCGCAGTGGACATCATGATGAATCTCGGCTTCGACGGTACTTCATCCTCCTCTACAAACATATTTCGAATCCACACTCACACAACACAGGCATCGACATAGACTGGGAATACCCCCAAAACTCCACTCAAGCAAACGACATGGTCCTCCTGCTCGCTGAGACCCGCAAAGCGCTCGACGCCTACGCTACCGAGCACACTCCCGGCGTTCATTACCTACTAACCGTCGCCTCGCCCGCCGGCCCGGAGAACTACAACCGCCTCTGCCTCGCCAAGATGGACGCGTACCTCGACTTCTGGAACCTGATGGCGTATGATTACGCCGGAAGCTGGGATTCGACCGCCGGGCACCAGGCGAACTGGAATCCGGGTCCGCGGAACTCGACATGCACGCCGTTTAGCACTGCTCATGCGTTGCGCGATTATATCGCTGCGGGCGTGCCTGCGGATAAGATTGTCGTGGGTATGCCGCTGTACGGACGTAGTTTTGCGAACACGGCGGGGCCAGGGACAAGTTATCAGGGGGCAGGACAGGGCACGTGGGAGGCGGGTGTATATGATTATAAAGCGCTTCCTGCTGGGGGGGCGAGTGTGCAGAATGATCTGAATGTCGGGGCGAGTTGGAGTTATGATGAGGGGAGTAGGCTGATGGTGAGCTATGATACGCCAGAGATGGTGGAAATGAAGGCCAATTTGATCAAGGAGATGGGACTTGGCGGGGCGATGTATTGGGAGAGTAGTGGGGATCGGAAGGGGGAGGGAAGTCTGATTTCCACAGTGAGTGAGTCAGTGCTTTGATTCCGAATTGTGGCTGACAGGTTGTAGTTTGTGAAAAGCATTGGCGGTATCGGTGCGCTTGATCAGAGTCCCAATATTGTGGACTATCCGGCCAGCAAGTACGATAACTTGCGCGCTGGATTCCCGAACGAATGATTGCATGGGAATTCTGGCCAGAACGGCAGTATGCTCGATATGGTGGCATTTCAGGCATTGGCTATGAACACAACGGTTTCGATATTGCACATATTGGCGCTAGAGTAACAGTTTTATAATATTGTGTCAGTTTAATCGATACCATACAATACATTTCAAGTTGATACTCTGTGGCGCTTCTCACCACCTGTGGTTTCAGATCAGATCAATGATCACGCCGGAACTCTGAGCCTCATCAACCTTTATGACTCCTTGATCCTTATGAGGGTAGGTGTCTGCACTGATCATACGTTGTAAAACCATATTCACCTCTGCCCTCTCGAGCTCTTGAAGCTGCAGACGGTGGCGCCAACAAGCCAATAACTCTGCGACTACTGCCCGAAAACTCACAATGTCTTCATGTTCCCGAGCGACTCGAGCGCGATGCAGAAAGCATTGGCGACGGTGTCGGATAACATGTGGCATGATCTTGGCAAGTTTGTTGTGGAGTGTCTTGAACTCGACGAAGAGAATTGTCATGGGTGACCTGGGAAGGATGTTCGAGGGTTCCTCCATGGCGAGGCAGCGTTCCCAATCTACAGCGAGCGAGTCAAACTCCGGCATGCCTGGACCGAGTACTGTTAGCGGTTCTGGCAGGGGTGGCGTGACGCTACGGTTGTTGACATCGTTCCACGCCCGATGGCGCTGCCCGTACTGTTCAAACAAGCCGTCGCCATGGCATACGCCTGCAAAACGAGGCTTTCGAACACATCGCAGCCGTTCAAACGGGCCTACGAGGAGCTTAGTGCTGGATAATATGTACTCGGGGTCCCAGTCAGACTTGTTGAGCCTGAGGCGCACTTGTAGAGTATCAAGTCGGTGGGCCTTGGCCAGTACCCCATACACGATTACTACGACAAAATCTGAGAGACGTTAATCAACATCTCGTGTTATTTTCTCTTGGCCCTGTGATACTTACCGCGGACGTCGTAAAGTTCCACTTCTTCATCCCACCCGCTCATCCGGTGGTCCCCAGGGGCGACATACCCCTTTTCGATCGCAATGTTGACACTGTAGTTCCTGACTAAGGACCAGGCGAAGTTTTGTATGAAACGATCATTTGTTTGTTGAGTGTCATACTGATAGCTAGAGCCATCTGGTGCCCTAGGACCGAGTATTCGGCGGCCACCTAAACCGTACTCAGTCAGAATATGCGCTATATGAAGAGATGGGTATAAGCCACTTACAAAGCATCACGCCGTTCCTACTCACATCTATGCTAAATGTTGCTTTGGCATAGAACACGTCTTTCACTTCCTCATAAACTTCGCGGTTGAAGCCAAGGTAAAGAGATAGTAGCGGCGTTGGAAATATTGTGCACAGCGAACTACCCGGCGTGCCAGTGCTGGGGTAACCATTGCATTTAGTGGATCGATAGACGGTCCATGAGTCGATCGTGCGAGTAGGCATCAAGTACTTGAAGATCTCCTGGCGCAACTCGGTAGGTAGTTTCAAGAAGTAGCATGGTGCATCGTGATCAACATCCCTGCAATGAGTGGCACAGAAGAGCTGGGGGTGTGGGGGGGTCCAGCTGAAATGCTTGCCGCATGTTTCCCCGTAAACGTCTTTGGCCTGGCACCAACCAAGACGAGTCCTGTGTTCATCAACGCCCGGATCTGAATACGTTATGTTCTCGAGGTTGCATCTTCTGAGCTGAGCAGGCGGGGTGCAGTTCATGGTGTTGTACGAGAAGTGTAGGCGTGATCGATCAAGCTACTAAAGGAGTCCGTCAAGGTTGCAAAGAAGGTCCAGTAGGGAACGCGGGCGAAATGATACTGCGTAAAAGGAGTATGAATAGGAAGGCGAACTGCGGAGGATATGTTCGTTGGCGACAGCCTAAGAGGAGGCCGCTTGTTCATTATTGCATCCGAGATGCAATACTTAGATCAATCCAGAAATATGCACAATGTGTGCATGCAGAGTGACTGTCGGTGATAGAATAAGAAAGAGGTTGCACAAGAGGGTCCAGGCCAACGAGGTCCAGCTCTTCGCGTAGTTGCGTTACACAACTGCTGAATCGATGGTACAGCTCGACGACGCCAGCAAGGCTCGATTGGGTATGTTGCACAGATTGTCTCTTTAGACTGCGCAAAATGCAATGTGTTTCGCTAGAGCCTCGCACTCATTTGATCGGATTACTGCGCATCCTAAACTTTTCGAGGTCGTCTGACCATCGGTTTAATGCTGGCTTGACTGCTTTGACACTGTTTGGTTGGTAGTATTATGTTGAGAGAAAGCGCGATTGTTCGTGCGACGGATCAGCAGTTCTCGCTCCATGCGCTGTCTGTTGATTGAGGTCGATCGTCCATGTTTACTTTATCGATTGCACATGTCGAAGCCGAGAAGAAGTCACAATGGTATGATGTCGCGGTCAAAAAGGCCGACCTTCTTAACCCTAGAGTTCAGAAGGCTTTATACACCGTTACATATGATGTGCAAGAATTGCACTTTGCCGCTTCCATTCAGCTCCAATGTCACCGTCAGCAGCGATGCAACTCACGATGCGAAAGTTCAAGAACGTCCAGATGATGCAAAGATTCAACCTTGGAAGGTAACAAATGCTGTAACGGTGTACAAAGCCTTCTGAACTCTAGGGTTAAGAATGTCGGCTTTTTTGACCGCGACAAATGCACATCTCAAAAGGCACCCTAGAGGCCCATGTCCAATAGAAACAAAGCTGACACCAAATGGAAGTGCTAGCCAAATCTGGAAAGTGTGGGGGTGGAGTTGAACCTCGGCCCAGTTTACCCCAGCTTCGCGACAGCTTAACAGCGAGCAGCAGCAATGTAGTACACCGAGAGAGCCATAGACTGCAAAGCTTCTGCACCATCAAAAACACCAACTGTACGTCGTCGCCGCCGGCACAATGTCGACAATCAAGCCAAAGACAATGCCTCCTTCTACCTCCCACGTCCTCCTTTCGTACCCGGCTGATTATGTCTTACTCGTCACCATAAACCGTGAGAAGCAGATGAACAGCATCCCGTTTGCTGGGCACCAGGAGATGGGTCAGGTGTTTGACTGGTTCGATAAGGAAGACAACCTGCGGTGTGCCATCATCACTGGTGCTGGCAAGAAGAGCTTCTGTGCTGGACAAGACTTGATCGAGCTGGGCAGGATCAGAAGTGGGAAGAGCGACGTGAATCCAGGCTTGATGAGACATCCTCTGAGCGGCTTTGCTGGTCTGAGCAGGAGAGCCGGCAAGAAGCCTGTCATTGCTGCTGTCAATGGCTTTGCGCTTGGTGGAGGCTTCGAGATTGTGCTTGGCTGGTGAGTCGCGACTTCCTACATCCAATTTCCAGGTTGCTAACGATACTAGTGATATGGTTGTCGCTGCACCAAATGCAACGTTCGGTCTTCCAGAAGCGTTACGAGGTATCTTCGCGGGTGCTGGCGGTCCAGCACGTTTGGTCCGAATCGTTGGCTTACCAGTAGCCTCTGAAATGGCACTGACTGGCATACCAATCACCGCTCAACGAGCGAAGGAGTTGAACATCATCAACCGCATATCGCCGTCCCAAGATACTGTTATCGGTGAGGCATTGAAGCTGGCGAAGGGAATAGCTGCAATCTCGCCAGATGCGGCGATTGTAACCAGAGCAGCTCTGAAGGACAGTCTCGAGCATGGAAGCGTTGAGCGTGCCACACAGCTCACGATTGAGCGTTACAACGATGCATTGCAGTCCGGTGAGAATGCGCTCGAAGGCTTGACCGCCTTTGCGCAGAAGAGGAAGCCGGACTGGAAGCCTTCAAAACTGTAGGCTATACGAGGACAGATCATCCAGCTTGAACGGCACTCTCCGTTCAACTTTTAAGATGTACTTCTTCAAGGTACTCTTCGAACATCGTCACTCTCCAAATGCAGTTAGCAAAGTGACCGACCAGAGTTGCCGTCTCGGCAATGCTCGGTAACTCCTCCTTTCCACTTTACGACTCAGAACCCTGAGCACGCTCACCAATCGTCGAGCCAGACATGACAGGCTTGCGACAAAGAGGTAACGAAGGCAGCCGGAAACACATTCCCGTGGTTGCCAGTGTTGCCCCACCCCCTCTCCCCGCATTGTGGCTTCCCCCCATGTGCATTGACGCTGCACGATGAAGGCACATCGACATGAAGCCCCCGGTCGGTGCCGACTTGGGGGTAAATATAGGAAAACAGACCCACAAGCATGATTACTCGACTTCATCGATCTTTCACGACTTGACAGAACAGTTGCGACTCAGTATCAATTGTTTATCTACTTGACATCATATGCCGCTATGGTGAACCGATGCCCTAGTGACGCCGCTAAACTCGCGACTCCTGTTGCACCTGTCGTGAAACGGAAGCGACGAGCGTCGTGCTTGGGAGATCAAGAGCGACGAGAGCGCAAACGTGCGATAGACCGAGAAGCCCAGCGGTCGCTCAGAGAGAAGACTAAAACACACATCGCCGAACTAGAACGGACAATACAGATCTTGAGAGACCAAGATCGAAATGAAGCAACAGCAAATCTACTGTCTGAGATTGACAACTTACGAGTGGAGAACGAGCGGTTACGAGACATAATCGACAGTGTCAAGAACGTGCTCGGCAACGACATTGCACCACGAACAAACACAGCAACAGAGCCTCCAACAACGAATGGAGGAGGCGCAATAGCTTCGCCGGCTCCTTCAAGCAATGGTATGCATCAACTCACTCAGATGGTCTTTCATGACTTTACATCAAAGAGGCTTACGGACCGGTAGGGCACCGATCGCCTAAACCGCGCACGGTATCCTTCGTCAGCGACAGCAAACCACCACCGCTTACTCCAACTGATCTGCCGACTTCATACGAATTCAGCAAGCGCAGAGGGAGTACGAGGCTAGTTGATCTGGATGGCATGAACATCATTGCCGATGTACATACTTCACACACCCTCAATCTGGACCTTGAGCTCGAGCCAGTCGAGGAGATACCCACGGAGACCATCGCACAGGTTCGTAGAAGCCAAGTAGACGTACAAGACTGGGAGAACAATCCAGCGACCGCCTCATGGGGACCCTTGATGCAAGAAGTATGCGCCCTATGGTGCTCGCCTACCGTTAGCATCCAAAGCTAACACGCCCAGTTCTTCGGTGATAGCTGGCGGTGTCCCTCCCCAACGATCCTCCACATCGGTGCACCAGACTCTTCCAACTCCCCAACAACCATCACCGTGTGTCCGATCTGGAAAAAATCGAACGAGCTCTTCGAGAAAATATACAGCAACTGCTCATCAACAGGTACACAGTCCCTCACTCTGTATAGAAAGAAGTTGTCGGCACCGACAGAGGCTGGACTGCTGTATCTTGGCATTAAAGAAGGCTGGGCCAACATATCTGATGAATGGATGCAGAGCCCTGCGCTCGTCATCCTCAAGCAAGTCGACGAGTTTCTGTTCTGCCATCTGCCTCAGATGGAGCGCCTAGCTACAGCATATAAGAGCTTCAAACTTCTCAAGGTACGTCAAGACCAAGTACAAAACTGTAGAGACAAGGCTAATGATCGCATAGTACTACCTCAACAGCAGCGCAGAACAGCTCTCGAAGGTGCCCAAATGGCTACGCCCCAGCATAACGCAGTCATCCACCACACACCCCATCGCCGTCGATTTCTTCGCCTGGCCGACTCTGCGCGACCGTTTGTTATCCCAACACAGCTCTATATTCCAGACCTCGGCTCTATCCCATGTCTACAGCCACTATCTGCGCTTTGACTGGCCCTTTGCCTTTGAGGATGCGTTCTTCCATGATGAAGCAACAGGGCACTGGTACCCGAGTCCTCTATTCGAGAGATATCACGGAGATCTGAGGCATTGGAGTGTGAGAGAGGAGTTTTATGAGAAGTTTCCCGAGATGAGAACCGACATCGAGGGGGATCAGAGGAGGTTCGGTGAGAGCTTGGGAGCGTGAGATGGAAATGCGAAGAATCGATCGTGCGTATGGCTCCCATATTAGCGTTTCATAGTGAAGATCTCAGTGAGGGACGCATCAACTGTTAATTTATGTGCCATGTGGCATTCTGATTAGTGCGTTGTGAGTGAGGCTGACGTGGACGTGCAGACAATGATCCCGGCATACCTGGGGTCTGCAGTATCGCGTTCCACGAGGATCCGATTCCCCAAAAGAATATGTCGATTTGTTTTTCATCGGGAGGCAAGATCGTTGGACTGTGCTTAGGGTGTCATGCAGAGCTCGAACTGTAGTGGAGACCACAAATACAGTGCCATCACGTATGTAGCTAGCTAAGCTGCGCCCTTACTCTAGCCCCCGCCGCTGTGGAGAATTCGCGGGGACCTACATCGACGCAATTGATCCCTTCATCGGCAACTATGAATTGCTTGAACCAACATTGAACTGCCCATTTTGATGATGTGTCTCCCGATGCACAGGTCATGGTGTGACACCTCGATCGCCGGGTCTCCCCAGGACCAGACACGAGGCTGAGCGCGCGGCGCTTCTGCATCTGCAACGGCTCCTCTGGGCACAAGCTTACCAAGACCAACACTATAGCCATGTACCCACTGATAACCACTCCGAGACTCTTTTCCCTTCGTGCATACCGCATCAACATGCTTCTGGGCAGCCATGGCTGAAGAGGTACACTTCCATCCAATGTGATGCTGCTACGATGCTAATGCAATGTAGCAACCCTCATCGTCGCGCGCTCTGCCCACGCTTCCTTCTAAGAGTCACTTCAAACCCATCGAGTACGGTAGCACATCCTCGACGTTCAGCAGCACGCACGACTCTGCCATCGAGGTGTCGCCCACCGACCCACCTGCGCCGTTCACCGCACCGCCGCTGCTGTACACATACTTCCACCCCAACGGAAACCGCATCATGCCGCCGAGTATCGGTGGACATGGGCGCCTTATTGTTGCACACCGAACGGTGCCGTATTGGGCGGGGTTACTGGTCGTGATCAGCTCTATTGGATGGGCGGTCTTTGTGGCTATGCATGTGTTTGAGCTGCTTGGGGCTAAGCATCCGAGCACAAGGCCGGACTATGGAAGAGGAGATTGCGAGGGGTGGTTTTGTTGAAGGTTCACGATATTGAGATTCGAGTTGAAGACAGGATGTCAGAGGTCCTTCAGTACACTGGCGTACTCCAGGTCATTGTTTGGGAAACTCCTTTGAATCGCCGGGGTCCTATGGTCTTCGGTCTCACGGCTCGATGCTGGCATTTGGAAAGGTCTGCCGCCCCCATAAGAGAGACGTGTTTCGCCAACCACTTGGTAGGAACATGTAAGGAGTATAGTTCGGCAGCAGTCAATGTTAGTCACAATGCCAAATACTTCATGGGATAGCGATGATGGCTACAATTCCACGTTGCCTACGTTGCCAACGTGGCCTGACTTACATGGTGCTAGGGAGTCTTGCAGGACCCCGGTAGCCATGGAGCGAAAGCTTGATGCGGATTATCCAACAATTTGATTTTCGTCAACCATCTGTATTCTTCACAAACTTGGTTTCAAGGCGATGACCACTGGAACGAAGATCGTACTCACCAGCAATGAGGAGTTGTTATATGCTGTCATATCATTGCGAAAAGACTCTGCCTTGAAGGCTTCCGAGCTTCTAAATAAGAATCACAAGAAGCATGACATCTATATAAACTACCTGGGGCACCATGTCAGGAGCAATATCTACCATTTGTGTCAGGATTGAGGCTGACAATCCTCTATAATCACATACTCCACCATATACTAACCTTCTACGCTTTTGGTGCTTCACTCGAGCAACTGCAAGCAGCCTACGACGAAGACCGCCCTGGGCAGCGCCCACCGTTTCCGCCTCATCAGCCTATCAACCGCGAACTTCAAACCCCAGCAGGATTTGCCAAGTACCCTGGAGACTACACACAGTACAGCAACTACCTGGTACATTTCGAAAATGAGATTGAAGTGAAGGGCCCCGACCGCGTGGTAGTTGAATACGTCTCTGCTAACGACCATCGAGCGAATGACCTCCTAGCACGTCATTTCACAGATTTCGCGCACGCAGGCATCCACCTTGGCTACGGGCTTGAGTTCAAGCAGCCAGCTATCGTTGCAGAAGCGCTGGCTCAAGCCTGTGTGCATGAAGGTTGGGGTCTCGACTTCTTCCTAGCTGCGGAGAAGGCAGGAGATGCGCAGAAACAAGCAGTCAGTGACAACGTCTCGCTGCTCAGGCTGTATGACGAGGTATAGGAGGTTATCGAAGAGATGGGAACTGGTTGCTGCCAAGTATGGGTACTACGATAACTGCGTCAAGTATGGGATTGTACATGTGGCAGCGGAGCGTCTACTTCCTGTCCTGTCGCAATGGGTAGTCAACAGCGACAACCTTGCTGAAAAGACGGCAGAGATGATCGATGCGGCTGGCAAGTCAACACCATAACAGCCTCTTTGTGTTGTTCATCGGCTAACTCAATGTTGTCAGTCTACTTTTGCGTGACCGCACAACGCACTGAACACATCCAGAAGCTCGATTTCTTCTATCTCCACTCCGCCACCCTCTCTGTCCACTTCACATCCCTCCTGAACCATCCAGCCCTCTCGACCGAGGCACGCATCCGCTTCCTCGAGTGGAAAGGCCGCTGGGATCTCGCCAACTACGCTTCCCGCGGCGCCGCACCCTCCACAAAGAAGAACTCACCGACTACGTACCCAAGAAGCCCGTCCAAGGTTGGCAGGATGTCTTTAATCGAGTAGACGCGTTCGTGCATCCTGAAGATGGTGGTCATGCACCGAGACTGATTCGTGGTATTGCTAATGGCTAGAAGACATGCATTCAATAGCTACGGCGTCAGCCACATACTAACACCATGCCTGCGGAAGGCGCAATGCGGGAGCTAGACTGATGCGGTAAAGTGAGGTGGTCCCTCAGCCACACACTTATTACATCTCAATCACGAAACTACTCCATCTTCTCGATGTCTCCAACAGGAGACATATGGAGCGGATTGCCTTGTCGGTATTCACTCGCCATGCTCAGGCAGGAACTCGCACATTTTTCGTCTTCGTGTCTTGTGGGCTGCTCTGAGGGTTGTGTTTGAGATGCAATGGGCACAGCCTACTTCGAGGCTCCTCGATCACACGAGAGCATGGCCAGCCTCAACCGCCTCGATTACCTCCAAAACTCAAGAGGTGATGCATGGACAACGACAAGGCTGAAAACATATTCACAATGCAGTAAAAAGCATCGAAATGTGTGTTCGACTGGCTCCAGTCTATCATTCATTCGTTTTGTTCGTAAACCATGTCTATCCCAAACCTTGTACCCGTATTCTTTAATGCATCAACATCTACAACTGCGACAACAAGCCAGACGCCTCAAGCAGAAGAACAATCTGGTGAACAGCCGTCCTGACGTTGGTCTTGCTAATATCAACAGTCAAATCGGCATTGTTAGGGGCCTCGTACGGGTCATCGACACCAGTGAAGCCCTTGACCTCACCGGCGCGTGCCTTGGCGTAGATACCGCGCTTGTCGGTCTTCTCGCAGTGCTCGAGCGGTGTGGCGACGTGGACGAGGAAGAAGGATCCGTACTTCTCAACGAGCTCCTTGGCAGACTTGCGGGACCCCTCGAAAGGAGCGATGGGGGCGGCGATGACGGCGGCGCCGGACTTTGTCAGCTCAGAGGCAACGAAGGCAATGCGCGCAATGTTTGTGTCGCGGTCCTGGCGGCTGAAGCCGAGCTCAGAGGACAGCTCGGAGCGGACTGTGTCACCGAGGAGGAGCGAGACAGAGCGGCCTCCCTGCTGGTTGAGTGTGACGTTGAGGGCACGGGCAATGGCGTCCTTGCCGGAGTTCTGGTAGCCGGTCAAGAAGACAGTGAAACCCTGCTGGTTGCGGGGAGGGTGGGATTCGCGCAGAACACGGACGACCTCGGGGTAGGAGAACCACTCGGGGATCTCCTGGCCGGTCCTGAGACGCTTGCGCAGCTCTGTGCCAGAGATGTCAAGCGTCTTGACGCCCTGGGGGACTTCGTCCTTGGGCTTGTACTCGTCGGTGTCGGGGAGGTAGGTCATCATCTGGAAAGGAACAACTTCAATGCCGAGCTCGTCCTTGTACTTCTCGACGGCGTCCTGCGCATCGTAGGGGCCGTAGAACTCTTCGCCCTTGGAGTTCTTGCCGGGGCCGGCGTGGTCGCGGCCGACGATGAAGTGTGTGGCTCCGAAGTTCTTCCGGATGACGGCGTGCCAGATGGCCTCGCGGGGACCGCCCATGCGCATGGCGAGGGGCAGCAGGGCGAGGGCGGCCATGCCGTTGGGGTAGCGGGGCAGCAGCGCCTGGTAGACGCGCACGCGTGTGAAGTGGTCGATGTCGCCGGGCTTGGTGAGGCCGACAACGGGGTGGATGAGCACGTTGGCCTGGCGGGCGCGGGCAGCGCGGACCGTCAGCTCGCGGTGGGCGCGGTGCATGGGGTTGCGCGTCTGGAAGGCGACGACCTTGGACCAGCCAAGCTTGTCGAAGTGCGAGCGCAGCTCAGCGGGTGTGAAGCGGAGGCCGACGTAGTCGTAGTGCTCCAGCCGGTCAATGGCCTCGAGCTTGCCGCCGACGTAGTACTCCTGCACTGTCTCGTTCAGGTACTTGACGGCCGGGTGCTCGGCGTCGCCGCCAAAGACCTTCTTGGCCTCCTCTGCCTTGTCCGGCTGGTAGACATCGTCGACGGTGATAATGGCCAGGTTGCGGTCGTCACGGAAGTCGCGCAGGGCAATGCGCGCGCTGGGCTTCACCCCGAGCTCGTCAATGGTCTGCTTGGAGACATCGAGCGTAATGGGCATCGCAAAGACGTTACCATCGCTGAGACGCTCCGTCTGCACCACGCTCTCGTAGTCCTTCTGGTTGAGGAAGCCTGCAGCATATGGTGTCAGTGCACGGGCCATAATAAAGGCGAGGCTGTTGCCCCTCTACCCCCACTATGCATTTCGGCGGGATGACGACGTACCCTCGAGCGGCGAAAATCCTCCGTTGAGGATCAACTCTAGGTCGCACAGTTGCCTCTCTGTCAGTACAATCGCTGGTAGGTTCTCTGCCTCAGCGAAGAGCTCCTGGCGGCGGGGGGCATCGCGCGCAATTAGGTCCTTGAGGAAACCGCCTGTCGCCTGTCAGTCTGGTGTTCGCTCGCGGCTACCTGGGGGCTACCGACCGTGTGGTGTATTTGCCATTTTGCTGTGAGAAAGTGTCAGGGGTATATGGAGAAAACTTCAACAGCAGCCACTTCTCACTTTATAACCTGCAATCCGGCACTGCTACGCGGCCGGTCGTTCGGCTCGTCGCTATAAGCTTTCTTCAAACGCGTAGAACTATTCGCAATTGGGTCTGTGAACCTATCCTCGCGCGAATCCGCCCACTTGTTGACGACCATTTTGTGGCCCTAGGGCCCAGCCGGGACCTGTATGGACCGGCAAATCCTTGGAAGCGATTGCGCAATTGAACGCGTTTTCTAGAGGCTGTCTCGCCGCACTGCCCGCTGGGTAGTCTCGGGTAGCTGACGTGGGGGAGGGACCATTCCGTGCGTCTCTGTTTGGACGTCTCCGTATGGGGTAAAGTTCAAGCAAGCAGCACATCACGAAACGTTCCAGAAGTCTTGGATATTTATTTATCATTTATTGATCGAGTTGCAACACTCGTAACCGGTGGTATCTCGGCCCCGGTTGTAGTTCTTGTATGTTATAATGTGGCCATCATGTCGTGATGCTTAGTTCCCGTTCCCATACCCATCCAAGTCCGTATGCTTCATGACCATAACCCAAACGCCTGTGCTAAATGCTTGATATAAAACGCCAAAAAGAGACCTCGAATAAATCACCCTACACAGCCAGCTTTTGCAGGGCCCCGTTAAGAGCATCTTGTTGCGCCTTCAGCTCTTGCTCCCTGAGGAACTGAGCGTACTTCGACTTGGGGTTGTGGATTCCGCACTCGGTCTTGTTGCGGCCCTTCCAGCGTCCTGAGCGCTCATCCTCTCCAGCGGCGACAGGCTGCGTCGAGTGCCAGTCACCAACGCTCTTGTAGCCCTTGTTCAAGAGCTCGTTGTAGGGAACATTGTTGGCGTCGATGTATTCCTTGACCTGGGCAAACGACCAATTGGCGAGCGGGTTGATTTTGATAAGTCCGCCCTCGTTGACTTCGATGATGTCGAGGTCACCACGCTTGCCTCCTTGGCTTCGGCGGCGTCCGGTGATGGCAGCCTTGACTTGAAGTTCCGCATAGGCACGCTCGGCTGGCTCGACCTTGGCAACGTAATCGTAGTGGTCCTCGTTGGTCTCCCAGAGCTTCTCGCCATAGCGGGCGTTGAAGTCCTCTGCATTGTCGCAGCCGGCAGGCTTGTAGACGTGGATAGGGGTGTTGTACCTCTTGCGGACGCGGTCGACTAGTGCGTAAGTCTCATCAAAGTGAAACAGGGTGTCCAGGAAGATCATGTCGGTGTTGTGTTTGTAAGGTCCATCCATCTTAGAGAGCATATCCAGGGTGACGAGGCCAGTCAATCCAAAGGCAGTGGTCTGGGACAGTCCAGGCAGAGATGTGATGCACCATTTGAGGATGTCTAACATGATGTTAGCCAAGAGATATTCCACTGTGGAAGCAGGCCACTCACCCTGCGGCTCCAGCTTTTGCAGCTGAGCATTGAGGAACTTGAGGTGAGGCTTGCTGAAGTAGACTTCGGGCAGGCTGTCCTGGCTTGAGGCTCCTGAAGCATATCCAGACTCCGAACGAATGCTAGGCGACTGAGCACGTGGCTCCTTCTCAAAGCGTTGTGACGACATGTTGTTCAAGGATCGAAGTGTAGCAATTGACACCTGCGAGCAAGTCGTATGTAGAATGATGCCGTAGGTATATCTCCTGGGGGCTTCGCAAAAGAAAATACTATTACGAATCGATTGCTCGGTGTGGTGTGCAGGAACAAGACATCCTCCCTCTGGAGAATATATCGGGACCCGCCATCGAATGCGCTTTGAAATCCTTCTCCGCAAAGCGATAGCTGGGGGTGAAGACGTGCGATCACGCAATTCGCGCTAGTCCGTGGGAGAACAAAATCTGTCCTTCTAGCCTTAGGTAAGGCGATGTGGCCAATGAGGTGGCGGCAGTGATGAGGCTTGAAGCAGATGGTGCCTGTGCATCACTCTGATGGCGCGACGTCCATCGTCCGGCGTCGTGCTTTTTGTCATCAACGTCATCTTCAGCCTCACCGAAGTTGGCCGGCGACGGTAATGTTTGGTGACAGAGGTCGCGGAGATACACTCTTTGCGTTGCTGTTGCATGAACAATCCGTAAGACCCGGTTGCGCAGTTCAAATTTCAAACATCACCCTCTTGACATCCCAAGTTGCTGTGTTGGAGTCGGCCGATCGCGTTCGGGTCGTCGGTGTCAGGATGCGACTAGCCGCACCTCAGCGGTGTCGCACAGAGTGCATCGGAGGCTGGCTGCGATCGTGATTAGTGGAGAGTCTTGTTTGGTGTCGTATAAACTGATATTACCCACTCTCCTCTTTTCATCTTGACTCCTGCAGACGGCACTTCGACTGCTGCCCAACAGCCAGCCTAGCAAACTCTTCATCATACGGCACCCGGCATTTCTCTCAGACTTTACATCGTCATTTCTGTCGCTTGTCAGATAGGCGAGCTCGCCTTGAGGTCCAGTGGCTACATGTTGAGGTGCAGTTGTGTTGGTGATGGTGAAGTGGCGAACGCCGTGCGGGGTGGCTCTTGAAGTTCCTTCTTGTTCAAATCCGTTGAGCCTTCGTTTGCCGAGCGCACCTGCTTGCTCTGTCAAAGTCAATTGGATGGATTTCGTGCTCCGACTTCGTCTGGTTCACGCGAACTTCAGTACTGCGAAGCAAATATCTAAAAGGTTTCAGATTGATGGAGGGGGTTCAGTCTCCTTTCGTAATCGTTGTGGAGTGTGGTATCTTTGAGCGCTGTTTTTTTGTGCGCCGGAGTGGATATTAGACCCCAGCTTCGACCATCTTCTTCATGCCGTCTCTATCTTCCGCACTCAGCGTGCCGGCCCTTGCAGCTTCTTTCCACGCCTCCAGCCGTGCATACTGCTCTGCGTCAAGGATAGCCCTGAGTTGCTTCAGCAGCTTGGGTGCGAACTTGCCAGTTGCATAGACAACACCAGCGTTGTGTTTGGCGAAGAGAAAAACAACCAGCGTCAGGAAGAGGAGGGGACCGTCAGACTTCTGCTTTTGCATTCTGCGTGCCATGTCGCCGAGCATCGCTGCTTTGGAGGATCCTAAAGCTGAGGCTACAGGTGCATCGATCGACTGCTTCTTGTTGAACTTATCAAGAGACGTCGTAAGCGCTGATACGTCCATGTTGCCAGCGCTCAGAGCAGACTCTAGCTTTTGGATGTTTTTGCGAGTTTTTCGGCTCAAAACAAGTCCTTGTGAAGTAACCTTTGATATCGTATCCGGCATGAGACCCTTTTGTAAGTACTGAGCGAATAGCTCCGACAGTTGATCGCGCAGCTTCTGGTCTTCTATTGCGGTCAGACCTTGGGAATAAATTGCCACGCGTGTGACTACACGATCGGTCCAGTAGTCTGCGAACTCGGCTTCGTTCTGCTTTTCGAGCTCAGAGATCTTGATAGAGAAAGCGTCGTCAAGCGCGCGTTGTATGGTCCTCTCTTTGACCAGATCTCGCAAGACTAAACCGCGGTTTGGAATTTGGTCAATGATACTTGACAGTGAATACTTGACATCCGCCTTTGGGACCTCTTTGAGTTGCTGCCATTGAGAAGCGGCATCAGCTTTGGCGAGGTCAAATAGAATGTTACGGTCCTGATCGTAGCCGTATTCACTCAATATGCAATCGCCAACACGGTGTATCTTTGGGGAAATAGCACGGATTGCATGTTCGACCTTGTCAATGACAGTCGCAAGTATACTGCCAGGAAAACTGTCCTTGAGGGCAAGCTGAAACGCGTCTGTCAGCACGTACTGGTTTGCTCGAAGCTCAGATGCACTCACCCTTATCTCCACGCCTCCGTCTCGAGCCATGCCTGACGAACATTCCATACTGGACTTTGAGATCCAAGCTTCCGAGATTGCAAATGTCTCTACAATCTCGATGCCTTTTGTACTTTCCAGGGCCGCCTGTGCCTCTTCAATGGACGAATATATTGCTTCATTGTCGCGTTGAAAAATTTGCAGGTCGATATAGGCGGTCTTCCCTGACTGCAAATTGTTGATGACGGTATCATGGGTCTGTTTAATCAGCTGTACTGGGGTGCAACGAACGCGGCTTGGTAGTCCATGAACGTGTAGTTTGCCAGCGAAGTCCGGTTCCTTCAGCAGGCTATTGACAGTGCGATGTATAAACCATGTGGGGGGGTTTCCAGGGACATCTGTCGACTTCAGATCGGCAGCCCTAGACAAAAAGATCAGTATTATCTCTATGTATGCAAAATTCTACACTTACTGCAGCTTTTGGAGATTTTCCCTGAGTAAGTTTGCAATAGCACCCGATGCAGTCATATCGTACGCGGTACTATAGAGGTAGCCATTCACCTCGACTATGTGTAGCTCTGACAGATCGATGAGAATATCCAGACTGCTGTGCGACAGACCATGTTTGCGTGCAAACGCATCTTTAGAGATGGCTCCATGCACAACACCGGACTCAAGGTCTTGATCGATCGCATCTTTTTGTGACTTGGAGATGATCTCGCCGCCGTTGCCACTCCGCAGAAGGAGTGTACCATCGCATTCTTCTGCAAGAATACGTACAGTCTCCGCGCTGACATCCAAGTTAAGAGCCAGAGACAATATGGAGACTCTATGTGTAGTGTACACTTCTCGATTAGATGGATTGAGGAGTGAATCTGATAGGCTTACCTTCTGTGACAAGATCCTCGAATGCTCGACGGGTATGTTTGCGTGTCACAAATCCATCGCCACGCGAAGAGAGAATCAGAGGGTTGCTGAGATCACCCTCTAATGAGAGCAGTTGGAACACCTCTTTCGCATCTTCGGCGGAGAACATGATTTCCGCTACCTGTGACGGCGGCCGACGAATAATCGTGAGGTGGTGAAGAATAATTTACCAGATGTTCAAGTAGAGTACAAGCAAGGCAGACACGAAGATGCGCAAATAACAGTGACAGCGATTATGTCACTTTGTATGTGCAGAAAGTTCATGGTGGTGAAAGCGGAGGAGCGAAGTCGCTGATTGGTTGACATCATGAGGGAGTTGCGAAGCTTGGCAATCGACTTTCTGGTTCGAACCTCAACATCGATCCCAGACTGTCATTCGCCGCTCATCGCAGTCCCGCTACCGCCATCATGTCTCAATTTCGGGCCGCAAAGCTCGACATTGGCTGCTTTGCCAAGATCCGCAATATTCGCGACCACACGAAGCGCAAGGTCTTCGCTGAGAACGAGCCTGAACGGTATGCGCTCACGCGCCTCTCTATCGCGCACAACGACTGATCAAGTCCGCAACAGACAAGCCCTTCGATACATCATCCGCAATACCACATTACCACAGCGTGTGCGTGCGCAGGCCCAGCTTCAGCTCTCCCAAATGCACTGCTACACACGGTTCACACAGATCAAGAACAGGTGTATAATGGGAGGAAAGGGACGAGGTATCTTCAGTGATTTCAGGCTTGGACGTGTGCGTACTTTGAATGCTAAAAAAATTGGCATCATGCGCTGACAGCCTCCACAGTATCAATTCCGACAAAACGCGCTTGCTGGAAACCTCCCAGGTGTAAAGAAGGCAAGCTGGTAGACGGATGTAGGCGAAGGGTTGTGATATGTGTATACTACTGCAGGGCGAACAAATGCATTGGGCCGGCGTTCTTTTTGCAAAGTTGAAGACTACAACGGCGTGTCAGGTTATCGAGCTCCACTTGACGTCAGATGAGATGCTCCTTCCCTTCGTTTGCTCTCTCACCTCTTGCGGTAGCAGCAAACAGCAGTCTGCGGGACAACAAACTCACCCGGCAACGTAAAAAATCCAGGCACCGTCGCAGCAATCTTGCCCTCTGACACTAAATTCAACTCCTCTTCTACTACTTCGTGCCTGACTACCTCTAGCCATACGCGAGCTAAGATGTTTCGGCGCAGGGAGGACACAATCACACTTGATGCATCCTATCCTGCAGACTTGAAGAAGCTCGGGTAAGGCCTCAGCGCACCTGATTTCGTACAGGCGACTAATAGATCGCAGTTTCTTCATTAACAAGCTAGGTCATATACGCATGATTGAGGCACCGGAGAAGCCTTTCGTATTCAACTCTACAAATATTGAGCGGCATAACGAGGTGCGCAACGAGGCGTTGCATGGTGTGTATACCTCCAGGAGCCCATTTGCACAGGTGAAAGTTAACATGACAAGCCTGCGCACGTGCGGAAGTGACTGAACGCCTGTCTAAGCTCGGCATCAAGCAGCTCTACTTCCCTCAGCTCACCACAGCGAAGCCCAATGGACCTCATATCCCAATTCTCGCTCCGCCGCTGGATGTTCTCAAGACGCGGAAGCGCATTGTCGTCATCATCAACGATGCTCTTCAAGATCTTGGTATCCTGGCGTACCGGCAACTACAGCGAGAGCTTGGCGTTAACGGCGGATCTGTGATCAACTTTGCAAAAGAGATGATCAAGCGTTCAGCTCTCGCGGATAATGTGGAGAACCCGGAGGCGACCCAAAACATCTTCGATGACGGCGCCGGAGTCAAAGACGATAATGAGATCCCTGGTCTCATTGCAATGAACACAGGTCAACTTCTCTACTCACACAAGTACAATCGCACTATGACCACAAGAAGCTGGTATGCTCTACCTCGAAAGTCGATCGTGCATGATCATATCAGAATACACGATCAGGAGAACTATGTGGAAGGCCACCGTGACCCTACCGAACATATCAAGTCTGTTTTTGACCAACTCTTGTGCAACACAGATCATGTTGCGCCCGATGCGGAAGTGTACATTGTCGCGATTGAGGGTGGCGCGGGTAAGGTCCTAGAGGTATTCAGGGACGACTGTAAGTGATATTATCGTTGGTGGAATGAACGCGGCTCACATACATAGTTGAAAAGTACGGCGCGCGTGTTACTGCAATGGCAGTTGTTCACACCCTGGTAGACAACTCCGAGATCACTCACCCAAGCCTAAGAGCTTTTCTACACCAGCGCACACGTCAGTGGAAATGCACGGATCTGAGCATCAACCCGGTACACTGCACAGACTTGCCGGATGACTACTTGTGCGGCGCTTCAAGTCAGACTGCATGTAGGGACACTAAGGCCATTCGGTGGAACGAAGAGTTGTCTAAGGCTGGATCGTTGTCTGATATCACGAAATCACTGTGCCGTTTGGCCCCGAGCGTTGTCCCCTCCATGGACGGCGACAAGTCTGCATCGACCGAGTCGGACACCGACGTAAGCTCAGAATGGAGGAGTGGATCTGTGCCGTGTCCAACCTTCGCCGGCGGGAAAGAATCGACGGGCGAGTGTGTCTTTACTGAACTTGCCGTTCAACACGCCATCCTCTCGTTCTTCGAAGAGGTCGCTCAGGACCCAAAGAACTACCGCAATCCAGCCTTCACGACCTTCGCCGATGTACCACATCCTACCGCCGATGCACCCCTCGCTCTCTCCGCCGATCCGACCGTGCCGGAGACAGCTGACATTCAGCCTGCGTTTCACATGATGACTCCTGAGCAGCTTGAACTTGACGAGGCGCGTACGAAGCTCGCAGACATGCGTATCGCACTCGATGCTTGTTCCGAGAATGACGATGCACTCGGCAAGGGTCGCGCGAAGTTGGTGGAGAAGATCACGAAACAGGAGGCGGCAATCAAAGATCTGCAAGTGAAAGCTCTTAGTAGCGGAAGCTTGGGAGTTGGTGAAGCAGAGGACTTGCGTCGAGATTGGACTCCCAAGGTCGATGGGCCGCAGGTTCCGTTCGCCGGCACGATGGTCGATAGCGAGTTACTGAAGGCCGCTGGGCTGGGTGAGACTGCGAATGAAGAGCTGGAGAAGCTCGACGAAGAGGAGAAAGCGTTTCTTTGAGCCAAAATAGGCGAGTCACCAAGCTAGGTGATGACTGACCCTGGAGGTAGTCACGGCGATCTCCCTTGTACTCCTCTCCGAAACGGCTAAAAGCATGGTTCATAGCAGTAATGAGTGGATTTCCGTCACAACCCTGGTATCACAAAATCAAACAAGAGCCCGAAACGTCATTACACACCTTTCAGTGCGCAAATCCCACCCCCTTCCCCTTCCCCTCATACCCGTACTGACACTCATCCTGCTCCGCCACAGGACTAACCTGCTGCACCTGCACAAAGCCCCCCTCCTCCGCGCGCCCACCATACCAACTCTGCGCCACATTCCCCCCTTGCTGCCCATGCGCATGCGCGACCCAATTCGGATGCGGTTTCAAGTCCTGCTGGGCATACCCGGTCCCGCCTTCTAGATCGCCAAACGCACGCGTGCGCGGCGTCATAGGGCTCTTCAGGTACATTCCGCCGCTTGTGCCGGGGGTGCGGGGCAGTTGTTGAAGCTCCCACATGTGCTGCCATTGCTCTTCGGCGGTCATTTCGTTAGAGCCGTCGGGTGTGGATGACCATTTTTCTTTTTCGGCTTTCTTTTCGGCGAAGCGGGTTTTGTGGGTGGTGAGGGCGTCTTTTGTCGGCCACATTGAGTAGAAACTGATGGCGAGGAAGAGGACGTAGATCGTGCTATCGAAGTGTTAGTAGTGTGCGCGAGGGCAGATTGTGTTGAAAAACAGGAAGGCGACGTACAGCATAATACAGCTAACTGCAAAGCTGCTCTTGGCTTGCATGCAATAGCTCCTAATCTGCTTGTCCTCCACGATATTGCAGTTCTTGGTGATATACCATGGCGCGCCGCTGTTGCTGCGCTTCGGGTCGATGGTGTCGGGCGAGGTCTGGATGTAGATTCCGTAGGCCCAGATGGCGAGGAGGGGCATGTGGAGCAGGATGGAGAAGATGGGGAAGAAGACGTGTAGCAGCCACATTGTTACTTTGATCAGGTAGAAGAACATGCATACTACACCGATTACGAGGTGGTATTGTGTGTTGCTGGGGAGGTGTTAGTACTGTTTGATTGTGCTTGTTGCGATATCCGAATGTGGTATGTGGAGTTCAATTATGTGCCTCTTATTTTCCGTCTCTTTTGAGCTGTAGGTGGGAAGGACTCACAATCCAGTCCAAACCAATGGAATCTTCACAGGCCGGTAGTTTGCGTATGCGTAGATAATGGACGACGAATCCGAATTGAATCCCATCTTTCCGCCCTCATTCCACAAGATAGTTCGATACAGGTTTGGCGACGCAATACCGAACAGCGCAAGATTGGCGACTGTGAACGGAAATTCGAAGATCATAAGGAACCAGACATAGCGCACAAGTCGCCATTGTCGCGGGATAAAGAAACGGCCCATGGTGGTAGACGATAAGCTGAGATCAACGGCGGGATACGATGAGCTTCAGCTGAGCTCAATCCGGATGGATGCGGGGACGTCGCAGTCGCTCAATAAGTCCACATAGATGAAGTCGGTCGTCAGTAATCGCAACGACAACCGTCCAGCATCGGCGCACGTCGAAGTCGAGGTCACACACGCGCCCAACTGCGCCGGGGCACACCTCGCTTTTAACAGCCGTTCGCACGGTCAGCCGGCCGCCATGCAGCACGCCAAAGCGAAATCTGCAGGCTTATTCCAGCGACTGAGGGGCGAGAGCCCATCTGCAGCCGCTGAGTGGCACACGCATCCTGAACCATCACACAGCGTGTAAAGTGTGACTTCCAATCAGAGTTGCAGGAAGCGGGAACTAAGGCGGGCTTATCCTTGCTGGCGTGTGGGCGAAGAATGCAGGCTACTGTCTGTATCGGGCAAGCCCAGCGTTGGCTCCCGCAGCTATTACGACCTCGCCGATTTTGCGGTCTTTTGCGGCGCCTAAATGTAGGTTAATGGTGTGAGTATCGAGTTGCGATAGCGCTTGCTGCGATCAAGATGCGATTGAAGAGTTGTGGATTCAGAGTGAAGTGACACTCGACTGACTATTTACTGCGACGCTGATGTTGGATGTTGCCGGATATGCTGTAGGCAAAGGAAGGCGGCTATGTACCGAAAAAGACAATGCGCTCAAGCTGAGGAACAAGAGGTTGGGATAGGGATATACTAGCATGTTGGCTCTTACCACCACTTTTCGCAAAGGACGCGCTCAGGCGCGACATTGTCCTGCTCTTTCAGGTATTGGACGATTTCGTCAGTCATAGTAGGAGGCCCGCACACGTAGAATACGGTATGCTTAGCCTCGTCTTTGTTTCCAACCGCACTCGACAGCGCAATATCATTGATGCGGTGTGTCCATGCAATTACTGGTACTTCCGTCGCCGAGTCGAGATTTGGTAATGTCAAGGACATAAGCGGCTGGATGGGCTGGTCATTGCTCTGGTTTACTTCCGAGCCGTCCCATGTGCCTGTGAAGAACAGCTCGATGCGGTCTTTGGTTGATTCGGAGCGCGGTATCCGGAACAGGTCGATTATTTGTGGGAGGAAGAGGACCTCCTCCTGACTGGTTTCTTTTGAGGGCACCTTCGTCGAGTAGAGGAGTCGCACTTCGAGATTGGGATAATTCTGGTTGATGTAGTACATCATCGACATCATAGGACTGTGGTTGCGTTAGTGGCTGTGATAGGCCTACATCGTACAAGTTCCCTACTTGATGCCTACGCCACCTGCGATGAAGATGGCGCGCTTGATTTTCGGTCGTTCCATATTCACACCAGGCGGCGGAAACACAAAGCTCCCACCTACCCGCACGCTGATCTCCTTCCCTTGTATCTCTTCTACAGGCTGCCACAGCCATGCCGCGGGCGGATTATCTGGGCTCTTTTGTATGGCAAGCTCGAAGAAGGGCGAGTGGTTGGGGTTGCCCTGGGGCAGTGCATCTTTCGGCGAGGATGTGATGGTGAAGCCACCGGCTTTCTCAAGGTCAGGCACGAAGACGTCGAGCCATTGGCCTGGAAGGAACTTGCCTCAGCCATCAGCGCATGTCGAAAGCGGAGATGGGAAAGGAGCCGACAGTACGTTGAAGCCGTTCTTATCTACAATGTCGAACCTGAACGTCTTGATGCGGTCGTTGACGTCTGTCACCTGACCGACAGTGGCCTTGTGGAGTTCATTGTTCCGCGGTTCGCTCGCGGTGCGTTCCTGGTGACTTATGCTCTTCGCCTTGGCAGAGCGCGTCGTGGGCATGCTGCCGCTGAGACGCCGTGTGCAGTGCAGAGGGACAGTACGGGAGGAGAGGTGCTGGCGGAGGGTGTGACGGAATATACACCGTTGCATCCGAGCTAAAGTCAGGCTGAAGAAAATGCTCGTGAGTGGAGGCGCGGTGGGGTTCTTCGCTGTACTCAGTAAGGAGGGGGCCCTGGATGGACGAAGCTTAAACGGTGAGCTATGATGCAAGAGTGCAAGCCGCGGTAACTCAGCCGTGCCTAGGTAGTCTGAAGGCAGCTTTGATGCAGGGTGCTTTCACTTGCACTTTTACGGTTTTTCACGTATTTATCATCCATCTTCATTATGGCTATTGAGGAGGGCTGGCACACATCTGACGATGGGCGCAAGCTCTACACGAAAACTTGGACTACGGAAGGGCCGGCTAAGGCTCGATTGGTCTTCATCCATGGTTTCTCAGATCACATCAACACATACGGCAACTTCTTTCTGACGCTCGCTGCTAAGGGCATCGAAGTCTACAGCTTCGACCAGAGGTAGAATAGAGCCTTGTCTACACTAATTGTAGCTGACTTTGTATAGAGGATGGGGCAAGTCAGTAACGAAGAAAGCTGAGCGAGGTCATACCGGCCCAACGACAAGAGTGCTTGACGATATCACATCGTTCCTCAAGTCGGTGATACCAAGTCCTGTCCCGCTGTTCTTGATGGGCCATAGTATGGGCGGTGGAGAGGTCTTGTGCTACGCTGCTCAAGGCCCGAGTGAGATTCGAAAGCACATCCGAGGATACTTGCTGGAGTCGCCTTTTGTGGACTTTGATGCCAAGTCGAAGCCATCGCCGTTCACAGTGTTTCTCGGAAGACTCGCTGGGAGACTACTACCGCACAGGCAACTTACCAACAAGCTTGATGTTAACCTCATTTCCCGCGATCCCGAAACTTGCAAGCGCTTTGAGGAAGATGACCTCTGCCACGATACGGGCACGCTGGAGGGTCTCGCTGGAATGTTGGACCGCACTGGCGAGTTAGCAGCGGGGAAAGTCATCATCCCTGATGATGCTGGAGAAGGCGGGGTGACGAGGATCTGGATTGCTCATGGTGACAAGGATGGGATCACTGCCTTTGCAGCCTCGAAACGCCTGGCCGACGCGCTACAGGTCAAAGACAAGGAGTTCAAGGCGTACGAAGGATACTACCATCGCTGTAAGTGAAACCCTCCCATGACCGCAATAACACTGCTAATACTAGCAGTACACGACGAGCCCAGCCCTGATAAGGAGGTGTTCATAGACGATGTCGCCAATTGGATACTCGCTCGCTCTGTAGAACCGGTGCAGGTCGACGGCGCCAGGCCCAAATTGTAGACTTTGATCAAAGAAAGTCTTGGTGATTGCACAAACCCTGCTGGGTATCCTAATGCAAGGCTTGATAGGGAAGGTTCCTCTTTTTGCAGAATTGGCTTGAATGTTTCCAGGCTGGAGGCCGAGCAAACTGAACGCGCGTTCCTGGTGATGTTCTCTAGCTAGTGAAACATGCAGCAGCCTTTATCTGTCGACTCTTGGCCGCAGGAGTGACGACGCTGACTGCGAGGCTTGTAAAGAGATTCCACGTATTGTGTGAGGCTTGAATCAGCGTATGGATACAGGAGCAAATGGGCTGACAGGTTGCCATTCGTGCCTGGCAGGATTGGCCCCACTTTGCGGGACGATGATGCTTGACCGAGCTTGAATCTTGGGGGGCAGCAACCGTCGCTCGAATTTATCGCAGGATGGTTGCACATGCATAGAGCTGCCACTCAGGACCGCGCGGAGCCTGTCATTGTGTTCTACCCATGCTGCTGCGTGTCCGGAGAGATGGCTTTGCTGTCTGCAGACGCGCGTGCCCCCATTTCCCACAACGCGCCGCGCTCCCTCTATCACAGACGGCCGCATCAGCGCAGTCGCACGGGCTGAATAGTTCATCGCCCTACCCATCCTACCCGGGCATTCTCCGCACACAGCTGCGCGTCCTGCAAACCTGGACGCATATAAAGAACCCTTCGCAGCCTCGAAGCGGCGCACAATACCCGCAAATAACATATCGCTCACTTAACTGGAGCTCGACCGCGCATCGCACACGACACATTGCCGCTGCCATGACGAGCCTTACACATAGCCATGGGCATGCTGGCCACTCGCACCATCACCACCACCACGACAACACTTTCCTGCTGTCCAAGAACAAGAACGATGCTGGTGTCCGCATCACCCGCATTGGCCTGTATGTCAACCTGGGCATGGCCGTGAGTAAGGGAGTCGGCGGCTACGTCTTCAATAGTCAGGGTAGGAACACAGCAATCAAAGAGAGGCATCAACAAAATCTGATAGAATACAGCGCTCACCGCCGATGCAATCCACAGCTTAACAGATCTTGTCAGCGACGTCATGACGCTGGCGACTGTTGGGTGGTCACTGAAGCCCCCCTCGCAGCGATTCCCCAGCGGTTATGGAAAAGTAGAGAGCTTAGGCTCGTTAGGCGTGAGCGGTATCTTGCTGGCGGGAGGCTTCATGATGGGCTGGTCTGCCCTGATCACCATCATGCAGCAATTCTTCCCAGAATTCGCTGAGACGGTCGCAAATCTGGGACTGCTGGCACATAGTCACCACCACCACGGCGTCGAGGACCTGGGCCCGAACATCAATGCTGCGTGGCTGGCTGCAGGCTCTATCTTGATCAAAGAATGGCTGTATCGAGCAAGTAAGTACTTCCACTACAATTTCTGCGACACCTTCTGACCAATACACTCAGCCCTCAAAGTTGCCAATGAGCGAAAATCAACTGTCCTCGCCTCGAATGCATACCACCACCGTGTCGACTCTCTTACAGCCTTCGTTGCGCTTCTGCTGATTGCCGGTTCCAATGTTCTCAACAACGCTTCATGGTTAGATCCTGTCGGTGGTCTGGTGATCTCCCTCATGGTAGTCCAGGCCGGTTGGGGCAACACAAAGGCTGCGCTTCTCGAATTGGCTGATGTCGGTGTGGAGGACGAGATGAAGGAGCACGTCACAAAGGCAGCCACCAAGGCATTGGAGAGTATCAACACATCAACCGAGAAGGTTGCGGTCCGAGCGGTACAGGGCGTCAAGGCCGGCCAGAACTACCTGATGGACGTTGAGGTCGGCGTGCCTGGTTCATGGTCAGTCGACCAGACACGCGCTGTCGAGGACATGCTCCGCGAGCGAATAGGCGCGAAGGTGCGGGGCGTCAAGAAAGTCCGCGTGCGCTTTGTCACCAACAGCACAGGCGAGCCCGACTTCCTCGACGAGTTCATTACTGGCGATGTCACAGGGACGACCACTCCGGAGTCAGAGCATGAGCACGAGCACGACCATGATCACGCCCACGAGCACAAGCACAGCCAGAGTACCGACACAGCGCAGAGGAAGAAGTGATCTTGTACCATTACTTTTGTATAGACGGAGAACGAAGAATGGGCGCGGCGCTTTGGAGTTAGACTACAGGGTCATGGCATATACACAATCCTGGAGCCCGTCGGTGGTTCAATGCATATATTTTCTGCTTAATGTTGTCTTCCACGCTAATGCTCATTTCAGCTATTACCCGCGGCGAACGACAGGTGATGCCAACACCGATCGGCGACTGCACCGACACGCTGGAGTCAAACACCGACATCCAAGCTTCAAAGTCACGATACTGCTCCAGAATTTATCCGCGGGCCAATTGCGTGTCATCTTCGTCGCAGGCACCGGCGGCAAAATGCGTGATGTAGGGCTATCGTCAATTTGTGGACCCTGAAGCTTGGTCGCGGCTTCTGAGCATGACAACATACTATCTCTCCATGTCCGCCGAAACTTTCGATTCCATTCAATCAATTCTGTTCACACCTTTACAACATCACGACCATGGCTGATCAATTCCTGGGTTTCGATCTGAGCACCCAGCAGCTGAAGGGTGAGCCCCGCTATAGCTACCCCACCACGCTGAGCTGACCGCGCGGACGTAGGAATTGTTGTCGGATCCGATCTCAAGCTTCTGCAAGAAGCAAAGGTAGACTTTGACGCAGACTTTGGTGCAAAGTATGGCATTGAGAAGGGTGTGCTCACGAACCCTGCTGAGGGTGAGGTGTTTGCGCCCGTAGCATTGTTCCTCGAGGCTATCGATCTTGTGCTGCAGCGACTGAAGGAGCAAGGTGCGGACTTCTCGAAAGTACAGGGTATTTCTGGCGCTGGCATGCAGCATGGAACTGTTTTCTGGAGCCAGGATGCGGAGCATTTGCTTGCGAACTTAGATGCTGGGAAGACGCTGCTTGAGCAGCTTGAGGGTGGTGCAAAGGGTGAGAGGAGAGGAGCGTTCAGTCACCCTTTCAGTCCCAACTGGCAAGACGCAAGCACCCAGAAGCAGGTCGAGGCGTTCGATGCGACTCTCCATGACCCGGTGAACCTCGCTGAAGCCACAGGAAGCAAGGCACACCACGTAAGTAGTCGAATTGCGAAGATGAGATGCATACATTGACTCCAACCAGCGTTTCAGCGGCCCCCAAATCCTCCGCTTCCACGACAAATACCCCGAGGCCTACAAAGCAACCTCCCGCATCACCCTCGTATCCTCGTTCCTCGCATCCATCTTCCTCGGCAAGATTGCTCCCATGGACATCTCGGACGTCACCGGCGCGAACCTCTGGGATATCAAGAACGGGAGATGGCATGAAGACCTCCTCGCCCTCGCAGGCGGCAGCTCCGGCGTCGAAGACCTGCGTCAGAAACTGGGCTCCGTTCCCGACGACGGCGGAGCAAGCTTTGGCACTATCTCTCCCTACTTCAGCGCGCGCTATGGCTTCCCCTCGTCGGCCCAAATCATCGCTTTCACAGGCGACAACCCGTCGACCATCCTTGCGCTGCCTCTCAGGTCTTCAGATGCGATTGTGAGCCTGGGAACGAGTACAACGTTCCTCATGTCCACCAACCAGTACAAACCCGATCCGGCATACCACTTCCTCAACCACCCGACGACGGCGGGACTGTACATGTTCATGCTGTGCTACAAGAACGGCGGCTTAGCACGGGAACACATCCGTGACGCTATCAACGGCGATAAGAGCCGCAGCTGGGACAAGTTTAATGACGTTGCTACGAGTACGGCTGTGCTTGGCCAGCAGTCCAAGGATGACCCGATGCGTTTGGGGCTTTTCTTTCCGCGCCCGGAGATCGTGCCTGCGGTTAAGGAGGGCGTGTGGCGGTATACTTACACACCTGACTCTGGTCTATCGAACGCAGATAGTGATGAGAAGGCGTGGCCTGTACCCGCAGCAGACGCAAGAGCGATTCTGGAATCTCAATTCCTCTCCCTCCGTCTGCGCTCGCAGTCGCTTGTTGAGCCGCAAGGAGACCTGCCAGCGCAGCCGCGCAGGATATACCTCGTCGGCGGCGGTGCAGCCAACTCCGCCATCGCCGAACTCGCGGGCCAGGTCCTCGGTGGCTCGGACGGCGTGTACAAGCTCGAGATTGGTGGCAATGCATGCGCGTTAGGATCCGCGTACAAGGCGGCTTGGGGTGTGCAGCGAGGACAGGGGGAGAAGTTTGAAGACTTCCTTGAGCAGAGGTGGAATGAGGAGAGTTTTGTCAAAAAGGTGGCGCGGGGGTACAGGAAGGGCGTGTTTGAGCAGTATGGTGAGGCACTGAAGGGCTTTAATGGGTTGGAGAAGGTCGCTATTGAGGAGAAGGGCGAGGGTAAAGCTGACGATCTGGCGAAAGACTTAGGTCTTGATGGCGGAATTGTGAAGAACTAATTGATATAGGACGAAAATCAAGTTCTATCTGTCGGCAGAGATTGGATACCCTGACTCCACGCCCAACCATCGACTCAGATCTCCCCAAACCCAGGCCCCTAACCCGGCTGTGGACGCTTTGCCAACTTCTCCCCCCACCTCTCACACCCCTTGATCTCCTCTCCCAGCCCACTAAACCCCTGTCTATAAACTTTCCGTCCAGCGAGTTCATTCGCAAACGCCAATCGCTCATCGATTCCCCACTTCGGCTGCTCAACCAGCGTGTACAGCATACCAGCAATAAATGTATCTCCAGCGCCAACGGTGTCGATGGGTTGTCCGGCTTGATCTGCTGAAGGCCTCCAACCGGACTCTGACGCGGATAGTGTGGGGCCGTTAGTGGTCTTGCGGAGGGCTTCAGCGCCGGAAGAGCCCCAGGTGCATATGAGGGTTGCGTTGGGGTGGGTGAGGGGAAGTTGGGAGTTCAGGAATGAGGAGGCAGTGATGGGTGGTGCGCATGTGGATGTGTCAGAGTGGGCCTGGTGAATGTTAACTTGAGGGATCTCGGAGGCATTCAGTGATTTCCGAGAGAGTGAGGACTGCAAAGATTGGAGACTTGGCAAATCGCAATTCTTGCATTCGACGGAGCACCCCGGTGGTAGTCAAGGTGGTGAAGGGATCCACTTACTTCTGCCCAAATCCTCGAGTAAAACACCACATCCGCCAACGCCGCGACATCCTTCATGCCAATCCTGTCAGGCTTCTCGCACTCCACGCTGACCCTCACTTTCCCATGATACCCGTACTTCTGCCTCAACCAGGTCACACACTGCAACAACACCTCCGGAATCCGACCTTCAAAGTGAATCCACACGTCTTCCTTGCCAATGTCTGCGGTAATGAGAGGCTTAATGGCGCCTTTAAATTCCTCCACGGTCATCTCTTCCAGCGGATTCGCACTGATAATCGTCCGTGTTAGGTTCGCAGCGGACTGCATGATGTAGCTGCTGGCTGCGACCTGCTGGCCTTGCCGGTACTGGAAAAGCCTGGTGGATACATCCGGGAGCGAGGAGATCACAACCTGCGTATCCGGTGAGGTTTGGTCGGGTAGAACGGTGAGGAGAGACAGTTCCGTGGAGTAAGTCGATGTTTCCGAGTCGAAGTTGTGTGCAGGCAGGAGTTGCGAGATGACTTCGAGCGTGTTGGCGGTGTTGCCGCCACGGCGGCGGATGAGGTTTGTGGCCCGGAGCTTCTCGTCTTCTTTTGGGAAATGGGGAATCCTGGAGGCAGTCAGCATATTTAAGCTCGATAGCACCTAAGAAGATTCGTCAAACACACGAGAGGATTGTGTCCATATACACCGCACCAACGCAAATGATGTGCGGCATCTTGCTTGCGTGTTGACGAAGCCTGGAGGCATTCAGTGTTGGAAACGCAATGTCAAGCTCGTAGTGGTGTTTTCTGTGGAACTCACTGTTTGGCTATGATGTCATCGTCACAAGGCCGCGTTTTGAGGAAGGAACGGCTAGGTAGTTAAATGTTTACATTTGACCTTTCGCGCCGTGCTACTCAGTAGAATATCGCTAAATGACTAGGGGCTGTTACGCTCCTCTCCGCACATTCGTGCTCATGAGTGTGATTTTCTTTTTTTTCTTGCCCTTCCCACCTGCGGGCTTCTTCGCTGCTGTCGATGACTCTCCCTCCTCACCCAACGACATAGCCTGCGCCTGAGCAATCATCTCTTCTTCTTGCAACAAGTCCTTCTCCCACCCTTGCAGCCAGCCATCGTCACCGTCGTGATCCAAAGGAGCAAGCACCGGCGAAGCCCCTACCACAGCTGTAGTGCCCCAGACGGTGCGTGGAGCAGAAGGGCTCGTAGATGGTGAAGCCAAGGAAGCGAATCCTTCGCCGCGACGAGCTGGCCAGGGTGGTGATGTCGATGCATCTTCGCCGTCGGTGGTGGGCTGGCCGTCCGGATTGCTGGCAGACGCCAGTGGCAGAAAGTCGGCGGCAGAGAAGCGCTCAGATATACTGGGTCGCTTCCTCCGGGCTGAGTTGAACTCAGCGTACTCAGCCTTCTCCGCCCGCAATCTCGCCTTCTCTTCACGGCCCTCCTTGTCTTCGTGCTTCTTCCTTCTCCTCTCAATGTCAGGCTTGAAGCGTTCTAGAACCTCAGGCGCCACGGTATCAGTCCAATCGCATTCCAAGAAACTGACCTCGCAGCCGTATGGCAAATGTGCAAGGTACTTTGTGCGTTTCCTGAGTTCGTCATCAACAACGTGACCGGTCGAGACACGCTCGACGCGCGGCAGAATCGTCGCAGGGAACGCTGCAAAGTTCTCAAAAGCAGCTTTGAGGATGCGTATGTCAAGTGGAGACAGGTAATAGTGCATGAGCGCTTGGTAGAAGAAGTACTCGGACGGTGTACGGCTCTGATCGTGATGTTGTCGATTGCGAATCTCGGCGAGTGTTGCTGGCACGCTCGTGCGCGATGTCTGCGAAGACATCGACATCTTCCGCTGCTGACTGTTCTCACCGGGCGTTGATCCAGACTCTCCATTGGTCTCCTGGCCAGAAGGAAAGAACTCCGGTGCATCCTCACGGAAAACAATAGGTGCCCTCTTCGGTTTTGGCTCTGCTGGCTTAAGCGCAGACTCTGGCGGATTTCCAATGCCCTGGATCTTCTCTTTCGACTCCTGGATACTGCTTATAGCCTTCTTTGCCCAGTACACGTTGTCTTCGCCGAACATAATTTCATCCTCCTGTGCCTGCTGACGCAATTCGACGATCTCCTTGTCAAATTGTTGCATCATGTAGTCCTCCCCGCCTCGAAGTACCCGCGCATAATCCATGACCTCCGCAGCAAAGTACCAGGGAATGTCTTCGTCCTTGCCCAGAACCTCGGCGCCATCGCGAGGCATGGCCAGCGTACTTCCAGCTGAGCGCATCACCAGTCGAAGGACCACATCCCCACCCTCCCGCGGCGGCTCTCCTTCTTGGCCCACGTACCAGCGTACAGGTCTCGTCTCGGTGGCGTAGATGGTGTCGAAGCACAACGGGCACTTCTTCGAACGAGCCCTCTTCACAGGCTGCTTGTCTTCGTCTTCCGAATGCATGTAGCGTATGAGACAAGGCAAACAGAAGATATGCCCGCATCTGGCCATTCTCGGAGCTACCGGAGTTCCGAGACAGATGGGACATGACGCGTCCTGAGAGACTGACGAGGCCAAGATCTGGAGGACGTTGTTCCAGTCCAGATGGATATCGGCGTCGACGCCTTGAGCGCGATAGTCACCACGCGGATCGACAATAAAGCGGTAGTTCGCGTGTACGTATCTGCTTGCTGTCAATATCTCGCTCTGCCAGAGGCGCATTCGCCGCGTACCTCGCTTTGTCAGTCGCATGGTAACCAGAGCCAACGCCCCAAGTAGGAGCGCGTCGATAGCTCCTGCCCTGGCCATGACGGTCATGGTGGTGGTGGTGGTGGTGGTTCTGCGGACGAGGCGGGAGGTTGAAGTTCATGAGATGGGTTATGGACGTCTGGCCCTTCCGATTGCTGAATGGACGCATGGCGAGCTGAGCAGTCAGTACTACACACGTCTGCAGGCCGCGTTGGCACTTACCGACTCAGCAATGGTATCCTCATCGGACTGTCGAAACTTCTTGGAGCCCTTGTTCTGCTTCTTGGCCGTCTGGTTGTTCCTCGGCGCCGGGGAGTTCTTGAAGGGAAGACTACCCCGCTGCTGGCCGAAGAAGTTGACTGTCGCAGACGCGGACTGGTTCTGCGCGGGCGATTGTGGAGCGGCGGGCGCGGAAGCTTTGGAGGACGAGGCGGCCGAGGGTGGGTTCGAAGACATGATGCTACCCGCGCGAGGGGCTCACGATGACGGCGTTCGGGAGCAGTGGACGCTGCTCTATCCCAACCAACACAAGAACAGAAGGCAAGAGAGGCGAACAGCGAAGGGAACAAGGATATGGGACGCGTTTCCGGACACTAGTTGGTTTGGGTTGTGAGCGCTTGGGTCCCCCAGAGGGATGGACTTGGAGAGCCAGAGAGATCGCCACCAGCCAGTGGATAGACCATGACGAGACCGAGCATCACGTGTTTCACTCTGACTGATCTGCTTCCCGTGCATTCTCTCGTACGAACATCTGTGCTTGTCTACACGTAATACACAGCTGGGGAGACCAGAGGCATTGAGAGGAGGCTGTGCGAGGTACTCGATACCCACGAGTGGTGCTCGAGGCCAGGCCAGCAGCGAAGCTCTGAGCAAGGGTTCTGGATAGCCGGCTAGATGACTTCATCGGCTTCACGTCGAGGATAGTGGACATGGGATTTTTCATCGTGTTGTATGTGGTTCCGGGTACAGTGGTCTGCACTGCTGTCCGAGCAGTGAAGCACCCGAGCCCTGACTGCATAGTAGTTGCACGGTGAACTGTGTCCCTGCCATTCACCTGACTCAAGCTGGTTGATGCTCCAGTTCTGTTCTTGAGCGGTCGCGCACAGACTCGTTTGCATTGACCATCCGCAACTCTTCGAACTTCCACCACCGCTCGAAGCACTCCCCCCCACGACAACGCCGACCTCAGCACCCCGCATCCTCGCGTCTCCCATCCCCGGGCAGTCTCGACTGCGCTCATGTCGTGCTGATACAATGACAGCGTGTTTGGCCCGCCACCCCGCTGCCTGTCTCCGCTCGCCGCCAGTCGCGCGACGCTCTTCCGCACCCCAGCAGTAATTCTTGCACTGCATCATCGCCGCCTGCGCGCCCTGCCCGCACCCACCCCGTCGCGTCGCCCATCGACCAGGCGCGGCTCGCAGCTCCACGCCCCCGCGCGCAGTCCCGTTGCCTCGCAGGCTGGACGCTCGGTCGTGCTGACCAGCGCCCGCCATCGAGGCAACATCGCCGCCTGTCGCCCATGATGCCAGGTCATATTCCGCCCGGTGGGCCGTTCCACCAGGGCCGGAAGCAGATGGAGCACCCATACCAGTACCACTACGCTCCGCCGCCGCAGACTCACTCGCCCGTCTACCACAACCCATATGCGCCCTACCACCACCCCCAGCACTACGGGCCACCCCACGGCTACCCGCAGCAGATGGCGCACATGCAGCAGTGGAACCCATACCACCAGCCACAGCCGCAGCCGCAGCCGCAGCCGCAGCCGCAGCCGCAGTACAATATGCCTCCGCGCCAGTTTCAGCCCCAGGTCTCACCCGTCGTCGTCTCCTCGCACCCGCACATGGCAGGCTTGCCTCCCGTGAACCGTTTGCTCGGCCAGACGCCTCCCATCGTCCACTCACACACGCCCCCGGTTCAGCGCGTACATAGTCCTCAGCGTGCGCCGTCCTCGCCGTCGGTCCACTCGCAGATGCAGGCGCACTCTCCCGCTCCGCCTGCGCACACGACCGTGGCTAGCCCCCCACCTGTCGCAGAGACGAAGCCCGTGCAGACCGCCCCACCACCAACTCCTCCCCAGCCAACGACGTTCAAGCCTTTCTACCCGCCATTGCCATGGCTGTCAGTTCCCGACGCAGACTTCCCCGCACGTGCTGCCGGGCGGAGGAGGAGAAAGAGGGGTCCCGTGCCAGCTCAAGAGCAAGGCCTGGCCCTGCCTTCACGCGAGCAGGATGTACAGAACGATGTACAGGCTACAGAGGAGGCAGGAAGTGGCGAGCTCGAATCTGCAGGAGAGCCAGAGGAGTCACAAGCTTCAACCGTCGCCGTGCCCTCCGATGCTGAGGTCGACACTCCCTCAACCTCGCACCCACCTTCTGAGATCGACGTACCGTCAGTCCAGCAGCCCACCGCTCAAACAGCTGCTCCTGTCCAAAAGCATACCCGCAACACAACCAAGCCAGCTGTGCCGCTGATTCCTATCAAGCCCGCTAAGGCAGCGAGTGCGGCTTCGACCACACAGAAATCCGTCAAGTCTCCGCCTGCTGAGAAGCCTCAGCCGGAGGCCATAGACGAGGCTGCAAGCGCTGAAGAAGCCCCTAAGCCTGCGGCACCTGCAGCACCTGCAGCGCCAAAGTCATGGGCAGAGCTGCTCAGGGCAAAGAACGCCGCAGCCGCACCACAAGCTCAGACGCAAGCACAACCGCCAGTCGCCCCAAACGGCGTTGTGAGCGCGAATGGACCAGTGGCGCCCAAGAGCAACTCGCTCGCCGATGTCCTTGCATCGTACTCTGTTGATGCTGAAACGAAGGTGTCTTTCATCGAACCTCGCGGCCTTGTAAATACTGGCAACCTTTGCTACATGAATTCTGTAAGCCTCGGAACTGAACGGTTGCACACTAGGGAATGTCTGCTAACATGTGTCAGGTTCTTCAAGTACTCCTGTTTTGCGCGCCCTTTTATGATTTCCTGGACCAGACGGCAAAGCGCGCTGTGCATAGCTTCAAGTCTGAGACACCTCTCGTTGATGCGATGATTATGTTTCTGCGAGACTTCAAGGTCATCGACTCGGCTACTTCGGTTGAGCAGCTTCGCTTGCGTTTGAAGACGGATGAGTTGGAGCAGTACGGTGACCCTCTGACTCCCGAGTACGTCTACGACACCATCAGGCGCCTGCCTCGCTTCGATAACATGAAACGAGGCTCGCAAGAAGACGCCGAGGAGTTTCTGGGTTTCCTTCTCGCTGGTCTCCATGATGACTGCGCTCATGTCATCAAGAAGGGCAAGGCCGACGCTGCCCAGAATGGCACATCACCAAAGACCGAGCGATCAGGTTCCGCAGATGGTGGGTGGCTCGAGGTCACAGCGAAGCAGAAGACCTCGCTTACCCAGTCGTCCGGCGCTGTCGAGGTCGAGACACCGATCACCAAGATCTTCGGTGGCAAGCTTCGCTCCGAATACAAGAAGGCCGGCGAGAAGCCTTCGGTGACCTTCGAGCCTTACCAGCCTCTGCAGCTGGACATTGGCGAACCACACATCAACAACATCTCGGATGCGTTGAAGAACTTGACTCGTTTGGAGACCTTGGACAGCGCTGTTCGCGGCGCTCGTGCATCTACTAAGCAGGTCCACATTGAGACCCTGCCACCGGTTCTCATTCTCCACCTGAAGCGATTCCACTACGATGAGAAGGGCCCACAGAAGATCTGGAAGAAGATCGGCTACCCTCTCGAGTTGGAAATTCCAAAGGAGGTCTTCCCTCAACACAAGCGGGGAGGCTTCCAAGCGCAGGGCGGCTTTCCAAGATACAGACTTACCGGAGTCGTCTACCACCACGGTAAGAACGCCAGTGGTGGGCACTACACTGTCGATCTTCGTCGACAAGAAGGCAAGGAATGGATCCGCATGGACGACACCGTCATTCGTCGCATTCGTGCCGAAGACGTTGCTGAGGGTGGCGCAGAAGAAGACCCCAAGCTACTCGCTGCCGCTCTTGAGCAGCACAAGAACGATGCTGGAAAGAGCAAGAACTTCTTTGCTCAAATTGACATTGATGAGGAGGCTTCTGACAAGGGAGGCTGGAACCAGGTCAATGGAACGGACAAGAGGGATAACACGAAGAAATGGGCTGGTGTTGTGAACGGTACAGCGACACCCAATTCGGCTGGAAAGAGGACACCACTTCCAAAAGAGAATGTGAGGGACAACAAGGTGGCATACATCCTGTTCTACCAACGCATCGAGTCATGAAAGAGCGGACTCGAGCAGAAACAGGCAGGGCGTATACTCATGATTTACCACGACCAAAAGTCATTAGCAGCATTGCGAACATGGCATGGAAAAGCATATCCAGAAGCGTAGAGCCGTGGATGAGCGTTCATCGGCACCGCTTGCTGGTGCACAAGAGAAGAGGAGGAGCATTTAGGAGAGCAAGATACCCTTATGGGGCGTCAGATATAGGAAGAAAGACGATGCATAATTCAAACGAGTCCCCCCCCCCCCGCCTCCGTGATGCTTGCAACTGCACTTTGAACACACGAATCGTCTGTGCGTTGTTGCCCCTCCACCCCACCTTCCTCGAACATCGAGCTCTTGCAGCTCCACAGCTTGAAGCATCAACACAGACAACAACTGAAGTGAACAGACACCATGCTTATCACAGAGACACACAAGGATGTGCCGACGCAGGCGGGTGGTGACATGAGTGCGTCACGAGTTGAATTGTTCTGCTGTGACTGAAGCTCACCATCGATGCAGGGGTCTTCATCTTCCACCCAACAATTGCCAACTATCCCAAGGCAAAGTTCCCTGGTGTCGTCGTGTTCTCTGAGATCTATCAAGGTGCGTGATGATTCGATCAATTGAATGACCTTCATCTCTCCGCATGAACATCGATCCACTTTACTCATCTACAATTCTGATCCCCTGCATTCTCATTTAAAGCATCATCTATACTTCTCATCTCACATTCTCAGTGACTGGCCCTGTGGCCCGGTTCGCACGCCAAATCGCATCTCAAGGCTATATCGTCGCCGCCCCGTCCTCCTACCATGAGTTCACGGGCCCAGAGCCCCTAGCCTATGACGGCCCTGGCACCGATGCAGGCAACGAGTGGAAGGTCGCCAAGAAGGTCGAAGCCTACGATGAGGATGCCAAACTGTCCGTTGACATCCTTCTCGACCTTCCAACGTGCAATGGCAGGATTGGCGCCACTGGTACGTTTGCCCTCATCTCCGATTCATCTGTACTGCACGTGATATTCGTAGACACAGGCTGAGACAAGGGCAGGTATGTGCCTTGGTGGACACCTTGCCTACCGCTGCGCTCTCGACCCGCGCGTTGTGTCAGCGATCTGCTATTTCGCAACTGATGTGCACAGCGCTACGCTAGGCGCTGGCAAGAGCGACGACTCATTGAAGCGCGCGAAAGACATCAAGGGTGAGCTTGTCATGATCTTTGGAAAGATGGACAACCATGTGCCGCCTGAGGGTAGGGACTTGATCCGTAAGACGCTGCATGAGGCGGGTGTCACTTTCAGCTTTTATGAGCCGGCTTGGGCACAACGTGAGTCACTATCTCCTCCTTGACTAGCACGCGGTCGGCCACGGTCACCAGAGTTAGAAGTGAGTACTGACTTTGCTTAGATGCTTTTATTCGTGATGAACTCAGCAAAGGGCGGTACGACGCAGCGCTATCGGGTATCTGCTTCGAGATGCTGAAGGAGCTGTTCAACCGCACTTTGCGTTCTGACCTTGGCCCAAGGAGCGGCGGAGATGTCGAGATTGAGGACATTTGCTAGACAGCGATAAGCTGGACAATAAGACGGCAGATAAGCAATGGAATACCTCCAGCGTTCAACAAGTCGCGGACTCGAGAGTCGAACAACGACCGGTATCGACAAGCACGCCTTGAAACCCCATGTCAATAGAGCTATTATTGTTGCTGATAAGGAGTGTAGCACACCTCAAAGTCGGCGATTCATGGTTGTCTGCGAACCAGGTCCCCGGGATCCTTTGTTCTCGACCCTTGCGTGAGCATCATCGGTGAGCCACTACCAGTACATTCCAACGACAACTGCCCTTGACAACAGAACACGGACATCTGAACATTGTTCAAGCCTCACAATTCACAATGTGGCAGACACTTCATTCAGCATGTCTGACGCCGAGAGCTTGCCGAAAAATCTGATCAGACTCAAGGACCTGTACAGGTATCACAGCAACGTTTCGAGAGAGATCGCTCTGGTCGACTTTCTCAATGATGGCTACATCCAGCCTGACGTTCCTCAATTTGAGTCAGAGGATGGTGCCACAATCTATGATCAGGAAGACATGTACCGTATGGGCAAGAAGCAGGAACTGAAGGTACATTCTGTTGATGCCTTATCATGACACAGCAGACTCTTGCAAAAGCGCAACTACCGTCCGCTCTCAGCGCTGAGCTTTGCCATCGTCTTGACTACAGTATGGGAGTACCTCATGGTCGCATACACTCAGAGTCTCGTTCAATGGTGGGCTTGCTGGCTTGTTCTGGAGCTACATCTGCACGTTCGTAGGTTTTACTTTCGCCGAGATAAGCTTAGCAGAGATGGCGTCGATGTATGTTCCGATCGGACCAGACTGCTTTCAATAGAGCGTACTGGCAGGTTTCTGAAGGGCTCCAACACCTGGCGATCAGTATCACTGGGTGTCTGAATTTGCACCACCAGAGTATCAGCAGTTCCTGTCGTATGTTGTAGGCTGGATGTCGGCCCTTTTATGGCAAGCAGGCAATGCTGCAGGCTGCTTCTTGACGGGGCACTATCGCACAGGCACTGATGGTGGCGAACAACCCTAATTACGAACCGCAGAGATGGGAATGCACTTTGTGTGTTTTCGCAATGGTATGCAACACAATAACCTCAAACTACAAGGCTCCGCTGACATTATAGCTCTTCATCGTATATGTCTCCAACACCTGGGGCCACGACATCTGGCCGCGGGTTTGGAACGGTCAAATGGTCCCTCATGTTCTCGCCGTCCTTGCAGTCGTCGTAACACTGTGGTGTCTGGCACCGCACCGTACAGCAAAAGACGTATTCACCGACTTCTCCAACGCCGGCGACTGGAGCTCTCTCGGGCTGTCGTTGATGGTGCCCAGTGCGCAATGGAGTTTGGGAAGATGGGATGTGCTCGTCAATAGCATCGGCTCGACGTATGTGTTGTTTGCATTCTTCTGGAGGTTCTGGCCTACGTATGCGCATGTGGATGCGGAGAACTTCCACCAGGCAGTGTGGTCTTGTTTGGTTCGGTGTTTGTGTTGTGTTTGGTTATGGATTACGTTCAGGGAAAGCACATCTATATGGAGCCGGTGAAGGTTGTTAGGAGTCTTTCGGGGTCGACGCATTCTGATACCGAGTTTTACTTCGAAGCTCATTGCAAGCCTCGGACACCACAATCCTACCCACCATCCATTGCTGGATTGTTCGAGCTTGATGAAGCAGTTCCATTGCTACCCCTGCGTGCAATCTCACGTGTTCAAGCCCTTTGTTCCACCCCCACTGGGTCGGGCACAAGCTTGACTCCGCACGCGGCTGATGCAGAGCTACGAGAGTGACGGGACGGGCCATGGAAGGCAGGACGCCACATTCAACCCCCAGTGACAGATCAAGGAGATCGAAGGGTTCTGGTTCTGGGTCCGGGTCTGGAGAGGTGGAAGGCACGGGCAGGGGAATGGCAACGGGGTGGGAACTGGATGAGGTGAGTCGGTTGTTGGGGCCGGAGAGGCCGGGGTTTATGAGACTGAAGTCGAGAGAGAGAGGCGGTCGAGAGAGCGACTAAACAGGTTGTATGAGCGCGGTACGAAGGGACTCGGGTTTTGAAGACGCACCAACACCCAGCGCGACCTTTGTGCAGACCAGCGTAGCGCAATAGGCGTGGCTCTGAAGTTTGAGAGGTTTCTCGACCAAGTGCTGTGATGTTGCGCGCTGCTGGAGGTGGACCTTGTTCTGATTGGTGCGGGTCCTAGAACGAGCCTCTTCGTACTGAATGGTTGACGTAGGCTGGAGTGAGTCAGTGTATCTAGCATCGAGTTGCTGTCAGTCGCACAATGTCTGATTCGAACACGACAGGATGTCGAGGGCACGTTTCCGTATGCATGTTTGGTGGCGGGTAACGAAGAAGCGACTGAAGCGCCGGCTAAAGTGGTGATTTAAATGCTGTTGTATATTACACTCTTATGCATGCAACGCAAACACGCAGATTGCTTCTATTCGATCTCTTCTTTCTTCACGATCCTCTTCCTCCCAACCTCCCTACAGTTTGGTCTAGTACTGACCAGCCGCCGCCTGACAAGCCTTAAGCTGATCCAGATACCACCCACAAATCGTCAGACTCCCCTGGTTCTCATCCATGCACCTGCGGAAGTTTGTAACGTTCTCGGCGCAAGGACCGGTCTGCGCCTGCGCGGATGTGTTGACGCTGTGCTGCTGCGCGAACTCGGTGCTCTGCGGCGACGCTTCGGCAGGTGCGCTGCTACCGCCGCTGAACCAGCCGCCTACGGCGTGGCCGATTGAAGATCCGACTGCTACACCGCTGGGGGGGTTGTTAGTATATTTCGCGTACATGACGTTTGCGAGCGTCGCAGGATGTGTGGTGAAGCTGGGACGGGAGAACCTACGCAGCAGTGGAAGCCATCTGACCGAAGAGACCGGGACCCTGGGGCGTAGCAGCTGCGGGGGGCGCTGCCGGGGCAGCAGGAGAAGCAGCCGGCGCCGCAGCAGTCGAGTGCTGGCGAGCGGGTGCTGGGGCGGTGGTTGCGGGCTTTGCGGCGGGGACAGTGGGCCTGGGGCGGACGGGCGCGGCTCCTCCACGTTGACGAGGCATGATTGCTGATGGGTTGGGGTGTTTGGAGAGGGGTGATTGAGTGTTGGTGGTGATTTGATGGTGATTTGGTGGTGATGCAGAGAGGCAAATAACGTCCGAGGTTGTTTCTCGAAAGATCCGCGCGGAGCTGCTAGCGGCGTTATGCGCGATGCGAGCTCTGTGATTGGTCGAGTGCTTACAATGATCTGAATGGCTTCAGCAGGCAGCAGTATTGATCGATGGTGCTGCAGTTGAGTTGTTTTGTGGGTCTGGAGGACGCTGTCAGGTGGTCATTGCAAGACTGAACCTTCCGCGCTAGGTCACTTTGGTGGGTTGATCAAGGCCATACTGTCAAGAGGATAGCTAGATAGATACTCATCACAATGCCATTCCACGAACATCATACTTCACTGCCCTGACATCCGAACGCTTTCAGAAACCAATGCGTGATATTCAGAAGACAAAGGTCTATCGTAAATGCTAAATTCAGATCCGCAGTCCACCGCGCCAAAGGAGAGTAATGCAGCAAAAAACGGCTCGTAAGCGTAGAGACTGCCCTGTCCGATCCGCCGCACGAGAGGTATGCAAGATGCTATCAAGCAGATGCCGATGTAGAGGGTATGAGGAAACAGCACCAGCAAGACGGGCTCGCTGTGGGAGTGTGCTGGGAAGGGTGGGTATGTTCGTTTCTGCAGGTCGACGCTGGGTTCGATGGACGCATTATATTCAAGCTCCCGGTTGTCCACGATCGTGCCAGATCATCGCCGTGCCTGCTGCGAGCGTCGCCGCTTATAAGATGGTGCACTTGCTCTTCTTCTTCTGCTGCGATTGTTGAGGGCGGGGGCTAAGGACGGCGCTGCATGCTGTTAGCTTGGGGCCTCGGCCTGCGTTCAAGATACGCACCGAATTGCCTCGTCGAAAACGCTCTTCAAGTTACGCTGTGTCAGAGCAGAGCACTCTAGGTACTTCTGTGCCTTGATCTCCTTGGCGACCATCACCGCCTGCTCGTATTGGATTGGCGCCATCTTCTTCTGCCTCAAGGACTCCTTGGTGCCCTCGTCGTCTCGCAGATCGAGCTTCGTGCCAACCAGGATGATGGGCACGCCCGGTGCGTGGTGGTCGATCTCGGGGTACCACTGGACTCTGTCAGTTGGGTGGCCGAAGCAATCGACTGTTGGGACTCACCTTCGCCTTTACGTTGTCGAACGATGGCGGGCTAACGATGGAGAAGCAAATGAGGAATACGTCGGTCTGGGGATACGAGAGCGGTCGTAGTCTGTCGTAATCTTCCTGTCCAGCAGTATCCCATAGTCCCAAGCTGATAGGCTTGCCATCAACCATTACATTTGCCGAGTAGTTGTCGAAGCTGGAGATGATGTTAGCTCCGGTGTCGATGGTAGCTCCAGTCGGCCGAACTCACACAGTGGGAATGTACTCTCCGGGGAAGGCATTCGTTGTGTAGGAAATGAGGAGACATGTCTGCACAGTTAGCCAACAGTTCGGCGGCACAGCAGCACGCGGTGGCTCACTTTGCCAACGGCACCGTCACCGGTCACGACACACTGTCAGAGTCAGTCCATGGTCGTCGTAAGGTAGTACACGAAAGCGCACCTTCAAGGATTGGGTCGCGGGAGCAGCCATTGTGTATTAGCGACGCGTCGTCTGATTAGGGTTGTATGTAGATATGCGGGTATGGGAGCCCTGTTCGGCAGAGGCTCTGGGGCGTAGGTATCGGCGAACTGCGAGGGTGGAGCTGGGCGGTGCTGGGCGCGGGGCGGACAGCTGAGAAATGCAGTACGAGGTCTTGTCAGGCAGGAATCGCAGCTCTTCTCGCTTTTCGCAGCTTCTGCGAGGGCGCGGGAGCTATCTGCAGTAGGGGGCGTCTCGCTTGGCGGGCGGCGGGTGAGCTTGCAAGAGCGCGAGTCGACGTGAGTGGGCCGGTGCGTGCGCGGGGGTCGAGTCGTGGCCGGGCGGTGATCAAGGTCGCAATAGTTCGTCACTCGTATGGCAGGGCAGAATGCACTGAGGAGTATGCACAGAGATGAAGGGTGATATGCAGAGCAGCTGCAGAATCAACCGGGGACGACTCTTCTTTTGAGGAGCGGCAGGCACCACGGACTTCTCTCACACATCAAACAGGCCTGCGACACCTCGCGCCCACGACTCTCACCACAACCAGCCATGCCTCTGTGATGCCCTGATAGGCACGGCGCACGGATCGACAGCAGGTGCCATTCGGTCGCCCAGTGCGCTGCTGGTCCTTATTCGCAGAGCCGTTTGCGCTGATGCCGAAGACTGACTTCACCTGCCTACCCAGTGATGGCTCTCAACCTTGCATACCGCTCTTCTCGCTCCTTACAAGGCACAGACATAACCAGCCACAGCGCTATGCACTTGACACACATTACGGATTTGCTCACCCAATTGCAGTGCGGCTGCTGGAGGTATTCTATCTATTGTTGGCGTTCCAGCACGGTGATTCGGCCTTACTACTTGCATTTTCCAGACTGCACCTCCCATTCGCCTGCAGGCCGCTTCACACCAAGGGAAACATGTGGGTTTTTGGTTTTGCGTTTGCATCCGCCGAATCACAGCGTCCATGCATGGTGTGAGTGCCATGGTGCATCAGCACGTGTTTGGAGCCCGCAGTTCCGAGACAGCGAATCCTGAGTCTAGCGAGCCCGGACTTTATTTAATCTCCGAGCTAGGTGGCTGCTCTCGTGGGTTTATTTCAGGCTATTTCAGGCTGTCTAACTTTGGGTATCTTGGTGCAACTCCGCCGGAACTCTCTGACTGACATGATATCGTATCTCAGTAGAACACAAACAACTCGTTACCAGCTTCCTTGTCCTCGCCTAGGAACTCTTTTCTTAGCAGCAACTTGATCAGCGCTTCGTGCAGGTCTTTCATGTCGAGAATGCCGCGCTTCTTCTGGTCAATGTACGAGACGTCGATCACCACCCGCTTGAGGTTCTCTGTTGAAAGTGCATTCTCCTCGAGCAGTGCAGACAGTCGGTCCGGCGTCCCAACACCATAATCCACTCTGCAACCAGTCAGCGACCGCACCATACATTACTCGATTAACGTACCTGTTTTTCTTCAGGCTAGCAACCTGGTCGGCGAGCTTCAGATGCTTTGCAAACAACTTCTCTACCTTGGGATCCTTGATGCCCTGCTTGGGCAGACCTGTCTTGAGCGATCTGCACACGTCGGCGGCTCGAATACCAGATGCGGTGACAACAAGCGTGTGCGGTGCTCCTGGCGGCTTGTTCGATGTAGACTTCAGCGCACCGAACTGCTTTTTCAGAAAAGCTGGAAGATTGTCCAGTTTCCGAGGGTCGCTGTAGCTGGTACTGTCACAAACCGTGCGTGCTATCCGAGTCAACATGGGCATTCTAATTCGATACGACGTCACTCACCAGGGATGAACTTGTCTTCGAGCTCGACACTGCTCAAGTCTTTGCCGTAAAGTCGTGTCCGGGCATTGACATAGTCTGCTACCAGCTGGCCATCCATGCGCTCAAAAGCATGATTTACGCCCAACTCTTGATCCAAATCATCTTCATCGATGTTCTTGGCCTTAGCCTGCTTCTTCTGCTTTCTCTTCGCCTTCTTCTTCTCTTTCTTGCTCTCGATGCCGCCTTCAGGATCTGCTTCCGCCTTCCTCTTCTTCGAATTCGCTGTGACGTCGAACTCCGCCTCGATCAGGGGTACTCCTCCTTCAGAATCCGAGTCTGACATGCTGTTGCTTGTGTTTTGCGTGAAGATACGGAACAGTGCAGTGTGCAACAGGAAAAGTTCCAAAAAGTCCGGTCGCAATCGATAAGAAGGTACGCTACCATTGAACTCGGCCTAGGCTCGTCGCGTCGACCGGTAAACCGAACGCGCCTTCGCTGCCCTATTGACGTTCATCAACAAGCTCACTCTGCTTGTCGCATTCTTACAGCTGCGCAAAAATGCTCGAATCCGCGCGCAAGAAGCAGCGCCTATCTCCGGAGGTTGCCGCGACACCAAATGCTACGGACCGTACCGAACCTACCACTCCATTCCGCCGCGCAATCAGCGCAGGCCCCACACCAGAGAGCCGCAAAACACCCACCTTTCGAACACCAGGCACCGTTGCGAGGACTCCCCGAGGGGGGCCAGCGACACGGCCGATATCAGCGCGCAGAGCGGTACCAACGACACCTCATGCGATCAGGGCGTTGAGAGAGCGAGCCAATGCTGCGCGAACGCCTGGGAACAGCCGGCGGAGGAGTGGGAGGGTACAGCGGGAGACGCCTCGAGACCTCCTGCGCAACCTCAGCAGAGGTGTTTTGACTCACTGTCTTGCATCTGAAGCCTACTGACTGGCCCACAGCACTCGCGCAAGACAGCCGCCCAGTCGAGCCAGAACCCCAGACACTGCCACGCCGAAGTCGACACTCTGCTCTCGACCTCCCAGATGTCGCGGATAGCCCCGATGTTGCCGCGCCCCGGCTCAGCATGCCGCTAGAAGATATGTACGACGATGACAGCTTCCACGAACGACCACCGAGACAGTCTTTACTACCAGAGTTGCCAGACGACGTGGATGGCGGCACAGTTCAATCGCTCGAATTTGGGCGCCGAGCTCTAAGTGAGGATCCCCGATATGTCAGGAGAGCCAGCGAGCGGTTTGCGGACTTCAGCGAGCTAGGGGCAGTGGACGAGGAGTTTGAAATTGATGGAACGTTCATCAACCGGCGGCGCACAGGAGCCTTTGATCCACTGCTGGATCAGACCATTGTAGAGGAAGATGAAGACACAGTCGAAGCATTGACGGGGCGGCGCGACGGTCCGTCCAGCGACGCAGACTTGGGCGTGTTTGGTCAAGGAGATGACGACACCGAGGAACCCACATTCAGATTCCATATCCCGGAACAGATACGAGCGCCCATCGAGGAAGGAGCTGAGGAGCAAGTGGAGCTGGGCGACACTATTACGCTACCAGATGTCGCAGGAGAAGAGGAGGAGGATCTAGAAGTCGACGAAGAGACACCCCCACTCGACGAACCAGAAGAAACAGGGGCATTGGATGTGAATGAACCTACAGAAGCATTTGGCATGACAGGCTGGGAGTCAGATCCAGGCGGAGACGACGACCTCGAGCTTGCCGCCTACCGCGAAGAAGAGTCCGCCCTAGACCGCAGTCTGCAGGTTCCCGAAGCCCCAGCTTTAGTCCAGAAACGCATGGCAACACGACGGATAGAGCTCAAGCTATCACGAGTCGGCCTAGACTACCCATCTTTCCCTGCTGCGCCGGTCAAGAAACTAGCGCTCAGCTTTATGAAATCGCAAGGCAGCAAAGCGCAACTGAACAAAGACGCACTTGCCGCCCTCGTACAAACAACCGACGACTTCTTCGAGCAGATAGGTATAGATCTAGCTGCGTACGCACAACACGCCGGCCGGAGAACGATCGAAGAGAGCGATGTCCTGGCGCTCATGAGACGGTATGTTACATTTCCTTACTTACTGTACATATACGTATAGATGCTTTCTACGCTACAACAATGCTGACGCGACTAGAACGCGCAAGACGAGCAGCAACACGACGAGCTTCTCGCTCGCGCAGAAAATGCTGCCAAGAGAGTTGCTGCAGCAGCTCAGGATGGAACCGCAGCCGAAGCTCAAGGGCCAGAAGCGGAAACGCTTGGCTACTGTACAGGAGGAAGACGATGAGTGAAGGGCGGAAGATGGTAAAGGGGGGGGGGGGTAAAGACTTTATGACCACTCTGAGCTGTGGCGTACACGCCGTTGTGTGCCGGAGAGCGGCTTCTTGACGACCATCCAGAACATGATCGATGTGGCGAAGCTTAACGCATACCTACGTGGCGTTGTTAGTAGGGCTTGAGAGGGAGGTAGAGCAGGGAGCATACCATGTGAAGATGTACTGCGTGTGGTTGTTTCTCAGATTTACCGTCGGCGCCCGCCCAATCGGCACACCCTTAGGTTCGCGCTCATAGTTGGTGAGCAGGTCCGGCGCTGTCATCACAATTAGACACCCCTTCCATATCTTCAAGCACAAAGATGTCAGATATGAACTTACTCATCGTCTCCTCAATCCACACCCTCTGGCTCCCCGTCCACTCCGCCATCTCCTCGACATTCGGAAAAAACCACTTCCCTACCTCCGGCTCGTTCTTCGGCGTAAACATGTTTCCCTTCGGCGGGATCCTCAGCAGTCCCTCCACCATGACTTCGCCCTCCGGCAGCGCCCCGTTCTTCTTTCGAAACCACTGCTTCGCCGCATCCTTCTTGATCCAGCCCCGGCAGCACAGCACTTTGTGACTGTTTCCCCGCTCGTCGAAGCGCTCCAAGGGTGTCACGACGGTGTATCCGTCTTCGCCGTCTTGTAGGCGCGGACCAATCAGCATTTCTTGGTCGTGTCGTAGTATGCCCTTCGCGTACACTTTTCTGTAATCAAAGTCCTTGGTCATACTCTCATCGATCCGCAGCGGTAGTTCCAACGGCGGGAAGGTTAAGCGGTCTTCGAAGCGCGCGATGAGTTCGGTTTTCCAGCCCAAACGTTGGACTTGCCAGCACCCCAAGATGAACGCGGTGATGGGTATCATGGCGAGGATAATGAGGCCGGGACCATGTTGTTTGCCTACTCGTGCCATTTTTGCGGGGCGGTCGAGGATCGAGATAAAATTTGGGTCGAGTCCGTCGGGGCCGTGGGCGTACCTTCTCTGAGCGAACGAGAATGTGGTATTTGGTGTTCGTCGGAATAAGAGGCGTGTTCGTAGGCATTGAGGGCCAGTCGTTGTTCTGGTTGTGCAGGCGAAGGCGGAACTGGTCTGTGTGGAGTATTGCCTGAAGAGGCGTAGGAAGGGGTGTGGTTTCGACATTATAGTGAGTTGCGCAATTGCGCGGCGGGTGCGGAGGGAGAGCTCATGATATCTGAGGTCGGATGGAGCTAGTGTCGAATGAGGAAAGGCGCCCGCGAGAGTTCGAGCTGCATCAATTCATCGACTTGCATCCTGGTCCTAGGCTCTGACTTTACAAACAATTTGCGTACTTTGCTATGGCAGAAGTACAAGTCCCAACACCAGCTGATGCTGTTTCTGATGTGGCACAGCCATCTGGTGTTGACAAAGATGCACTCATCACCCGCCTGGACACTTTGCTTGAGCAGTACCTGTACACTCTGGATGAGTATGAAAAGCTCATGCAGCAGCTGTCGAAGCAGCTATCCTCCGTACGTGTCACTAACTTGATCTATCAAGGTTAGTAACTGACGATCGTAGGGCTACTTCTCTCTGACACAAGCAAACTTCCACAACCGATCCGGTGTGCATTACGGACAAGACAGTTACGATGAACGTGTCCAAGCAACGCGGAAGATGTACGTTGTTATTGATCTCGATCTTTGGATGATTGCTAATGGTGGTAGTGTGGTGACTGAAGATGTGGATTGCAGCTTGCGCTACTCTACTACTCCAACATTACCAAGCACGTTTGCCAAATCAGAGAAAGACACTACCCCAACAAGCACTGAGGCAGCTAAGGATGAAAACGTTGAGAAGACTAAAGACGATGACACGGCAGCTGGTGCAACACCGCGGAGGGAGAAGTCCAAAGAAAATGACGTGGATGATGGTGCAGAGGAGGAGAGTGATACAGCGAAATCCACAGTCGTGGATCCAATCCGCATGTTCGGCATTCTTGTTCCGCCTGCGCTACGGTCTGCGCAAGTGTCATTCAGGGAAGCTGTCGACGGGCCGGTGGTCAGATTGGCGGAAGTTACGGGGGAGTTGAGGGCGTTGGAGAGGGAGATTGGGAGGGCGAGGAAGAGTATACGGAAGGCGTAGGTAATGAGTGAGCCATTTTTTGTCCGTAAGTTTAATGCACACGATCATGGAACACCTGTTGAAATAGATGCGTAGAATGAACTGAACACTACGAGATATCTGAGCAATACGGTTACGCGATCTTGTGCATATCACGTGCAGTTGGGAGGACCCAGCCTAGACGCTGGCGGTAACAAGTGACGCTTCATGCATCTACACACCTGGCACTACCTCACCTGGGGGGGAATTGAGAAAGCTCCAGAGAGGAAGACATTGCCCATCAATATAGCGAGCGATACGAACAATTATCTAACGCTGATGTCTCGAATTCCAGCCCTCCACACCTTCAACTTGAGCTTCGAAGGGTAGCGCTCAACCCGCCTCGAATGGCTCAGAGCCACTGTTACAGCTCAGGCAACGTAAAATTCGGGTGGCTCTTGCCAGTTTCTGGGCCGATGGACGCTGACTAGGAGTCCTCTTCACCATGTCAAGGACAACCATGAACTGCTCGATGGTGGATGTCGAACCAAACGAAAGTCCTCCGGATCTACCGTGTGTATCTCACCATACCATTTGAGATTCCACTCAGGTTGCAGTCGTATGAATTATCCGTTCCCAGATTACGAATGTTGGCTAGACGCACCCGTTCGTTCTTCGTTAGAGTGGTGTTCAACGTCGCTATGATCTCCATGCAGACGCATCCAAGAGAGAAGATGTCAGCAGTATATCCGCGTGTATTCTGCATCGCAACTGCTGGGGCGGCCTGAAATCGTGTAAATGAAGTGGGCGGATCAGTGTCGGACTCTGCGGCTGACTTGTACGCGCGGGCGATTCCAAAGTCCGCGACGTATATACGAAAGTCTGGTCCGGTCCGGCGAACATGCAAATTTGCTGGCTTGATGCCCATGTGCTTCACGTTCTTACTATGTATGAACTGATCATACAGTGTGATGGTCCTGGAGTGTACAGACCACATCGGAGGCTCTTGCATCTCATCCAAGAATTTGTCCAGGTTGTATCAGGTTGCCGGATAGATCAAGATCGCAAATTCCCTCTTGAACACATAAGTACCGACGAGTCGAACGATGCGCCGGTGCTGCAACCGCTGTAGATGCTACACTTCCGCAACTGCCATATCTTTTGTTAAGCATTTGCTGCATCGGATCGTCTTGCGGGCAAGCGTGATTCTTCGACATTGCACGGCTTGAACAACCGCAGACGATCTATGGCCCAGAATGATCCTTGGTTGAAGCGGTATGAGTGCCTCCTCCGCTGGAGAATATTCAATATGTTGTCCACGCCCGGACCAGTCAAGTGCTTCCGAGACAGTAAGGATCATGCCCCTGGTGTTCAGATAAGAGAGCCACTCACTATTGAATACCCGATTATCTCCAAACCAAGTATCAGGGACGAGTGCTCTAAGATGTGATTTTCTGCCGAAAACATGTACACCTCGGATCGTACCTTACGTCCCAAAGACGCAGGAAAAGCTTGCTTCTCTTCAGCAAATATCTGACGCGCTTCTGAAATCACAGCATTCATCATTGCCTCGAACGACGTAACCGATACTGACATGTTCGACGACGGTGGTTCTTCCAGACTGAGTAACCGTTCCCGAGTTCTAGTTCGAAGCTCTTGCGGATTGCTTGACGATGAAGGGGATGTGACACGGGTTTCAGGCAGACCGTTCTCAGTCCGCTGTACTATCCTATCAACGAGTGACTCGAGTGACTCCACCGTTGAGAGGGGCTCCATGGGATGCTCGTCAGAATGGCTGTGCGAGGCTTCCAAGCCCAGCGGGCCATTTGGCGCTCTGCTGTAGCTCCTAAAGGTGGCTCGAGCTGTCGCGTAGGGTGTAGGTCCTTGGCTTATTGATGTAATGCTCGGTTTATAGTTGCCTGGCCTACGAATAACAATTACCTGTGTCGTAGCATGGGGCTCTCATTGGAGGTTGAAGGTCGCGTCCTCTAGCATTGTTTCCAACATTGTTCTCAATGCTGTCCCCGAGATGGTCCCCAACATCTGCCCGAATATAGAGGTTACCGAGTTGCCTGGTCGATTTGGACTTTGCGCGAGAAGGCAAAGACCCGTGGGATCTTGCAGTCATGTTGCCGTTCTGTGATTGGATCTGGAATTATCAGAATGCTTCTGTAGGATTTGGAATGGGGGTTGAGAGTTAGGTGAACATCGTTCGAACAGGCTGGGGTTTGGTGATGTGCTGCCACGCGGTGCACGTAGACGGCCTAAGTTACGGTGGGCTGCATGGCTGCATGCTTGCATGCGTCGCACACAGCACATGACGATGTTAGCTAGCAAATAGGGTACCTGAGCCAAAACAATACGGCGTCAGCTTCGTGCAGCATTCAGGCGATGATTGCAGGTTAGCTAGAAGCGTGCTGAGGTAATGGGACAAAAGTGGGTGGAAAATAGTGTTTTCAGGTTACGGTGGTGATCGAAGGGTTGCTCCCAGCCATTCTCGTAAGGTGGCAGTCGCGGTTCTTAGCGCGCGTTATCAGGCAGACAGTCACAGCATTGAGGGACCCCAGTCTTCGAAATCCTCCAGTCCATCCCCGGGACAAAACTGTGTATAACAGCCGCCATATTAAGCATGTCAAACGCCTGAGTGTCAGACATGTCTCGCTCTTTGGCCGGCTACCACACTTGGTTGACGTTATCGCCAGGCTATTAAGCGTACATCGAGTCCACGTACGGCTTCAGCGCGCATAAGCCAAACTCCACAGCCTCTTCTGTTCTGATCGTCCGACTCCCCTGCCCCGGAACAAGATTGACCCAAGAGTCAAACAGCGTATGCGCACTGCCTTTCCCAAGCCCCTTCTCTGCAAGCACAGGATCGTTGGCCACTGCAGGCTCTATTCCAGCAACTCCACCAAAGACAAGTAAAAGGTGATTGAACTTGTTTGGCGCCCGCACCGAAGGGTTTGACGTTGTTGAAGGAATGATGTCGCGTACATCGACACCTCGTTCAGATGTGCCGATGGTGAAGTCGTAGCCGCCTGAGAACTCGCACTCAGAGAAGACGGTGCTGAGAGACGAAGCCTTGCGCACTTGATAGCCCCAGTAGTACCCTGCTTCTTCACGCGGTAACGAAGAGGCGCAAGCTGTGGCTTCGAGGCCTTCGCACTCAGATTGCGAGAGGTGAGGCCAGTTCTTGGGAGGTTCTGGTGTCGCAAATCGTACTGTGGTGCGCATTGCGGGCTCAATTGGCGCGCCTGGTGGTACTGGCACGACTACTGGGAAAGGCAGTCCACACTTGACATACACATATTGGTCCACCTCTTTCTTGCTCTTCTTGCTCTTCGGATTGTGCGCTGATGGTGGATCCGCTGGACCAACGACAACACCTTCCCGGAATTGACACCACTCGTGCGGTCTTAAGTGATGGGGCATGTCCATACTGGGCAATGTCCCTGTCCACTCCAGATTCTTGTGTTTTTGGAAAATGCTTAGACTCGGGTCGTCGTGGCTATACCTTAAATGAGGTGGACACTCAGCAAATGCAAGGACATGGTAAAGGAATTGGTCTGGATTTTGCCAGGGCTCGTCTTCTTCCAGGATACTGTCGAGAATTTCTTGCTTCGATTTTGACTTCTTGCCGCGCGTATATCGGTCAGATACAACGTTGGGTGTCAGCCCAGACGGATTGTCATCAAAGACAACGATCTCATCCACACAGAAGACTGCTGCAGCTCGTGCAATGCGTCCTACTTGCATAGTCTTGTGATCTGGCTTTTTCGCATTGAGAAGCCAGCTTCCAGGTAGTGCAATGCTGACGGTCCAATTCCTGGCTTTAGTAGGCTTGAACAGCGCCGTAGGGCGCGATGTGTCAATGTCTTCCGCATCCTGAGGTTCAGTCCTACTCTTCTTATTCGGACTGTCTTGTTGATTTGTCTGATGTATGACTACTGAGGCATGCTTGCGCTTCTGGATTTTATGTCAATATTTGTATGTTGTGATTGAAGGAGGATTCATACCTTGCTGTCGACCATGTTGGCTGCGAATATTGAGGGGCTACTTGGCAACTGGACTGCTGTATGACGACAACAATGCCACTGCTGGTAACGCGATAATGCTTGACACGTGAACGGGTGAAAGAGGTTGGTCGAAAATTGGAAGAAGAGTATTTTTGGTCACCCCAGCACGGTCCTGCATTAGCGTGTAGATGGCGCCGATCTCCACCTGCCCGTCAGGCAACCACCACTGCGTCCTGCGGTAAGCAAGCATCTCTCGCACCTTTCTCATTCTTTCTTTCCTTCACTGTGTACATTTGCTGCACCATAACTGCGTTGTTTTCGTGCATATCGCGTCTAATATCTAAAATGGTATCAGAAACGTCAGTACACCCCTTTCACGTCTCTTAATGTCCGCTTACACCCCCCAGCAAAACCTCAATCGGCGACACGCTGTATATGTTTTTCGCCCTCTACCTCACTACCCTCTTCTCTCTCGACACATGGGCTACCGCTCGTAATTCTCCGTACCGCGCACCGGGTAACAACTCGTTCCATCGCCCAGCGAACACACCACCAGCACAAGATAGCTACCAAGGCGGCATGCACGGCCGCGGCAATGCTGGACCAGGAAGCGGAAGTGGTGGAAATGGCGGCAATGTTGCAAGGGTGCCACAAGCGAGGGACTCAAGACCGCCTATGAAGTTGTGGGGGACGGCGGCTTGCGGTGCTTGCATGACTTGAATGTCTTTGCATGCACAAGCAGGCACAAAGGAACGCTTCTCAGCACATACACTGAAACAACGTGCGTACGTGCGTTCACACAACTCATTGCAGGATTCACTTTCACTTTCACCGCGCCACACTTGTTTCTATGTATCCCAGCATCATCCTCGCTGACATCAGACCCAACTTACTCAATCGTCCATGTCAATTCTCAACATCACTCACCGCTCAACATGCCTGATCAATATCATCTCACTGCAGGCCCTACTCGCAAATCGTTCCTTGACCTACCTATCGAGCTTCGGCATATGGTTTATGGGTTTCTTTTCAATATCGACACTATGCACCGACAGCTGTGGAAGACGATCTACGAACCCCAACGAGGTTACATAGTACACTGGTCTCAGAAGTTTCATATAAACGCCGCTGTTCCTCCGTCAAATCACTGCCTTACGCACGATAGGCGTGACAAGCAGGGCAATTCGTCAGGATGCACGCAACTTCTATGCCTCAACAGACCTTCTTCTTTTCAGCGACAGTATTACGGACCTGGGGTGCTTCGGCGTCTTTGGGAAGATACTGCAGAAAACCGGTCCTGACGACGACGCATTTGTTCCTTCCATTCTATTCAGATTGCAACTTCGTCCTATGGACTATGGCCGTCAAGGGCGCTTGACTTTCCGGAGCTTCCTCTCTTCTCTGGTCCCATGCAGCAAGCTACGGTACTTCAATATAGATCTCGTAGTCTGCCATGTCTTTGGACCAGATCTGGACGCACTAAAGGATTTATTTCTGTATGATCAAGAGCCACGCTTCCATGGTCTGGAAAAGACTGCCAATATGTTCTCTTCACTTCCAAGACTCGCAGACGTACACATTAACATCCCGTCAGCGACGAGGCACCGACCGATAACAACGCATTTTTGCAGTTTGCATTCAGTGGCATGCGCCAGATCGCGCCCTGGGTCATGATTGAAGAGCGCTTAGAAGCCAACAACGTATACGGCATCCGCAAAGGCGCCGACAAGCGCAAGCTCGGCAAGCTCTTTGTCAACATCGAATATCCTCCTTTGCCGCGTCAGAGTGCTGGAGATAAGATCATGGACTTTGAGACATGGAAGCTGTGGTCTGACACAACCGCGTTCAAACTTCGAATCACCGAGTGACAAGGAGCACATAGAAAGCACTCAAAAACGAACCTGTAGGGATGATTGCCAACGCTCTGGCCCAATCTTTAGAGTCGTGTGGGACCGTTGCAATTACGTCATATTGTACTATTCGGCAAATCCCGAACCGGCGCTTTTATACTCAGCACCTTCAACAATCAAAACAACATCCTACGATAATTCCTCACCTCATATTTCACCATGTCTGTCCCTTCGAAGCATCGTGCGGCATACGTGCACGCCAAAGGCGAAGCACCGAAAATCTCTGACCGTACTCTCGGCGAGCTCAAGCCTGGTGAAATCGCTATCAAGATCGCAGCAACTGCGATCAACCCTGTGGATTGGAAGATCCGTGACTATGGGCTCTTCCTCGTTCCCAACTGGCAATATCCAGCCATTTTGGGCTCCGATGGATCAGGCACGGTAGCAGCTGTCGGCAAGGGTGTATCTGATTACAGCGTTGGTGATCGAGTGTTCTTCCAGTCCGGCTACGGCGACGATGACGTTTCTACGTTCCAAGAGTACATCAAACTTCCTGCTGAGATTGTTGCGAAAACACCAAAGAACATCTCAGATGAGGAGGCGTCAGGCATTATGCTGGCCACGATGGCTGCAGCTACTGCGTATTACGACAAGACTGGGCAGGGACTGAAAGCACCATGGAACCAGGGCGGAAGCGAAGTGGGCAAAGGAAAGGGTATCGTCATTCTTGGTGGCAGCTCCTCTGTGGGTCAATATGCCATTCAACTTGCGCGACTATCGGGCTTCGAGCGCATTATCACGAACGCGAGCGCGATACATCACGACTACCTCCAAGACCTTGGAGCACATGTTGTATTGGACCGTAACGCTTCCGGCGTCAAAGACTTCCAGAAGGCCTTGGAAGGAGTATCGTTGGAATTTGTCTTCGACACGATTGCCTTCAAAGAGACGCAAGTCCTGGGCGTTGAAATCCTGCAAGCCACTAACACGCAGAAGTCTCGTGTAGTGGTTGTAGGGCCAGTGAATGAGGAAGCGAAGAAGCTGGGTGAATCAAAGGAGCCGCATGTTGCAGTTCAGCAGATCATGGGCATTGCATTGAAGCCAGAGCTGCGTTACCTCATCACGGGCTTGACAGATAGCCTTGGAGGGAAGGATGGATGGGTCGCCAAGGAAGAATTCAAGCCGAATCGTGTGGAACTTATCGAGGGTGGCTTGGAGAATATCCAAGAGGGATTGGAGAAGAACAAGCAGGGCGTGTCTGGCGTAAAGGTAGTTGTCCAGTATTAGAGCCGGACGATTTAGTTGAACCAGCACAGAGTGCAGAGATGAGATGAATTGGATTGTCTATCTACCGAGCAGAGAGCTGCTTTTATATAGGCAGCTACAACAAAGAGCAACAGAGAATATTGTTGTGTCTAAGCCAGCAAGCAAGACTACCGGTGAAACAAGCTGATTTGTATAGGAGATGGATGCTGCTAGAAACCAACAGATTTCCGAGTTAGATGTCGGCATTCGTGAACGAGTCATGCGGACGATGCTCAAGGACCCTCACACTTTCACCTGGCCATGAGCCAGCTTGGCGCGCCTTCCGCATGCATTCGCATCACCCCTGCTTAAACGTCCTCATCAAAACAACACACCACACTGCCAGTAAAACCCACTATGTCCACTTCAGGGTATCTTTCAGAGCCATCTGCTGCAATCAGCGACAGTAACAACGATTCTCCCTAAGATATTTACGGGCTGCCTCCGCCACCATGCTTAGACTCGCGCCGTGCCGAGCCGAGTCGCCCAGATGCTTTAGCTTACAAGAAGCAATCTTACAGCAAACTCAAGATGACGGCACTCCAGCGCGGTCTCCACGTCAAGAAAACAGTCGACAAAACGTCCTTGGTGACTGCTCTAGAAGGATCCGGTTACGAGGACAGAATGGAACACACGCTGGCTCAATACCCTGGCCGACCGGATCGAGCACTCACGTGGCGTTACGACAAGTATACGGAGAGCGAGCGCAAGGCCATTGCAATGAGGCTTCGACAACGGCACAGCGCTTTGCTTGCAAGCCGCATACCAGGTGGATATCACACGCAAATCGTTTTTCGATCTTCCAGGAGAAGTTCGAAACATGATATATGGATCAGCTTTGTTCGGAAAACCACACCCGACATACGAGAAAGGTTACCAGCTGTGGATCACGGTCAGCAAACATCATGAGGGAGTTAGATGGAGTCATCTGAGCCACCTCGGCTCAGGTCCTTCAAACGATCCCGTTTCTGTTCATGATGACTTCCGTCGCGAATTGCTTATCTCATCGCTTGGTGTAATGTCGACACTAAATCGGGAGATCTGGCATGTAAGTGCATAGCTTCTTTTGGGCTGTCGCTGACTTCAGATTTCTGTAGGACGATTGGCATGACAACCAGCACAACCTTCTCCGCCGATTCCTGAGGTCAACAGACCCCACTGGTTGGACCAGCATCGGAAATTTGAGAGTATTCTGAGCGAAAATAGGTCGAGATAGCTCAGCATCGACTTGTTCAGCGTTTTTTGGTGCCGAGACGACTTAGATACAGGGCTTTTTGCTCACACGAATTGCGCTTACGAGCCCAAGTCTAGAGAGATTTGCCAATCTACTACTTTACCTGCCTCGGTTGACGCATGTCACACTATTCTACGAAACCTGCACACAGTGTTTTGGATGCTGAATGTGGGCATCGATTCTCTCTGTTCGCTTTCAGTGGTGAACAACAATTTCGATTGCTAAATGAGATCAGCACAAGGCTCAGCGCAAACCGCATGACAAATCTACACTACGCCGGCAAAGACGAAGATATGCGGAAGCTGGGTGGCAGGATCATCGTGCGAGTTGTTGATCCTTACTACGTTCCACCGCAATCTTACCTGACCGATCGACGGAGGTTACTCATAAAAGCGTTAACCTACGAAGACTGGCTGCGAACATGTTTTGGCAGAGCAAGCAACTAGGCGTCGTTTCGGGGACCACACGAAGTATGTGGCGAGAGGGCTGATTGGGGGCGATACTGAGGCCGGACTTGATGAGCTCGTGCAATTTGCTATGAGCTCGTGCAATTCGCGATGACCTCCTTACCCTAGAAGTAGATTATCGTTTGCATCATATCTATGCGCGCTCAATCTTCCTACAAACGCCATTTAGCTCTATGCCCAGACGACGCTGACATACGGCGTATGTTCTTTCACTCAAACCCATGCCTTTCACCAAGCTTTCACTGATCACGCACTAGCCCTAACCCCGAAACTAGTGCCTGCAGGCTTGTATTATGCAAAATCTCCGTTGTCGCATGTGGACCTTCCCAAAGACCGATCGCGACTGCTCAACCCGACCCAACCCACCATGGCCCATACCAAAGTCGCTACGACACAGAAAAAGCCTGGTGATCTGATTGAGCAGGCTTACGTTCTCGAACGACCATCCCCATCAGCTGCATGCTGCCTCCAGCTCGAGACACAGCCCGATTACGAAAAGAAAAGTGTTGCTGCTCTTCGAAAGATGGCTCGTTATTGAGGACACCGATGATTAAGCTGAGGAGGACTTTGAAGGCTAGATCTGTAGGACCGGGCCCTGATGGACGGAAAAGCAGAGAGGCAGAAATCATGCGTGAGTTAAACTTGTCCAGAAACTTGACCCCTGGAATGTTTCTGAGCAGGATATTACTGCGACTGTTCTTAGTCCTCTGGTCGAAAGAGGGTGGTGGTTGGAGACCTGGTTCGTTTATTCCGGGGCGGAGACCCTTACCCGCGAAGGACTCCGTATGCACTCACTTAATTTCAATCTCCAAAATTATTCAATGATCTTTGATCAACTTCATGAAAGTCGCTAGGAGACGTGCCTAGCCGGATGACTTTGTTCTTGTCCGCCATGTCGCACGATACTTCTGGATAGAGCCGTGTATACGCTGTCTATCATGTACGCTACGAATCTACTCATGCGCGGGGTATAGACGACGGGCGGGTCGACGATCGGGCGCGTGCATGCTTGGCTCCATCTGCAGGATGAAGACCGCCAGGCTGCAGGTCGCCAGGCTGAGTGAGGCCAGCAGGCGCTGCGCCGCAGACTCCATCACTGTAGACACACCATCGTAGACACACCATCGTAGACACACCTTCGCTGATGCATGCTCTGCTGCAGCGATGCCATGGCCTCTACAGCATCCACGACAGTCTTCGGCGACGCGCGCTCCAGCCTCCAGGCTCACACCATCAACGGCTCTGTCGAGTTCCATCTCCAGCCTGGTACGTTGCGAGACCACCCGACGCCTGCAGGTTCTCAGTCGGGCTCTCGGTAAGAACAGGACGCTAAGCAGACACCTCAACAACTAGAGCTCGAGAACAGCCTCGGCCGTCTACCGCGCGCCGAAGACGCGCCATTCAACTCATACGCAAAGCAGCACGAGCCTGCATGCCTCCGTGACACGCGTGTTGACCTCCTCCGCGAGATATACAGCTGGGCGGATGGGCCAGACGAGCGATGCGTCTTCTGGCTGAGCGGCCTGGCGGGCACGGGCAAGTCGACCATCGCCCGGACCGTCGCGCGCAGCTACTTCGATAAGCAACGTCTCGCAGCAAGCTTCTTCTTTTCGCGCGGCGGTGGCGACGTTGGCCACGCCGGCAGGTTTGTGACAAGCATCGCGGTGCAGCTTGCGCACAGCGTGCCAGCAGCGCGACAGCACATCTGCGACGCTGTTGCAGAGCGCAGCGACATCGTCGGCCAGTCGCTGCGCGATCAGTGGCAGCACCTGGTCTACCGCCCGCTGTCGAAGCTGCGCGAGCCCAGGCCATATGTTGTGGTTGTCGACGCGCTCGACGAGTGCGACAGCGACAGCAACATCCGCATCATCGTGCAGCTGCTGGCCGAGGCGCGGTCGTTGACAGGCGTCCGGCTGCGGGTGTTGCTAACCAGCAGACCAGAAGAGCCGATCCGGCACGGGTTCGGGCAGATGGCGGACGCGGAGCACAAGAACGTCGTGTTGCATAACATCTCACCGTCGATCGTAGATCACGACATAGGCCTTTTCCTGGAAGACAAGCTTCAGTCCATTGGGCGAGAACGCTGTCTACGCGCTGGCTGGCCCGGCGCAGAGACCATTATACAGCTAGTGCAGAGCGCAAGCGGTCTGTTCATCTGGGCTGCCACTGCCTGTCGCTTCATCCGCGAAGGAAAGCGCTTTGCAGCTAAGAGGCTAGAGACGATCCTGTGTAATGATGGCAACACTGTTGCTGCTCCAGAGAAGCATCTCAACCAGATTTATGTTACTGTGCTCAACAGCTCACTCTCTGCAGACTTCACGGACGAGGAGAGAGAAGAGCATTGTAGAATGCTGAGATACATTGTTGGAAGTGTAGTAGTGTTGTTCTCCCCTTTATCTGCATGGTGTTTGAGTGCACTGCTCCACGTCGCAGACGAAGACATTAGCCAGACACTCGAAGATCTGCATGCTATTCTTAACATCCCAGAAGACACAACCCAGCCGCTTCGACTGCACCACCCTTCGTTTCGCGACTTTCTGCTTGATAAAAAGAGATGCGGCGACGACAGCTTCTGGGTAGATGAGAGAAGCACACACGGGAAGCTGGCGTCCCGCTGTCTTGAGCTCATGTCTGCGCCTAATGGCCTTCGACAAGACATGTGTAGTCTTTTGGAGCCAGGGACACTAAGAAGCGAGGTTGAAGAGGAGAGAGTAACGAGTAACCTGCCGCCAGAACTGCAGTATGCATGCCGCTACTGGGTAGAGCACCTCAAGCGCAGCCAGTGCAGCATCGCCGACGGAGATGCAGTGCACATCTTTCTTCGGACGCACCTTCTGCACTGGCTCGAAGCGATGAGCCTGGTGGGAGAGACAGGCCAGTGCGTGCACTTGCTGGCAAGACTGCAGGCGATAACACCGGTAAAAGTCCCAGCATGACAGACACCACAATATGCTAACCTGCAAGATAGCCATCTGCAAGCATGTGTGCAGGCTTCCTCCGCGATGCCAACCGATTTGTGCTGCGGTTCTGTTCAGTTGTAGCAGAGGCACCCCTGCAGGTGTATTCATCAGCGCTTGTTTTTGCACCGGAGACAAGCGTTGTACGGCAGACATTTGTTGATCAGGTCCCTCAGGAAGTGGAGATACTGTCAGGCAACGAAGCAGATTGGGACGCATGCCGCAGCGTGTTGGAGGGCCATTCAGGCGATGTCAATGCAGTAGTTATCTCGCCAGACGGACAGCTGCTCGCCTCAGCATCTCACGACAGGACAGTGCGAGTGTGGGAGACGGCGACGGGCACATGTCGCAGCGAGCTGGAGGGCCATTCAGGCGCTGTCAATGCAGTGGTGTTCTCGCCAGACGGACAGCTGGTCGCCTCAGCATCTCACGACAGGACAGTGCGAGTGTGGGAGACGGCGACGGGCACATGTCGCAGCG